GTATCATTTGTCTGAATCATTCACAACACATCTCTTCTCCTCAACAGGAGGTACACAATAGCCTTCTGACTAGGCAAAACTTTCTGAACATATTACCGGTATGATTGGCCAATCATCTACACACCACGACCGATTTATAGGTCTTCACCCAGGCTACGAGACAAATTGACCCTCTGTCCTTCGTCCCGAGTGAATTCGTCGTTAGTCTTTCGACTGTCCTCAATATACTCAGCAACTTGAGGTAGAAACATATCTACCTCACCACTAGAGACTTGTCAGGCATCTCTAGACTTGATCTTTCAAGCTTTGAAACAGCATAGGCATTTCCTCATCTATGTGTTTATATTCAAATAACGTAGGCATGTCTCCTCTACGTCCCTGTCGACATTATTACTACGTGGGCATGTCTCCTCCACGGCTTGATAGCGTAGGCATGTGACCTCTACGACTTACCATCATTTCATATCTTTGTAGGCATGTTACCTCTACGTCCTTTTCATCATTTCATATCTGCGTAGGCATGTTACCTCTACGACGTTGTTCATCATTTCATATCTGCATAGGCATGTTACCTCTACGACGTTGTTCATCATTTCATATCTGCATAGGCATGTTACCTCTACGACGTTGTTCATCATTTCATATCTGCGTAGGCATGTTACCTCTACGACTTTTCATTATCATCCTTGATTTCCTATCTGGGTACCCATTTGCTTTGACACATGACACTATAACTTGGGACTAAAACCAACTTGTTATTATAACCTTGGATCTACATATCCTCCGTATATCATATACCTATATGGTTGTCACACTTCCTTACTTGCAGTTCTATTGTTTACTTGTTTGCTTTCTTTCTTCACCTTCCCTGTCATTGTTCTTCTGACATCGAAATCCTCCACAATTTCTAAACTGAGAAACTCACTTAGGACCCCTTCTCTTTCCGAGACACCTGCTAATCGGACTTGGTATCGCATTCCTCTACGACTTATCAACTTCCATTTCATATTTGGATATCCTTATTCCTGTCACCTAATGATTGATTCCTGTCAATATCAACATGGTTGAATGCTTTATCACCTGTGGTGATAGGCGTGGTATGTGTGGTGTCACTGTCTCCTAACTCTCCATACACATCGGCAATATCGACTTCTTTAATGACACCTATCGCCAACTTAATATCTGAACTAGCAGGGTTTATCAACCTAAACAATGGTACTTGATTGACAGATGAAGTGAGATATCTAGCACCTCACACATGTAACCATTCTGCAATAGACTCAATTGGATCAACAACGCCTAACTTTATATCTGGGTCATTAACGTACACCGGCAACAAAGTTTCATCGTGTGGTGGCAGTACCACATCACATATACATGTAACAAGGTTGGAATTAATCTGAGTAGGCAATGAAATTTGTCTCTGTAAGTCCATCCTACAAAGTCAACCTATTATGGTTAATATCAATTTAAGCCTTCTGGCTTCTCAAGAAATCTAAGCCTAACAACACATCAATTGATAAGGCTAAAAGACCTCAAAGTCCTGTACAATACATAGCTGACCAACTGTAAGAGGAATTTTAGATATGCCTAACACATTTTTCCTTCTGCACCGACCAATGACCTTGCACCTCATTTCGTTATAGGAAAACTGCTCTCACCTCCAATAGATGAGAATACATTTGAATTCATACAGCTCAAAGTTTCACCTGAGTCACATAGGGCACTGTAAGTCTTTCCAGATATCTTAACCCTAATACTGCTGTGAGATAAGCCCACACTACAAGTCAAAACAACAATCTCGCACAAATAACCTATCATTTCTATGATTTGGTTCTGTATTATTTCTCATTGTAAAAGTATGGTCTATGATGTTATCAACATTATCAAAATCAATATTTGCTATATTGGCAGCAGGCTCAAATCCTAATGTAGCACTGCCCCTGTTAACCCTTGCAATGTTTGGCTTAATTAGAAAAGTAGAATCTGCTTAGGTGCCCTATCCTACAGCATTGAAAACATTGCATAGATCTCACAAGACTCTCAGACATACTAAAATGTGTCCTACCTCATTGTCCACAAATGTTCCATAATTGTGGTTGTGACACCCTATGCTCCTCATTGCTCATATTCCTTGGAGCAGGGCTCCAGTTTTGTCCACAGGGCACATCATTGTCACTCATGTCCCTGATATCAACATGTGTTGATGCACAACCACTTCTGTTATGTTGATGGAATGTTTGTGTCCCGTTCTTCACTGGTTGTTGGTCATCAGTACACTCAGTCGCAGATTTAATGTACTGCTTTCTGTACATAGAGTCATCCTGATGCTCGTATGAAAAGTTCCCTCCTGTTCGAGTATTTTCTGCACTGGTCAATAAGGATACTTGTCCAACCAGCTCCTCTATAACAGACACAAGTCTGTCATTCTCTGATGTGGCCAGTCCAAATGCAGCATCTGCTATTCTTGCACTTTCCAGGACTTGATCCTTGGTCTCATGCAATCTTGTCAAAATGAACTGTTTAATGTGAGGTTGAGAATTCCTAATGACGGCATCCATGAGAAAGTTGTCGTCCAGTCTATCAAGACGTTTTGCCTCATATTGCAATTCTTGAAGAAAGTCCTCAAAATCCTCAGACTGTTTCTGTTTCCTATTATAAAGCTTGTCTAGTCTTTCATATCTTTTTTGCTGAATTTAGTTTGTACCTTGCAAGGAAAGCTGTCTTCACCTCATTCCAGGAATTGTCACTAAAGTCTTGAGCTTCATGCCACTTTAAAGCATTTTTGTCTAACCATAAACTAAATGCTGTCTTTGTCCATTCTTCTGAATAATTATGTAAAGAATTAAATTTCTCATATCTGCTTAACCATGAACTTGCAATTTTTGGATCACTTCCATTGAATTTCTCAAGAGAAAACTGACTTAGGGAAAAAGCCCTTGCTAAAGCTGCAAAATTGTTCTCTAATTTGTCCTTATTCCCAAGTCCTCTTGAAAATAAACTGTCATTTGTCTCTGTAATATCAGAGGCAGAACAATTTTCATTGTCATGAAACATTTTGAGTCACTTTGGTTCTTCCCTGACAATATGTCCAAATTCAACATCATAATTTCAAGACGTCTCATGCTCATTGTTGGTGATGAGAGATAAAAACAGTCTTATAAGACTGCAGAAAGTTTCTATGCACACCAGCATGCAGCAAGGGTCCTCCTTCAGTGTGACTGTCCCACACTAGAAAATCAATATCACTTTTCATGGGAAACTGACCACCCCACGGCTTTCAAACAGTGAACCATAGTCCCGCTGGTGAGCATAGTTCACAAATACAAGGGCAAAACACATCCCTCACAATCAATTCACGCTTTACAGGACATCACCTACCGTGAATGGCAAATAGCATCGGCTCGTGTCAGGCTAACAACCATCAAGTGTCCAGCAACTCAGCTGCAGATGCAAACTGTTCAAACTTGTGATGAGCATGGTACAGTGACCCCGCATCTCCACCATATGTAACCTTAGGTTCCGGGTACTTTACCCTTCTACCTATGGTCACTTCTACTTATCCACTGCTCCTTGGTTCTAGGGATGATGTAGCTCTCTTGAAAATCACAAGTCAAATGGTTTGCTCCAGCCTCTTTTTATTTATGATATAATTAATCATAAACATGTACACATGGTCCTCAGATTAGTTCTTGTTGTTGCCTGATATAAATACAACACATACCTAGGTGATGGTTGAAGAGCCTGATGGTTTTTCTGATGAACGTTAACTCTACGTCTTCTCTGACTCGGGATCCCAAAACCACGGTGAACCTTTCTGTTTAGCTGTCTGCTCCCGACTCCCCGCACTACTCTCGGACAACCCCCTAAATACTCTCCATGATAATAATTTCTCCTCACACCGAAATAGTATTTGACGTCATGTGAAATGAGTCCTAACGCTCACTTCTCTATGTACCCCCAATTCCCATTTCAATCAGTCTTTCCATCAAGTTCTTCTTAACCAAACACTCAACTAATTTCCTAAGTTAATGGTCAAATCATTGGTCAACCGAACATACCCTCAACTCTAAACAACCCTAGATGTAAACCCAATACTCTGCCAGATTGGAAGGCACCGAAAAGATTGTGATTCAAATGAAGCTTGTTATTTAGACATTCAAGTCAGTAGTAGCTTACAGAAATATTTGATCACATCCGGACTTACCAACTTCTGTCCCATCAGATTCATTTCCTTATACTACAAGACCGTATACTACCAATTTCCTCAGATTGATGAAAAGCCATCTCTATCACTCAAGAGAAGCAAAATCAATAATCATATGTCCTGGGGGTTATGCCCTCACCCCGTACGGTCACTTCTCTCATATGCATCCAAATTCTATCCAAAAGCTCAATTTAGTAAACTACATTTTAAGTAAATATTAAAAACCCTTTTTCCAAAATACCCTGGTTACAGTATATCTAAAGAAAACGTCCTCTGTCAGGTTTACAGGAGAATCCTCACCTTAATCCAACCTTACATTAATCCAATCAGACAACAAATAGCACCGCTTGTTAGCCCTGAGTAGAGTACTTCCGCTTAAACAATACATGTGCGCTGGCTCACTTTGGCCTTTGACACAATCGCGAAGAACCGTGTTGCGTGGGTGGCTTTTGTCTTGACTTGCAGGTGTGATCAGTGATGACATGAGTGAGTAGAACTCTCGTCTTGACCCAAGCAGTGACAATTCACAGGATGTAATAAGTGTTTGAATGACATTGTTTATATACTTGTTACAAGTGCATCTCAATAAACAGTGATGTGGAATACATAGTTGTTTGTTTTCAGCTTATGTCTAAGTTGGTATTTCTGCTTTCCAAAATGTCTTATTATTGATATAAATGCATTGTTTAATGATGCAAGCAAGGACCACTTGCATTATTCGCATTTAATTCACGCTTGCGTTAATTTCAAGATTTACAGTATATTTGAATGTTTACCAGGAAGTTCATTTTACCAGATACTTCATTCAAAAGGTCTTCCATTCTAGTCTTTTTCCGAATCAGTTTCTTGACCAGTTTTCGTCTACTGGATGGTCTATCTTCATCCTGGCGAGCTGCTCTCTTCTCAAGGTACTCCACCATGTTTGACAGACTCTGCTGGTAGCTCTGGACTAAACTAAACCTTGTGGTGCTGGAACTGTTGGTGTCAGCTCCTGCAAATGAGTGAGTGAGTTGGGTTTAATGTTGTTTCCAACACTATTTACACAAGATAAAGCTTTTGCCTCAATTGAGCATTTGTAGACTATAACGAGTAAAATAAAATCAAGAGATCAAAAGAGAGATCATGAGAGAGAGATCATGAGAGAGAGATCATGAGAGAGAGATCATGAGAGAGAGAGAGAGAGATCAAAAGTGAGAGAGAGAGAGATCAAGAAAGATCAAAAGAGAGAGAGAGATAGAGATCAAAAGAGTGATAGAGATCTAGAAAGATCAAGAGAGATCAAAAGAGACGGAGAGATCAAAAGAGAGAGAGAGAGAGTGTGTCAAGATAAACTGGGATCCAAACCCTATGAACCATGAACCATGATGCCTTAGACAACTGAACCACCAGTTTTCCTTAGCTTCTGTGAAAGTGGAAACTTATCGTGAAGGATATTGAGAATAAATTTCATAATTGAAGACCAGGAGTATATTGTTATGAAAAATTGCACTACTTACCATTGGAATTTTCTGTATTTGGTTCAATGATAGTTGTTTCATCAAAAGCATCTTGAGTCTGAAATAAATGATGTGTTTAAATAACTCCAATGCAAACGAGATCTGAGATCTTTGTTAGTCTATGACAGAAAGATGTGCACTTTAATGGCCTTGGAAATTACTTCACTCTGAAAAACATGTGGCTGAACTACTCTAAAAAAGAAGTTCAAATTGACAAATGGAGACACATTCTGACAACCATTGTTTGGACTAAATGTGCTATAAATTTGCTTGCACGACAATGACCAATACTCACCCTGTTCTCAATGAAAGGAAACACACATTGCTCAACTGGCCTATGAGATATGAAACTAAGATCCAAGGGCTCCGTCCTTGCAACAGATTCATTAGCTGACCTAGCAACTGCATGAACTGGGACTGTTTCACCATCATTTGCAGTCACTTTAGATTGTTTGACAATGGGCTGACTCTCTTGAACTTCAGAATTTCTTCTTTTAGGCAAACGATCTCCATGTACCTCGTCCTCCTTTTCAAATATATCACTCTTCCATTGTCTCTTTGTCGATATTTTTTTGTTCTTGGTGAAAGCATCATCACTGCTCAGGTCTGGCATGGTGCTGTTTTCTATTAACCCAACAGATTTGGACCTTAGCTTTGCAATAATGCCATCCAACTTGGCCTGTCTGGAGCTATTGCTGTATTTCCTTTGAGTGAGGTAGGTCATATCATTCTGACTACTTACATTCTGACTCTCTTCTTCAGTGTTCGGACCCCCTTCCTCCACCAACTCAGGGCCCTCGAACCAGGCTGTATCCTTATCCTTGCAGCTGCTCTGCCCTGGAGCAGACGTACGTTCTGCACAGTGAGTTTGGTTCTCCACATCTTCACTTCCACTCTCTAAAGGCAGGATTTCATCAGCGGTATCAAAGTCATAAATGTTGCTCCTGGTGTTGTTACTAATCAAGTCTGTTGTTCTTGACTCATTTGGCGAGATGGTATTTGTGTTTCTTCCACAGACTGCCCTTGTCTTTCTGGTTGTCTTCACAGAATACTTTAAGCACTTCTTTGACCGTTTTGGGTGAGATAACTTGATTCGTGGAAGAGATGTTGGCCGATTTCTTTTCTGAAAAAATACATTTTTATATGAATTTGGTGAGCGAGCAAGTGCAAGGATGTTATTTAACACATCATTCCAGTGACGTCATTGTGGCCTGTGAATAATAGTGTCCAAGCAATGGTCAATAGCATGAACACCAAGAGTCGGGGGGACTCCAGGTCAGTTTCAATAGAATGATACTGTTAAAACTTTGGAAAGGGTGACAGATTGAGCATTATCTAACAAACTGCGTGGATCAATGCTCAAGATGTCAATCACTGGATTGTCTGGTCCAGACTCCATTATTTACAGACCGCCGTCATATAGCTGGAATATTGCTGAGTGCGGCGTTAAACAACAAACAAACAAACATTATCTAACATATATCACAGCAACAAAAATCTGAACCATGACGGTTTGCAGCTCACCTGATCAGTACACCCCAAACTGCAAACTTCTTCCATCAAGACTGCTAACAAATTTCCACTAAAGTCGAACAATTTGGGATAGTCATAAAATTTGTCACACAGAACACTCCAAATACCATGTTTGTTTCATAACAAATTGATATTTTTGGTCCTACAAAAAAATACACCACAAAACCTTATTTTCAATATCATTTTCCTTTAACCAATAAAATTATCATGAAAGATATATCGTAGAACCTAGTGCTAAAAACAGGCCTCATCAAATGACCTTCGTACTGCTTTGTGATCCAGCCCTTGTCTCTTGTGAAACAAAGTCATCATCATGTTCTCCATCAATCCTGAAAATAGGAAATGCTTATCAGTACAATCAACTTTGTCCATGCTATAACAACATTTATCCTACAGCTGACTGAACATCATCGATGGTATATATCCAGTATAACATATATATTTCTATTCTTCATTAAATTTCTGGACCCATTTGCCATCATAGCCTTGTTTTGAGTTCAGTTCAACACCTGGTGGCATAAGGACACTTCTTCCCATTGCTCAAATATAACTTGGAACACAACAAAACAAAGATGTGGTAAAATACATACCAAATAGCATGCTGATCAGTTGTATTTGTTTAATATCAGTGATTCAAATGGCCATGTACAAACCTCCTAGACTTGGTCACTGGTTGCGTGGAAGGGATGACAGCCTTCTCATCTTTCCTCTGCACAGTAGTGGGTACTTCCTGGCTTCTCGCATCTGTCCCTCCTGATCTGAGGCCCAGCTTGGGGGTGGACATTGACGGACTTGGACTCTGAGGTAATTGCAGAAATGAAATTATGCAGCTGTGATTACAACAAAAATGTAGCCTCGGATTGTTTTTGGAAAGAAATGTTTTTGTCCTAACACCACCACCCAAAGTAATTGGTTGCTCAACATCCTGGATGCCCTAAAATAACATATGTTGCATGATATAACTTTCAGCTTCTACTTTAACAGACACATATAAACAATATGCCATGAGCAAATCACAGTCACATCTTCATATAGTTTTAACATTTTTTAACTTGTAGTATCTGGAAAGAATATTTTTAAAAATTAAAAGTTTAAAAATTAAAAGTTCTATTGAAAAAGAAAAAGAAACCTATTCCAATTTTACTTGCATGGACAAATCTGAATCCCATGAAGGAGTTCTGTGTGAATATCTATGTCGGAATTTCACTGTCACTACACATATGTGTCTGTGCGGAAAATAGACGAGGAGCAAAGAAAACGGGCATGAATCTGTGGAGCATCATCCCTCTTTAAATGATATAGGATGAAAGGACAGATTTAAAAATCTGAAAAAGTCCTACATTGACAATGTCAAGGTGAGCTAGACATATTTACCTGCTCTTTTTGACACAGTTTCAACATGCACTTCTGTTTGAATGTTCCTGGACCACCAAACTTCTTCATGTTCTGAAAGTACATGATGATTATCAATACGTAAACAATGAAAACTAGCAGCAACCAAACTATGAACGAGCCACACAAATTACAAACAAGAACAATACCTATAGAGTGTGCATCGTAACGATTAAAACCCTGCTCTCGGCTGTTTTCACTGGGAGGCCTGTAACTCAGCATCTTAGCCGATAAAAATAGAAGCAAATTAACAGATTCTCACCGACAATGCTTGTCATAATCAGGCGAACCAGGATTCGAACCCACAATCAAAGGTTTCTGGCGTGCCTTAGGGATGCAACTCTGCACAGTGAATTGTTGCACCTTGAGACGACTGGGCCACATAGAAGCATGCATGAATTAAAAGTCCTTCAAGGATGGTATTTCAGAGAATAAGGCGAGGTGAAATGGGGTTTAATGTCAAGTTCAAGATTACTGCACTTACATAGCGACATGCATGCACATGTGTGTGTGGCTGCTTGTACAAACTAATGCTGGTTTTACAGGGCAAGCCCACTGAGATACCATGATTCAGTTTAACATGGATTCCCACCTCAGACTCACTATACCATCTTCCCGAGGCAAGAGAGTTAACTGACTATAAAAGTCCAGTTTCCACCCTTGCCGAACTAGGCTGGTATTATGGAGTTACGTTTTGTCTGGACTAACGAGTCTATGCATAGTCCAATCAAAATTGCGCACAGGTTCGTAAACTGTCAAGCAGATCTCGATCAATTGCAGGATTTGCAAAACATGTGCATCGCCAATTCGTTGTCAGCAGATATTTTCCAAATCCTTTCATGTTTTTAATCAAGGCGCTCACATGATTTGATGCATTTCGCGTGGCCAGACCCGTTTTATCACAATATAGATCTTGATTATCGATCAGATCGTCCTGACTGGGCGCCACCATTTTGTGTGAAGCAAACGCATTATGGAATCTGATTGGTCCATAGGAGAGAGGCTTAGAAGGGACATAATTGGTAGTAGCCACTGGTGGCGCAAAGATAGAGCCAAGTAATTCCAGCCTAGTTCGGCAAGGGTGGAAACTTGACTTTTGGGAAGATGCACTATACTGACTCCAAGTTGTTTTTTACCCTTCAAGCTGAGGACAAGGCAGAGTAAGAAGTTCCATATTTAGCTTCTTTGATTTTCAAGATAACGAGTAACAGAGTTATGTTTGTCAGTTATATGATGGGGTGTCAGTTATATATGTGAGGGTGTATTTCGGTTATACACCACTGGGCACAAATGTATACCCTCGATACTACACCCTTTTGTGTGTGGGGTGAGTTATATACCTTTAAAGCCGTTCTTTATTAGAATTAAGAGCGACGTTTCGGTGTAGGTTCTAACACCGTTATCAAGCAAGTGATATACAGATTGTGGTTGGCAAGTATATATACAAGTAGGAGGCAATGTTTATACAGTATTGTTATACTGGAGAAGAGAAGCTTGTTATGTACACACAAGGGTAGTGATGACAATCATCAGTGAGTGAGTGTGTGAGTGAGTTGGGTTTAACGCAAACTTTAACAGTATTCCAGTTATATCACGGCGTGTCAGCTTAATGTGGGAGGAAAGCCCAAAGTGATGCAGGTCTCAGACATTTACCACTTCAGTGAAACCCACGAGCACGGGTATGGTGTTGACAAACCTAGAAACATAATTGGGGCGAACCGTGATTCGAACCCACAATCATAGGTTTCTGGCGTGCCCAAGGGACGCAACTCTGCACAGCCAATCGCTGCACCTTAGACGACTGGGCAACCCGTGCCCCCTAATCATCGGTGAAGTCACACCACAAGCATTTAGGACTTCTAGCATGAGGAACATTCATGTCAGTATTTGGATCATTCTCACCTTACAAGTTCGACACTCACTGCAGTCATCGATCCTCACACAACCAGTGCAGCTGCCGCATTGGGTTTTTAGTTTCCTTCTTTTCTTCTGGAGGACAATGAGGTCAGAAAATAAATAATGCCATGGAACTGAAGCTCAACTTGACATGTACTCAACGCAAGAGGCGACTAACGGGATCGGGTGGTCAGGCTCGCTGACTTGGTGAGGCATGTCATTGAATCCCAATTGCATGGATCGATGCTCATGATATCAATCACTGGATTGTCTGGTCCAGACTTGATTATTTACAGACCGCCATCATATAGCTTGATTATTGCTGTATTTGGCGTTAAACAGCAAAGAAAGCCTAAAATATCAACAAAGACAGAAACTTAAGAAAAGTCAGCATTAGTATTTGAATATTTCCTGAATGAATACAGAGATCTGAAAATGCACTAAAAGGATCTGAACAAAATATGATGTCATCGGTCAGACAAACACAGATGCTAAAGTTCAGCTCCCTCAGTCTGACAACTCTTACACTGAGTTTCAAGAGGATTTAAGAGCAATGTCAAAATAATGTTGAAACATGTAAAATATTGCAAATATAGAACATGCTGAGCCCCACTACTGAATAAACATACACCAAATCCCATTTAGGGTTTTCAATATGGCTATTAGGGTAACTACACTGAAAATCTGCTTCAACTACTTAAAGAAACTGAGGCTTCATCAATTGTAGGAACAAGTATATGAAGTTTCAGTTCCATTTTTGGATTTTTGAAATTTTGTATATTATGATCTAAGATACTGGGTAGCTACCTGGCGACCATGTTGAGATTGCAATTGTGATGTCTTGAACGAACTTGAATCCTGTAACAAACAACCACACAACATTTCAACTGAATCCATCAAGCCGTTTCAAAGAAGTTAAACATGTAGAATGTAATTTTGTTGTCCTTACATGTACATATATATGCTCTCTGCCTCATGCCATTCATTCACCTGATGAAGAAGAAAGCATATACTCCAAAACCTGTTCCTTGTAACAAATGCTCTTCCTTATGTACAGTGTTTGTTGATGACGTGACGACATAAGCTTATATGGCCTTTCAGTCCAGGTGACTCAAAAATAAACAAAGATTCATACCAAGAGCAAGGTGAAACCCTGCAAGCGAAAGGAGCTTTGAACACTAACATGATTTAAATGGAGGCCAAATGGTTCATCAATGCACCATAACAAGTATCTTGAAGAAAAAAGTTCTAAAGACAATATCAGTAACAAGAAGCGTTAAAAAACTACTCACATTCCAGAAACTGCCAAGAGCTGACATCGTAGTGACTTGCAGAGTGAGTGTGTGAGTGAGTTTGGTTTTACGCTGCTTTTAGCAATATTCCAGCAATATATAGGTGGGGGACACCAGAAATGGGCTTCACACATTGTACCCATGTCGGGAATCAAACCTGGGTCTTCGGCTTTAACCACTAGGCTACCCGACCGCCCCTGTGACTTGCAGAAGATCACTTCTTCTGTATAGTGTTTGGTAGACTACTTGTGTTTGCCATGGCATCACCAGACATTGCCATCAATGCAAACGTTGACTTTTCACTCAATGACCTAACACATATTTGTCTACATCACTATGAGCCTGTGGTAAGTCAAAAAAGTCTTGACAAAACTGCCAAATATTTTGCCTTAGCATGTAATATGATCAATTTGCATGGTCCTTTGTACTATTGTATGATGGTAATCAGTCGTGGATATTTTTTAACAATAAATGCAAAATTTATTTTCATAACCAAGTTCTTTTAGTTCGTATGGATCCCTCACTGCCTCAAAATGCAAGGAACACAAAACGTCATGTCAAGTTGGTTTCCATCTTTCTCCTCGCTGACATGGCTGTTGAAAACTTTCCTCCATGCTATATAATTCTTTTCGCTTGGAAATTTGAAGAATATCACACTTGGTACTTTTTGATGAACTAGTACAATCCCACTCAACACAATACCCCATTTCACATCTTAAATATGCCAATAATAACACTTCATTGTCATGTAGATTAATGCACTGTAAACAAAAGAAAATGACGGATGTCTCTCTCTTATGACGTCACAGATACAGCTCGGCCTCTAGCCGGGATTTCAGTATGCATACGTGCTGGATGAGCACTTATTTGTTGCTTTTTAGATAACAATAAAATCACATGTGACTTTTTCGTGTGTGTAAATATGTACTTTGTATGACAATGTAACGTTTCAAAAACTCCTCATAAAAACTCCACTGCCTACAAATTGGTAATGATTTATATCAACTGATCAGCTGTATTGTATCAAGCAACTATTTACACTGTTCGTGTTTTTACATTGTCATTAAAATAACAAACATTGGCATCAAAAAATGATTTTGGAGAAATAATAATCTTTTTCAAAAGAGACAGGTATTGACACATTGTAGGTCGTCATGAAAAGGTATATGTTAGCACCCTCTTCACGGGTCGTATGGACTTTCAATGCTCAAGACATTAGCCAAAAGCCAAAGTCCATATCACCTGCAGAGGAGGGTGCAAACCAACTTATACCATGTTGGGCACAAATGTTATGTGCTTTACACAACAATGCAAAACAATGAACCAAGGCTTGCTCCCCTCTTGTCTGATTCAAATTGTCCAGCCTCAGCACTTTGCACATGCTGGGTCATTACGAACAATAACAACCTGCCGAAACATCCTAGTACGGTAGTATAATCATGAATAAAACTATATCTACCTGTTTGTGTTTTACTGAAGGATGCTCCACATAGCGGATTTAGTGAAGGATCAATGCACATACCTTTCTCCATGGTAGGTTCGGAACATCGTAATCAAATCGAAACTCTTCTCCCATTTTGATATTTCGATTGGCAAACAAGCAGATATGGGTCTTATTTTCACACTGCACAATTCTTAGGAAACAGTTTTTTTCATGCTCCTTCCAGCCATCATTAACGAACCGTCCCATTGTCTTTGAATGTGTGGCATCCACACTGAAACCAGAAACACTAGGTTTACCACAGAAAAGATTCTATGTGGGAGACAATTCTATGTTCGAAAAAGAATAGGATTGGTGGTCAGGAAAGCATGATTTCTCCAAATATTAATGAGATTCTGAATAATATAAGCAATAATGTATTGTCTATATTTCCAGGAAATATTTAAACAGAGCCCACATTGATGACGCTTTTATAACACAGAAGCGGATGACACCACAAAACAGAGGTTATAGTAAAACCAACAATAGGACGACAAAAGTATCTCTGAATATCAACATTATCTATCAAACATGTCAAAGTATAAATGCATTGGATAACTGACTTACTCTACACACTGGCAAATGAATAACAGTATTCCCTCACAAGAGGTGCTACTTTCTCATTGACTGGTCTACAGAACCAAATTATATACAATATTTGGGTCTGTGTAAGCTTCAAATGCCGCATATATTCTTTTGCTTGCCAGGAGCATTAGCATTAATGATCATGCTTACCAAAGTCGTTTTCCTTTCTTGTCTTGGAAGTATACAATGAATGACCCTTCTTTTTCTTTATCGTACTTTTCATCTCGGAGCTTAGCCTCACTCTGGGAAATCAGCTCCCCGTGATATTCTAGCACAAAGTCGCCCTCTGATAGATCCTGGGTTGCAAATACCCCATAACCTGTTAATATATTGCCTGGCAGAGGTAATTATAAGGGCTAAATGTTTTAAAGAACACATGTAATATTGTTTCTGTCTGGAAATTAAGCCCTACAATACACATGAATCGACACCTTATAAGCAAAGTCTGTTTATATAGTGATGAAGGGTCTCCTTCCACAAAGTTATCATGATGTTACAACTGTAGTAACCTCATTTAATCTAAATGATAATCATAGTGTTTGTCTGTTTGTTTATTTATTTAACGTCGCATTCAGCAATATTCCAGCTATGTGACGGCAGTCTGTAAATAATCGAATCTGGACCTGACAATCAAGTGATCCGCGCAATTGGGATACTACAACATGCTAATCAAGTGATAACAAGTCAGAGAGCCTGACCAACCGAGTCGCCTCTTATGACAAGCATAGTCGCCCGTTACAGCAAGCATAGGTTCCTGAAGACATATTTTACCCCGGTTCTTCGTGGGTCGATATTCATAGTGTGAAGATCTTTTCCTGGAAAGGGACCCTGTTTCCCTTCACATTTCTGATGTCTCTGCCATGATATTGCTGGAATATTGCTGAAGGTGGCGTAAAAACATACTCACTCACTCACTGACAGATGGATGACTACAAGTGTGAGGGTCTCACCTATGTTGGAGTTGATGTATCGGACCTCGCAGAAGGGAGGGTCCAACTCGGCCATGATGTAGCCTTTAGCTATGGATTCCACCTCCTCCACCTGAACACAATCAAGTGACCTCAGACATGGACATGTCTATGGACATAGAAACTAGTGCTAGGACGATACACCGATGCATCAGTGGATCCCAATGTTTTTACTTCTTGATACAAGTATTGATCAAGTATTGATCCCAGTCACACACTTACTAAGAAGTATTGATTCTTACCTTAAATGTTTGCTTTAATAACTGTTACACTAAACGCTAATTAGGAATGAAAGATGATAGTAAAAACGTAAATATTTTCATCCGTTGTGCCATACTTCACACTGCTGACTGAAAATCAGGTATTTGGCCATCCTGTCTATGAAAAAGAGGGACCACAAATGGGAGCACATGCAAGTATCATGATACATATCAGATCATACTGAGTGAGTTTGGGTTGAACGCCGCTTTTAACAGTATTCCAGTCATATTGCAGCGTGTCAGCTTAATGTGGGAGGAAAACCCGAAGTGATGCAGGTTTCAGACGTTTACCACTTCAGTGAAACCCATGAGCACGGGCATGGTGCTGACAAACCTAGAAACATAATTGGGGCGAACCAGGATTCGAACCCATAATCATAGGTTTCTGGCGTGCCCAAGGGACGCAACTCTGCACAGCGAATAGCGGCGCCTTAGAAGACTGGGCCACCAGTCCCCCCTATCAGATCATAAGTAAGGTAACGTGATATGTATTGGTGTATCATCCCAGCCCCTATATATATTATCAACTAGCTACTTTGATAATTATCAGAATTTTGTTGCCCATCAGTTCCAAAATAGCACTTTCCAGTTCTACAGGAGCAATTCAATGCCAAAAAGAAAACTCAATTAAGGGTTCTATCATCATGACTCGCAAACATTATTGATTTTCAAAGGACTTATTTTGGTACAACCAAAACATTTAACAGGAACTAATTTGTTAATGTGAAGCTTACATGATTTATGTCTTTTCCCTTGGATGAGAGTTTGATCATATGACTGTGAAACGGATTTTAATTAGCGTATGAATGACACATTTTAATGTTCATGTTTTTCACGAGACTGTATTCTTGAAATGAATGACAGACAGACGACATTCCTGGCAAAAGGCCTTGATATTCCTTAGCACGCATAAATACAAAAGTGTTGTTTCAGATCATTTTTAAAAGACCACCTAATCTCGAACTCTGCGTTTTAGCACACATTGGGAAAAATCAGAGAGCTTGACGGGCCATTCACAAATATCCTCACTACAACCCATTCCAGTGAACAAAATAAAAAAACGCACATCCAAGATCCAATGATGATACTGTTTGTTCTTCACATTATCAGAAGGTTCAAACTCCAGTTAACACAAAGTAAAAGTAAAATCTTAAATCAAGAGCAAGAAAAAAATAATATGAGCTATGTTCAGTAGGTCACACAAGAAAAATTGACATCATTCTGTTCGAAACAAAAGAAGCTTTGATGGGAAAACCATTGTTGCGACTGGCAAATAGTCGCATCTTGAGCAGACAAGCCAGTGATTGATATTGTGAGCAACGTACCAACATGATTAGGGTACAATGACACAGAATTGACCAAGTTGAAAAGCCTTACTACCTGATCCATTAACTAAGTTGTGCCTCTTATGACAAGGGTAGGGGACTGGTGGCCTATTCTAACCCTATTCACAGCTGGGAAGGTTTTCCTCCTACTTTGATTGGTTGTAACATTCACTGACATATAATTAGTGTACTTACCCGCCATAACTGTTCTTTTAATGTTTTTTGCCTTTTGGTCATATTGCTTCATGAAGACAGCTGGAAGTGAAGGAGGAGCAATGTTATCACATGGAACACAGGAGGATACGAGATTTATCTCCATCTGCTCTGAAACTGAGTTTTCAACCCAAATCTGCTGTCAATGTCAGTAGAAATTCCAAAATTGTAATTAAATATGTCACATTATTGTATTTTTAACAGATCATGGATTTGGTTTAATATCTTTGATGCTGGTTGTAATAACAGAATAACCTTGTGATATACAAGGAGTTACTTTTTTATGGTAAAACTTCCTGAGATCAGGATTATTGCATAATGTTTAACAAAATGTAAAACAAAATGGCAGCGCCCAGTCAAGACAATCTAATCGATAATCAAGATCGATATTGTGATAAAACGGGACTTACATCATGAAGTGCATCAAATCACATGAGCACCTTGATTAAAAACCTAAAAAGATTTGGAAAATATCTGTTGACATTGAGTTGGTTGTGCACATACTTTGCAAATCCTGCAATCTACCGAAACGGATTTCAATTTCGGTGCGCGATTTTGATTTGACTATGCATAGACTTGTTAGTCCAGCCAAAATATAACTCCATAATAACAGCCTTGTTTGGCAAGGGTGGAAACTTGTCTTTTATAGATAGTTAACTCTCTTGCCTCAGGAGGAATGGGATCAAAGGGCTAAGAATAGAGTTGGGGGTCAATTACCATAACACTAGCACAACTAATGCTAAGGATTGTAACTATGTATTATGTATATGTAATATTTAATATATATCTAGTTTTAATGATACCATTGGGTTGCCAACAGATTCCATAAATGCACCAACGTTTCTTCCTCACTGCCTAGTGAGTGAGTGAGTGAGTGAGTGAGTGAGTATGGATTTATGCCATTTTTAGCCAAATTCCAGCAATATCACAACGAGGACACCAGAAATGGGTTCCACAAATTGTACCCATGTGGGAAATAGAACTTGGGTCTTCAGCGTGAAGAGTAAACACTTTAATCACACGGCTATGGAACCAAGCCCCTCACTTCCTTGAAAAGACTATAAGACTAAGTGTTATACACCTACAGCCTGTGCCACTTTAGACTTTCCTTAATTCAGTCAATCTGACGTTAGTATTGTTCAAAGGTTTTAAATCAAATCACTGCCATAATTCGCCTAACTTCACATAATCACATTTGTGAAGGTAACTCTCTCGCCCGTACCCCCACCTCCCACCCCGAAATATATATAATCAATCGACAGTTTTGGAGGGGGGAATACGGACGGAAGCCTTCCCGACCAGACAATGTCAAAGATGTATGCGGTCAGACGAACAAGTCACGTGACGTTACGGTGTTTCTAAGAGAATTCCTACCTCATATCATAAATAAACACATTGTATGAAAATAGCAGATGTTAAACACCTAGGAAATGTGTTATAACTAGTTTATACCATAGAAAACTGTGCTGATAACAGCAGACGGCTTTCAAAAGAAAATTGGACAACGTCCATTGGATGAAATACAAATATGTGAAACATTGTATCCTGGTTTTGAGTGCGTAGCTGGGAATTACACAATCATCTCTTCCTACAAAACCATGTACAATAAATACTTCGGGCTCGTATGCGTCATATCCAATTGATGTATTCCATTGACATCAGAATGACAGGTAAAAGTTTGAATTTTGCCTCGCACTTACCGCAAGGATTGCTCAATCAGTTCGAACCATAACGCGTCTGGCACGTGCGCTGGAGTCACGTGATGTTCAAAAATGTAAACAACCGACGTGCGCAGACAACTTTTCTGCCGTCTTCTCTGAAGCGATGTGGATATGTGAACGAGTGAATGAGTATGGTTTTACGCAGCTTTTATCCATGTGAGATTGGTCTCAGGTCTGCATTACCAGTCCCTTAATGGATCCGGTGGTCAGGCTCACCCGGACAGCGTGGATGGTTGCTCATAACGTCGTGATCATGCAACTACTGGTTTGTCTGGTCCAGACTCTATCATTTATAGACTACCGCCATTGAGATGGAAATTTGCTGAAAGCAGGATTAAACAACAAACAAACAAACCAAAAACAAACAATGGTATTTCATTCTGTATATTTATTTGTCATAATGTTTTAGAAACTTGCAACATTATGATGGTATTTTTCACCGATGATTCACAGACATTTGAAACAGAATTAGGCATTCTCCCTTCAAAGTTTAGTTTCATCGTGATATCAAAAGGTCACATCGAGTGAGTGAGTATGGTTTTACAACGCTTTTAGCATATCTCGGCTGGTGACACCAGATATGGGCTTTACACATTGTACCCATGTGGGTAATCGAACCCGGGCCGTCGATTTGATTGTTTGTGGTTAAACGCCGCGCTCAGCAATATTCCAGCTATATGACGGCGGTCTGTAAATAATCGAGTCTGGACCAGACAATCCAGTGATTGACATCATGAGCATCCATCTACGCTATTAAGATGGATGAGCATGCATCAACCAAGTCAGCGAGCCTGACCACCCGATCCCGTAAGTCGCCTCTTACGACAAGCATAGTCGCTTTTTACGGCAAGCATGGGTTGTTAAAGACCTATTCTACCCCGGGTCTTCACGGGTCGTCTTCGATCACAAGACCACCCCATCTCCCCAAAGGTCATAGGAAAGGGTGTATAGATAAATGACATTGTAGTGATCTGTATGGTCCCTTTAGTTTCGGTCCAGATGTATACACATGGAATTGAACATAAAAAATATAGACAAATCAGGCGGACACACCTGGACAAGTTAGCCAAATATGCTTAACAATATATTCGTTGCATAACTATTCTCTAAGCTTTTTTGAAAATCGAGCATGGTAGAATTTAACCACAACCTGTATATCGCGACAAGAGGTGATCTTGTCGGAAATGGTTACCTTTCGAGCTGCATGGACAAATATAGTACTTAAAAAAAGAGTTAAAGAACACTTTTTAAAGCAATTCTTTGATATAACTACAGTAAATATGAACGGATCGGATGTTCTTTAACTTCTTTTGAGATATTAACTGTTTTGATATATTTGCCGATCGTGGGACAAACGAAATTGATATTTGTTGACACACAGGAAGATACGTGCATGAATAACGAAAACGATATTTCCGGTCACTTAATCATTTATTTACCATTTCTATTTCACTCTGATGTTGACGTATTCTAGCGGACCGAAATGACTGAAGCGGACATAAAATATTCACAAAACTACTGCTCATGTTCGCATTCAAGCCGAATCGCTTTATTTGAAAGCGTCGTTTTATAAGCATTTGTATCAGTCAAAAACGATGTTGGATTTTGAAGTTGAACTTCACTATTATTTTAATGCACCTTTCGGTACAGGTCTTAGTGCCTTCATTACTTTTTTCATTTGATTTTTTTAAAAGCAGTTCCGCCTACCAGAAATAAGAAAAATGTTAAAAAAACAACCAAAAACCAAAACTCTACAATAAATAATGTACTGTCAATTTCAATATCAATAAATTAATTTCAAGTGATATGATAAGTAATTAAAACATGTTGAAAATTGATCTTAAAAACGTAAAAACACAGAGAATTATGACCAACATCTGTTACTTACTTGGTATTTGAAGAAATCAAAACAATATTTGAAATTGGATTTTATTTATTTATAATTTTTTAACCTACCGACCTCGATTTTCGGGCCTAATATCCGTAAAACCCAAATAAACTGAAATAAAATCTCGGGCCTTATTAGGTAAAGGTACTAGCCTCTTTACGGAAACGTTGCACTGAAAGACTATAGAAGTTAATATCCACCAGTCAACTCTGTCTTGTAGTACAGGTGCTAGTACCATCCATTCGGCTTGTCCCGGAATGGCACGAGTTGGTCACGAATGTGTACCGTTATGACCTGCCTTCTAGGCGTACTTGCAACTAAAATGTGTCTACAAGCCTTCAGTGATGCCTCACATGTTGACGTGTGCGTGTTTCGCAATATACAAATCGGATAAATCAGTATAAGACTCAAACAAACTTCAGATAAATACCATGTTTGGATAAATTCATACGTAAATCAAATGTTATGTTTTGATAAAAGAAATTTCCAATTTCCAGAAGTACCCAAAACATAAATTAGGGACCAAAATGAAAGATGAAGACAACTTGAACCAAGACACTTTAATGTTAAAACGCCTCAATGTGACTCTCCATGTTGATAACATATACTGCCGGGCAAAAGAATGTATACACTTGAAAATTGGATTTGAAATTCCGACCCATATGTTCCTTGAGACGTCATATGCACGTATGTAGGATATTCATTGATATGATGCATGTAATACCGCCTATGACATCCTTATCAAATACATCATCATTAAAAAACCGTTTCTTGTTTGTTTCATTTTTAGCCACTATACATGGTATATTCTTTCTTTTTCTCGTCAGTAGCGTTCGGACGTCACGCCTAAGACCCGGGTTTTAATTGCCGACATGGGTACAATGTGTGAAGCCCATTTCTGGTGTCTCCCGGCGTGGTATTGCTGGAATATTGCTAAACGCGGTGTAAATCCATACTCACTCACCCATCTGACCGTCAGTTTACTTCGACACATCCCGATGCATACCTTACCAACTGTCATTCCGAGACAAGCCGAATGCATGTTACGATAAGATGGGAGTATCGACAGACAATTCCAATGTGTTGAAATACCGAAACCGCTTTAAGGGAAACAGTGTCGTGTTTGGCATGATATTTAGTATGCACTCCGACGACATGAAACATGAAAGCGTTTAACTCAATATCTAACCGTTCCCCATTACAGTCACAGACTGAGACACGAATTGACCATTGATGTTAAAAATGAAAATTATTTTTACTTCAGAAAGTATATGGATTTTTAACATCTGCCCTGGAAGGACAAATGTGACAGCTGTGTCTTAGGTGATTGGCTAAAGGGATCCTTTTGCACGTGCTGCTTGTTGCCGAACAGTGCCCGGATGGCGAGCGCCGTGCAGATGGCCAGCAGGAAGAAGATGAGTATGGACATGCCAATGATGACGCCAATAATCTCCGTGGATACGTTGCATGTGTCCGATACCGTTGTCCATGTCCTTTCTGGAATCAAATTTACATAAAAGTAGTAAGCATGATTACATATCGTAAGGGAACGCGCCTGATAACAGTTGACACATACCATGACTACCGAGCTAACTAATACTTCTACTAAGATATTATAACATGGTAAGTATTCACAGTACCATGCAACGCCCCTGTGATGCTACATACCATGGGCCGTTATTAGCAACACCTGCTTGTCGTAAATAGTGACTATATGGATCGTGTGGTCATTGAACTATATGTGGTATTGCCCATTACACCAACCACTCGATTATTTACAGGTGAAGCTTTTCAATTCCAGTCAGGAAGAAGCCTTCTGAAGACAACCTAAAAAAACATTCATGGCTGCTTTGAGGTCATCGTTGTCGTTAAAGCGCTTTCCAGGAAAGTGTCCTTTCAGTTTAGGAAACAAATGGAAATAACTTGGTGCCAGGTCTGGCGAATATGGAGGGTGAGGAAGCTCTTCGAACCCACGTTGTCGCACAGCAGCCTTTGCAAATCGAGGGGTGTGAGAAGAGGCATTGTCATGAAGTATTACAACTCCAGCAGTCAGTATTTCCCACCGCCTTTCTTTGTTAGAATTTACGATGAAGTAAATCAGCATAGTAGGCACCGGTAATCGTCTTTTGACTTTCAAAGTAATCAACAAGGATCACACCCTTTGCATCCTAGAATACAGTGACAATAACTTTCTTTACTGATCTTGAATTTCTTTGGTTCCGTTGAAGTAGAATGATTCCAATCCATGGATTGACGTTTTCACTCGGGATCATAGTGGTAGACCCATGTTTCATCATCCGTTACTAATCTACTTTTTGAATTTGACAAAATACTTTTTTATTTCAATTAGCTCTAAATATTCTCTTTCCTTGAGATCAGAATTTAGAAACTTTGGCACCCAAACGAGCAGATATTTTATTCATCTGTAAATGTTGATCAATAATAGTTTCAGTGGTTCCATGGCTTAGATCTGTGTCTTCCTCAAGTTAAGCAATGGTAATACGTCTATCTGACAGTAAAAGTTTATTCACTGATGGAAGTTGAGGAACGTCACCAAGGCTTGTTCTCCCAGCCTTAAACATAGCTGCCCAACGTTTAATAGTGGAATATTTTAGGCACTTACTCCCATAAACTTGTGCGGTCATGAATTTCTTGGGGAGTATTTTTCTCTAAAGTAAAAAACTTGATCACTCCTCAGTACTCGTTCTTTTCCATTTCTGTGCCCATTTGGACCCCTATCACGTTCAACTGGCTGTCACTAATCTACAAACGACCTCAACAGACCAAATACACTTGCACCGAACTACCCCAACAGTGTACTTCATTGACTAGTACACTTTGTTATGGGCCATAGTTGAAAGCTAGTCAGGCTTAGAATTTTTTGCCGAGCCCTCGTATTCGCCGTACTGACCCGTATCATGCTATCATGACTGGAGGGGGCACGGGTGGCCTAGTCGTCTAAGGCGCCGCGATTCGCTGTGCAGAGTTGCGTCCCTTGGGCACGCCAGAAACCTATGATTGTGGGTTCGAATCCCGGTTCGCCCCAATGATATTTCTAGGTTTGTCAGCACCATACCCGTGCTCGTGGGTTTCACCAAAGTGGTAAACGTCTGAGGCCAGCATCACTTCTGGCTTTCCTCCCACATTAAGCTGACACGCCGTGATATGACTGGAATACTGTTAAAAGCGGCGTTAAACCCAACTCACTCACTATCATGACTGGACCATGACAAAGACTGCTTACACCATTTATACGCACAACACTAAGAGCATTCATCACTGATACATCACCACTACAGAATGCACTGGCACGTATCGTGCATGACTGCACAGCATATTCCGAGTGAGTGAGTGAGTTTGGTTTAACGCCGCTTTGAACACTATCACGGCGTGTCAGCTTGTTATGGGAAGATAACCGGAAGTGATGAAGCCAATCGACGTTTAACACATTGGTAAAACCCAAAAGCACCTGTATGTGCTGACGAACTAATTGCAAAAAAACTAATAAGGACGAACCGGGATTCATAACCCATGATCATAGGTTTCTGACACACCTAAGGGGCGTAACTCTACACATTAAATTGCGAATAGACAATTTGGCCACCTCATTCGTTTCACGAATACAGAGTGAGTGTAGTTTTATGCCGCTTTTAGCAATATTTCAGCAATATCAAGACGGGACACCAAAAACGGGTTTCACACATTGTACCCATGTGGGGAATCGAACCTGGGCCTTCGACGGGACGAGCGAACGATTTAACCACAAGGCTACCCAACCGCCCATGAATACAGATGGTGCATTGAAGCATACATACATTAGGTGAGGTGAGGTGAAATGTGGTTTAACGTCGCGTCCAAGATTATTGCACTTATATAGCGACGTGCATGTACGTGTGTGTGTTTGTGTGGCTGCTTGTACTAGTCCAGACTGATGCCGATATATAGTGCTAGCTCACTGAGATACCATGCTGCAGTTTAACATGAATACCCCACTCAGACACAGTATACTGACTCCGAGCCGACCAGTCCTTGTTTTAGCCCCTTAATGCCGAGCGCCAGACAGGGTAAGAACAAGTACCATTTTTTAAGGTCTTTTGGTATGACGCGGCCGGGGATCGAACCCGGACCTTCCGCTCGCCGGGCGGACGCTCTACCACTAGACCACGGAGGCGGTCCATACATACATTACTTTCACCGTGGCTACATACGGCAATCATACGCATCACGTGACACACATAGCACGATGCACGTATAACTACGGGATAGGTATACGCACCACCGTTTGCGGGCAGAGGGTCTCTGATGGTCAGCACTCGGCCGAGAACCTTCTCCTGATCAACGTTCCTCCTCCTCCGCCGACCAAGTCCAGTCCCTGCGCCAGTCAGGTCACAACCCAGCTGCTTGGGAAAATACGAATTCTAGAGAAACCACAACCGAAGCTACATCCCATCATGTCAGTTTAGTAGAAGCTTGAGTTTTGATTGGTTCGCCAGTGGTTTTCGAAAACCTGTTGGTATTGTTTAAATACTCCGCGTTCTCGTGTTTATTGCACTTACATAGCAACGAGCTAGCACACGTGTGTGTGTGTGCGTGTGTGTAGGGGGGTCGGGGCCGCTGATTGTACTAGTCCGCTTTAATGCCGTTTTTGCACATTACCATGCCGTAGTTTATCATAAATACCCCACTCCGACACAGTGTACTGACACCGAACCTTTGTTTTATCCCCTTAAAGCCGAGTGCCAGGCAGGGTAACAAGTACTAACTTTTAACGTCTTTGGGTATGACGCGGACGGGGATCGAACCCCTGACCTTCCGCTCTTCAGGCAGAAACTCTATCCACTAAACTTCGGATGAGGTCTTAGTTTGGTGTACTGTGGCTTTTTACTTTGAATGCATGGACTTTAATGAGGGACTCCACGACCGTAAGTCCTTTTGAAGTCTAGACGTTGCAATAGCAACATCGTCTCTGTATAATTAGACCCCTTCTTTTAGCCATACATTCTAAGTGTAAATTTCATGAGCCAGGATATGCTTGGGGTTTTAAAACAAGAGGGGAGAGGCGTGGGCAAGTAAGGCCGAGGTTCTCTTGTCGGGGGCCTCCCGTTCCAAGCATATCAGAGGAGTGTTTTGTCTTGTTGAGAAACCTACATTATACCTAACAAATGTTATATTTGGGATAACACTTTCTTAGAAAAGTACAGATTACCGTTTTTTATGGCTTGAAATCATATCGACCAAATATGTCAAAATAAATCTAATGACCAAAGAAAGTGATTTATAGACAAAGAAAATATCGAGCAACATATTTATTTACTTTGTCTGCCCTCTCCATCAACCGAGCAATACGTTTGTTTGTTGTTTAACGCCGCACTCAGCAATATTCCAGCAACATGCCTGTGAATAATCGAGTCGGACAAGACAATCCAGTGATTGATATCATGAGCATCGATCTATTCAACTAGGATACGATGACATGCATCTAGCCTGGTCTTGCGAGTTGCATTTATATTTACCGGAACACAGTTGGCTGCTGCCTCGCACATCTTTATTCGGCATCGAATGAGCAGATTGTCTCCCTTGCTGAACTTGAAGGCGTCAAACATGAAGGTGACGCTGCCGGTGGTGGAGTTGGTCGTCATCGGTTGCAGCGTCACCGACGCGAGGGCGGGGACATGACAACTAGGACATAAAAAATGAGGTCACGGATCCACTACATATTAATCAGTACACTTGTTCATTTAATTAAAACAAAATCGTTCCATAAAAAAATCATCAAATTATTTGGTATCAGGTTTTAAAAAAACCCCACATGCCTCGCTGGATATGGTGTATGTGCTAAAAAATATTACGTTAAAATAACAAATGGCTGGGCTTCTCCTTTCAGAGAAAGTCTTTTCAATGGCTTTAAACGGTACCCGAAAAAACAATTTGTTTCTAACGATCATCCACACAACATATCACGATATTGACGATCGGGTAGCCTAGTGGTTAAAGCGTTTGCTCGTCACGCCGAAGACCCGGGTTCGATTCCCGACATGGGTAAGATGTGTGAAGCCCATTTCTGGTGTCCCCCCGCCGTGATATTGCTGGAATATTGCTAAAAGCGGCGTAAAACCGTACTCTCACTCACTCTCACGATATTGAAATAAAGAATTAAAAAGTATACACTTGAAAATTGGATTGGACCGAAACATTACAAACGATATCAAATCGTTACTAAGCTGAAAACAATCACCGAAACATGGCAAACGTGAGTGAGTGCAATGAGTTCGGATTTACGCCGCTTTTAACAATATTCCAGGAATATCACGGCGGGGGACACGGCAAACTCGAGGTCAAAAACACATTTATGATACCCGTAGTAAAAACCATCGAATAATCATTTCTTGTTGCATGTTGTAGCTACCATGCTACTTGAAAATGGTCTGTTTAACACGTACGATAGTGTAAAACTAAAGTGCTGCATTAACCGCGGGCCCCTGTACCTGTTTTCAATGAAGTTGGCGGACCTGTAGTCGACGTTGTTGTCGAGCAGGTTGTTCGTCGCTGAACATTCCTCTAAACGGAAAGCTTGATATTCTGTCAACAGTTTGAAAACAAAGCTATGATGAATTATTGGCAATAGTGTCCATGCTCCCCTGTTCAGGTTATTGGGGAATCATCATTTCGAAATCCTGGTTATCTGCCGTAATATGTATGCTGTCATAAACAGACATAGTCATAAACAGGATAGGACAGTGGGTTTTTATCGTACTAACAAAAACAATTTTGTTCGATTTTGTTAAACCATTTGTCTTGGAGGATAGGATATTAAGTAACCTCCTTTGTGTGCAGCTGCTTAAAACTTAATTATTCTATCAAGCAAAATATTTACTCAATTTTCTGTCAATAAATCTCACGCCGAATACTCCATCGCCAATACGTTCCCTAATCACGCGTGAATACATACGGCAGCTTTGTGGCGAAGTTGCTATTTTTAACCAACGAATCAAGCTATGACCTGGTTCCAGTGAGAGGGAAACCACAAAGTGTATCGACCAATGAGAGCTCAATTTATATCGGTAATATTTCTTGTGAAACACGTGCCACATCCTGCTGTCATCTCCTGTAGGGTTCGCACAAGTCAATGCACGGAATACGGATCATTTGCCTTCCGTGAGTTACACACGGCCTCATGTCATCAGCTTATTAAGAACAGACACACGCCACTAAACCGCCTAACGGCCGTATGTATTCTAAGTTGGTGGAAGGAGGTAATGTTTACACTTCCGTGAAATACTGACGGTGCGAATTCTTGTGTTCCACGGTTTGTCCCCCCTACGTGTCATGTACACATTTCTATACAAAATTACATGATAGTTTCTTAAAGAACTTCATCCGTCATGGGTCTTAAAATAAACAAAATTCAGATTTTGTTGGGTACAGGGTATTCATGGTCAAGTACCGTATTGATGTTTCATACACTTTTCTGGATTTCGAGTTATTATGCAATTCATCATTCTCATTTGGAGTCAAACGGACTGTATAATAGTCCAGTTTCCACCCTCGTCCGAACAAGGCTGGAATTATTGAGTCATTGTTTGGCTGGACTAACGAGTCTATGCATAGTCTAATCAAAATCGCGTAACAAATCGACATCCGGTTGATAAAAATGCCGGGCAGATTTCGGTCGATTGCAGGATTTGCAAAGCATGTCTACCGCCAACTCGGCGTCAACAGTTATTTTAAAAATATTTTCAAGATTTTAATCAAGGTCAAGATTTGGTGGACTTTGCGAACTAAGACCCGTTTTGTTGCAATATAGATCTTGATTATCGATCAGATCGTCCTGACGCCCAGAAATTCCAACCTGGTTCGGTAAGGGTGGAAACTGGACTTTTACAGTCAATTAACTCCCTTGCCTCGGGAGGATGAGTATTATATGTCTTAACCAATTTCACGAGTCAAAGCCGTGGTCAATGGATTATCATCAGTGATTTCATCATACTTTGACTGCCTGCTTCTGCCAGGGCTACTTCAACAGTGACGTCATCTCCCAAACTAAGGTCGCCGTTGATGACGTTGCCGTCGAGTGTCATGTCGAAATTGATGTCGCTGTCGAGGGGAACATTACCCAAGCCTTTGTCGCGGAGGCCCCTGAAATGAACAACAAACAACAACATGAATTAAATGAAACTTTGTCCATGATTACGTCTGTGTTTGATCCGACTCCATCTCTAAAAGATGTGAGCGAGTTTGGTTTTATGGATAATAATCAGAGCGAGTCTGAGAACACACTACCAGCAGATGTTGATATGAGTAAAGAGTAGCCATGCCCCAAACTGAGTTGCCTCCCTTACATCACTGACCCACAAATGTACTCTTCGAAATAAGCAGAGACGATATATATATATATATATATATATATATATATATATATATATATATATATATATTATCTACAGACATTATGTTATATTTTTTTTAATACCGATTTTACTGCACATTAATATAGGTGGCCGAGTTGAACTCAAATTTGTAGTCGTCACTTAAAATAATCCCTAAATCAAGCCTGCAATTTTTTGCCTACTAAATTTGAAATAAATGCAACATTTTTGTCCTTTCTTCTCGTCATCTTTTATAGTCAATTAACGCCCTTGCCTCGGGAAGATGGCACTTGTAGAACATTAAGGCTAGATATTAATCGACAACAGCGACAAGAAGTCTTCAAGAACAATATATTGTTTCTTGTCTGGTACAAAACAAAACAATTAATTTTGACATCTGCCATTAAAGAAAGCGCATGGTCTTTTTCACCCCCGTCTTCAGGGTCCACAAAAATATGGACGTGATCTAAATTATTAAAAGATTGGGGGATATACAATGCCAGTTCTTCATATGTCCCTCTGTAAAGATGTTGCAAATTTACAATACAAAGCACAGGTCTTCACCAACTCGAGTCTTGACAGGCACCAATTCTATACCGTACATGCCCCAATGCTTGCTTTACGTGAGGTGCGACAGACTTACTGATTCAGCATGCCGATGGTGACTGTCGATGTCTGTTTGGTGAGGATGTTGTCACCGCAGACTGCCGTCACCAGCTCGTCACGGCGTGTCACCTGGTCACTGTTGTACAGGATCACCACCTTCCGCGTGTAGGTGTCTTGCTGCAATAACAGACACAGTTTCGAGAATAGTCACTTATCCTTGAGATTCAGTGACAGAATGGGGCCGGTTGGGTAGCCTAGTGGTTCAAGCTTTCGCTCGTCACGCCGAAGACCCGGGTTCGGTTCCCGACATGTGTACAATGTGTGAAGCCCATTTCTGGTGTCCCCCGCCGTGATATTGCTGGAATATTGCTAAAAGCGGCGTAAAACCATACTCACTCAGTCAGTCCATGGCAGAATGGGCCCCACATAACCTGCGCTTGTCTCCCTGTGGTGAAGATACGTCACAGTACCATACGCTTGTCTCCCAGTGTGGCTCAATAGGTTCCCTTTACCCATACTTGACTCTTCGGGGCAGGTTGGGTCCCCAGTACCCCGTGTTTCTCTCCCCGTGTATAGACATACAGTAAACTACGGTTATAACGAACTCAAAGGGACCTCTAACTTTAGTTTGTTATAACAGTATTTCGTTATAAGCATATAAACAGCATAACTAAAGCAAATAGTGGGGACAAAAAATCAGTTCGTTATATCCGTCAGTTCGTTATAAGCGTGTTCGTTATAAACGTACTTTACTGTACTATAAGATTTCAACCAATTAATTTCCCTTATGTCGAGCAATATTCCAGCAGCTCCAGCCTTTGGTATTTACATTTCACAACTTTTGAGATACAATCGAGTTTGCTCTTTCAACCAAGAAAGTCATACGACTCTTCCTCAGTTGTTTGATGAAGGTTGCAGCATTCAAGGACTCACTAAAGCTTTCAAAAAGTTTTATGGTAGACATGTAGAGGACATTTCCAAATTTGACGCATCAGTGACAAAAATGATGCCCGATGCAGTTCCCTGTTTTGACATGTACAATATGCTCCCGTGTTTTGCCTTTGCATGTGTTTGTGACGAGTGCCATCGGCGGGGCAGGATATGCTTACCTTTATCATTACTATTTGATAGTGATTCATAAACACATGCTCATGATATAGTCGGAATTGCACAATATTTGATATGAATATTGAAAGGGTTTTTGTCGCTATTATCTAATACATAATAAATGTAATCGCAATAACTTTATTAAAAATCCAGTGGGGAATACAGGTGGCCTTGTCGTCTAAGCGCCACAACTCGCTAAACAGAGTTGCGTCCCTTAGGCATGCCAGGACACGATGATTGAATCCTAGAATCCTAGATAAACCCGGATTATGTTTCCAGGTTTGTCAGTACCATTCCCGTGCACGTGGGTTTCACATATGTGGAAAACGCCTTAAAATGAGCCTCTTGTCACGTCGGGCTTTCCCCAACATCAATCTGCTCCGCCGTGGTATAACTGAAATACTGTTCAAAGCGGCGTGAAACACAACTCACTCACTCACTCATACATCCAGTGTCGCGGCCTACCAGCTGATTGTAGTCGGCATCAGAACAACTACTTTCGGTGTGATCCAGGGTGATGGTGTAGGGGTCATCTGGTGAGGCCTGGGTGAATTCACAGTTAACGTCACCTTGACGTCCCTCGATGAATATAGCACCGTTGACGAAGTTGCCCTCGGGGACGATGGAGAGGGTCATATTGGTGCCACCGCTGCAGTCTAACAAGTCTAGACAAGGGGATAACCAAAACATAATAACATGTATACTGAAGAGTAAGTATATTGTCGGCAGTACAGGTTTTATGAAATCATTAATAACGTCACTTTCATGTTTGGTTTTATATCAAGGTTTTATCTTTATTCATTAAAGCGGCATTAAGACAAAATCTCATATACACTAAAAAGACGAAGTTTGGTATTACGAATATTTGGTGGGACATGTTTTTGAAGTGAAGACTGAGCAGACAATTTTATTTAAAATATCCCCCAATATATAGTTAATTATAGTATGTTTATCGTAAAAGTATGGGGGATATGATTTACCAGCGTTGCTGCATCTTCGTGTTTCTTGGGTAAGTGTATCACATCTCCAATCTATTATGATACATACTCTGGACCCATTCGCCGCCATAGTTTTGGAAGAGACTTTCATCGCGCCTATTTCCCAACTGATCACATAATTTCTCTCGCTCGTGAGAGTAATTTGGTTAGCCTGCTAATTTGAGCGCCGTGCTTTAAGACTTGTTTGTTTGTTGTTTAACGCCGCACTCAGCACAATTCCGGCTATATGACGGCGGTCTGTAAATAACGAGTCTGGACCAGACAATCCAGTGATTAACATCATGAGCACCGATCCACGCAATTGGGATACGATGACATGCATCAACCAAGTCAGCGAGTCTGACCGCCCGATCCCGTTAGTCGCCTCTTACAACAAGCATAGTCGCCTTTAACGGCAAGCATGGGTTGCTGAAGACCTATTCTAACCCGGATCTTCACGGGTGTCGTGCTGTTAGAATCGGGATAAAAAGCGAAGCTATTGCAACGAGTGGGATATAATTAAGATGTTATACCCTGGATTATTGTGGATGACGCTGCATCAGGGTACTGTTATTGATCATTATAACTAGCAAGGGCGTGTATGGCCTAGTGGCCCAAGGCGCCGCAAATTGCTGACTTAAGTTGCGCCCCTTTTCCGTGTCAGGATAGGTATGACGTAAGTTCGAATCCCAAATATACAAGATTATTATCCTAGGTGTGTCAGCACCAAGCCGCGTTCGTGGGTTTCACAAAAGTGGTGAGTATCTACGACCTTCGTCACTTTGCCCCAACACCAGCCTGACGCGTCCACATACAAGTGGAGCACTCTTGACAGCGGCGAGGTAGCTAAGTCGCCCGTTATGACTATGTACAACGTTTAACTCTGTCAGGGATCGGTGTGATCATAGGAGAGTTACCTCCCTTATCAGCGCTGACACTTACAACGTGGAATTTCACACTGATCGCCGGTGAAGTCTTCGGTGCAGTGACAGTTGGAGTTGGTTCCGTCTCCGGTACACGTGCCGGCGTTCTGGCAGCTCGTGTTGGTACAAGGAGTCTGGTCTAGGTTCGCTAGAGGTGGTAAATTGCATTTAACGTACTTTGCAGTCATTTGAACGTTTACATCCATATAATATACGTTATATAGTTTGTTTATTTGTTTCTTGTTTAACGCCTGACTCAGCAATATTCTAGCTGTATGAAGGCGATCTCTTAATTGTCGAGTCTGGAAGAGACAATCCAGTGAATGACATCATGATTGAGATATCATGACACGCATCAACCATATCAGAGAGACTGACCACAGATCCCGTTAGTAGCCTATTACGACAAGCATTGGTTGCTGAAGACCAATTCTAACCCGGATCTTCACGGGTCACATCCTGATTGAGATGCCATGACATGCATCAACCACATCAGCGAGCCTGACAACCGATCCCGTTAGATGCCTATTACGACAAGCATGGGTTGTCGCAAAACATTCTAACCAGGATCTTCACGGTGGTCAATATGGTGTCGGCGTCCATTATGCAAAATAAAGTTGTTTTCGTTCCAAAAAAGTAAGTATTAAAATGTGTAAAGACATATCTAACTTCCAGCGAATGCACGTATGTGTCACCTTTTCATTACTTTACCAGTGATAAGACACAAAAGTGTACTACATCAATTCATTTACTCAAAGGCAAAAGTTTTGACTTGGCTATTTTACACTTACAAAAGAGTGAGTGAGTGAGTTGGGTTTAACGCCGCTTTTAACAGTATTACAGTCATATCACGGCGTGTCAGCTTAATGTGGGAGGAAAGCCCGAAGTGATGCAGGTCTCAGACATTTACCACTTCGGTGAAACCCACGAGCACGGGTATGGTGCTGACAAACCTAGAAACATAACTGGGGCGAACCGGGATTCGAACCCACAATCATAGGTTTCTGGCGTGCCCAAGGGACGCAACTCTGCACAGTTTAGGTGGAGGTCGTAGGGCTAAGAGGCTTTCGTGAAACGGCACCCGATCTGTTACTAATCGAACATGTCTGTAACTTATCCTCCAACAACTCCGGCTTATCCTTCCTCAGATATGGAATGCCATTACTCTAGAGTGTTCAACGTTTGGTGAGTGAGTGAGTACGGTTTTTGCGCCTCTTTTAGCAAAATCACGGCGAGGGACAACTAAAATGGGCTTCACACATTGTAACCATGTGGGCAATCGAAATCGGGTCTTCAGTGTGACGAGCGAACGCTATACCTACAAGGCTACCCCACCGCCCCCTTAACGTTTAGTGCCCTCATTGAAGCTTCCATCAATGCACAAGGGCAACACACTCACCTCTGAACCCCGCTCGAGTAACATAAGCTTCCGCGCTCTTCTTATGGACTGTTTGTTGCTCGTTGCAATACCTTAAGGACACTCTCCTCTTCCATTTAAAATAATTCCATCCATGGCAGAAACTAACCGATTAATTTTGTTCATAAAAAAATTGCCTTTGAGTATAGTACAAAACCCTAGTACAACTTTGAGTGAGTGAGTATGGTTTTACGCCGCTTTTAGCAATATTCCAACAATATCACAGCGGGGGACACCAGAAATGTGCTTCACACATTGTACCCATGTCGAGAATCGAATCCGGGTCTTCGGCGTGACGAGCGAACGCTTTAACCACTAGGCTACCCGACCGCCCCCAGTACAACTTTGAAGTGATAATGACGTGGTTGTCGTCGTGACTTACCCATGACGATGCTGCAGTCTCTGCCTGTGTGGGTTGTGGCGTTGTCACAGATACATTGCCCTATGGCCATGTTACAAACAGAGCTGGCTTGACACAGGGTCGGATCACGTCCACAGTCAAACACAGCGCCACCTGCATCATAACGCTGCATATCAATTGAAGCATCGTGTGAAGCTATTTCCTTAATGCTTCGGTTCAGAACTGATTAATAATTGGTAAGGATATTAGCGATAAATGAAAACGCTTTACAGCCTTAATCCGGAGGACGCCGTTCCTACTCAAGTCGTTGGAGTTAACTATTCACGGGTACGGAGTTATGTCCCTTTGTATGTATTTAGACCAAGCTCCTTCCCAATACGTGACACCTTTGTTACACTCTCGGTAACATGGCTGCCGTCAGTGTGGGCGCGGCCGTTATAAGAATCTTGAAATTTGCCCTCTAACCCCAAATGTAGTCACGTTTATATTTTTGTTTATGTCTCTGGGAATGCTATTAAGTGAATTTTGAAAAGGTTTACGACTGACCAGATTTCCCGGATGAATTTACCTATCTGTTTGTATAATCAGATAGGTTCGAAATTTAAGACTAACGGAAAACTTCCCCCTTACATTCTTACTATCAATTACATGATAATAGAAATGAAATAGAAATTCAAATTGACAAACACAGAAAATTGTTTAGAAAGGTTAAGAGTATTCGGCGTCACTTGTTTGTAAACATAACGGTCAGTTAGTTGCGAGTTCAACTCCAAGCATGGTTGTGGCCAGCTATCACAGTGTACAAAGATCTCCGCGAATGGGCTACCGCTGTGAGATAGCAGCATTTTGAACAGCCTTTCAAAGGATGTACAGCGGTGGAGGTCGATTATCTGCACCTTTTCTCCCAATACCGATTGTTAGATATCTCCCACTTTTGGGTGCCGTCGTTCGGCCATTGCGTTCATCTGCGCTGTCCAGCTACATCATTGGGGAACAACTCAAATGACACTTCCCTCTCAAAGATAACGTCGTCCCATTTACGACGTCATCAAGTTGGGAGCGCATGTTCGAATCTCCAGAAATAACGTCATGATAGAACAATGTTTTATCGTGCAATAAACCACACCGTTCTTCATTGCTTTTTGCGAATCATCGCGAAGCTATCTCATATATAACTATACTAATGATCTAGCGTGATCTATCGTGACATCAAACAAATATCTACTCCCAATATATACGTGTCATGACGTAGAAAATGGCCACGAGACTTACCTGTAGCAACTACCGTAGCTAGGATTGCGAAAAACAGCATCACGGATGATTCTGAAACAATAGGACTGAGAATGATTCCTACACTCACTGACTAATAATGTTATGTGCCTCACATGCAGGCTGCAGGTGTTGTATGTAAATCTCGTGTCACTGGCACCGCACGGGCTCATTCAGGACACGTACAGAGTTACTCACGGCGTTAAACAAATGGCGGCCATGTATACCATTCACACCCACTGGCCCGCACGTGTGTCTGATTTTGTGAGGGAAGGTTGTGTGTGTTTGAGTTTCACGCTGGACTATTGTGAGTGAGTGAGTGAGTATGGTTTTTCGCCGCAATGACATCAGACATGGGTTTCACACTCTTTAACCAGGAATAGCAACCATACCATTGCATATTTACTTAAATCACAACAATAATGGCACGATTAACTCAGTCAGGAAACGAGAAAGTGAGTGAGTGAGTGAATTAGTATGTTTTCGCCCCTTTAAGCCCCTATTATGCGAGATTTTTCTCGGGTCAACAATGTCGAAGTCTTGCCTTGGCTGAGTGGTCGGTTGGGTAGCCTAGTGGTTAAAGCGTACGCTCGTCACGCCGAAGACCCGGCTTCGATTAGCTACATGGGTACAATGTCTGAAACCCATTTCTGGTATCCCCCGCCGTGATATTGCTGGAATAAAGGGGCGTTAAACAATACTCACTCACTCTTGCCTTTTCAATCTCGATCACCTGACGTGTGACCACCAATCGAGCACCTGCAAACTTGCATCCTGGTAGCAAACAGTAGTTAATGCAGACACTATGGGAGGATTGACTAAGTATTCAAGTCCACGTCGTCAGGAGTCTGACTTCCCCTGATCGACGTAGAGCGAGGGCGTCATGGGATGCCCATGGATCACCTTTCCAACGTTGTGCCTCTAGATTCCTTATTTGCACTGCCTGCGACCCGACATCTTGTAATGTTGCTGCTAGTTGATTGCTGTATAAAATACATATGCCATCGTTGAAATGTCCTATCTCTTCATTTCGTGAACGCAACGTCTTCCTTGGTAGAGTTTCGTTTGCCCATCATGGTAGTATTAGATTAATAGGGACCAATTCTAACCAAGAATCCCCAGAGAAGTGCGTGTCTCAGTTAAGGGTTTACAGACCATTACGTTGATAAATCGTTTGTTAATAAAAGTTTCAATTAAGAGATCAACTTTCTATGTTTATAGGGCAATGCATCCTGTAGACTTGACAGTGTTACATTGAATTTGGAACCAAACGCGCAGCAGTGGAAATCCATATCGCCAGATTTAAAATATTGCATCGTATTGTCCTGATGACTTCCGGGTTAACGAATAAGGGTACGGAGAAATTTCCCTTTCTATATACATAGACACCTCTTGACACAGGGGCTGTATTTTTGTTGCACTTTATTTCGCGCGTCCGTATCGTTGCTGCCCGCCGTCTTGTTGCTAGAATATTACTAAAATCGGTAGAAAATACGAATCATTCACTGTATCATTAAAATACCATGGATTTATGCTGAGTGAGGCACCATCCACTTAATGCAGTGTGGAGTGTGAAAAATTTAGTCCAGACATTACTGGCAAAAAATATGCTTTTCGCAGGAGAAGCTGGACATCTTGAAAAAGCTGGATGTTATGACCCCCCTACACACGCCCCTGACACCACTTCTTTCAGAAGAATAAATGATCAGTCCCGTGTTGTTGTTTTTTGTTTCCATCCATCCACTTCAGCCCAAGATTGTCAGCGCTTGTCGATATTCGCTATCTCCATCACCACAGTCAATAGATCTGGACCAGAGAGGGTGCAACACCTGGCCAGGTGGCTCGGTCATACAGGTCGTGTCAAACTGCGCAGATGATGTGCTGTCATTGCAGATCAATTTTCCGTAGTCTTGGCACGCATTTTGTGACTGTAGCAAAGACTTATCCAGCAAAAGAATGAAGTTAATGTACACCCACAATAACAAAATTGGGTGTTCTTCAGGTTCTTTTGAGTAGAACATTATTCAATTATGCGTCTGGTTTAGAACATCTTCCCGAGGCAAGGGCGTTAACTGACTACAAAAGTCTTTTTATAGTCATTTAACGCCCTTGCTTTGGGAAGATGGGTTTAGAGCAGCCAGTCAGGCCCTGTACTTATAGAAGCACATTGAACACCCCTTTGTAAACCCTCCTATCTGCATTCACGATGTACGAGTATGCTCTTAGTTTATCATGTTGAATTTCAGTCTCGCCAGGTCAGCGTGCGTCAAGCTTGAAATACATTGTCCAGTCATTGACATCTTCAACAAGTACCTTCTTAAATGTAAATGATGACTTCAACCATGACTTTGCCCAATAAATTCTGATTGGTCAATAGGAGTTTCAAATCACAGTAACCACCTCTGAGTAAAACAGCTTATTTGATCATCGCATCGCCGTGGAAGCTAATAAACACTTGAAAATTGGATTTGACACCAAAAGTACAAACGTTATCAAAACGTTACGAGGCTGAAAACAGTCGACGTAACACTGCAAACATATCAAGGTTTGTTACGTTCTCTGAACGACCCGACCGCCTCCGTGGTCTAGTGGTAGAGCGTCCGCCCGGAGAGCGGAAGGTCCGGGGTTCGATCCCCGACCGCGTCATACCAAAAGACATTAAAAGATGGTACTTGTTGTTACCCTGTCTGGCGCTCGGCATTAAGGGGCTAAAACAAGGACTGGTCGGCTCGGAGTCAGTATACTGTGTCTGAGTGGGGTATTCATGTTAAACTGCGGCATGGTATCTCAGTGAGCTAGCACTTTAAATCGGCATCAGTCCGGACTAGTACAAGCAGCCACACAAACACCAACACGTACATGCACGTCGCTATATAAGTGCAATAATCTTGGACGCGACGTTAAACCCCATTTCACCTCACCTCACCTCTCTCAACGACCCTGAACGAGTGAAGTCTAAGGTAAGGTGAAATTGGGCTTGGCGTCGCGTTCAAGATTATTGCACTTATATAACGGCTTCCATGCACGAGCGTCAGGCAGGATAACAACAAGTACCATCTTTTAACGTCTTTTTGTATGACGCGGCCGGGGTTCGAACCCCAACCTTCGGCTCTCCGCTCTACAACTAGACAACGGAGGCGATTTTCTACATTAAAAGTGTATTGTATTGTGATAAACCATCCACGGAGTATCTACCGGTGATTCTCATCCAATGTTTGTTTCCAACAGTATATGGTGTATAAGCGGTTTATTCAATACCAACAGAATATCATCGTCAATATTCCACGGCCCTGCATACACTACGTTCACCAATCACGGCAACGTGGTGTTTAAAACCCCGTGAAGAACCCGTTGAGAGAATACCAGTTTGCAGAAATTCTGCAAAAATATACGATAACCAGTTCGCATGTTGCATTATCGAAAAGTAATGTTTGTTTGTTTGTTGTTTAACGCCGCACTCAGCAATATTCCAGCTATATGACGGCGATCTGTAAATAATCGAGTCTGGACCAGACAATCCAGTGACTGACATCATGAGCATCGATCTACGCAATTGGGATACAATGACATGTATCAACCAAGTCAGCGAACCTGACCACTCGATAAATCTTACGACAAGCATAGTCGCCTTTTATGGCAAGCATTGGTTTCTGAAGACCTATTCTACCCCGGATCTTCAAGGGTCCCGTAAAGTAAAGTAATGACGACTATAAATAACACCAATTATTAACACGTGGAATAAGATGAAATATTAGGACAGTTCGGTTTAATTATCCATAAAACACATATAAAAACATTTCCAATGGTTTGAACTGATACAAACTCACCCTGGTGTAGGTACTGACTTGGGTGTATATAAGCAATAACACGGTATTATATGCCTCATGGGAGCGAAACATTCACCTCGTATTAAACAATATCTAATTCGTATTATCTTTTGATGTTAATATGCTGATTATTTTTTGATGCTGCACTCAGCAATATTCCAGCTATATGACGGCGGTCTGTAAATTGGACCAGACAATCCAGTGATTGACATCATGAGCATCGATCTACTAAATTGAGATACGATGACATGCATCAACCAAGTCAGCCAGCCTGACCACCCAATCCCGTTAGTCGCTCTTACGACAAGCATAGTCGACTTTTATTGCAAGCATGAGTTGCTGAAGGCGTATTCTAACAAGGATCTTCACAGGTTGTATATCTTTCGAAGATAGCGTATAGTGAAACACCGTTATTTCAGAAGTCCCGTTTGATAATGGATGAGGACGTATGTGACTCGATAATCTAGTCGATTTCACCCGGACAGCCACCGTCCGGATAAACGGGGTTTGACCAAAAAGGCTCGTTAAAACTAAACTAAACTAAACTATTATAATGGTAAAAGAAACCTGTTTTGATACTAAACTAAAATAAACTGTTTATGTTCACTCTATAAATTTATACCAAATAATTAAACTGCCTCTACATCTACTTACATGATTGATATCTGCAGTCTGCTCTGTAATGTGATGTTCTGTTTGCATCTCGCGTGCCTACCTGTCAGGTAAACCCATCACCTGGCCAGGTGTACACACGCCCTGCAGTCGTAACGCTAGTCATGTAGACTCAACACAATGAATTTCCCTTCTTTGTTAATGAATACATACAACGCGACCTGGATTATTTGATTTTTATTTTACCTCTGCAGATGGTCTAACTTTGAGGTGTGTCTTTCAACCAAGATTTCAAACAGAACTACCAGTCTTTCAATACAGTGTTACTTGTCGGAGTATGTATATGATGTTTGGAGTGTTATTTTGTTGTAATTTGAAGGCTTACCCATTCAGTAGCTCCGGCGTGCCGTGTTACAAAACTGCATTTTGCGCTACTGACTGTTGTAAGTCTATGTTAAGGTATGGGACTTACGATCGCCCTAGCGCTAAGATCGCTTTGTACAACGGCACCCAGGGCTCGTCTTCATCAAGCTGACTGTGTGTCCTCTGTTATCACTCTTCGCCATTGCAAATCCCAGGCCCCGTTTCACAAAGCGGTCGTAATGCAACGAATGCCATGATTCTCATACCTTGACATAAATTTACATTAGTCGTAGCTACGAAACTTTTGTGAAACACTGGCCTGATCATGAGACATCGTGCTGATAGAGTAAAGCACATTCTCGTCATGGTAAATTGGGGTAAATCCCCAGTTCGCCCTGATTTCGATTTTTGGTTTGTCCGCACCATACCCTTAGCTTTCTGCATCAAGTGAGTAGGTGAGTATGGCTTTACGCCGCTTTTAGCAATATTCCAGCAATATCACGGCGGGGGACACCAGAAATGGGCTTCACACATTGTACCCATGTCGGGAATCGAACCCGGGTCTTCTGCATGACGAGCGAACGCTTTAACCACTAGGCTACCCGACCGCCCCTTCTGCATCAAGAGATAAACATCCACGATCTGCTTTGCGTTGTGCTTTCCTCCAAAACGAGGCTGACACGCAATGATATAACTAAACTACTGTTCAATGCGGCGTTAGACCCAACTAAATCACATATCAATCAGAAATAGGTGTGAGTGAGTGAGTTTGGTTTTACGCCGCTTTTAGCAATATTCCAGCGGGGGACACCAGAAATGGGCTTCGGGAATCGAACCCGGGTCTTCAGCGTGACGAGCGAACGCTCTAACCACTAGGCCACCCGACCGCCACTTCAGAAATAGGTAACAGGGCTTCATCTAAACTCGACTGGTCAGCAGTAATACCAGTGGTCACGTGGGCACCATGTCACCCATCAGCCAGGTCACGTGAGCACGACGTCACGCAGGAGCCAGGTCACGTGAGCACGATGTCATACATCAGCCAGGTCACGTGAGCATGATGTCACACATCAACAAGTCATGTGTACAAGATGGCACGCATCAACAAGGTCACGTGAGCACGACGTCACACATAAGCCAGGTCACGTGAGCACGACGTCACACATCAGCCAGGGCTGACAACTGTGGCCACCCGATCCCCGTCATACAACTCTCATTACAACCAATCGGGTCTTGAGGTCTGATCCGGGATCTTCACAAATGTAAATAGTTGAGTATGTTCATATCAGGACACATTATGGTTGTATATATAATTGTACAAACCAGTTGTATCAGAGAGCTTGTACATACCTTCAAATTATTGAGTTCTAACAGGATTAGTAGTTATCAAGCACCCAACTCCTGGACAAGCATCCGCCGTTCTCTTGTGTCACGTGACAACAGAAAGCTATTCCCGTGACAAGAATAACGCTGCACGTGAGTTGAATAAAAAGCCTTAAATTGCTGCTTGAAACGGGATTTTGTGTGACTAGTTAACAGTGTGGTTGAGATTATATATGCTCAAATCGTTTCTTTTTTTTCTTCTTTTTTTTTTCTCTCGCAATACTATTTACAGGCGTCCGTGGCTGGAGCCATTGGCTTTATTCGTAAATTGGACACAAGTTTTGTTTGTGTGTTTGTTGTTTAACGCCGCAATATTCCAGCTATATGACGGCCTTTCATTAATCGAATCCAGTAAATAATTATTATGATCATCGCCTCACGACGCCTGGGTACAATAAATGAGTGAGTGTGGTTTTACGGCGCTTTCAGCAATATTCCCTCAATATCACGGCGGGGAACACCAGAAATAGGCTTCACACATTGTACCCATGTGGGGATTCGAACCCGGGTCTTCGGCGTGACGCGTGAATGCTTAAACCATTAGTCACCCCACCGCCCCTGGTACAATAACACTCAATCAACCAATATTGTTTGGTCGTTCATTTCTGAGACCGGAGTAAAATACAGCTTGCTACCTAATCATTAAACATATTAATATGATTAATGTTGAATTTATTCATCTATTTACCGATATTCTATTCAGTTTATAGTAACAAAAAGTCATGTTACATGTTTGATACTCTATTTTGATACACAACAACTCATGCTACCTTAAAAATATAAAAAAGGTTTTCCCCATCACTTTTAGCAATATTCCATCAATATTATGAAAGTGGCTACTCCACTGCCCCAAGTCTGAAAGTAGTCTGTGTTAAAAAAACCTATGTCAGCATTTGATTATGAATATCGAACTGGGTGAGGTGAGGTGAGGTGAGGTGAGGTGAGGTGAGGTGAGGTGATGTGAGGTGAAATGGGGTTTGAAGTCGCGTCCAAGATTATTGCACTTATATAGCGACCTGCATGCACGTGTGTGTGGCTGCTTGTACTAGTCCGGACTGATGCCGATTTATAGTGCTAACCCACTGAGATACCATGCCGCAGTTTAACATGAATACCCCACTCAGACACAGTATACTGACTCCGAGCCGACCAGTCCTTGTTTTAGCCCCTTAATGCCGAGTGCCAGACAGGATAACAATAAGTACCATTGTTTAATGTCTTTTGGTATGACATAGCCGGGGATCGAACCCGGGATCTTCCGCTCTCCGAGTGGACACTCTACCACCAGACCGCGGAGGCGTTCAGAATATCGAACTGACGATGACTGAACTGAACTCAATTAGTTTAGTACAAGTATCAGTTTCCTGCGATAAATAATATGCGTATCATGGTGAAAAACAACTTGAAGTAAAAATCAAAACGTAACAATAAATAAATGTTTTTGTTTATTTACACAATATACATTCTATAAGGAAACGCAAATAGCATGAAAAACAAACTGTAATATAAATATTCATTTATCAAAGTTTCTAATACATAGCGACATTGCAAAATGATGTGGTATATGATATGTACGAACATGATTACAAATATGATTATTATTCATAATTGCGCTGATTATTTCGGTCAGGAACATAATAATCTCAATTCATGTCCTCAAAAAGCATGGACACATCGTGCAAAACTAAGACATTGCTGTTACGATAAGGCATTCACCGAAGTGGTAAACGTCTGAGACCTGCATCACTTCGGGTTTTCCCCCCACATTAAGCTGACACGCCGCGATATAACTGGAATACTGTTAAAAGCGGCGTTAAAACCCAACTCACTCACTCACTACGATAAGACAGCGACAAATGACCCCACATGGTACAATGAGAGAAGTGAGAAGCGCTCGTTAAATCCCTTTCTACAATAACCTAACTCTATACTACGACCTTTCAAAGTTATGATGTAAGATTAATGAACTAATATGGAGTGACAAGAGTAATTGCTTAAAGAACTGTATAGCTCTCCCTTCTGTAACTACCAACATAAAATAACCATCTCTCAAAGTTCTGCGTTGGGGTAAGTACATGAACCTGTGCATAACAACAGTTATCGTTTGAAACGCACGTAAAATCTGTTCATAAACTTACCACCAACAACACTCTTTGAAAGTTCTTATGTTAGATAATGAATCTACCTGTTGAGATGACACTGATTGCTTGAAGCTCTCGTTAAATCCTTGTGCGAAATACGTTAATCTTTCTCATCGGAAATCCCAAAATGATATCACTGGCACGAGTTATTTTGTCAGTTTGAGCTAAACTGCCGGGAAAAAGAAACTATACACTTGAAAAATGGAATTGACAAAAAAATACAAACGTTATCAAAACGTTAGTAGGCTTAAAACAGTCACAGAAACATTGCAAAACACAACTAGGATACTCGCATCAAATACATCACCATCGAATAAGCATTTCTTGTTTGTTTCATTTTTAGCCACCATTAAACATGGTTTTACAGTTCTTTCCCCTGGCAGTTTATATCATCACGTTGTAGCAACACTGTAGTGTAACTATTAACATAACACAGTGCATCGTTGCAGCCGCATAACGTGTGCGCTCGGATCTACCATCCTGCAAGTGTTGTCAATAGGATTTACAGTTATATTGTCATCAACAGTCTTCTTCTGCACCAAACAGTCCAGAGCCAGGGTTTTTAGAGGACATTGACACTTCTTCCTTGTCCCTGTCATACATGGCGTTTTCAAAACCCAGAGATGGCATATTTGGCAGGAACTTGTATTTCTTTCTGGCTAACAAAAACGCGATGACAACGAGGACGATAAGGGCGATGACCCCGATGAGGATCCCCGCTATAGCGCCCCCCGACATTCCACTGCTGCTGCTGCTGCTGTTGGAGACTGTAGACAAAATGTGTAACTTAGTGAGTGATGACACTCTTTAATGCTGCAGTCGTCAATGTTATAGTTATAGTACTGTGTCCAATGCTACTTGCGCCTTGGCCATGTTATAGTTATAGTACCGTGTCCAATACCACTTGCGCCTTGGCCATGTTATAGTTATAGTACCATGTCCAATACTACTTGCGCCTTGGCCATGTCGTAGTTATAGTACCATGTCCAATGCTACTTGCGCCTTGGCCATGTTATAGTTATAGTACTGTGTCCAATGCTACTTGCGCCTTGGCCATGTTATAGTTATATTACCGTGTCCAATACCACTTGCGCCTTGGCCATGTTATAGTTATAGTACCATGTCCAATACTACTTGCGCCTTGGCCATGTCGTAGTTATAGTACTGTGTCCAATGCTACTTGCGCCTTGGCCATGTTATAGTTATAGTACTGTGTCCAATACTACTTGCGCCTTGGCAATGTTATAGTTATAGTACTGTGTCCAATGCTACTTGCGCCTTGGCCATGTTATAGTTATATTACTGTGTCCAATGCTACTCGCGCCTTGGCCATGTTATAGTTATAGTACTGTATCCAATACTACTTGCGCCTTGGCCATGTTATAGTTATAGTACTGTGTCCAATACCAATTGCGCCTTGGCCATGTTATAGTTATAGTACCATGTCCAATGCTACTTGGCCTTGGCCATGTTATAGTTATAGTACTGTGTCTAATACCACTTGCGCCTTGGCCATGTTATAGTTATAGTACTGTGTCCAATACTACTTGCGCCTTGGCCATGTTATAGTTATAGTACTGTGTCTAATACCACTTGCGCCTTGGCCATGTTATAGTTATAGTACTGTGTCCAATACTATTTGCGCCTTGGCCATGTTATAGTTATAGTACTGTGTCCAATACTACTTGCGCCTTGGCCATGTTATAGTTATAGTACTTTGTCAAATACCAATTGCGCCTTGGCCATGTTATAGTTATAGTACTGTGTCCAATGCTACTTGGCCTTGGCCATGTTATAGTAATAGTACTGTGTCCAATACCAATTGCGCCTTGGCCATGTTATAGTTATAGTACTGTGTCCAATGCTACTTGGCCTTGGCCATGTTATAGTTATAGTACTGTGTCCAATACTACTTGCGCCTTGGCCATGTTAAAGTTATAGTACTGTGTCCAATGCTACTTGGCCTTGGCCATGTTATAGTTATAGTACTGTGTCCAATACTACTTGCGCCTTGGCCATGTTATAGTTATAGTACTGTGTCCAATACTACTTGCGGCTTGGCCATGAAATATTTATAGTACCATGTCCAATACTACTTGCGCCTTGGCCTTGTAATAACTATAATACTATGGCCAATGCCACTCGCGCCTTGACCACGTAATGCTGTGTTTTCTTTGTTGTTTAACGCCGCACTCAGCAATATTCCAGCTCTATGACGGCGGTCTGTAAATAATCGAGTCTGGATCAGACAATCCTGTGATTGACATCAAGAACATCGATCTACTCAAATGAGATACGATGACATGCATCAACAAGGTCAGCAAGACTGACCACCCGATCTCATTAGTCGCCTCTTACAACACGCATGGGTTGCTAAAGGCCATTTCTCACCGGGAACTTCACGGTGGAATGCAGTGGTACGGAGAATGAGTAACGATGTATGCTAATCTGGTCTGCTAACGCACGCCCAGGTCACCCATTGTGCCCACCCAATACGCATTTTCACACATTGTGTTCATCATGTTCAGGGTACCGGGGATACCCGTATTTAAGGACTGTCCCACCGTGTTAAACATGTACCTCATTGGATTAGGTTTGGTTTGTTGTTTAACGCCGCACTCGGCAATATTCCAGCTATATGACGGCGGTCTGTAAATAATCGAGTCTGGACCACACAATCCAGTGATTGACATCACGAGCATCGATCCATACAATTGGGATACGATGACATGCATCAACCAAGTCAGCGAGCCTGACCACTCGATCCCGTTAGTCGCCTCTTACGACAAGCATTGTCTCCTTTTACGGCAAGCATGGGTTGCTGAAGACCTATTCTACCCCGGAATCTTCACTGGCCTCATGGGCTTAGAAAATGAGATTTGATGAATCAAACCACGTGGAATGTGACGTCATCACTTGGAGGCTTCTATATTAATTCAACCCATTGGCCTCTTCAGTTGTATTTCATGATGTTATGGTGTTTGTTCAATAGAGCATCGTTATAGCACTTTTGAATTTTAAACGAGTTGGTTCATTAGAATTGAATGAAATGGTAGTCTTTAGTCATTTTTGCTTTTTAAATATTTTCCATATTCAAGTCCAGCGCTTAATTACGGATAAGATATTCAGTCCTAAATTGTGATTAAACCGATTATAGGCCCTGGGCTTAAATACGTGCATTCCGGGAACTCATAAAGATGAATCTAACTGACCTTGGTTGACCTTGGAGTTGTGAGGCGTGGCAGTTCCTGTGTACGATGGTTGAAAGGTGTTGCCGGCAGGAGTGACGACTGGGTTGAATGGCGTATTTGGGTTGAATGGAGTTTTTCCATTGTGATAAGGCGTGTATGCATTTTGCGGCGTGACGCCTCCACTTTGGGTGGTCCCCAGTTTGGTCGCAACTGTCGATGTACCTGCCATAGATGGGCATGTCTCTTCAATGATGGACATTAACCAAGAACATCTACTAGTTATAACATATTGCAATACCCTAAATGTCTTAAATTCTACTAGCCCCTAGTGCACCTTTAACATTTAAAAATGTGGTCCAGGATAGAGAAATAGGACGGTTCTCTAACATGTTTTACCCAAATATGGCTTAAAAGTATCAAATTGACAAATTAGTATGTTATTACTGAAACACTGTAACCAAGGTTGGTCCGAAACTACAAGTGCATACATACCCAGTAAACGACGCACACTTTCTTTGTAATTCACATTCATTATTGCTAATAAACTCGAGGGTGCCTTGTTTTTCGAATAATATAAAATAAATATTTTCAGTGTGAAATAATAAATGCTGGACTGCTTTTAATTTACCTATGAATATAACTGTGAGAAAACACATTTTGTGCCACAGAACATGTCAAGCATCATATTGATCTCATCTTGTGACCTGACGATATCATTTTGTTAATTATCTGACAGGTCACTCGATGAGTGAGCGAGTGAGTTGGGTTTAACGCCGCTTTTAACAGTATTCCAGTTATATCACGGCGTGTTAGCTTAATGTGGGAGGAAAGGCCGAAGTGAAACCCGCGAGCACGGGTATGGTGCTGACAAATCAAGAAACATAATCGGGTCGAACCGGGATTCGCACCCACGATCAGAGGTTTCTGACGTGCCCAAGGGACGCAACCCTGCACAGCGAATCGCGGCCTTAGACGACTGGACCACCCGTGACCACCCCCACCCCCCTCTCCCCGCTACTCGATGAGAAAAAACCATGTTATTTGACATATCAAGACAAGACAAATATCGCCACTATATACTTATATGGAGACATGATATGATATAGCAATGTAGTGTTTTAGAGTGAGTGAATATGGTTTTACGCCGCTTTCAGCAATGTTCCAGCACTATCAGGCAGGGGACAGGAGGGATGGGCTTCACACATTGTACCGGTGTGGGGAATCGAGCCCGGATCTTCAGCGTAACGGGAGCATTTTAGAAATCGCCTCACTTTTCATTATTTTGCAGATGTAGCCGGCCTGAGTGAAGCAATCGAGGTCGTTCCACTGCCACCCTCCCGACGCCATCATGATGACACAGTCTTGATGCCATTCATTGTCGGTGTCCGAAGGCTCGTTGTGGGCCCAGTGTAGGTAGCTGACTGGGCTCCTGTCTGTCCACACGAAACCCCCTGTAAGTATAAGTAAGTATTAGTTAATATGGTATTTCTTTTATATAATTATTATAGTTTACATTTATATACCGCAGGCATGGGCGGATACAGAGGGTTGGGGGGTGGTGGTGGTGTGTGTGTGTGTGTGTTTGTGTGTGTGTGTGTGTGTGGTGGTGGTGGTGGTGGTGGTGGTGGTGGTGTGTGTGTGTGTGTGTGTGTGTGTGTGTGTGTGTGTGGTGCGCACCCCCCCCCCCTTTTTATTTCGAAAAAATCTTTATTTCTGTAAAAATTACAACCAAAAGCAATAAATAGATCTTAATTGTGCACCCCCCCCCACCCCCGCCTATGGCAGGTATCCAGGTACTAGTGTCTGCTCAAATGCGGTTCTATTTGTTTCCCGACCAGTGGATCCGTTCGCATTCCAGTTATCATTCTCAACTCCCTGGGGAGTATACAGCCCAAGCTGCATCGGGGCGCAAGAAGTTTTTGTACATACAATTCACATATCGCGTACCCATTCCCTGCTGAGGGAAAAGAGGTACATTTGAACTAGGTCACTTGCCGAGGGTGACAGGTATTTGGCGTGATGTACAGCACCCATAGTCCCGTTTACAAATACCACTGTTGACGTCATACGGATATCACTGAGTTAGACAATGGGTTGACGTCATGTTGATGGGGTCAGATTTACCACAAGCTTTTCAACATGGGTGAGGTTACGTGAAATGGGGTTTAACCCCGCGTCCACGATTATTGCACTTATATAACGACGTGCATGATGGACATGATGATGCATTCCATTTTCATTCTCAGCTCCCTGGGGAGTACATAACCCTAGCTTCCTGTTAGGTGCTAGAAGGTTAACACCCATGTATGACATATCAGCGTTGGAAATGAAGCGAGAAAGTCAAGGGGTTCTTGTCATAACCCAATTCTAAAATATAAAGGTTTCGGGTGGACCTTATATTCAAATACCATAGGCGAAGACCTTCAGAACCCCCTTAATTGTGAACACTGTATATGAAGGAGGAGCCTCGTCCAAACAACGTCCGCACCATCCATTACTAACGGAACTACGATCAAATGATTATCTTAGTTCTAAAGGTGTGTTTAGGTGAAATGGGGTTTAACGTCACGTCCAAGATATCATCACGTGTGTGCGTGTGCGTGTGCGTGTGCGTGTGCGTGTTTTCCTGCTTGTACTGGTCCCGACTGATGCCGATTTATAGTGCTTGCCCACTGAGATGCCATCCCGCAGTTTAACATGAATACCCCACTCAGACACAGTATACTGACTTCGAGTCGACCAGTCCTTGTTTGAGCCCCTTAATGTCAAGCGCCAGACAGGGTATCAAAAAGTACCATCTTTTTACGTCTTTTGGTATGACATACAAATGATTTCTTCGGAACAATCAATTATCAAGTGTTGATAAAGATGTTATCAGTATCGTGTGTGCACCCTACTGACTTCACTGTCACACCAAGGGTCATAATCAGAGCAAACAGTGCATCGGATCCAGGCACAGTTGAGGGACACAACTCTGAGGGTTGCAGCGACTGAGATCACCGGGTTCCCATGCCCGTTATACACGTACATATTATACATTATACATGCCAATGGTTTGATATGATTCAGTACTGAGCAGTTATTAACGTTGTTTATAGTAGTTGCAGTTGCACTTTGAGGAACTTTCCAAGAATGAATGCCAGTCTTGATATATATTGTAAGAGAGCCTTTGTTGAAATCTCCCAGTCCAGACTATACCAAATCCTATGAGAAAAAGAATAGAAGTACATCACCATCGAATAACCATTTGTTGTTTGTTTCATTTTTAGCCACCATCAAGCATGGGTGTATACTTTCTTCTACCAGGTGGAGGTGAGGTGAAATGGGGTTTAACGTCGCGTCCAAGATTATAGCAGTATATAGCAGCGTGCATGTACTTGTGTGTTTTTGTGTGGGCTGCTTGTACTAGTCCGGACTGATGCCGATTTATAGTGCTAGCTCACTGAGATACCATGCCGCAGTTTAACATGAATACCCCACTCAGACACAGTATACTGACTCCGAGCCGACCAGTCCTTGTTTTAGTCCCTTAATGCCAAGCGCCAGACAGGGTAACAACAAGTACCATATTTCAACGTCTTTTGGTATGACGCGGTCGGGGATCGAACCCCAGACCTTCCGCTCTCCGGGCGGACGCTCTACCACTAGACCACGGAGGCGGTCTTAACCAGGTGGACCCAGCAGAACCTTAGATGTGAAAGTTTATGGTTGAATAAAATATTACCATCTTCCGTTTTTGACAGTCCTATCCATATATCTGTAGCGCTTTGTCCTGCGATGCCGGTCACCTCCGTCATCACCGCCTGGCTGCTGATGCTGGCGAGCTCCGCCCCCATCCTCTGACACAGGTACCGAGCCTCTGGCCACGACTTGGTCACGTTGGTCATGATCTTGTAGCAGTAGTCTGCCCCTGCTGACCAGGAGGAGTCCGGACAGAAACCCTGGATAGCCGCTGTAGTGACCGGGCCGCTGTCTGAATGGTCAATCAGAACATGTATGCCTTCAGTATACTTGCTTTTGAGGAAGTTAAAGCTATTTTCAACACTATTCAAGTAATATCAAGGTGTGTCAGCTCAGTATGGGTTCAACAAAGAAAAGTGCAGCCCGTTGGACAATGCTGACTAAGCACGGTATGCGACTGGCAGACCAGCGGATCTTGGACGTAACTCTGACAATCTGGCCTTCCACGCCCCGCCTCCAGTCAGTGCCCTCACCAAGGTGCATCTATGAATCTGTATGACATCCTGCACTAACCCATTTGTATGTATGAATGTGTCTGACCGCCAGTATTGACCCATTTGTATGTATGAATGTGTCTGACCGCCAGTATTGACCCATTTGTATGTACGAATGTGTCTGACCGCCAGTATTGACCCAGGTGTATGTATGAATGTGTCTGACCGCCAGTATTGACCAGTTTGTATCTATGAATGTGTCTGACCGTCAGTATTGACCCATTTGTATCTATGAACGTGTCTGACCGCCAGTACTGACCCAGGTGTATCTATGAACGTGTCTGACCGCCAGTACTGACCCAGGTGTATGTATGAACGTGTCTGACCGCCAGTACTGACCCAGGTGTATGTATGAATGTGTCTGACCGTCAGTATTGACCCATTTGTATCTATGAATGTGTCTGACCGTCAGTATTGACCCATTTGTATCTATGAATGTGTCTGACCGTCAGTATTGACCCATTTGTATCTATGAACGTGTCTGACCGCCAGTACTGACCCAGGTGTATCTATGAACGTGTCTGACCGCCAGTACTGACCCAGGTGTATCTATTAATGTGTCTGACCGCCAGTACTGACCCAGGTCTATGTATGAACGTGTCTGACCGCCACTACTGACCCAGGTGTATCTATGAACGTGTCTGACCGCCACTACTGACCCAGGTGTATCTATGAACGTGTCTGACCGCCACTACTGACCCAGGTCTATCTATGAACGTGTCTGACCGCCAGTACTGACCCAGGTGTATCTATGAACGTGTCTGACCGCCACTACTGACCCAGGTGTATGTATGAACGTGTCTGACCGCCAGTACTGACCCAGGTCTATGTATGAACGTGTCTGACCGTCAGTATTGACCCATTTGTATCTATGAACGTGTCTGACCGCCAGTACTGACCCAGGTATATGTATGAATGTGTCTGACCGCCAGTACTGACCCAGGTGTATGTATGAACGTGTCTGACCGCCAGTACTGACCCAGGTGTATCTATGAATGTGTCTGACCGCCAGTACTGACCCAGGTGTATCTATGAACGTGTCTGACCGCCACTACTGACCCAGGTGTATCTATGAATGTGTCTGACCGCCAGTACTGACCTGACCCAGGTGTATCTATGAATGTGTCTGACCGCCAGTACTGACCCAGGTGTATCTATGAATGTGTCTGACCGCCAGTACTGACCCAGGTGTATCTATGAACGTGTCTGACCGCCAGTACTGACCCAGGTGTATCTATGAACGTGTCTGACCGCCAGTACTGACCCAGGTCTATGTATGAACGTGTCTGACCGTCAGTATTGACCCATTTGTATCTATGAATGTGTCTGACCGCCAGTACTGACCCAGGTGTATCTATGAATGTGTCTGACCGCCACTACTGACCCAGGTGTATCTATGAATGTGTCTGACCGCCAGTACTGACCCAGGTGTATCTCGCAGATGTAATTGTTGAGGTTGGCACACAGGGTGTTGTTCCACCTGAAGTTCCTCTTCTCAACAACACAGCCCTCGCCGTCGGATGTCGATGGCTCCTTGTACGCCCATCTGGTTAACTGGACAGGGTATTTGTCTGTCCATGTGAAGTGGCCGTTACCCTGAAATAAACCAAGTACAACCATAATGTCAACTATGTCACGGTGTACGATCACCTATCAACATTTTCACTGAATTGAGATGAAATGGAACATATAACTAAAGTAAATATGTCTGACGACCACAATTGCTTCGAAATACAGAGGACAATAGAGTGAGTGAGTTGAGTTTAATGCCGCTTTTTACAGTAAACCAGTTATATCATGGTGTCTCAGTGTAATGTGGGAGGAAAGCCAGAAGTGATGCAGGGCTCAGATATTTACCGCGTTGGTGAAATCCACGAGCACTGGTATGGTGCTGACAAACCTAGAAGCACAATCGGAACGAATAGGGATTCGAACCCACATTCATAGATTTTCTCGCGGGCCCAAGGACGCAACTCTGCACAATGAATTGCGTCGCCTTAGACGGCTGTGCCACCCGTGCCCCCTTTGACAATAAAACACCTTACTTTAAAACGTAAAACTTGATGGCTAACGTTCAGCAACAATTGAGTTTAATTAAGAAAACATAATTTTATCGTTGTAACCAAAATGATAATAAGGTTGTAACTGGAAGTGAACGGAAACTTGAAATCAAGAAAAAAATATCTATGTGCATACATTTCAATATAATCCCTTCCCCCAGATTATTAAATGCATTCCTGTTCAGAGCATTGGAGTAAGTGTAACGGAATGGAATTATTGGAGCTAAGCAATCTCATTAACATCAGACCTTAGTTCTCGCTGCCGCTAAACAAAGATCTGAGGACATCCCATTACTGGTCACGTCAGACCGACCTTTCGCGAACTCTGAGCGACCAATGGAATTACTGACAAGAAGTCGACATTAGCCAATCAGAAGGCAGCTTTCTCGTGCTTTACGGCACTAATTCCAAATTGGCGACTACGCTTCGAAACATATTTTGATAAATTCTCGCTTAAAAATTTGAAACCTGAACATAAGAACATTCTCGAATGGCTAATATATGGTGTAGATTGTATAGATTCAGTCGTTAAGCCCGTAACTATCGTTCGGAATAAATCTAAAAATAGATGCCCTCATGCATATTCATGAGCATCTCCTTCGGGCTCGCGTGTGGAGATGGTCATGAATATGCATGAGGGCGTCTATTTTTAGATTTTTTTTAGACTCCTGTGATCCAATGTACTGGAGCCCAACATTGTTTACAAGCACCCTCAGTCTCAGCGAAACGACAGTCGTAGTCTCCAATTACTTAAAACATAGATAATCGTCCCACTAAAATCGTATTGTACACTGTATTTATTTAGTTCTTTGTCCCGTTTGACATACTCACCTCAAGATTATTTAATCCTATCCACGACTGGCCTTGGCGCGCGACCATCAGGTCTACGAAGGACGCCTCAAAAGCATCATTGATGGAAACCAGGTTTCCTCCATCTGCGACGCAGGCCAGCTGAGCGTCAGACCACTGTTTGGTGCTAGTGTAACCCTTGTAGCAGCTGTGGCCGTAGTTTATATAGCCGTTGCTGCATCCCGCATTGTTCTGGGTGGGGCTGGGATACGATGGTACTGGAACACGTGACCACCATCATTATAGTGAGTGAGTAACTTAAAATTTAACGTCGCATTTGCATTATTTTACCATCATTAAAGACAATTTGACGTATGTTGTTTTACGGCGTATTCCAGTTATGTCAGTTTTTAGGCAGACAATTTCTATTTTTTTCAACAGTCTAAAACATATTTTGTTAAAAGAATTAATTCGGAAATCCTTTCTCGATAAAAATCCCTCCCACCAGAATATTAAATAGTCGTTCCCTTAATGTGCAATTGTACAATATTTGTGATTAACGCCGAAGATAAGTCTGTTGTTGCAAGTGATGAATTATCATTGAATCGCATATCCCGAAGAGCTTACTTTTAGGTACGCTGCAGGCATACGCCCTCTTGGCATCGCAGAAGTAGTCGTCCCAGCCGCCGGCCTGGAACTTCCCCTTGGGCAGCGTCCACACCATCACACAGTCCCGCTGGAAACACGGAGGCATTAGTAACAGTGAGGGATGCAGTTTAGCGCTGCTTTGAACAGTATTTCAGTTACATCACGGCCTGTCAGTTAGATGTGGTAGGAGGCCCGCGTCGATACAGGTACCTTACTACCGGATGGTGATATGACATCTAGAAACATGATCGGGGCGAATCTCGGATTCGAACCTACGTTCACAGGTTTCTGGCGTACCTAATGATTGCACTCTTACACTCTGCAACCTCTCTCTCTTTCTCTCTCTCTCTCTCTTGTTCTCTCTCCGTTCTGAAGCGCCGTACCCGATGCTCTATCTTATCATCGGTACCTTATGATTGCACTCTTACACTCTGCAACCTCTCTCTCTCTCTCTCTCTCTTGTTCTCTCTCCGTACTGAAGCGACTTACCCGATGCTCCATCTTATCATCGGTGCCTTACGATTGCACTCTTACACTCTGCAACCTCTCTCTCTCTCTTGTTCTCTCTCCGTACTGAAGCGACTTACCCGATGCTCTATCTTATCATCGGTGCCTTATGATTGCACTCTTACACTCTGCAACCTCCTCTCTCTCTCTCTCTCTCTTGTTCTCTCTCCGTACTGAAGCGACTTACCCGATGCTCTATCTTATCATCGGTACCTTATGATTGCACTCTTACACTCTGCAACCTCTCTCTCTCTTTCTCTCTCTCTCTCTATCTCTCTTGTTCTCTCTCCGTACTGAAGCGACTTACCCGATGCTCTATCTTATCATCGGTACCTTATGATTGCACTCTTACACTCTGCAACCTCTCTCTCTCTCTCTCTCTCTCTCTCTCTTTCTCTCTCTTGTTCTCTCTCCGTACTGAAGCGACTTACCCGATGCTCTATCTTATCATCGGTACCTTATGATTGCACTCTTACACTCTGCAACCTCTCTCTCTCTCTCTCTCTCTCTCTCTCTCTCTCTTGTTCTCTCTCCGTTCTAAAGCGACTTACCCGATGCTCTATCTTATCATCGGTGATATCTTCATCCGGCTGGCCAGGGGCCCAGGCTGTGTACAGTACCTCAGAACTGTCCACCCACATGTAGCGACCGTTCGTCGCCCTGTCCATAAGTCCGATCCATACCTGACCGGATATGCCCCGTAATAGTGTCGTCAGGAACCCTGCGAATGAGCAAGTTCTGATAAACAGTTGTGAGGATGACAGGCTGAAGGGGGTTGACGTTAATGGTATTCAACTGGAGTGAAATTACTATCGTCAGTACTTCATGGTTTTGTATGCTCTAATTCCCCATCACTTCTGAAGACATACATCCGCTATGTGGTGTAGTCACTATTTTTAACCAACGAATCAATCCACGGCCTGGTTCCAGAGAGAGGGAAATCAACGGGTTATAGGACCAATTAGCCTCAGGTTACATCGTCAAACGTTCTTATGACCTTTGGGCCTCTACTATATAGTTCTTTAGAAACAGGCAATGGTAGGGTTCGCACAAAGTACACGCATAGAGATGGGCTCATTTTTACTTCCGTGAGTTTTTCGCGGCCTTATTATACTACCGGACGGAGACGCATAATTATTACAGTGAGTATGGTTTTACGTCGCTTTTAGGAATATTCCGGCAATAGCACGACCAGGAACAATAGAAATGGGCTTCACACATTGTATTCATTTGTGGAATCGAACCCTGGTCTTCGGTGTGACGGGCGAAAGCTTTAACCACTAGGTTCCCAACCGCCTCTCAGTATCACACAGCACAGAGGCCGTATGTACCCAAGGGTGATGGAGGAATGTTGTGTCACAAACCTCTGAAGTATTGACGTTGAATGCAGCTGTGGGGACACTTTAGATCATAACGGGATTGAACTTATCGATACTTGCTGACATATGTTGAGATCTATGCTCTGATCTCCAGAGAGGGCCGAGACATTTTCCGAGGCAAGGGAGTAAAAAGTCCAGTTTCCACCATTGCCGAACTAGGCTGGAATTCCGGAGTTATATTTTGTCTGGACGGACGAGTCTATGCATAGTTAAATCAAAATCGCCCAACGAACTCGACATCCGGTTCGAAAACAACATGGATTTCAACGTGCAGATTTCCATCGACTGCAGGATTTGCAAAACATGTGTCCCGTCAAATGAGCGTTGACAGCTATTTGCCAGTTTTTTTCATGTTTTTAATCATGGTGCTCAAGCGATCTGATGCATTCGCGAGGTAAGGCCCGTTTTATTACAATAAATGTAATTGATTATCGATAAGATCGTCTTGACTGGGCGCCGTCCTTTTGTTTGAAGCAAATGCAAGTGATGTGAGAGATGTAAGCTGATTGGTTAATAGGTGGGACATAGAATGGACTTAACTCGTAATAGCCACTGGTGGCGCTACGATCGAGCCATGAAATTCCAGCGTAGTTCGGCAAGGGTGGAAACTGGACTTTTGTAGTGTATTAACACCCTTGCCTCGGGAAGATGGGGAGGAGAACTATCGCATCCTTACTATTTTCCAGTTTCGTGGACACGATGGCAAGGGTGGCCCCCGGAGCCGTTGACTGGCACTTTGCGTTAGCGCTCGTCCAGTTGAGGTGCTGCGCCTTCACAGTGCCTGATACCATGTAGCATCTGTGGGCTGAAAGAGGGGGAGAAAGACGCCGTGTTAGGGAGGCTACAATGACAATGTGGATGTGAATGACAAACTAGCCATGACCTTGTTAATATTACATAAGATGACAGGTGAGGTGAATTGGAGTTAAACGTCGCGTCCAGGATTATGGCATGATTTATATAGCGTGAGTGCGTGCGTGCGTGTGTTTGTGCGTGTGTGTGTTTGTGTGTGTGTTTGTACTAGTCCGGACTGATGCCGATTAATAGTGCTAGTCGACTGAGATACCATGCCGCAATTTCACAAGAATAACCCACACAGACACAGTGCACTGACTCCGAGCCGACCAGTCCTTGTTTTAGCCCCTTTATGCCAAGCGCCAGACAGGGTAACAAGAAGTACCATCTTTAAACGTCTTTTGGTATGAGTGAGTGAGTATGGTGTTATGCCGCTTTTAGCAATATTCAAGCAATCGATACCTTTTTATGTTTTTTATTTGGAACCGTGCGCTTTAAGTTTATCTCCATTCTACCATGACAATGACAACGTTTTTTTGTATGAAAAGTCGTAATTAAGAGGTATTAATCGGAAAATTGATACCTCATTTAAATCAAAGTCCGAAATATCTTAAGTCCTTGCGACCATCTGGAGGAAACATACTATGTTCTTATACTGATTTTTCATAACATATCGCTGGTACCTTACGCATTTAGCCAAACGTGGTTTGTGTAGATATTTCTAAAAGATACGGTGAAGTTCGAAATATATCTATATGTAAATATAGAAGTGTCCTAACGCATTGATTCCACTGCCGGTGTGACACGAGGTTAGGGACCGACCCTTGATATTCCTGGTCCTGGGAGTTTATCGAAAAAAACCCATTATCCCCGAAAATTCTTGAAAAATATAATTTTGCATCAGACTGTCGGGGAAAAAAAGAAATTGCCTGCCACAAAAATTACCTTGTTGCAAGGTGTTTTTCAGGCTAATAATTGTAAATAAAAAAGATATACCTGGTTTTGTATCTTTAGCTGAAAATATATCTAATCTCGATACAAAATCCAAGCAACACCCCCCCCCCCCCTAACGTAAAACCCCCAAAAGCAACAGCAAAAAAAAAGAAAAAAAAAGAAAAAAAAAAGGACTCACAGCTGAAGACGGTCTTGAACCCTGGGGGGCAGCCTCCTTGTACAACCGCTGTCGGGGCTGGAGTCATGGGGGCTGTGTTCCATGTCTTCTTCTGACATATAAACCCCATGACGTCATTGCAGTTCTGGTCATACCACGTGCCTGATATGGTGAAGGCATAGGTCATTAACAAAGGCTGGGATAGGCATTATGAAGTTGAAGAACATGAAGACACGAGGCTTACGAAGACATAAAACATGTTATAGATAATAAAGTCATTACTGATAGTAACGACGGTTGGGGGCTGCATAATGTTTTGTAGGTCCATGCATGGAATGTATTGACATTGATTCAGAAACGTAACTAAAAGGCACATAATCTGGAGTCAGGTATATCAACTTGTATTGATTCTATTGTTTGTTTGTTGTTTAACGCCACACTCAGCAATACTCCAGCTATATGACAGAGGTCTGTAAATAATCGAGTCTGAAACAGACAATCCAGTGATTGGCATCATGAGCATCTACTTAATTGAGATACGATGACATGTATCAACCAAGTCAGCGAGCCTGACCACCCGATCCCGTTAGTCGCCTCTTACGACAAGCACAGTCGTCTTTTACGACAAGCATGGGTTGCTGGAGACCTATTCTAACCCTGATCTGTATTGATTCTAAGTTGGGTTTGGCTGCAAATTATCTGTATGTATGTAGATGTAGATCAGTGGGTGGAGGAGTAAAGCAACATTCTAATGAAAAAAGGATGCTGAAAAAAATCGGTGCCTTTCATATGTTATTAATACATTAATTATGCATTTAACCCCATTCAATATCTATCGTTGTTGAAATCTATAAATTTGAACTAATTGTAAATATATTTTGTGTAACCATGCGCCTGTGTCAGTAGCCTTGCATTAAGTTGTATTTGTATTGTTTTGGCTCTAACCATATTAACAAATCAAGAAAAGACACGGAATACCCATAGCCTTAGTCACAACCAATCCATGTACAGATTTACCTCCCTTAGTCGTGCCAGAATCAAAAGATTCACCTGATCATCTTTGACAGGTGTCCATTGATTTCATGACCTGCGTTGTTTGTTTGGCTTCGTGTCATACCACCCTGATGTGCCGCGATTTCACTAACTGTTAAAGCGTCATAAACCATTCACTCAAAATGGAATAACATTCTCACCAAAGTGATTATCGAGGTAGACACATCTCTTCTCACCGAGACCATCATTAGGCTGACGAACTTGCCAATCCAGGAACTGTACAGGGCTCCCGTCAGACCACCTGGTACACCAAGAACATCATTTTAATAGAATCCCCCGTGCACGCCATGTGATGTTCCTCATATACCTTCACACATAATAGAATCCCCCGCACGCACATAGAGATAAACTTTCAAACACAGTGAGATCACCTGAATGCTTGTAATTAGCCTTTAAGCACAATGAGATCATCTGTATGCTTGTAATTAGCTTTCGAGCACAATGAGATCACCTGCACGCTTGTAATAAGCATTTAAGCACAATGAAATCCCTCCCCGGGCATATCGAGATTAACCTGCATGCACATTGATACAGATGTCAAAGTCAGCCAAGGCGCAATTCGCATGGCACAGTTGCGTCCCTTAGGTTTACCAGGATCATATGATGGCGGTTAGAATTCCGGATTTGCCTATATTATGTTTCTAGGTTTGTGTGAGCTCCATATCCGTGCTCGTGGTTTACAAAGTCTAAGACTTGCATCACTTTCCTCTAACAGTATCCTGCCACGCAGTGATACAAGTGCTATAGTCTACAATGCACTTTCCCTTTAAGGAGTCGAGGTGAAATGGGGTCGACTGTCGCGTTAAAGATTATTTCACTTATCGCGGTGTGCGTTTGTGCGCGTGCGTGCGTGAGTGGGAACGAATTAAGGAGCTTGCGATACCATGCGGCAGTCTAAATATGGATACCCCACTCAGACATATTAAACAATCCTTGTAATATTCCCTTAATGCCGAGCGCCAGGCTGGGAAACAACAAGTACCATCTTTTAATGTCTCATGGCATGACCCGGCCAGGAGATCGAACCTACGATCGTACGCTCTCCGGATAGAGGCTCTATCCACCAGACCACGGAGTGAGTGAGTTGGGTTTAACGCCGCTTTTAACATTATTCCAGTTATATCACGGCGTGTCAGCTAAATGTGGGATTGCCCAAAGTGATGCAGGTCTCAGACGTTTACCACTTCGGTGAAACCCACGTCCCCGGGTATGGTGCTGACAAACCTAGAAACATAATCGGGGCGAACCGGGATTCGAACCCACAATAATAGGTTTCTGGCGTGCCCAAGGGACGCAACTCTGCACAGCGAATCGCGGCGCCTCAGACGAATGGGTCTTCCCTTTGGACTTACTGGTAGCCAGACATATCCAGATTGTTTAACCCGATCCAGTACTGCTGTCTTCGGAATGTCCTTGCTATCTGTAACACAAAACTTTGGTGAATTCATCAGGTTTTAACATTTCCAGAGTGAGTAATTTGGGTGTTGAACGCGCTTTGAACAGTATTCCAGTTATATCACGGCGTGTCATCTTAACGTGGAAGCAAAGCCCGAAGTGATGCAGGTTTCAGACGTTTACCACTTTGGTGAAACCCACGAGCACGGGTACGGTGCTGACAATCTAGAAACATAATCGGGGCGAACCGGGATTCGAACCCACGATCGTAGGTTTCTGGCGTGCCCAAGGGACGCAACTCTGCACAGCGAATTATGGCGCCTTAGACTTGCTCGTGTTCTAATATTTAAACAAAATGCTTCATGAAAACAACCTCTTAACATCATTACCTACGTACTTCGTGTTATCATTAAGTTAGTTATCATTCTAAGAATATATCTACTAGTAACTTTCATGACATTTTCCAAACGTTTTGCTCATTCTTAAACTATGCCGGGCCCGTGAAGTTGCGGGTTAGAATAGGTCTTCAGCAACCCATGCATGCCGCAAAAGAGGCGACTATGCTTGTCGTAAGACGCGACTAATGGGATCGTGTGGTCAGGCTCGCTGACTTGGTTGATGCATGTCATCGTATCCTAACTGCGTGGATCGATGCTCATGATGTCAATCACTGGGTTGTCTGGCCCAGACTCGATTATTTACAGACCGCCGTCATATAGCAGGAATATTTCCGAGTGCGGCGTTAAACAACATAAAACAAACAAACAAAAACTATGCAGCCCTCGTGGGTAGTTTATACTCACCAAAGAGGTGAACAAGCCATTGTCGTCCGGACTATGGATGCTGGCCAGATCACCTCCTGCAGCCATACAGTACCTCTGGGATTCGAACCACGATTTATGGGCGTCTGACCCGTTTCGTGGGCTCAGCATATAACATCTGTTGTTGTAGAAATACCAGGTGCCATTGCCCTTACACAGGGTCGCTGCATCAGGGATTGAAATGAAATCAGGATCTTATTAATAAGGATTTAAATCAGGATTACACTATTTAGACTAGACAGGGTCTTCAAGCAGGATCCTAGTTAACGTACTTCAATCAGGATGCTATAAATAAGTAATTTTATTATTGCAGGATCCCAGTAAAAAGTAATGAATTCAGGATCATATCAATAAGTAATTCACGCTGGATCCTTATAAACGTAATTAAATCAGGATTCTACAAATAAGTAATTTTCATATTTCAGGATCCCAGAAAGAAGTCATGAAATCAGGATCCTATCAATAAGTAATTTATGCAGGATCCTTTTAAACGTAATTAAATCAGGATTCTATAAATAAGTAATTTTATTATATCAGGATACCATTAATAGGTAGGGTGGGGGTATCTTAATTCGATATATCTCATCATGATCCTTGGACTTCACTCATTCTTTGTTAAGTGGTAGGTCGAACCAGGGTCTTAGGCGTAACGGGCAAACACTGTTACCACTTGGCTAACCAACGAACAGGGAATCCTCGGACATTAAAGCGAGAAAGAGGAGGATCTACTGTCTGTTATGGTCGCTAACAATACATCATGTTGGATGCTAGCCCATGTCGAAGTACACCTACATGTTGATGCTGCCGGTGGTGTGGGGGTCGTCGTTATCTGGATACCTACAACAAGGAACGCATTGGTTGAGAGATAGATTCAGTAAGTATCACTCATTTAATTAATGTGATAATTGTGTGAGTAAGTGAGTATTGTTTTGCGCCGATGTTAGGAATATTACAGCGTTATTACATCAGGGGACACCAGAAACAGGCTTTACGCATTGTACCCATGTGGAGAATCGAACTCAGGTCTTCGGGTGACGAGTAAACGCTTTGACCACTAGCCTACCCCACCGCCCCTTGTGATAATTATGGGTACAATTATTTTTGATGAAAGACCACAATTTTCTAAAATAATACATACACAACATGTGTTTAAAAGATGGGATTTTCATCAATTCTTACATAGAGGATGGTATTCTTCTTGGATAATATATCATGAAGAATTGGGATATGAGGAACTCATATTTCGTGTACCTATCCATGTACATAGGTTTATCTTTATTCGTTGAATAATCCAACTGTGTAATTGGCCAGTGGCCGTTTTGTATAACCCATAGGAGTCGACTGGCTAAACTGGGCCCACCTCATATGCAAGTTGATGTCTGGCGTAGGGATCCGGGAACCAGTTTAGTCGGCTGGCCGACCTGTGCGGATATCATGGCGTCATAATGTTTGATGTGACGTCACTTTATTTGTCACGCCACAATTGACTAAAAGTCCAACAGTGGTTACAAGATATTCATCGAAACTAAGTATTATAACTTATGTCTTTATATGCCATATCCGTTAACGCGAGTCACGAGCTGGGTATATGGACTTTTGCAAGTTCGTGTACCCGCCTTTATCTTCGATCCCTTGGTGTAAAAGCCCATAAAGAAAGAAATAATTGCAATGGAGAGGTTGCAATGCATATCAAGCCTTTGAATGGCATTTAGAAGTGTTACACATGAGAGAAAGAGATAATTTGTGGATGTCAACTTCTTTATTATTATGAGTGAGTGAGTATTGCTTTACGCCGCTTTTAGCAATATTCCAGCAATATCAGGGCAGGGGGGCACCACAAAAGGGCTCCACACGTTGTACCCATGTACCCAACAACGTTTCGGAGTATATATTTACCCCTTCGACGCGTGATGAAGGAGTAAACAGATACTTCCCAACGCTGTGACATTGGCATCCATAAAATAGTCTCTCTTCTACAATGCATAGTTTATTGTACGTAAGGGACCCAACCTCTTGGCAGCTGGCACATGAAGTGTTTAGCCGTGTAGCAGTAGAAGTCGTTCCAGGAGTTGGAGACAAAGTTGTATTCGACGCAGTCCTCTTGGGCGTTCAAGTTGTTCGGTTCCCCCTTTGCCCAATTGCTGTATGCGAATGGGGTCCCGTCCGTCCACTGGTACCCTGGGGTGTACACACACAGCTGGTTCATTTCATAAGTCTTTAAATATCGTAATAATTCGAATAATATACAGTATACTACGTTTATAACGAACACGCTTATAACGAACTGATGGATACAACGAACTGTTTTTAGTCCCGCCTATTTGCGGCATATGTGCTTATACCGAACTACGGTTATAACGAACTAAAATCAGTGGTCCCTTTGAGTTCGTTATAACAGTAGTACCACAGCACTGTGTAGTTTTAAATCTCAGCAAAGAGAACCACTCAATAAAAGTTGCGATAAGCACTGATATTCAAAGTTTTGTGCATGAATACTCAATGCTAAAAACAACACTAAAATACTAATGATTTGAACTACTTAACGTTGAGGCAGGATAGAGAATATAATATGTCATACTTATGCCCAGTGTGGAATGAGAGCAAACATTATCAATATTAAAGGGGCGCCGGAATGGGGTTTAACGTCCCAGGATTATTGCACTTTTATAACGTGTGTGTGTGTGTGTGTGTGTGTGTGTGTGTGTGTGTGTGTGTGTGTGTGTGTGTGTGTGTGTGTGTGTGTGTGTGTGTGTGTGTGTGTGTGTGCTTGTACTAGTGCGGACTGATTTTAGTTCTGGCCCACAGAGATACCATGCCGCAGTTGTACATGAATACCCCACTCAAACACAGTAGACTGACTCCGAGCCGACCAGTCCATGTATTAGCCCCTTAAAGTCGAGCGCCAGGCAAGGTAACAACAACTACCATCTTTTAAGTCTTTTGGTATGACTACTAGACAACGGAGGCGGTCCAATATCAAAGAAGCTGTAGCCATGTAAGTTGATGTAACATATGGAAACCATATGTGAAAAAATGAATATAAACGCCTGTGTGAGTGAGTGAGTGAGTGAGTGAGTGAGTTGGGTTTAACGCCGCTTTTAACATTATTCCAGTTATATCACGGCGTGTCAGCTTTATGTAGGAGGAAAGCCCGAAGTGATGCAGATCTCAGACGTTTACCACTTCGGTGAAACCCACGAGCACGGGTATGGTGCTGACAAACCTAGAAACATAATCGGGGCGAACCGGGATTCGAACCCACAGTCATAGGTTTCTGGCGTGCCCAAGGGACGCAACTCTGCACAGCGAATCGCGGGGCCTTGGACGATTGGGCCACCCGTGCCTCTAAACGCCTGTGTGAATGAGTTGTGTTTAACAATGTCTTCATTGAATATGTATAATACAGTATTTCAGTTATGAGTGTCAGTTGAATGTGGGAGGAAAGCTCAATGTGATACAGGTCCAAGAAGTAACCTCATTAATCCACGAGTATGGGTATGGTGCTAATAAACCAAGAAACACTATCAAGGCGAGTTTGGGATTCGAACCAACATTCACAGGTTACTGGTTCGCTTAAGGCACAGCGGCGCCTGACGTTCTTAAAAGGTACACATATATACAAACCATCCTCAATATCCCGGTCGTTCAGCCCTATCCAGAAAGATCTAGTTCCGTTCCTGTAAGTAAACAATATTAACAATTCCTTCAGCCGAGTATGAGGTCATCTTTTATACTGAATTTCGAATATATTATTCTGTATATTACCTACTGCTATTGTCATAATGCTGAATTATTTAGAGGATAAAAATAATAAGTGTGCCGAGACGAAAAGCCATAATCAATGTCAAATGTGCATTGTTTACAAGAGGAAACGATTTATACCCATTAACAAGGGTGTATTATACAGAGAAGGTCATAATCGGTATCAAAACTGCATTATTTAGAGGACAGAATTCATAAGCAATAACAAGGTAGCTTCATACAGAGAAGTATTATAAGCGATATCAAATTTACATTATTTACAAGAGAAAACGATTCCTCACCGATTAATAAGGGTGTTTTATACAGGGAAGAAGAATCATAATCAATATCAAACTCATTAGGATACAAGTGTGAATTATTGAAGATAGTATTATAAAATATCCAATGTCATTATGAGAAGAGATTTATAACTGATGTCAAGATTGCACTATTCAGAATAGGAGAAGATTAATAACTGACGTCATGTTTCCATTACTACTATTGAGAAGAGATTAAAAAACGAGTCTGAAAAGAGAAGCCTTATTTTAGATACCACGTCTGAATTATGTCAAGGCAAAGCGGATTATTGTGTACACGAAATCTGAATGCCTAGAAGGAAAAGATAGTATTATATGTAACGAAAATTCCGTTCCATCTGCCAGGCTCAGCTTACCGTACTATTGTTTGGATGAAACTCTCGAGAGTTGAATTGTAGATGCTGACGAGGTCGCCCCCGAAGCCTTGGCAGAGGTCTCTGGCCTCCGTCCACGTCTGGAGCGTAAACGCTTTCCCCCCGTAGAACTGTCAGAACACATAATATACAGATACAGTCACACAGAACAGGTTTTCCCCAGTAGAACTGTCAGAACACATGGTATACAGATACAGTCATACAGAACAGGCGTTTACCCCGTAGAACAGTCAGAACACATAATATACAGATACAGTCACACAGAACAGGCGTTTACCCCGTAGAACAGTCAGAACACATAATATACAGATACAGTCACACAGAACAGGCTTTCCCCCCGTAGAACTGTCAGATCACATGGTATACAGATACAGTCACACAGAACAGGCTTTCCTCCGTAGAACTGTCAGAACACATAATATACAGATGCAGTCACACAGAACAGGCTTTCCTCCGTAGAACAGTCAGAACACATAATATACAGATACGGTCACACAGAACAGGATTTCCTCCGTAGAACTGTCAGAACACATAATATACAGATACAGTCACACAGAACAGGCTTTCCTCCGTAGAACTGTCAGAACACATAATATACAGATGCAGTCACACAGAACAGGCGTTTACCCCGTAGAACAGTCATAACACATAATATACAGATACAGTCACACAGAACAGGCTTTCCCCCCGTAGAACTGTCAGAACACATGGTATACAGATACAGTCACACAGAACAGGCTTTCCTCCGTAGAACAGTCAGAACACATAATATACAGATGCAGTCACACAGAACAGGCTTTCCTCCGTAGAACTATCAGATCACATGGTATACAGATACAGTCACACAGAACAGGCGTTTAACCCGTAGAACAGTCAGAACACATAATATACAGATACAGTCACACAGAACAGGCGTTTACCCCGTAGAACAGTCAGAACACATAATATACAGATACAGTCACACAGAACAGGCTTTCCTCCGTAGAACTGTCAGATCACATGGTATACAGATACAGTCACACAGAACAGGCTTTCCCCCCGTAGAACTGTCAGATCACATGGTATACAGATACAGTCACACAGAACAGGCTTTCCTCCGTAGAACTATCAGAACACATAATATACAGATGCAGTCACACAGAACAGGCTTTCCTCCGTAGAACTATCAGAACACATAATATACAGATGCAGTCACACAGAACAGGCTTTCCTCCGTAGAACTATCAGATCACATGGTATACAGATACAGTCACACAGAACAGGCGTTTAACCCGTAGAACTATCAGAACACATAATATACAGATGCAGTCACACAGAACAGGCTTTCCTCCGTAGAACTATCAGAACACATAATATACAGATGCAGTCTCACAGAACAGGCTTTCCTCCGTAGAACTGTCAGAACACATAATATACAGATACGGTCACACAGAACAGGCTTTCCTCCGTAGAACTGTCAGAACACATAATATACAGATACAGTCACACAGAACAGGCTTCCCTTCGTAGAACGGTCAGATCACATGGTATACAGATACAGTCACACAGAACAGGCTTTCCCCCCGTAGAACTGTCAGATCACATGGTATACAGATAAAGTCACACAGGACAGGCTTTCCTCCGTAGAACAGTCAGAACACATAATATACAGATGCAGTCACACAGAACAGGCGTTTACCCCGTAGAACAGTCATAACACATGGTATACAGATACAGTCACACAGAACAGGCTTTCCCCCGTAGAACATTCAGAACACATAATATACAGATACAGTCACACAGAACAGGCTTTCCCCCCGTAGAACTGTCATAACACATAATATACAGATACAATCACACAGAACAGGCTTTCCCCGTAGAACAGCCAGAACACATAATATACAGATACAGTCACACAGAACAGGCTTTCCTCCGTAGAACTGTCAGAACACATAATATACAGATACAGTCACACAGAACAGGCGTTTACCCCGTAGAACAGTCAGAACACATAATATACAGATACAGTCACACAGAACAGGCTTTCCCCCCGTAGAACTGTCAGAACACATAATATACAGATACAGTCACACAGAACAGGCGTTTACCCCGTAGAACAGTCAGAACACATAATATACAGATACAGTCACACAGAACAGGCTTTCCCCGTAGAACAGTCAGAACACATAATATACAGATACAGTCACACAGAACAGGCTTTCCTCCGTAGAACTGTCAGAACACATAATATACAGATACAGTCACACAGAACAGGCGTTTACCCCGTAGAACAGTCAGAACACATAATATACAGATACAGTCACACAGAACAGGCGTTTACCCCGTAGAACTGTCAGAACACATAATATACAGATACAGTCACACAGAACAGGCTTTCCCCCCGTAGAACTGTCAGAACACATAATATACTGATACAGTCACACAGAACAGGCGTTTACCCCGTAGAACAGTCAGAACACATAATATACAGATACAGTCACACAGAACAGGCTTTCCTCCGTAGAACTGTCAGAACACATAATATACAGATACAGTCACACAGAACAGGCGTTTACCCCGTAGAACAGTCAGAACACTTAATATACAGATACAGTCACACAGAACAGGATTTCCTCCGTAGAACTGTCAGAACACATAATATACTGATACAGTCACACAGAACAGGCGTTTACCCCGTAGAACAGTCAGATCACATGGTATACAGATACAGTCACACAGAACAGGCGTTTACCCCGTAGAACAGTCAGAACACTTAATATACAGATACAGTCACACAGAACAGGCTTTCCCCCCGTAGAACTGTCAGAACACATAATATACAGATACAGTCACACAGAACAGGCGTTTACCCCGTAGAACTGTCAGAACACATAATATACTGATACAGTCACACAGAACAGGCTTTCCTCCGTAGAACTGTCAGAACACATAATATACAGATACAGTCACACAGAAGAGGCGTTTACCCCGTAGAACAGTCAGAACACTTAATATACAGATACAGTCACACAGAACAGGCTTTCCCCCCGTAGAACTGTCAGAACACATAATATACAGATACGGTCACACAGAACAGGCGTTTACCCCGTAGAACAGTCAGATCACATGGTATACAGATACAGTCACACAGAACAGGCGTTTACCCCGTAGAACTGTCAGATCACATGGTATACAGATACAGTCACACAGAACAGGCTTCCCCCCGTAGAACAGTCATAACACATAATATACAGATACGGTCACACAGAACAGGCGTTTACCCCGTAGAACTGTCAGAACACATAATATACAGATACAGTCACACAGAACAGGCTTTCCCCCCGTAGAACAGTCAGAACACATAATATACAGATACAGTCACACAGAACAGGCGTTTACCCCGTAGAACTGTCAGAACACATACTATACAGATACAGTCACACAGAACAGGCTTTCCCCCCGTAGAATTGTCAGATCACATAATATACAGATACAGTCACACAGAACAGGCTTCCCCCCGTAGAACAGTCAGAACACATAATATACAGATACAGTCAAACAGAACAGGCTTCCCCCCGTAGAACTGTCAGAACACATAATATACAGATACGGTCACACAGAACAGGCTTTCCTCCGTAGAACTGTCAGAACACATAATATACAGATACAGTCACACAGAACAGGCTTTCCCCCGTAGAACAGTCATAACACATAATATACAGATACAGTCACACAGAACAGGCTTCCCTTCGTAGAACGGTCAGATCACATGGTATACAGATACAGTCACACAGAACAGGCTTTCCCCCCGTAGAACTGTCAGATCACATGGTATACAGATAAAGTCACACAGAACAGGCTTTCCTCCGTAGAACAGTCAGAACACATAATATACAGATGCAGTCACACAGAACAGGCGTTTACCCCGTAGAACAGTCATAACACATGGTATACAGATACAGTCACACAGAACAGGCTTTCCCCCGTAGAACATTCAGAACACATAATATACAGATACAGTCACACAGAACAGGCTTTCCTCCGTAGGACTGTCAGAACACATAATATACAGATACAGTCACACAGAACAGGCGTTTACCCCGTAGAACTGTCAGATCACATACTATACAGATACAGTCACACAGAACAGGCTTTCCCCCCGTAGAACAGTCAGAACACATAATATACAGATACAGTCACACAGAACAGGCTTTCCCCCCGTAGAACTGTCAGAACACATAATATACAGATACAGTCACACAGAACAGGCTTTCCCCGTAGAACAGTCAGAACACATAATATACAGATACAGTCACACAGAACAGGCTTTCCTCCGTAGAACTGTCAGAACACATAATATACAGATACAGTCACACAGAACAGGCGTTTACCCCGTAGAACAGTCAGAACACATAATATACAGATACAGTCACACAGAACAGGCTTTCCCCCCGTAGAACTGTCAGAACACATAATATACAGATACAGTCACACAGAACAGGCGTTTACCCCGTAGAACAGTCAGAACACATAATATACAGATACAGTCACACAGAACAGGCTTTCCCCGTAGAACAGTCAGAACACATAATATACAGATACAGTCACACAGAACAGGCTTTCCTCCGTAGAACTGTCAGAACACATAATATACAGATACAGTCACACAGAACAGGCGTTTACCCCGTAGAACAGTCAGAACACATAATATACAGATACAGTCACACAGAACAGGCGTTTACCCCGTAGAACTGTCAGAACACATAATATACAGATACAGTCACACAGAACAGGCTTTCCCCCCGTAGAACTGTCAGAACACATAATATACTGATACAGTCACACAGAACAGGCGTTTACCCCGTAGGACAGTCAGAACACATAATATACAGATACAGTCACACAGAACAGGCTTTCCTCCGTAGAACTGTCAGAACACATAATATACAGATACAGTCACACAGAACAGGCGTTTACCCCGTAGAACAGTCAGAACACTTAATATACAGATACAGTCACACAGAACAGGATTTCCTCCGTAGAACTGTCAGAACACATAATATACTGATACAGTCACACAGAACAGGCGTTTACCCCGTAGAACAGTCAGATCACATGGTATACAGATACAGTCACACAGAACAGGCGTTTACCCCGTAGAACAGTCAGAACACTTAATATACAGATACAGTCACACAGAACAGGCTTTCCCCCCGTAGAACTGTCAGAACACATAATATACAGATACAGTCACACAGAACAGGCGTTTACCCCGTAGAACTGTCAGAACACATAATATACTGATACAGTCACACAGAACAGGCTTTCCTCCGTAGAACTGTCAGAACACATAATATACAGATACAGTCACACAGAACAGGCGTTTACCCCGTAGACCAGTCAGAACACTTAATATACAGATACAGTCACACAGAACAGGCTTTCCCCCCGTAGAACTGTCAGAACACATAATATACAGATACGGTCACACAGAACAGGCGTTTACCCCGTAGAACAGTCAGATCACATGGTATACAGATACAGTCACACAGAACAGGCGTTTACCCCGTAGAACTGTCAGATCACATGGTATACAGATACAGTCACACAGAACAGGCTTCCCCCCGTAGAACAGTCATAACACATAATATACAGATACGGTCACACAGAACAGGCGTTTACCCCGTAGAACTGTCAGAACACATAATATACAGATACAGTCACACAGAACAGGCTTTCCCCCCGTAGAACAGTCAGAACACATAATATACAGATACAGTCACACAGAACAGGCGTTTACCCCGTAGAACTGTCAGAACACATACTATACAGATACAGTCACACAGAACAGGCTTTCCCCCCGTAGAATTGTCAGATCACATAATATACAGATACAGTCACACAGAACAGGCTTCCCCCCGTAGAACAGTCAGAACACATAATATACAGATACAGTCAAACAGAACAGGCTTCCCCCCGTAGAACTGTCAGAACACATAATATACAGATACAGTCACACAGAACAGGCGTTTACCCCGTAGAACAGTCAGAACACATAATATACAGATACAGTCACACAGAACAGGCTTCACCCCGTAGAACAGTCAGAACACATAATATACAGATACAGTCACACAGAACAGGCTTCCCCCCGTAGAACAGTCATAACACATAATATACAGATACAGTCACACAGAACAGGCTTTCCTCCGTAGAACTGTCAGAACACATAATAGTTAGATACAGTCACACAGAACAGGCGTTTACCCCGTAGAACTGTCAGATCACATACTATACAGAATCTGATACAATTACCAAAAAAAAGTTTGTTTGTTTGTTGTTTAACGCCGCACTCAGCTATATGACGGCGGTTTGTAAATAATCGAGCCTGGACCAGGTAATCCAGTGAATGACATCATGAGCATCGTGTATCACGTAATTGGGATATGATGACATGCATCAACCAAGTCAGCGAGCCTGATCACCCGATCCCGTTAGTCGCCTCTTACGACAAGCATAGTCGCCTTTTTCGGCAAGCATGGGTTGCTGAAGACCAATTCCCAATTGCGTAGATCGATGCTCATGGTGTCAATCACTGGATTATCAGGTGTAGACTTATTATTATTTAGTATTATTTACAGACCGCCGTCATATAGCTGGACTATTGCTGAGTGTTGCGTTAAACAACTAACAAACAAAGCTTGCAAGATCAGTCACTGGATTGTCAGGTCCATGCTCGATTATTAACAGGTCGTCGTCCTAAAGCTGGTGTATTGCTGAGTGCGACGGTGCACGCACGTACACCCATAAACCGCCATATAATATGAACATAGGTTTACCCTATAGCAGAGATCATTGTAGCCATGCCAGTACTTGGGGCATGGTAGGGGGCTGGGCGTGGTGGGAGGCTGGGTCGGGAGGGTGGTGTAGCCTGTCCGGGGGTACTCGCAGATGTAGGGTCGGTGATCGGTGCAGTTGTGGTTCTCCCATAGGCCGGCAGGGTGCCCGGTTCGGATAGCAACACACGTTTTTCTCTCGTTGCCTACAAACAAATATATATGACAGGAATGTATTATGCTCATGTGGAATTTCATTCAGTCTGTCACACTGCTGTCATGGTGGCACGTAGTGTAAGATCTGTCACAATATATTTTGTATTGAGAGCCAACAATCTACTTCACTGAAACCTACAAACTTGACATCAGCAACACGCCTCGTTATACTCGAATCAGAATCGGATTTTGATAGGTTATATTGTTTAACTCAGAGAATGCGGTAAAAAAGATTAAACAGGCTTGCAGATAATTGATGTAACTTACAGGTAAACATGATAGGTTAGGTTAAAGATAATCATCTGGCATCTGTTTGCTTAATCCTCAAACGAGGCTTACCTTAGCGTCCTGCTATTTTAGCGTGAATGTGTTGTTCTACACTTAAGTCCAAATTGGCAGTTTCAGTTTTCGAAGGAAAATTCAATTGTGACGTATTCAGGTCACGTGATACTTCAGGTCTTCCAGTCTTTGTGTTTCGCTCGATAACTTCCTTTAGGAACAGTATTGCTGTTGTTCTCTTATGCAAGGTCCTTACCGGTGTGAGTCTCGTACCAGGCAGTGAAATCAAGGACCTGACCGCTTGACCATTGGTACGTTCCAGGGTTCTGGTGGTCATTCAATCCAACCCAGAACGCCGTTGGTTTGTTTAACATCTCAGCGCCAAGGAAGGCTTGAACATGACTGAAAAAAAATAACTGACATTTCATCTATTTTTAAGAGGAAGTAAGGGAACATGGCATCAACTAATGGTCTGTCCTGGCTTGAATATGTATATGCTACTCAAAAGACATCAAAGAACATCCGATTCTTTTATATTACTATAGTTAACCTGCCACTGCATGATATATACTACTCAAAAGATATTAAAGAACATCCGTTTCTTTTATATTACTACAGTTAACCTGCCACTGCATGACATATACTCCTCAAAGAAGTTAAAGAGCATCGATTCTTTCATATTACTATAGTTAACCTGCCACTGCATGACATATGCTACTCAAAAGACATTAAAGAAAATCCGTTTCTTTCATATTACTATAGTTAACCTTTCTATTGCATGAGATATACTATTCAAAAGACATTAAAGAACATCCGTTTCTTTCATATTGCTATAGTTAACCTGCCACTGCATGACATATACTACTCAAAAGATATTAAAGAACATCCGATTCTTTCATATTGCTATAGTTAACCTGCCACTGCATGACATATACTACTCAAAAGACATTAAAGAACATCCGATTCTTTCATATTACTATAGTTAACCTGCCACTGCATGATATATACTACTCAAAAGATATTAAAGAACATCCGTTTCTTTCATATTACTATAGTTAACCTTCCATTTCATGAGATATACTATTCAAAAGACATTAAAGAACATCCGATTCTTTCATATTACTATAGTTAACCTGCCACTGCATGACATATACTACCCAAAAGACATTAAAGAACATCCGATTCTTTCATATTACTATAGTTAACCTGCCACTGCATGACATATACTACCCAAAAGACATTAAAGAACATCCGTTTCTTTCATATTACTATAGTTAACCTGCCACTGCATGACATATACTACTCAAAAGACATTAAAGAACATCCGATTCTTTCATATTAATATAGTAAACCTGCCCTTGCATGACATATACTACCCAAAAGACATTAAAGAACATCCGTTTCTTTCATATTGCTATAGTTAATCTGCCACTGCATGACATATACTACTCAAAAGACATTAAAGAAAATCCGATTCTTTCATATTACTATAGTTAACCTGCCACTGCATGACATATACTACCCAAAAGACATTAAAGAGCATCCGTTTCTTTCATATTACTATAGTTAACCTGCCATTGTATGTCATATACTATTCAAAAGACATTAAAGAGCATCCGTTTCTTTCATATTACTATAGTTAACCTGCCATTGTATGTCATATACTATTCAAAAGACATTAAAGAACATCCGATTCTTTCATATTACTATAGTTAACCTGCCACTGCATGACATATACTACCCAAAAGACATTAAAGAACATCCGATTCTTTCATATTACTATAGTTAACCTGCCATTGCATGACATATACTACTCAAAAGAAGTTAAAGAGCATCCGATTCTTTCATATTACTATAGTTAACCTGTCCAGAATAGCTGGAGTATTGCTAAACATATTCACAGAGCTGCCCCCAAAGCAACCTCAAGCCTACATTGTGTGAACTACCTCCCATTAACATTGGCTTACCACAGATGTAATTTTATTTCGCATTTTTCGATGGTGTATACTTCCTTGCAGTTACTATTTGAGAGAATATTGGGTGGGTGCTGCCGGTAGAGCGGGACAAGTCATTCGTGCTCTTTTTGCGAACACCTGGTGCTCAACGACCCATTCATATACAGATACAGTCACACAGAACAGGCGTTTACCCCGTAGAACAGTCAGAACACATAATATACAGATACAGTCACACAGAACAGGCGTTTAACCCGTAGAACTGTCAGAACACTACGACCCATTCATATAATTTTCTTCACTATTTTCCCCTTTACGCCCGATAGAATCTGTCTAGGCAGATTTATTATTTTCTGGCCTTGGCGTTTTGAATGCATAACAAATGTCCATGTATTGTGCAATCTACTCTCTGCATGACGAAGGGCACGCATCAACATATTAGTATAATTAAATTTTCGTTGTGTTCATGGAAATTCCTGCATTCTGATTAGCTGAATTGGTCACGTGTTATTGCATTCATTTCCCAAGGAATGTAAAAAATTAAGCCACGCCCACCGCGTCGCACTTCTTTTATTACTGCGGAATGTCGGGGAATCCCAATATTACAGTCGAGGGAATTCCCTTTCTGCTCAGGTGTATCGTCATGCACAGGAGATTTAGCGAAATTCATGCATATTTATTGTCAAAACTACCCTTTGAAACCAAAGGCCGAGAATGAATGAAACAGCAAACGTGCAGGCTCGCTCGCCTGTTTTTTTCCCGCTCGCCTCGGTTCAACTATCATGTCTTCGGGTTTCATTTCTAACTAGCATTTCTCCAACTGTGTTTTACCGTAATCAGGGAAGTAATGTTTGAATCACGCAGTAAATGACCATGTTATTTGAAACAGCCGCCTTCTCGTGGACATATTTCCTACGGTTCGGTACAGTCTGACTGTTGCAGTTCTTTTCGCCTCTTGCATTAATTGACAGGTCCAATGAACATTGTTTTAATCCCACTCTCCATTGATTGGCTACTGACTGTGTAGGCGTGTCAAGTTATGTGCATAAATTAAACGATCACCTGATTCATGTCACGCCACTGTATGTATTCCTACACCTGGAATGTTTATAAATGTCGTCATTTTTGTCTTTTTGATATATGCAACTGTTTTGGGTTAAACTATTGTAGATAAAACATGTTTTACGTTGTCGAATTTAATTATAAGCATTGACTGTATATTTTTTTCGGTTCATTGAGGTATGAATCGAAAAACCAATGTTTGCACATCGGTTTTTCGATTCATACCTCAATGAACCGAAAAAAATACACAGTCAATCCTTAATTACATTATTGCTATAGAGGAAAGAAAAGCATGAAAGGTTCCATCTTGCTGTCGGAAGAATAGGACATGTCATATTTACCATTTTCGCGAACACCTGGTGTCAACACTGATTCTCACCGATCTGTTCAAATAACTGTTCTACACTATTTTGCCTTTTACGGCCAATGGAATAGTCGGATAATCGAGACTGGTTATTCTCTAGCATTGACTTTTATATTTGTATATCTTTATAGATTCAGATATCAGGGACCTACCTTCCAGTGATGGTGGCGAGGTGTCCATTGTTAGCTCTACACGCCTTCTCGGCATCCCGCCACGTCTTCGACGACCACTGGAAGTCGTAGCATGTAGCGTGGTAGCCCATTTGCTGGACGGGAAGGAAAGGTGTTCTTACATACATGTGAAAAAATATTAAAATTGACATTAAATTCATCTCATGCACCCCCTTTAAACCTCCAGTTATTTGCGGCGTCAGGCAGCAAACACTTAATTTGTATTCAAATTGTGAGTTGCGGGTGCTGCCGGTAGAGCAGGACATGCTTACCATTTTCGCGAACACCTGGTGTCATCACTGATTTTCAGTGTTCCATTCATATAACTTTCACAACTGTTTTGCCTTTTTAGGCGCAATTGAATTTGTTTGGGGGATAATCGAGACTGGTTATTCTCTGGCATTGACGTTTTATATTAAAAATAATAGATTCCGCTCCATGTTAACCACATTCCTTCTAAATTTAAGAGTTCAAGTGCCTGTGCGCCTGAGAGTTGGATTAACTGTTGGATTAACTTTTGGACTAACTGTTGGATTAACTTGACTTGAATCAAACTTGCATGCCAGTCAATTTGCCTGAGCCAAGCCCCCCCCCCCTTTATCACATTCACGTGGAATGTTATAAAGTAGCAGGTATACACACAGCTCCTTGGCAACCAGTGCCCAACTCCAGCTGGGATTTTGGTATGATGGTCATTGGCTTTTTGCACACGGCACCACTCAGTGACTGGCTGCAAACACGGTCTTGCCAATAGGGGTGCTGAAACACGAGGAGGAGGATACACGTGATCTGCATTCACTATAAGAATCGAATTCACTGATGAACCCTTTTTTTTTAAATTAACAAATAAAAATCAGTAGAGTGGTGAAACATTATCTCAAGTCAAATCTACTCGTTCACAAACAAGACACGCAAGGGTACTTTTTGGCCCATAGGATCTACATAATTTAAGAAGTAAATACAACATGAGATTGAGAACTAGATGTTGTGTTATTTGTTCATTTCAACACATGCTTTTCTGTACATATAACATTACTAAATGTATACGTAAGGCTAAAATGCGTGGAAATGTTGATTAATGAGTTTTCAAGAAGGATCTGCTAAATGCTTAATCTTTTACCCAATCTAATTTTCTTAGCTGTTGTAGATAAAGACAGTGAAAAGATGGGGTAATAAAATCATCAAGGCTCATTGTTAGATGTTCTTTTGCAATTGGAAAAATCGGCATTTGCAGCTCACTTAAGACATTATTATGAACTTGTGAACAGTGGGAGAGAGTTGGGTTTAACAGCGTTTTGAAACAGTAGACGCCTTATGTCAAGGCGTTTCAGTTTAATGGGAGGGGGAGCCCGAAGTGATGCAGGCCAAAGACGTTTACCACTTTGGTGAAACCCACGAGCACGGGTATGCTGCTCGAAACATAACAGAAATACCGCGCCAAGGGACGCAACTCTGCACAGCGAATTGCCTCGGCTTAGATGACAGGGCGCCTTAGACGTCAGTGATGTCAATGAATGTGAGGTGAGGTGAAATTGGGTTTAACGTCGCGTCCAAGATTATTGCACTTATATAGCGACGTGCATGCACGTGTATGTGTGTGTGTGGCTGCTTGTACTAGTCCGGACTGATGCCGATTTAAAGTGCTAGCTCACTGAGATACCATGCCGCAGTTTAACATGAATACCCCACTCAGACACAGTATACTGACTCCGAGCCGACCAGTCCTTGTTTTAGCCCCTTAATGCCGAGCGCCAGACGGGGTAACAACAAGTACAATCTTTTAACGTCTTTTTGTATGACGCGGCCCGAGATCGAACCCTGGACCTTCCGCTCTCCGGGCGGACGCTCTACCACAAGACCACAGAGGCGGTCTCAATGAATGTAACAGCGACTGGTCGGTTTGTTTTTGTGGAAAAAAGTCTAACCGTTACCTAAATGTATAATTCATCATTTTCTCCAGAAACATTAAGATCAAACGACACTTAGCCAAGACAGGGACATACTTCCCGGATCCCACAACATAAAGCCAAAAAAGGCATATACATGATACATAAAAATGAGTTACTAAACATGTCAAGTGTATATTTAAATAGAATGACATTTCTGATGATCCCTAGCAAACGTTGAGTAGAAGACTTCGAAGATCTCGGGACGTGAAGGCGAGACAGGAATTTACTTGGTTAGATCTTTTAGGGTTATTACAAATGGATATATTCCTGATTCGCCTGAGTCTGTTTTATTTTATTGTGACCGCCTCCGTGGTGTAGTGGTAGAGCCTCCGCCCGGGGAGCGAGAGGTCCGGGGTTCGATGCAAAAAACGTCATACCAAAAGACGTTTTAAGATGGTACTTGTTGTTCACCTGTCTGGCGCTCGGCGTTAAGGGGCTAAAACAAGGTCTGGTCAGTAACTGCGGCATGGTATCTCAGTGAGCTAGCACTATAAATCGGCATCAGTCCGGACTAGTACAAGCATACAAACACGCACGCACGCATGCACGCCCGCCCGCCCGCATGCACGCCCGCCCGCCCGCATGCACGCCCGCCCGCCCGAACGCACGCACGCACGCGCATGCACGTCGCTATATAAGTGTAATAATCTTGGACGTGACGTTAAACCCCATTTCATCTCACCTTTGTTTTATTGTTTGTTGTTTAACGCCGCACAAAGCATTATTCCAACTATATGATGCCGGTCTGTAAATAATCGAGTGTGGACCAGACAATCCAGTGATTGATATCATGAGCATCGCAATTGGGATATTATGGCATGCATCAACCAAGTCAGCGAGCCTGACCACCAGATCCCGTCAGTCGCCTCTTACGACAAGCATAGTCGCCTTTTACGGCAAGCATGGGTGGCTGTAGACCTATTCTAACCCGGATCTTCACGGGTCCTGCTTTATTGAGCCAGTGTTATTGACTAATTAAAAATTTCTAAATGTACGAAACAAAGGAGGCTAATGTCATCTAAATGTACTAACGTCGGCTGACATGGCAACACAGTCCTCGTCATGTCCCATCCAGTTGTTGGGTTCGTTCCGGGCCCAGTGTGTATATGACACCGGCTGGCCGTCCTGCCAGACGAATTTCATCTCTATAGCCTGATCATTCAGGCCTATCCATACGAAATGGCCGTGATTGGCTAAACCTGTGTATAAACAAACATATGAGTGAGTATGGTTTTACGCTGCTTTTAGCAACATTTAAACAATATCAGGGCGGGTATCCAGAAATCGGCTTCACTAATTTTACCCATGTGGGCATTCGAACCCGGGTATTCGGCGTGACGGGCGAACGCTTTAACCCCACCGTCCCTAAAAAACATATGAATATGACCAATAGAACTATGTGTCTCCGTGATTATTTTAGTTTTATCAGCTATTTATAATATTTTGGATGAATTATTCATGAAAGTAGGTCACTGTGATGCAATTCTTATCTCTCGTCACTTTTGACAGAACAAATTGGTCCAATGGGCAGATTTGATTTTCAGGTTTATCTAAATTCCGACTGTATCAGTCAGCATTTGCTAACCCTGTTGTACTTGGCTTTGTTGTATAACGCGGCACTCACTAAATTTCCAGATAGATGACAGCGGCCGGTAAATAATCGTCTCTGGACAAGACAAACCGGTGATTGATATTATGAGCATTGTCCTGAGTCATCGGGAAACGACGACATGCTATCATCAAAGTCACCGACTATGCGATCTATTTTGTCGCCTTTAATAATAACCACAGGGACCTACCTACCTACCCTGTCCGTTGTACTCACTCTTTGGGATTATACTGTAGACCATCTTATTTTCACCATCGTCAATGATGCTGGCGAGTTTAGCTCCCTGGTATCCGCACTGAGTGACTGAGTTGCTCCACGAACCTGTGTGCCGGGCGAAATAATAGCAGGAACCCCGATAATTTTGCCAATTCTGGGGACAGTGGTACGAGTAGCCAGCTGAAGATAGAGTGAGTGAATGAGTTGGATTTAACGCCGCTTATAACAGTATTCAGCTTAATGTGGGAGGAAAGCCCGAATTGACGCAGGTCTCAGACGTTTACCACTTCGGTAAAACCCACGAGCACGGGTATGGTGCTGACAAACCTAGAAACATAATCGGGGCGAACGGGGACTCGAACCCACAATCATAGGTTTCTGGCGTGTTCAAGGGACGCAACTCTGAACAGCGAATCGCGGCGCCTTTGACGACTGGGCCACCCGTGCCCCCCAGCTGAAGATAGAGGCAGGCGAGGATCAGATTGGGTGTGAGGGTATTGGGTTCAATGTTTCTTTAAACAGTATTGACGTGGGAGTAATACCCAAAATGACGCAGGCATTAGACGTTTACCACGTCATGAGCATGGGAGACCGAGAAACCAAGAAACATATCAGGCCGAAACGGGATTCGAACCCGCGATCGTAAGTTTCTTGCACGCCAAAGGGACGCAACTCTGTATAACGAAATGCCGCGCCTTAGACAACTGGACCACATGTGTCCACTAACTAGGTCAGTTCAGTACAAACTTTGCTCCGTGGGTCTATATTAAAAAATTGATAAATAATTACTCTCCTTTACCATCTGGAAACTTCCATCTATGTGATCCGAGAGCACGGTAAAACAGTAAGAGAACTCCTATCCTTGAATCTCATATTCTATTACCGTGTACACAGACATGTTTTATAATGCCGACTTAAATGAAAATAAACATGCTAAAAACACCAGAATGTGTCAGTACTGAGGAGACAATCATTGTGTAAACAAATTAGGACAAATAAGTTTGGATTGGTTAGATTCAAAGTCTAACGCTACATTTCACAGCATCTACCTGGAACAGACTTGGGGGATGTTGTCTGAGGTAGCGATGTCGCACCAATCTTACCTATTAAGAAAAAATACAGAATATTTTAGATACAGACTTTGTGCACGTTCATATATAGTTTCTTGGCATTGTTAAATCATAATATAAATCGTCAAGGCCATGGAAGAATTAGTCTCGACTTTCTGCCAAAACAAATTCCATTTGGCCTGAAAGGCACAATCGCCGTGAACATCATACACGTAGATCACTGAAAGACAGTGTTGACACCAGGTGTTCCTGTCTACTCTTGCTCATCCAGTGATCTGCACCACCTAGGTATCAGGTTAGTCAAAAATGAACAGTAAAACCCCGTTAATCCGGACACTACCGTTCCAATTGAAATCGTACGGATACACATTTCCGGATAAATGAAACATGGAGATATAGTACTGCCCAGAAGTCGATATTAATAAAAAAAATATTTTAAATTCCAAATTATTGAATGTTAAATATACTACTAACGTCACCGAGGTTCCACTGTACTAACCGTTTCAGCGACCTTGTCAATAAAAGTGAAATATATCTTTATAAATATTTTAAAAAGTTTTTAAAGAACAATGGCGATTACTTACTCCCTGGCTTGGCACAGACGTAGTTCAATTTCGAGCTGCAAGCGTAGTCGTTGTATTTGCCGTACAGCGCGGCCCCATATGTCATCAACATCGCCACACAGTCCTCGTTGCCTTTCTGGTTGGGCTCGCCTGGTTTCCACTGAATGACCCCACTCTGAAGCACCACAGACGTTACCATGACAACTGTCAGACAGAACCCTGTCAGCGACTCAGTGGGTGAGCGTATTTATGACGAAGTTGAAGTGCAAGTAACGTGAATAAAATGATTGCAATTTCGTTGAAATATAAATTTTCCAAGATAAATTTATTGGTAAATTCCCGAAAAAAACAAAATCATAACATTCGTAGAGACTATTTATATGCTAAAATACAAAAGGCTGAAATCACACGCTCTGCAATCGGAATAAAAATATAACTATTTGGGGCGTGGCCTAAAGCTGCCGCGGGTAAAACATAGGACAGGATTGACTGCATGCCTCATACCCTTCCTCTTACCTGTTATTATAGAATGATCCATACAGAACAACACGAAAAAGATGGTTCAGAGCATTTTTATATATGTCTAAATATTGGTATACACTGACGTACAACATCATCGTCTCTCTCTCAACCAGGATTCAGTAGAAGAACAATGTCATCCAATGTCTTGTTCCCTGTTGGAGGTTGTCTTTTAGGCGTTTGATACGATTTTCCATTTCTCTGTTAACACGTTGGCTAGGTGTTGCTGCACCAAAGTCACTGCCAGTTTCGCCTTATCTGCAGCCTCGATCTTCGTTATGACCTTGACAAATCTGTAGATGTCGGAATGATATTGAGGCATGAGTCGTCTCAGTCTCTTGAGGAATCATTCAAGGTTGTTGTAAGAGCCTGGGTCTTTTGTCTGGTGATGATTCCAAAGGTGATATGGAAATCTGGGTTCACTGTCGACACAATTCGTGATCATGTAGTCGTTGAAGGCCTCGGCACGGAGGAGGTGAGGTGAGGTAAAATGGGGTTTAACGTCGCGTCCAAGATTATTGCACTTATATAGCGACGTGCATGTACGTGTGTGTGTTTGTGTGGCTGCTTGCACTAGTCCGGACTGATGCCGATTTATAGTGCTCGCTCACTGAGATACCATGCTGCAGTTTAACATGAATATCCCACTCAAACACAGTATACTGACTCCGAGGCGACCAGTCCTTGTTTTAGCCCCTTAATGCCGAGCGCCAGACAGGGTAACAACAAGTACCATCTTTTAACGTCTTTTGGTATGACGCGGCCGGGGATCGAACCCCGGACCCTCCGCTCTCCGGGCGGACGCTCTACCACTAGACCACGGAGGCGGTCGTCGGCACAGAGGTCACCAGGGCAGGAGTCAATCCTCACATCTTGGACCTGGTCCAGGGGATGTTTTGTTTGTTTGTTGTTTAACGCCTCACTCAGCAATATTCAAGCTACAAGACGGCGGTCTGTAAAAAGTCGAGTCTGAACCAGACAATCCAGTGATTGACAGCATGAGCATCGAACCACGCAGTTGGGATACGATGACATGCATCAACCAAGTCAGCGGGCCTGGCCACCCGATCCCGTTATTCGCCTCTCACGACAAGCATGGTCGCTTTTGAGGGCAAGCATGGGTTGCTGGAGACCTATTCTACCCCGGATCTTCACGGGTCTCCAGGGGAAGTAGTGCAAGACCTCGGCCCGTCTTATCCACTGCTGCATCCTGGAGATCGTCCTTGTACATATCAGTCAAGCCGAGAACGTGTACAGTGCATCTCCGCGGTTTAACGTACTATATTTGTCTTAACCTGGTCATAGTAAATACGTGAAAAGACATGTCAGCATAAAACACCAAGTCTACTAAGCTGGAAGATCCAGGAGTCTTATTATATAGTAAGTGAGGGTTTAACGCCGCCTCACAATATTCCAGATATATCACAGCCTGTCAGCTTAATGTGGGACGAAAGCCCGAAGTGATGCAGGTCTCTGACGTTTACCACTTTGGTGGAACCCACGAGAAAGGGTATGGTGCTGAAACCTAGAAACAAAATCGGAGTGAAGCGGTATTTTATTATGAGTTTAATCGGATAACTTGTATCAACTCTGCTCATGGTTTTAATTTACAGTAAATCTTCAAAAAAGGAATAGTTCAGAATTATCTCAAAACTCCGACTCAAGCTGGCCTAGCATCTTATTTTCTTCAGAATTGTCAAACTAAAAGAAGATCAAAGAGTAAGTGTTGTTTGATTGAATTACTTATATCGAATATATTGTTTAGCTTTGTGTACAGTGTGCTTTCCAAAATGGGTCAGTAATGTAAACTGTGACTCAATCTCTCAGCACCTCTCCTGCAGACCGGTCTAATTAGAAGTGAGTTGGATTTGTCCATTACAACAGTACGTGTTGTCTTAATTGATCACCATACCCTCTGTGTGACTACTGGCAAAATCGGAGTGTGTGACAAATGGCATGTGTAACTAATGAAAGGGAACCAATCTATCGTGTGATGTTTAGCAGCTATTAGATACGTCAGGAAGCGGCAAATCAAGTGCTGTTATTTATGTTAATCCCACAAAAATAACATTGCATACATAAGATGTGAACACGGTAATCAAACGGATGAGCAGAAAAAATGCGATTAAAAAGTCTGAGGCAAAAGCAGGCAAACTGGGCGCCGGTCTGAGCCTTAAACTTGCGCATCGCGTCTAACACCGGGAACCCGTTTTAATCCCATTGGCGGATTTTCTCTTTTTGGGGACGATTTCGCCTGCCATTTTTTTACCGTCTCGTTTGGGCTATTTCCGTTTTACAAATTTAATTTTAGTCAAGCATTTGTGGTGAAGTATTAAAATCTGTAAAGTTGCTATGTTGAGTTAACTTGCCACGAAACCCATGCAGCCGACTAAAACCATGAACGGTGGGCGGGTTTCTTTGTGCGAACAAGCGTTTAATTTGAAAGTGCAAATCACCCACCCCCTCCGCACCCACCCACCCACCCACACACACACCTTCCACACCAGATGATCAAAGATCATTCCGTTATATCCATTAATTAACATATCTGGCTATGTAGCCCTAAATGGCATTCTTACGGGAGCCTTGTCATCAAGCCACACAAATCCGCCCTCTTGTTTTAGGTCGTTCAAGCCAATCCACCAGTCCGCAGAGGTGTCGATGTGATCTGCATAAATAAAGGTAATGGTTTGTCTTAGTTTGTTTGTTTGTTGTTTAACGCCGCAATCAACATTATTTCAGCTATATGACGGCAGTCTGTAAATAATCGAATCTGGACCAGACAATCCAGTGATTGACATCATGAGCATCGATACACGCAATTGGGAAACGATGCCATGCATCAGCCAAGTCAGCGTGTCTGACCACCCGATCCCGTTAGTCGCCTCTTACGACAAGGATTAATGCCTCTTATGACAAGCACTATCGCCTCTTATGACAAGCATTGTCGCCTCTTGTGACAAGCATTATCGCCTCTTGTGACAAGCATTGTCGCCTCTTACGCCAAGCATTATCGCCTCTTGTGACAAGCATTATCGCCTCTTGTGACAAGCATTGTCGCCTCTTACGCCAAGCATTGTCGCCTCTTACGCCAAGCATTATCGCCTCTTGTGACAAGCATTATCGCCTCTTGTGACAAGCATTGTCGCCTCTTACGCCAAGCATTATCGCCTCTTAGGACAAGCATTATCGCCTCTTACGCCAAGCATTGTCGCCTCTTACGCCAAGCATTGTCGCCTCTTACGCCAAGCATTGTCGCCTCTTACGACAAGCATTATCGCCTCTTACGACAAGCATTATCGCCTCTTACGACAAGCATTATCGCCTCTTGTGACAAGCATTGTCGCCTCTTACGCCTAGCATTGTCGCCTCTTAGGACAAGCTTTGTCGCCTCTTGTGACAAGCATTATCGCCTCTTACGCCAAGCATTGTCGCCTCTTACGCCAAGCATTGTCGCCTCTTACGCCAAGCATTATCGCCTCTTTTGACAAGCATTATCGCCTCTTGTGACAAGCATTGTCGCCTCTTACGACAAGCATTGTCGCCTCTTGTGACAAGCATTGTCGCCTCTTACGCCAAGCATTGTCGCCTCTTAGGACAAGCATTATCGCCTCTTAGGACAAGCATTATCGCCTCTTGTGACAAGCATTATCGCCTCTTACGCCAAGCATTGTCGCCTCTTACGCCAAGCATTATCGCCTCTTGTGACAAGCATTATCGCCTCTTGTGACAAGCATTGTCGCCTCTTACGCCAAGCATTGTCGCCTCTTACGCCAAGCATTGTCGCCTCTTGTGACAAGCATTATCGCCTCTTGTGACAAGCATTGTCGCCTCTTACGCCAAGCATTATCGCCTCTTAGGACAAGCATTATCGCCTCTTACGCCAAGCATTGTCGCCTCTTACGCCAAGCATTGTCGCCTCTTACGCCAAGCATTATCGCCTCTTACGACAAGCATTATCGCCTCTTACGACAAGCATTATCGCCTCTTACGACAAGCATTATCGCCTCTTGTGACAAGCATTGTCGCCTCTTACGCCTAGCATTGTCTCCTCTTAGGACAAGCATTATCGCCTCTTAGGACAAGCATTATCGCCTCTTACGCCAAGCATTATCGCCTCTTACGCCAAGCATTGTCGCCTCTTACGCCAAGCATTATCGCCTCTTACGACAAGCATTATCGCCTCTTGTGACAAGCATTGTCGCCTCTTACGCCAAGCATTATCGCCTCTTATGCCAAGCATTGTCGCCTCTTACGACAAGCATTGTCGCCTCTTAGGACAAGCATTATCGCCTCTTTTGACAAGCATTATCGCCTCTTGTGACAAGCATTACGCCTCTTAGGACAAGCATTGTCACCTCTTACGCCAAGCATTGTCGCCTCCTACGACAAGCATTGTCGCCTCTTACGACAAGCATGGGTTGCTGAAGACACCATGAAACATATGACACTATGACATATCAGACATTGCTCACAACATGACTGAGATGTGAACTGGCAATCCAAATCAGGGTATTCATATCTTGCCGTTTATAAAACCAAGCGTGTCTGTGTTGGAGATCTTGACCAAGTCTCCATGTTGATGTTTGCACCAGTTACGGGCACTCTGCCAGGTGTTTTTGGCCTTGTTAAACTTGTAACAGTTGTGTTCAAATTCCATCCACCCGATATCGCACTGATAATACACTGAAAATCAACGTTCGAGATGCAGTATGAATCACCATATCATTGTACATGTAAACAAAATCATATCCGTCAATTACAAACCCAGGCCTGGTGTGAAAATAAAAGCATAATATGTTTACAAGTTCTGTCTATAACATTCATGAAATTATAAGTGACATCAGGAACCAAGTCAGCCCATCACGGTCGTGTATGCATGCGTTCTCCAGAAGTCATCAAGTATTGTCGATTATCATACACTTTCCCGTGAATCTTCTAGTTGCGTGAGTGAGTGAGTTATGTTTAACGCCGCTTTTAACAGTATTCCAGCTATATCGCGGCGTGTCAGCTTAATGTGGGAGGAAAGCCAGAAGTGATGCAGGTCTCAGACGTTTACCACTTCGGTGAAACCCACGAGCAGGGGTAAGGTGTTTACAAACCTAGAAACATAATCGGGGCGAACCGGGATATCCGTATACCTCTTGCTCCAAACATGTAGAACAATATCGAAAGATAATAAACATTAACATCATTTTTACCCCTTAGGTCATCACATAATTTTCAATGAAATAACCCAATTTGACTAATACCACCATCGAACACTCAATGTTTTACACAAGAGGTGGAAAATTGGGTATGCTTTGTTAAGGCTAAAATAAATAACAGTCTTGGTTCTCAGGCACCGCCCGCATCATCATAAAGTTCGCCGCACGTTTCGTTTTTATTTCATTTTTTTTTATAAATATATAAAAAATCCTTAAATATTCCAAGTCCAAATTGTATTCCAGTAGTTTACTCATCAAGGAATACATTTATGTAGGGAGGCCCGTTCCCTGGTTGATTGTGCACAATTGTTTTATTGATTACACAACTGTTTATTGGTTACATACTAGTTTGAACACCCAAAAAAAGACACCACCCGCCCGCACTATATTTTCAAAAAACATTGCCTGAGAACCAATTCTTTTATTTATTTAACCCCACGTACAAAGTAGTGAACGAAGTGTAAAATTCTGATTATTTGCTGTAGTTTTGTTTTGTCATACTACAGTGTGTTGAGATTTACACAAACAAGTGTAAACAGAAAATTGGAAAAAAGAAGAAAACTAGGATATTGGATAGTATGAAGAAATTTTCCAAATGAGTAAGCAATATAATCATATACAATGAAATAGATGAGTTTACCAACTATCAGATTTGACTTTCCTGTCAATAATAACAATCTTCTGATCACCTACACACTGTCAGGACTGCACTCTATACCTGTATGATCAAAGATAATTTTCCAAAATAGATACTAAAAATAAACCCGAATCAAACAAAAAATAACAAGAAGTAAACACCTGGAATAAAAACACACAAAAAACAACAACTCAAATTAAGTTAAGTTCACGATATAAATTGTCATTATATTTTCCTGTAAAATGTAATGGAATAATCCTGTCTTTATGTATCTCTTTTCGAATCGCACGTACATTTTCTCACGGCAATCGGCTGTGGAGATTTTATTAAAAAGAATTGGTTACCAAAAACTTGATTCCATTGGGCGCAAAAGACAATCAGCGGTGAAAATTACGTGAATGGATCACTGAAAAAAATTAGTGGCAAAAAGGGTTGTTATTTGAATGGAAATCATGAAATGTACACACACTCCGGCTCATATTCCACCTTGTGACAAACGTACCTGATTTTTTACAAATGTACCCTCTTCTCTCCGTACAGACGGTGTCATGCCAACGACCGGTGCTGGACAACACGGCTGCACAGTCCTCATTGTTGCCGTAGTTGTTGGGTTCACCTGAAGACAACAGACGCACCATCAGTTACATGCAGCTTCATCAACGTCCAAAACATTCAACAGATATCGGGTTTGCTACCTCGCAACACACGAGGATTTTAAGATCAATTTAGTTTGATGGTAAGCACAAGCTATTTTAGACTTCGGTATATCATGTTTATATCAGCATACAACCTTGTAACTATTTGCAATGTCTTGATAACTTCCTGTACACATACACACACACACACGCACACACGCACGGACATACACACACGCACGAGCAAGCACACACACATAAACGTTTATTAATTAGGGTGTTTACAATCTGTTCATATTCTCTTTTTGTGAAAACGGAGAACGTCTTGCTGTTGAGAAGATTCTTAAATTGTACTTTTATGTTGTACTTATGTTAAAACAAACTAATATTTGGTTCTAATAACTCTCTACTTAGATTAGTCTTTTTACAGTTTCAAAGAACAAGATGTATAACTTTTCCTCGCCAACAACAGAGAGAATCTATATAGACTCATTACTCATATTATGCAGATTAGTTAAGTGCCCATACCAGGGGAATTAGCAACCCCCCCCCCCCCCCCCCCCCCCCCCTTTAACTTTAACTCCCATATATTTTGTTTAATTTCAGTTATACATGTAATAATATATGAAGGATTCTCAACTACGGGAAAGTTACAAACTTACAGGCACCATTAGCTTGCCTCATGGTGTCTTGCGCATATTTCACGAACATATAATGGACTAACACATCTACCTGCATTCCAGTTCAGATAGCCAAACGGTTTGTTGTCCGCCCATCTCCACCCGCCCTCAGTGCCAAGGTCATTGGCGCCTATCCAGTAATCTGCGGACAGCTTTCCTCTGATTCTCCCTGTAAGAGTGAACACATCACTGAAAATTTAATACCTCGAAAACCAAACCAAATTAGAACAGGATACGAATACTCCCTGTCGTTGAAATAATGTCTTGTAATGACATTAATTAATAGATTTGCTTCTGAGTGAAATGGGGCGGTTGGGTAGCCTAGTGATTAAAGCGTTCGCTCGTCACGCCGAAGACCCGGGTTCGATTTCCTACATAGGTACACTGTGTGAAGCCCATTTCTGGTGTCCCCCGCCATGCTCTCTCTGGCATATTGCTAAAAGCGGGTAAAACCATATTCACTGACTCTGAGTGAATTAATGTCCTGGCAGTTATCAGTGTGCAGGGTCGGACCTGTGTCATGCTGGCTGCCTTCTTGTTTCATTGTTAAGTATGTCAAGTATAGAGTGAAATCTCGTTATTCCGGACACCGTTATTAGGACATCCCGCTTCCCGATTACTGCCAGGAACGTCGATGTCCCTACAAAGGACATTTAGGAGATAAACCTAATCTGTCATAGAATTTAAGGTGGTTCATAGTTGATTAAACACTGCTAAATGTCATTTAAAACCCAATGCGTTATCATGACTAAAATGTGTTTTTTAAACCGGAGTCCTTTTCTTGCGCACGTATTCTGTTCAGCGATGCGGTCAGAAAGATTTCACATTTAGTATAATTAACCAGTTAAATTGGATCATGCTTTAATGTTATGCTAGAATATTTTGAACCGATGATTAGTTTATTCGGAAATTAGGTGATAAGGACGATTTTATCGGGAAAGGTACCGCCCGGATTAACAAGGTTTTTCACTACATAGCAACGGTTGCCTCATGCCAGGGTAATGTAATCAAAAGAATGACTCGGTGCTCTCTGCATCTCTGTCAAACATGATTGATTACTGTCAACCCTTAATTGAATATGCACTCGTATAACGTGAATCACGGCTGTCTGCATGTAATGAAATTTAAAATGGGGTTTACGTGAATCTGCACGCGTAACAAACGCGAATCGCGACAGTCTACATGTAATGAAAGTTTCAAATGGGTTCGGTGAATCTCCACTCGTAGCAAACGTGAATCACTTCTCTCTTATGTTTACGTGAATCTGCACTCGTAATAAACGTGAATCACCTCTGTCTAATGTATACGTGAATCTGTACTCGTAACAAACGTGCATCACTTCTGTCTAATGTATACGTGAATCTGCACTGTAACAAACGTGAATCACCTCTGTCTAATGTATACGTGAATCTGTACTCGTAACAAACGTGCATCACTTCTGTCTAATGTATACGTGAATCTGTACTGTAACAAACGTGAATCACCTTTGTCTAATGTATACGTGAATCTGTACTCGTAACAAACGTGCATCACTTCTGTCTAATGTATACGTGAATCTGCACTGTAACAAACGTGAATCACTTCTGTCTAATGTATACGTGAATCTGCACTGTAACAAACGTGAACCACCTCTGTCTAATGTATACGTGAATCTGCACTGTAACAAACGTGCATCACCTCTGTCTAATGTATACGTGAATCTGCACTGTAACAAACGTGAATCACCTCTGTCTAATGTATACGTGAATCTGCACTGTAACAAACGTGCATCACCTCTGTCTAATGTATACGTGAATCTGTACTGTAACAAACGTGCATCACCTCTGTCTAATGTATACGTGAATCTGCACTGTAACAAACGTGAATCACCTCTGTCTAATGTATACGTGAATCTGTACTCGTAACAAACGTGCATCACTTCTGTCTAATGTATACGTGAATCTGTACTGTAACAAACGTGAATCACCTCTGTCTAATGTATACGTGAATCTGTACTCGTAACAAACGTGCATCACTTCTGTCTAATGTATACGTGAATCTGCACTGTAACAAACGTGAATCACCTCTGTCTAATGTATACGTGAATCTGTACTCGTAACAAACGTGCATCACTTCTGTCTAATGTATACGTGAATCTGCACTGTAACAAACGTGAATCACCTCTGTCTAATGTATACGTGAATCTGTACTCGTAACAAACGTGCATCACTTCTGTCTAATGTATACGTGAATCTGCACTGTAACAAACGTGCATCACTTCTGTCTAATGTATACGTGAATCTGTACTCGTAACAAACGTGAATCACCTCTGTCTAATGTATACGTGAATCTGCACTGTAACAAACGTGAATCACCTCTGTCTAATGTATACGTGAATCTGTACTCGTAACAAACGTGCATCACCTCTGTCTAATGTATACGTGAATCTGCACTGTAACAAACGTGAATCACCTCTGTCTAATGTATACGTGAATCTGTACTCGTAACAAACGTGCATCACTTCTGTCTAATGTATACGTGAATCTGCACTGTAACAAACGTGAATCACCTCTGTCTAATGTATACGTGAATCTGTACTCGTAACAAACGTGCATCACCTCTGTCTAATGTATACGTGAATCTGCACTGTAACAAACGTGCATCACCTCTGTCTAATGTATACGTGAATCTGTACTCGTAACAAACGTGCATCACTTCTGTCTAATGTATACGTGAATCTGCACTGTAACAAACGTGAATCACTTCTGTCTAATGTATACGTGAATCTGCACTGTAACAAACGTGAATCACCTCTGTCTAATGTATACGTGAATCTGTACTCGTAACAAACGTGCATCACCTCTGTCTAATGTATACGTGAATCTGCACTGTAACAAACGTGAATCACCTCTGTCTAATGTATACGTGAATCTGTACTCGTAACAAACGTGCATCACTTCTGTCTAATGTATACGTGAATCTGTACTCGTAACAAACGTGCATCACTTCTGTCTAATGTATACGTGAATCTGCACTGTAACAAACGTGAATCACCTCTGTCTAATGTATACGTGAATCTGCACTGTAACAAACGTGAATCACCTCTGTCTAATGTATACGTGAATCTGTACTCGTAACAAACGTGCATCACCTCTGTCTAATGTATACGTGAATCTGCACTGTAACAAACGTGAATCACCTCTGTCTAATGTATACGTGAATCTGTACTCGTAACAAACGTGCATCACTTCTGTCTAATGTATACGTGAATCTGCACTGTAACAAACGTGCATCACCTCTGTCTAATGTATACGTGAATCTGCACTGTAACAAACGTGAATCACTTCTGTCTAATGTATACGTGAATCTGCACTCGTAACAAACGTGAATCACTTCTGTCTAATGTTTACGTGAATCTGCAATAGTCTAGTACAAAATGTGAATCAAGTCCGTCAAAGTGTGCTGAAGAAGTTTGGAACGGTTCACGTGAACTGTACTCGTAACAAAATGTGTGCCACGACTGTCCAAGTGTAATGATAGAGTTTCAAGGTTTACGTGAACTGCACTCGTAACAAAATGTGAACCACGACTGTCCAAGTGCATTGACAGAGTTTCAAGGTTTACGTGAACTGCGCTCGTAACAAAATGTGAATCACGACTGTCCAAGTGTCATGACAGAGTTTCAAGGTTTACGTGAACTGCACTCGTAACAAAATATTCCAGCTATATGACGGCGGTCTGTAAATAATCGAGTCTGGACCAGACAATCCAATGATTAACATCATGAGCTTCGATCTTGCAGTTTGTATGTTTATTTGTTGTTTAACGCCTCACTGAGCCATATTCCATCTATATGGCGGCGGTCTGTGAACTGGACCAGACAATCCAGTGATTGACATCATGAACATCGATAAACGAAATTGAAATACGATGACATGCATCAAAGAAGTCAGCGAGTCTGACCACCCGACCCCATTAGTCGCCTCTTACGACAAGCATAGTCAGACATACGAAATCGATTTGGAAGAGTCAAATCAAACCTTTCAAATATTGCTGTAATCTATCTTCTAATAGATATTTTAGAGTTGCGTCACTCAAGAGCAACACTCTACAACAGTTACCTCCTTCTTATCCAGTGTATTATATCTCCATTCCATTTTGATAAATACTCATTCACCGCCCATTCGACCCCATACATAGTTTCTTTGCGGAAGTGACGTCACTGCCTACATCGCTCCTATTTCTAAGCACATAATTTCTTTCGCTCCTGAGAGTAATTTGATTGGACGATTATTTTTAGCGCCGTGCTATTCGAATCGGACTAAAAACGACTGTGTGGGGATGAATGGCCCAGTTTAGTTTACCATAACATAATGGCGTCAAAATATACTTGATAATCAAGGATCCACTCACCTGTAATGAAGTAGGACTCCTCGCTCGCCTCGATGCTGGCCAAGCGTCCACCATGTGCCTTGCACGTGGAATCGGCGTCATACCAAGTGAGTTGTTGGTCACTAAACTGGTAGCAATAAGGCGTGCTGGGGTCCGATTCCCAGAATGCGCCGCATTTGGTTGACCATGGTTCTGGAGATATTGTATGTGTATTAAAGTCTAAATTGCCATGCAAAAGAACGTATACAGTTGAAAATAGGATTTGACCAAAAAGTTACAAACGTTATGAAAACGCTACCAGGCTGAAACACCGATACACCGTCAAAGGTAGGGTATGATACCGATATCATCCCCATCGAATGTCCATTTCGTGTTTGTTTCATTTTTAGCCACCATCAAACATGGGTGCATACTTTCGTTTGCCCGGTAGTTTTGTGATTCCTCTGGAAATTACAGCCACACATATTCTTCTTCTTATACACAGTCTCATCGCCAATTTGTTTTTTTTAAACACATATAAATAAAATCACTTAACTATAATCATAACAACAGTTTAAAAGGTATTTCAGTTATATCACGGCGTGTCAGATTTATGGAGGAGGAAAGCCCGAAGTGAAGCACGGCTTAGGGTCAACCACTTTGATAAAAGTTTCCTGAAACTAGTGAGTGAGTTGGGTTTAACGCCGCTTTTAACAGTATTCCAGTTATATCGCGGCGTGTCAGCTTAATGTGGGAGGAAAGCCCGAAGTGATGCAGGTCTCAGACGTTTACCACTTCGGTGAAACCCGCGGGCACGGGTAAGGTGCTTACAAACCTAGAAACATAATCGGGACGAACCGGGATTCGAACCAACAATCATAGGTTTCTGGCATCTGTGCACAGCAAAACGCGGCGCCTTAGACTACTGGGCCAGCCGTGCCCCCCTTCCTGAAACTGATCCCAAGGGACAATGGCGCACTATCAGGGTTTGGTGCTGACAAGACAAGGATGTTGACTAGTGTGAATTTGGTATCCCAAACCACGATCATCGGATTCTGTCACATCCACAGGTTTGTTTGTTCGTTTGTTGTTTAATGCCACGCAATATTCCAACAATATGGCCACACAGTCCATTGACTGACACCATGAGCATCATTGATCTGCCATACATGGATACCATATCAGCAAGCCTGACGACCCTATCCAGGAGAAGCAAGGGTTGCTGCAGACCTATTGTAACTCGGATCTTCACATGTGTCGCCTTTTATGACAAGCATAGGTTCTTGAAGACCCATCCATTGTACCATATACATTCACGGGGTCGCCTCTTACGGCAAGCATAGGTTGCTGAAGACCCATTGTAACCCGGATCTTCACGGGGGTCGCCTCTTACGGCAAGCATAAGTTGCTGAAGACACATTGTAACCCGGATTTTCACAGGGGTCGCCTCTTACGGCAAGCATGGGTTGCTGTAGACCCATTGTACCACATATATTCACGGGGTCGCCTCTTACGGCAAGCATAGGTTGCTGTAGACCCATTGTACCACATCTATTCACGGGGGTCGCCTCTTACGGCAAGCATAAGTTGCTGAAGACCCATTGTATCCCGGATCTTCACGGGGGTCGCCTCTTACGGCAAGCATAAGTTGCTAAAGGCCCACTGTATCCCGGATCTTCACGGGGGTCGCCTCTTACGGCAAGCATAGGTTGCTGAAGACCCATTGTAACCCGGATCTTCACGGGGGTCGCCTCTTACGGCAAGCATAGGTTGCTGAAGACCCATTGTAACCCGGATCTTCACGGGGGTCGCCTCTTACGGCAAGCATAGGTTCTTGAAGACCCATTGTACCACATATATTCACGGGGGTCGCCTCTTACGGCAAGCACAGGCTGCTAAAGACCCATTGTAACCCGGATCTTCACGGGGGTCGCCTCTTACGGCAAGCATAGGTTCTTGAAGACCCATTGTACCACATATATTCACGGGGTCGCCTCTTACGGCAAGCACAGGTTGCTGAAGACCCATTGTAATCCGGATCTTCAAGGGGGTCGCCTCTTACGACAAGCATAGGTTGCTGAAGACCCATTGTACCACATATATTCACGGGGTCGCCTCTTACGGCAAGCATGGGTTGCTGAAGACCCATTGTAACCCGGATCTTCACGAGGCACATCTATAGGGCACAACGAAGATGCCTGTTTAACATGGAAACTATTCCGTCCATAGACAACTTACTTGGGGTAGTCGGAGGCGGGGACACGTAGGCATTTACTGGAAATATATAAAACAAAACAAATATAAGTCACACATCAGTTAAATAAACATATAAACATATAAACATATAAACACGTTAGTGCGGAGTGAGGAGGATATATAATAGATGCTTTATATGAGTGGATACCGGCCTTATGACGAACACTATGGACTGGCTTCATTTTTACATCTGTCGCACGCTGTGAACTCAAATACCTGTGTTAACTTTACTGTATCAATATCTCAAAACATTGATACGTCTAAGCATAAAAAAGTTGTTTTCAAGATCAGACGTCTGTGGTTTGAAGTTGTTTCTTTATTTTCGCCGTGGATTATGTACGTGAGCAAAGTGAATGAGTAGCGATTGCCAAATCAGCGTGTCGGCTTCATGTGTGCTGACGACCAACAGTGACGATGTGTATGGTCACGTGTATGTATACATTACGTACCTCCATCACTCGGTAATATATACGTTTTGATTTATAGTCGCTATTTTAACGGATGAAGTGAGTCGGTGAGTGGGGTTTAAAACAGATTTTCCAGTAATATTACGGCGTGTCAGCTCGAAGTGATGCAGGTCTCAGATGTTTTCCACTTTGGTCAGACCCACGAGCACGACAAACCTAGAAACATAAACGGGGCGAACCCAGATTCGAACCCACAATCATAAGTTTCTGGCTTGCCCAAGGGACGTGACTCTGAACAGCAAATTGTGGCGCCTTAAACGACTGGGCGACCCATGCCCCGTCATTGACGATGGGGTATGACGCTGCAAATCAAGGGCTACAATCGGGACTGCTAAGGGACAACACAGTGTAGAATGTGAGCAAGCCTTAGGCACTTGGTCGACAGAGCTTAGGCAACATTATCGACCAGACCACCGTCATTGAGTGAGTGAGTGAGTTTGGTTTTACGCCGCTATTAGCAATATTCCAGCAATATCACGGCGGGGGACACCAGAAATGGGCTTCACACATTGTACCCATGTCGGGATTCGAACCCGGGTCTTCGGCGTGACGAGCGAACGCCTTAACCACTAGGCTACCCGACCGCCCATTGAGAGTTGTGTCTAACGTGTATCGTAAACGTTCAGGTTGAATTTGTACGGAGAGAACATACGGGGCAGATCTAATGTTAGTCTGAATACACAACTCATATACAGCAAACTACGGTTATAACGAACTCAAAGGGACTACTAATTTTAGTTCGTTATAACCGTATTTCGATATAAGCATATATACAGCATAACTACAGCAAATAGTCGGGACCAAAAAGTAAGTTCGTTATATCCGTCAGTTCGTTATAAGCGTGTTCGTTATAACCGTAGTTTAATTAAATCTGAGATATTATATTGAACCTAGCTCTGCAGCTATAATCGTAATACACACCTGCTTTCGCCTGGCATATGAAGTTGAACTTGGCGCTGCAGGAAAAGTCATGCCAAAGACCGTTCTGTTCGGGTGTTTTGGTGGCATACATTACGACGCAGTTCTCGTTGCCCTTCTGAAGGTTGTCTGGTTGACCCTTTATCCATTGAGTGTAGGTAGCCTGATGTACAGAGGGTTAAAACAATGAAATGTCGATATATCGTTTAACCCGACTGGAGTCTGGGTTAGAATAGGCCCTATCAACCTACGATGCTGCTCTCTTGAATGGGTTGTCAGGGTCGGTGAATTGGTTGATATTGTCATCATTCCCCGACAGCTGCTCATGATATCAATCACTGGTTTGTTTAGCCCAGATTCGATTAATCACGGGCCGCCGTCGTATAGCTGGGATTTTGCCGACTGAGGCATTAAACAACAAACAACAATACGTCGTGTAACGTTATAGTCCTCGTAGAAACCGTATAGGCACTATGGTCTTATATCGACACTTATGTGTCGTACTATGGATAACCAGATTCGATAATATTCGACGATTCCAGACTTCGAGTTATCTAGGTTCACTGTAAACATGCTAATATCGTTGTCAATACTAAACACAACTTTGAAATTGTCACAAATTGATAGGATTCGAAAGAGCATCCTCAATAACCAACCATTATCTTAACTGAACCAATCAGCTATGATTAGAAAAGGAGGTGTGTGTGTGTGTGGCGGGGGGAAGGGGGGGGGGGGGGGACTGTTGGGGGAAGGGGTTTGGCACTTTGCAGTCTGCCTGAAAGCAAGGCAACCTGTTAAGGGTGTGTCCTAACAGTTTACCAATAGACGGCAGAGATTGAGGAGACAAGGCAACGCCAGGAACGGGTTCTGCGCCAATGCCACACGAATGAAGGTTTTGCCTCCGATTCACAGGTTTTCAAGGCAGATGTTCTAAGTTGCATTTTGGTTTAAAAGGATTTTTTTTCTATTATGATTGAGGAGTACGGGTGATCGGCAGGGTGTCCAGGGTTGAATGAGGATCGGAGTATTTCAAGTATGTATTGAAATGGGAGAAGGTTTAAGCGTATTAGGGTATGCGCAGGCAGAGCTGTGTTGGTATATATTACGTTGTGTGTGTCGCCCTGCCATTGCCACCATCCCTCCGTTGTCTGATCGTTCAGACCGATCCAGTAGTCACCGTGATGTTGTACCTTGCCTGAAATGTGCACAGATGAAGAATGTTGTCTTGTGACGTATAAACTGACTTAAACACTGGCGTACTGGTGACGTATGAACCGTCTCAGACAGAGACGTACTGGTGACGTATGAAGTGACTTACACACAGGCGTGCTGGTGACGTATGAACCGTCTCAGACACAGGCGTACTGGTGACGTATGAACCGTCTCAGACACAGGCGTACTGGTGACGTATGAAGTGACTTACACACAGGCGTGCTGGTGACGTATGAAGTGACTCAGATATAGGCGTAGTGGTGACGTAGGACTGACTCAGACACAGGTGTACTGGTGACGTATAAAGTGACTTAGATACAGACGTAGTGGTGACGTATGAAGTGACTTAGATACAGGCGTAGTGGTGACGTATAAAGTGACTTAGATACAGACGTAGTGGTGACGTATGAAGTGACTTAGATACAGGCGTAGTGGTGACGTATGAAGTGACATAGATACAGGCGTAGTGGTGACGTATGACTGACTCAGACACAGGCGTACTGGTGACGTATAAAGTGACTTAGATACAGACGTAGTGGTGACGTATGACTGACTCAGACACAGGCGTACTGGTGACGTATAAAGTGACTTAGATACAGGCGTAGTGGTGACGTATAAAGTGACTTAAGCACAGGCGTACTGGTGACGTATGACTGAGTTAGACACAGGTGTACTGGTGACGTATGACTGAGTTAGACACAGGTGTACTGGTGACGTATGACTGAGTTAGACAAAGGTGTACTGGTGACGTATGACTGAGTTAGACACAGGCGTACTGGTGACGTATAAACTGAGTTAGACAAAGGTGTACTGGTGACGTATGAACTGAGTTAGACACAGGTGTACTGGTGACGTATGACTGAGTTAGACACAGGCGTACTGGTGACGTATGACTGAGTAAGACACAGGTGTACTGGTGACGTGAGAACTGAGTTAGACACAGGTGTACTGGTGACGTATGACTGAGTTAGACACAGGTGTACTGGTGACGTATGACTGAGTTAGACACAGGTGTACTGGTGACGTAAGAACTGAGTTAGACACAGGCGTACTGGTGACGTATGACTGAGTTAGACACAGGCGTACTGGTGACGTAAGAACTGAGTTAGACACAGGTGTACTGGTGACGTAAGAACTGAGTTAGACACAGGTGTACTGGTGACGTATGACTGAGTTAGACACAGGCGTACTGGTGACGTATGAACTGAGTTAGACACAGGTGTACTGGTGACGTATGAAGTGAGTCTGACACAGGTGTACTGGTGACGTATGACTGAGTTAGACACAGGTGTACTGGTGACGTATGAACTGAGTTAGACACAGGTGTACTGTTGACGTATGACTGAGTTAGACACAGGTGTACTGGTGACGTATGACTGAGTTAGACACAGGTGTATTGGTGACGTATGAACTGAGTTAGACACAGGCGTACTGGTGACGTATGACTGAGTTAGACACAGGTGTACTGGTGACGTATAAACTGAGTTAGACACAGGCGTACTGGTGACGTATGAACTGAGTCAGACACAGGTGTACTGGTGACGTATAAACTGAGTTAGACACAGGTGTACTGGTGACATATGAAGTGAGTCTGACACAGGTGTACTGGTGACGTATGAACTGAGTTAGACACAGGTGTACTGGTGACGTATGAACTGAGTTAGACACAGGAGTACTGGTGACGTATGAGTGAGTGAGTGAGTGAGTATGGTTTTACGCCGCTTTTAGCAATATTCCAGCAATATCACGGCGGGGGACACCAGAAATGGGCTTCACACATTGTACCCATGTCGGGAATCGAACCCGGGTCTTCGACGTGACGAGCGAACGCTTAAACCACTAGGCTACCCGACCGCCCCTGGTGACGTATGAACTGACTTAGATACAGGTGTACTGGTGACGTATAAACTGACTTAGATACAGGTGTACTGGTGACGTATGAAGTGAGTCAGACACAGGTGTACTGGTGACGTATGAACTGAGTTAGACACAGGTGTACTGGTGACGTATAAACTGAGTTAGACACAGGTGTACTGGTGACGTATGAAGTGAGTCAGACACAGGTGTACTGGTGACGTATGAACTGAGTCTGACACAGGTGTACTGGTGACGTATGAACTGAGTTAGACACAGGAGTACTGGTGACGTATGAACTGAGTTAGACACAGGTGTACTGTTGACGTATGACTGAGTTAGACACAGGCGTACTGGTGACGTATGACTGAGTCTGACACAGGTGTACTGGTGACGTATGAACTGAGTTTGACCCAGGCGTACTGGTGACGTATGAACTGACTTAGACACAGGTGTACTGGTGACGTATGAACTGAGTTAGACACAGGTGTACTGGTGACGTATGAACTGAGTTAGACACAGGTGTACTGGTGACGTATGAACTGACTTAGATACAGGTGTTCTGGTGACGTATGAACTGACTTAGATACAGGTGTACTGGTGACGTATGAACTGACTTAAACACAGGCGTACTGGTGACGTATGAACTGAACCAGACACATGCGACTTGTGACGTATGAACTGACTTAGACACAGGCGTACTGGTGACGTATGAACTGACTTAAGGACAGGGGCACTGGTGACGTATGAACTGACTCAGACAGAGACGTACACCATGTTACACCGTACTTGTGACTTATATACAGACGGACACACACTAGTGAGAAACAGACACAGCGTACTGGTGACTAATATACGGACACACAGACACAGCGTACTCGTGACTAATATACGGACACACAGACACATCGTACATGGTGATTGATATACAGACACACAGACACATCGTACATGGTGACTGATATACGGACACACAGACACATCGTACATGGTGACTGATATACGGACACACAGACACATCGTACATGGTGACTGATATACGGACACACAGACACATCGTACTGGTGACTGATATACGGACACACAGACACATCGTACATGGTGACTGATATACGGACACACAGACACATCGTACATGGTGACTGATATACGGACACACAGACACATCGTACATTGTGACTGATATACGGACACACAGACACATCGTACTGGTGACTGATATACGAACACACAGACACAGCGTACTGGTGACTGATATACGGACACACAGACACATCGTACTGGTGACTGATATACGGACACACAGACACATCGTACATGGTGACTGATATACGGACACACAGACACATCGTACTGGTGACTGATATACGGACACACAGACACATCGTACATGGTGACTGATATACGGACACACAGACACATCGTACATGGTATCTGATATACGGACACACAGACACATCGTACAGTGTGACTGATATACGGACACACAGACACATCGTACTGGTGACTGATATACGGACACACAGACACAGCGTACTGGTAACTGATATACGGACACACAGACACAGCGTACTGGTGACTGATATACGGACACACAGACACATTGTACATGGTGACTGGTATACGGACACAGCGTACTGTGACAATTACAAGGACGCACTAAAAAACCGAGCTGGTGACTTATATACAGGCAGACAGGAATTACACGACACACTGACAAACCGCACTTGAGATAAACCCTTGAGTCCTGGAGTCTGGAATCTTGACAAGGTTGCAGTTGCTCTGTCCAGACTTGCTGATACACCAGTCCGAGGCTGAAGCGTATGTCATGTCCTGCTCGTTGAAGTAGTAGCAATACTGGCCATGGTTTACCCAGTGTCTGGGGCAGCTGAACGAATCTGGGGGTAAAATGTGACTGGGATAGACGTTTTACTGAAAGACGATAAGTTATTCGTCCCAATTAATTCAATATTTTTGAATACTAAAATCTGGAAGTTTGAAGATATGGGTTTTCCAGAATTTGTTTCATGCCAACAGTAACATGCTATGTTTTTGTTTGTTTGTTTGTTTGTTTGTTTGTTGTTTAACGCCGCTCTCAGCACAATTGCAGCTTTATGACGGCGGTATGTATATAATCATGAGCATCAATCCACACAATCCAGAGATTGATATCATGAGCATCGTCCACGCAATATGGATACGATGACGTGCATCTACCAAGTCAACGAGCCTGTCCACCCGATCCCGTTTGTCACCTTTTACGGCAAGCATGGGTTGCTGAAGACCTATTCTAACCCGGATCTTCACGGGCCGCTATGTTCTTGTACTTGGCTGGTAACATATGCGTTAATTAGTCATTTTCTAAATCAATGTTACTTATTTGGCAGCAGCGTTGTTGTTTTTTGTTGCTTCCTGTTTGTTTAAGGCGGCCTCAAAATAATCGAGCTTGTACCAGACAATCCCCGCCGTTGGTAGTACGATCACACGCAAATTACCAAGTGGCCGGGCCTGACCACCCAATACATTAAAACGCCTCTTACGACACCCTCTGTTGAGTCGGGTGGTGTTTAACACGTACATGCCCAACAGGCCTGCGTCATGGACGGACCGTAACATATCATAGACCAACTGAACTGTTTGGCCATGGTTTAAACACATAAACTCAGCAGAGGAAGGTGACTGCAAAGATCGAGTTGGCGGGACCGACAATGAATAATTACGTGACGGATAAAGCACGACAAGACCGAGGAGCCGTAAACGATTGTCGAGTTCTTACTTACTCGACCATAACCGTGAAGGAGGGCTTTTATCTCAGTTATAAACCGTCTAAAAGCAAGAAATACCAGAAAATATAAGCAAACATCTAAATACCTTATTATAATGAAACAAGAGTGTGTCGCGGTATAAAAGGAATTCTATCAAAGCGTGCGAGAAAAAAACCACGTGCAGCGTGGATCAACTGGATTAATTATATGTAAAATTGAACAACTTTTCATCACCTGTCCCGGTGGTTCACTGTGGGAAAACAGTGAGTTACAAAACTAATCACTATATGTGAGGTTGCAGGTTCGATTCCCCTCATCCATAATGAAAACTTTCATTTCGTGTCTTCTATTTTAGAACATTGGACGTTTGAGTGAGTGAGTGAGTATGGTTTTACGCCGCTTTTAGCAATATTCCAGCAATATCACGGCGGGGGACACCAGAAATGGGCTTCACACATTGTACCCATGTCGGGAATCGAACCCGGGTCTTCGGCGTGACGAGCGAACGCTTTAACCACTAGGCTACCCGACCGCCCCTGGACGTTTGAAACACCCAGTACAAATTTCGTCAATTACTAAACTCCACAGGTCTTTCTCGGAAAAAGTAAAATCTCCCAAGGGGTTACGAGATAGAAAGATACCTGAAATACAATAGGCAAAAGTGGCAATAGGTTTATAACTCCGTATATTGACGGGGCACTCACTTGGCGGATGTGTGATTTGCTTTACTGGTGTATCTGTAGGTATCTGACAGATAAAGGATCTCACGTGCGTACAGTCAGACGACACGTGCCATTTTCCATTTCTGTCGCCTGTAATCATAACATATAATGATAAAAGTTCATTATAACCATACCTGAAACTACGAGGTTTAAATGAACATAATTTTCTCTCGAATGTACTGCAAGTACTCTATGGTTTATACGTCATTAAAACATAAAATAACTGATGCAAAATACTTGATTTTGACAGATCAAAGTGAGGCATCAAATCACAATAGTCACCTCTGAATGAAACAGCTGACTCGACGTCACTCCGGAAAGTAATATTTATAGGTAAGTATTTCCTTACCAATCATTGTGGGTAAGCATTTTGAAATCTGAGCATGTCCGTGCTGAATTGAATCTGAGGTTCCAAATTCAATTTAACGCTGTTACCTGTAAATAAATTTACAGGTAACCTAGCTCTACATTGAAAAAAAAGTATATGTATATATAGTAGATATACTAGATATTCCTACTTGTAACGATGTAGCCACAATCCTGGTGTCCTTTGCTGTTGGAAGGCTTGGCACTGTTCCAGTTCTTAAAGGAATTTGTTCCCACTTCAGCTCCGTTAGTGAACACCCACGGTCCACCGTCTTTGTTATTGTCTAAAAAATAACAATGAGGAACACTCATTAGTGCTATTGATTCAACTGTGATTGTATTTGCAATAACTGCATCTATTGTGTCACCGCATGAGGTACTTGCGTGATGATTTAAACTGAAGAGTTTTAGCGAAGTCAGGTGAAATAGGGGTTTAACGTCGCGTTTCTAAATAGTGAGCTGTCATAGAGACGCCCCCTCTCTCTCTCGCTCTCTCTCTCCCTCTCTCTCTCTCTCCCTCTCTCTCTCTCTCTCTCTGATGATCCCGATGATCAGTCCTCCTAATTATTATAATCATATCTATAAGTTTTTCAAAGAATAATTTGGAAATATCAATAAAATAACCTGTGTCGCTTACAGGGATCGGGTGGTCAGGCTCGCTGACTTGGTTGATGCATGTCATCGATCCCAATTGCGTGGATCGATGCTCATGATATTAATCACTGGATAGTCTGGTCCAGACTCGATTATTTACAGACCGCCGTCATATAGCTGGAATATTGCTGAGTGCGGCGTTAAACAACCAACCAACCAACTAACCACTCACTCACCTACGTTAACTTGGTCGCTTACCAGTTAACTCACTCTCTCACTTACGTTAACTTGGTCGCTTGCCAGTCAACTCACTCACTCACCTACGTTTACTTGGTCGCTTACCAGTTAACTCACTCTCTCACTTACGTTAACTTGGTCGCTTGCCAGTCAACTCACTCACTCACCTACGTTTACTTGGTCGCTTACCAGTTAACTCACTCACTCACTTACATTAACTTACATCAACTCAGGGGCGGTCGGGTAGCCTAGGGTTAAAGGGTTCGCTCGTCACGCCGAAGACCCAGGTTCGATTCCCGACATGGGTACAATGTGTGAAGCCCATTTCTGGTGTCCCCCGCCGTGATATTGATGGAATATTGCTAAAAGCGGCGTAAAACCGTACTCACTCACTACAAGTCAACTCACTCACTCACTTACGTTAACATGTGTCGCTTACAATTCAACTCTCTCACTCACTCACTCACTCACTCACGTCAACATGTGTCGCCTACCAGGCAACTCACTCATACACTTACGTTAACTTGTGTCGCTTACAAATGAACTCTCTCACTCACTCACTCACTCACTCACTCACTCACTCACTCACGTCAACATGTGTCGCCTACCAGTCAACTCACTCAAACACTTACGTTAACTTGTGTCGCTTGCCAGTCAACTCACTCACTCACTTACGTTAACTTGGTCGCTTACCAGTTAACTCACTCACTCACTTACATTAACTTGGTCGCTTACCAGTCAACTCACTCAAACACTTACGTTAACTTGTGTCGCTTGCCAGTCAACTCACTCAAACACTTACGTTAACTTGGTCGCCTACCAGCCAACTCACTCAAACACTTACGTTTACGTGTGTCGATTACAAGTCATCTCACTCACTCACTTACGTTAATCTGTGTCGCTTACAAATCAACTCTTTCACCCACTCACTCACTCACGTCAACATGTGTCGCCTACCAGCCAACTCACTCATACACTTACGCTAACTTGTGTCGCTTACAAATGAACTCTATCACACACTCACTCACTCACTCACGTCAACATGTGTCGCCTACCAGCCAACTCACTCATATACTTACGTTAACGTGTGTCGATTCCCAGTCATCTCACTCACTCACTTACGTTAATCTGTGTCACTTACAAATCAACTCTCTCACCCACTCACTCACTCACGTCAACATGTGTCGCATACCAGCCAACTCACTCATACACTTACGTTAACGTGTGTCGATTCCCAGTCATCTCACTCACTCACTTACGTTAACCTGTGTCGCTTACAAATCAACTCTCTCACTCACTCACTCACTCACTCACTCACGTCAACATGTGTCGCCTACCAGGCAACTCACTCATACACTTATGTTAACTTGTGTCGCTTACAAATGAACTCTCTCACTCACTACCTCACTCATTCACGTCAACATGTGTCGCCTACCAGCCAACTCACACACTCACTTACGTTAACCTGTGTCGCTTACAAATCAACTCTCTCACCCACTCACTCACTCACTCACTCACTCACGTGAGTATGTGTCGCCTACCAGCCAACTCACTCATACACTTATGTTAACTTGTGTCGCTTACAAATGAACTCTCTCACTCACTCACTCACTCACTCACTCACGTCAACATGTGTCGCCTACCAGCCAACTCACTCACTCACTTACGTTAACCTGTGTCGCTTACAAATGAACTCTCTCACCCACTCACTCACTCATTCACTCACTCACTCACGTCAACATGTGTCGCCTACCAGCCAACTCACTCATACACTTACGTTAACGTGTGTCGATTCCCAGTCATCTCACTCACTCACTTATGTTAACTTGTGTCGCTTACAAATCAACTCTCTCACCCACTCACTCACTCACTCACGTCAACATGTGTCGCCTACCAGGCAACTCACTCATACACTTACGTTAACATGTGTCGATTCCCAGTCATCTCACTCACTCACTTAAGTTAACCCGTGTCGCTTACAAATCAACTCTCTCACCCACTCACTCACTCACTCACTCACTCACTCACTCACGTCAACATGTGTCGCCTACCAGCCAACTTACTCATACAATTACGTTAACGTGTGTCGATTCCCAGTCATCTCACTCACTCACTTACGTTAACTTGTGTCGCTTACAAATCAACTCTCTCACCCACTCACTCACTCACTCACGTCAACATGTGTCGCCTACCAGCCAACTCACTCATACAATTACGTTAACGTGTGTCGATTCCCAGTCATCTCACTCACTCACTTACGTTAACCTGTGTCGCTTACAAATCAACTCTCTCACCCACTCACTCACTCACTCACGTCAACATGTGTCGCCTACCAGCCAACTCACTCATACATTTATGTTAACTTGTGTCGCTTACAAATGAACTCTCTCACTCACTCACTCACTCATTCACGTCAACATGTGTCGCCTACCAGCCAACTCACACACTCACTTACGTTAACCTGTGTCGCTTACAAATCAACTCTCTCACCCACTCACTCACTCACTCACTCACGTGAGTATTTGTCGCCTACCAGCCAACTCACTCATACACTTATGTTAACTTGTGTCGCTTACAAATGAACTCTCTCACTCACTCACTCACTCACTCACGTCAACATGTGTCGCCTACCAGCCAACTCACTCACTCACTTACGTTAACCTGTGTCGCTTACAAATCAACTCTCTCACCCACTCACTCACTCACTCACTCACGTCAACATGTGTCGATTCCCAGTCATCTCACTCACTCACTTATGTTAACTTGTGTCGCTTACCAGTCAACCCGATCCACAATTCAGTGACTCCGACTGCGTTTTGGGTTGAAAGATACTGGTTGATGAAGGCCTGGATGCCTTTGCTGAAATAATAAGTGTGACATTATGTCAGTCGAATCAAACTATTGATATAAAACGAAATTATAGGTATTAGTATGTTGAATTGTGTAGCTGTGTATAACAAACAAATCTCTACAAATGAGCCGACCCGTGAAGATCCGAGGTAGAATAGGTCTTCAGCAACCAATGCTTGCCGTAAAAGGCGACTATGCTTGTCGTAAGAGGCGACTGACGGGATCGGGTGATCCGGCTATCCCAATTACGTGGATCGATGCTCATGATGTCAATCAGTGGATTATCTGGTCCAGACTTGATTATTTACAGACCGCCGTCATATAGCTGGAATATTGCTGATTGCGGCGTTAAACAACAAACAAACAAACAAACAACAAATCACGCATCTCCTTAAAGTGTACAACACACAACTGAACATCCCCGAACACTGTATAACACACAAATCACGCATACCCTTAAAGTGTACAACACACAAATGCACATCTCCGAACACTGTATAACACACAAATGACGCATCTCCTTAAAGTGTACAACACACAACTGAACATCTCCGAACACTGTATAAGACACAAATCACGCATCTCCTTAAAGTGTACAACACACAACTGAACATCTCCGAACACTGTATAAGACACAAATGACACATCTCCTTAAAGTGTACAACACACAAATGAACATCTTCGAACACTGTATAAGACACAAATCACGCATACCCTTAAAGTGTACAACACACAACTGAACATCTCCGAACACTGTATAACACACAAATCACGCATATCCTTAAAGTGTACAACACACAAAGGACCATCTCCGAACAGTGTATAACACACAAATCACGCATACCCTTAAAGTGTACAACACACAAATAAACATCTCCGAACACTGTATAACACACAAATCACGCATCTCCTTAAAGTGTACAACACACAAATGCACATCTCCGAACACTGTATAACACACAAATGACGCATCTCCTTAAAGTGTACAACACACAACTGAACATCTCCGAACACTGTATAAGACACAAATCACGCATCTCCTTAAAGTGTACAACACACAACTGAACATCTCCGAACACTGTATAACACACAAATGACGCATCTCCTTAAAGTGTACAACACACAAATGCACATCTCCGAACACTGTATAAGACACAAATCACGCATACCCTTAAAGTGTACAACACACAAATGAAACATCTCCGAACACTGTAAAACACACAAATCACGCATATCCTTAAAGTGTACAACACACAAAGGACCATCTCCGAACAGTGTATAACACACAAATCACGCATACCCTTAAAGTGTACAACACACAAATGAACATCTCCGAACACTGTAAAACACACAAATCACGCATCTCCTTAAAGTGTACAACACACAAATGCACATCTCCGAACACTGTATAAGACACAAATCACGCATCTCCTTAAAGTGTACAACACACAACTGAACATCTCCGAACACTGTATAACACACAAATCACGCATATCCTTAAAGTGTACAACACACAAAGGACCATCTCCGAACAGTGTATAACACACAAATCACGCATACCCTTAAAGTGTACAACACACAAATAAACATCTCCGAACACTGTATAACACACAAATGACGCATCTCCTTAAAGTGTACAACACACAAATGCACATCTCCGAACACTGTATAACACACAAATGACGCATCTCCTTAAAGTGTACAACACACAACTGAACATCTCCGAACACTGTAAAACACACAAATCACGCATCTCCTTAAAGTGTACAACACACAAATGAACATCTCCGAACACTGTAAAACACACAAATCACGCATCTCCTTAAAGTGTACAACACACAACTGAACATCTCCGAACACTGTATAACACACAAATGACGCATCTCCTTAAAGTGTACAACACACAAATGCACATCTCCGAACACTGTATAAGACACAAATCACGCATACCCTTAAAGTGTACAACACACAACTGAACATCTCCGAACACTGTAAAACACACAAATCACGCATATCCTTAAAGTGTACAACACACAAAGGACCATCTCCGAACAGTGTATAACACACAAATCACGCATACCCTTAAAGTGTACAACACACAAATGAACATCTCCGAACACTGTAAAACACACAAATCACGCATCTCCTTAAAGTGTACAACACACAGATGAACATCTCCGAACACTGTAAAACACACAAATCACGCATCTCCTTAAAGTGTACAACACACAAATGAACATCTCCGAACACTGTAAAACACACAAATCACGCATCTCCTTAAAGTGTACAACACACAAATGCACATCTCCGAACACTGTAAAACACACAAATCACGCATCTCCTTAAAGTGTACAACACACAATATACACGCGTCGCCTGAGACAAGAGTGGTGGAGTGGAGATGTATTACGTTTGTAAGGAGGCAAGGTTTCCGCCGAGTCCCTTGCAGTAGGTGCTAGCTGACGGCCACGACAAAGAGTAGTGGGGGTTGAACAGGTAGCACTCTGTCCCGTACTCCAGCCAGCCGTCCGCACATGTCCCTGGAAGAAATATTACTGATTAGTGATTGTAATAGTTCGCCTGAAAGAAACATCAATTTCTCGAGAAGTGCATATGGTCACTGAATTATTGATTGAGTGCGTGCGTGCGTGCGTCAGTCAGTCAGTCGGTCGGTCTTTGTTGTTTAACACCGCACTAAGCCATACACCAACCGTATTAAGGCGGTCTGTAAATGATGGAATCTGGACCAGACAATTCAGTGAATGATGTTATGATCATCAATCCACGTAATTGGCATACGATGACATGCACCAACCAAGTCAGTAAGCCTGACCTACCGATCCCGTTAGTCGCCTCTTACGACAAGCATAGTCGCCTCTTATGACAAGAATGGGTTACTGAAGTCCAATTCTAACCCGGATCTTCATGGGTAGAGTGAGTGAGTGAGTGAGTGAGTGTGTGAGTGAGTGAGTGAGTGAATGGGTGATTGGGTTGTGTTTTCGTTACCAGAACATCACGGCTGGTAAGCAGACAGTTACCACTCATGTAAGGAGACAACATACCAACGATCATATAAGAGGGGCAAACTTGGGGTTCGAACCCATGGACAGCAGCTGCTGGTACATCTTCCCGAGGCAAGGGCGTTAACTGACTATACACGTCCAGTTTTCACCCTTGCCGAACCATCCTGGAATTCCGGATTTAAATTTGGGCTGGACAAACGAGTATATGCATAGTCCAATCAATATCGCGCAACGAACTAGACATCCGGTTCGTAAACAAGGACCGCCTCCGTGGTCTAGTGGTAGAGCGTCCGCCCGGAGAGCGGAGGTCCAGGGATCCCCAGCCGCGTCATACCAAAAGAAGTTAAAACATGGTACTTGTTGTTACCCTGTCTGGCGCTCGGCATTAAGGGGCTAAAACAAGGACTGGTCGGCTCGGAGTCAGTATACTGTGTCTGAGTGGGGTATTCATGTTCTAGTACATGACTAGTACAAGCAGCCACACAAACACACACACATACATGCACAGTGCAATAATCTTGGTCGCAACGTTAAACCCCATTTCACCTCACCTCGTGAACAAGATGGATTTCAATGAGCAGACTGTCGACTGCAGGATTTGCAAAGCATGTGTACCGTCAAGTGGGCGTCGACATATATTTTGCAAATCTTTTCACGTTTTTAATCAAGGTGCTCACGTCATTTGATGCACTTCGCGTGGTAAAACCCATTTTATTACAATATAGATCTTGATTATCGATCAGATCGTCTTGACTAGGCGCCGCCATTTTGTTTGAAGCAAATGCAAGTATGATATGAGAGAAGAATTCTGATTGGTCAATAGGAGGGAAATAGAAGGGACATAACTCGTAATATCCACTGGTGGCGCTACGATCGAGTCAGGAAATTCCAGCCCAGTTCAGCTAGAGTGTGCATATGGTGTGTGTGTGTGAGGGCGAGAGAGAGAGAGAGAGAGAGAGAGAGAGAGAGAGAGAGAGAGAGAGAGAAGGGGGGGGGGGGGGTGGGGGTGGGGGGGTTGCAGAGTGTAAGAGTGCAATCATTAGGTATGCAGGAAACCTGTGAACGTAGGTTCGAATCCCAGATTATCCCCGATCATGTTTCTAGATGTCATAGCATCCGGTAGTCTGGTGGTTAATGTTTAGAGAGTGTATCCATCCTGATGTCCCATTTCCCCATGTCATCAATAGCACAGATTTAGAAACTTCAGAGACAGAAGGCAAAAACTAAACTAAAAAAACTAAAAAGCAATGTAATTAAATCAAAAACATATCACCGTTTCCAAAGTATATATATTCTAAATATAGTTTCGCAGCTATACTCCTCTGTATCTATGTAGATGCTGGCCAATGGATGGAGGCGTTGAGCAAATCTATCCTTGTGAAAATGTGTCGATTAAAAACACAAGACTGCAAGAGTCGTCCAAAATGATGATCTAATGGTACATGTGACCTGTTTGATTCTGTGATACCATGCATCGACTGCTTGGTCCGTGTTATTATCGACTCGATTATTAAAGGCAGTCACAGTAAAACAACAGTCAGTCAGTCAGGGAGGGTATACCTTCAGGTCGTTGACAGTAGTATTTGTTCTTGGCGCCACACGAGGCCGCCACCCACGTGGATGGCAGCTGGTTGTTGGTTAGTTCCACGCACGTGTTGTTCGCACTGCAAACAGAAAACTGTCAGTATATACGTGATCTTTACATGTCGCTAGTAAGCTTATTTGAGTCATGAAAACTTAAGAGTATACAGTTTCATCTTTTGAGCATGATCGGGTAGAGTGACGCGGCCTTCAGACCCGTGTAGGTCTAGGAGTCGTTTTGCGAACATCTGGTATGAACATTTTAAGTTTACAATTTAACGTGTGTCAAATATTATTAGTTATGGTGTCTTTAGTTGCCGTATACGGTATCAGGTTAGGTTAGCTGAAAATTATTTAACGAGGCGTTAGCCGTGCCCAATATTGTTCTGCTAACCTAATATGACACCGTATACGGCAACTTAGGACACCATAACGAATTTATCATGCCGAAAAGTTTACACACTCTGGTATCCATATCGCACGTGTCATGTCAAAATGAAAACTTGACACTTACAACCGTACTTTGACGTTAAGGGTCAAAGGGAGACTACTCTTCAAACCTCAGAGGCCAAACCTTGTAGACAATTTTAACTATAATCTTTATCCATAAAGTCACGAACGTGATCTAAAAAACCCAGGTTAATGTCCTTGCACATCACAATTAATGATAGTGAAACACAAAACAGTGTCAAATAACGAATTTCGGTATACGAACTTTTCATGTGAAATATTTGAGGTGGGTTTTGGAAAATCCAAGATGGCTGTTACTGACGGTATGCGGTCTCATCTTAGGCCATTTCAACCATCTTGGATTTTAACTGACGGTATACGGGCTCATGTGGGTTCTGCTCTCTGATTGGTCAATCTCACTTTGAGTCATAATAATCAAATAAATTGTCCGCCTCTGTTTTGATTATGTTTCATTCCTAAAGTCAAACACAACGAAATCCTAAAAGGGACAATGTCTGTTGTGGCGTTATCGTGATTTGGTTATTTTTGACACGTTTTGCTTCTTTCTGTAAGGGCGACAATGCAACAACGCGACAATGTCCCTTTAATGATTCCATACAAATACCCCGACGCTTTGAACACCTGATCACGTCAATATTAATTAAAACCCTATGTCCTGCTGTTGACCCTGCCAGTGTTATGAAAGACTGATCAAACGCGTTCGACGTTTTAACGTTTCCTGTGGGAATTATTATTATTATGACCATTATTTTTATTGTAAACAAATAACTTGAGTTACTTGAATTTGGCTGGTGGTTGAGAAGGTCTCCAGTAGGGGTTGCCAGCCAGTGTCGTCCCATCTTGCCACACCCAGGCGAAACTGTTGCCCTAAACAAGACAAATTCCTTATTCGGGTTTAGTTGGAGTGACTAAGTTTTGGACTGACGCCACTTTGAACAATATTTCAGTTATATCACGCGTGTCAGCTAGATGTGGGTGGAAAACCCGAAGTGAAGCAGGTCTGGGACGTTTACCACTTTGGTGAAACCCACGAGCAATGATATGGTGCTGACAGACCTAGAAAGATAATCGGGGCGAACCGGGATTCGAACCCGGGATCATACGTTTCTGACGTGCCCAAGGGATGCAACTCTGTACAGCGAATTTGGCCACCTTAGACGACCCGTGCCCCCCAACATTGTCAGAAAAGTACCCTGAGTTTCATTACTGAGGGTACATAAGGTGTGTAGTGTCCATATAAACTAGACTGTGCCGGTCCATTTTCATAACGACATGACGGTTAAAACCTTGCTAAACGCGGCGTCAAACAACAAACGAACAAATAAAATTATTCGACACTGATCAGTTTAAAAGTTTGTGCAGAGTTGCGTCCCTTAGCTGTCAGAATTCAAAAGATGTTGGTTCGGAAAGATCGCCTCTATCAAGACGCTTGGTTTGTAAGCGCCATCCCTGGACATGGGTGCTTTACCAATGCCAGTGTTACTTTGATTTTTCAAAAGCTGACATGCCGAGACACAGTGAGTGAGTTTGGTTTTAACAGTTTTTCAGTTATATCACTTCGTGTCAGCTCAATATGGGATGAAAGCCGGTGAAGCAGGTCTTAGACGTTTACCACTTTGGTGAAACCAACGAGCACGGGTATGGAGCTGCCAGACCGAGATACAGATCAAAGCGGCTCTACACCAAACTCGCTCTCCCACTCAGATGTGGTATTAACTAACGTTGTGACGTATCGCTTTCTAATCATGTCGAGTAGTTCTGTTCAATGACGTCATACCAAAGCAGCTTAAGCTCACCTTACTTTGTGACCTCAGTCCTGTCCATAAATTCCCATGGGCGAATCGGGCAAATTCAGCATTGATCGTCTGTGATGTCAGATCATTTATAATCGGCAGGGTAGCGCCCAGCTTATCGCACGAGGAACTAAAACATATAATTGCAACGGATATAACCCTTGAAGCTGGATACTATGTTAAATATTACAGCCTGGTTTCTGTCACCTTTGAGGGGTTAATTCCTTCGAACTGTTTGCATGACCAACTAGAAACATATAATTGCTTTGTTTATTGTCTAACGCCGCAATCAGCAATATCCCAGCTATATGACGGCGGTCTGCAAATAAGCGAGTCTAGACAATCCAGTGATTGACGTCATGATCATCGATTTACGGAATTTGGATACGATGAAATGTATCAACCAAGTCAGCGAGCCTGACCACCCGATCCCGTCAGTCGCCTCTTACGACAAGCATATTCGCCTCTTTTACGGCAAGCATGGGTTGCTGGAGACCTATTGCATTTGTAACCCGGATCTTCACGGGTCACATATATTTTCAACTGATGTAACAAATAATGACGGTTCATATACTCCATCTAACAACCTTTTAAGCGCCCCGACGATCCAACTGTTTGACATATGACTACAACAAATATTAACCTTTGGGCGGGTAAATAAAACAATGTCAATTTGTATTTTATGAATACCTCGTCAAAGATGACGCATAACGTCGAACAGAGTATTTCATCTTTCATAAGGTTAGATGGGGTTTACCGTCGCGTTCAAGATTATTGCACTTATATAGCGACGTGCATGCACGTGTGTGTGTGTTTGCGTGTGGCTGATTGTACTAGTCCGGTTTAGCATTGCTAGCCCAATGCGATACCATGGACCAGTTTAACATGAATACCCCACTCAAACACAGTATACTGACAGTATACGAGCCGACCAGTTCTTTTTTTTATCCCCTTATATCGAGTGCCGGGCAGGGTAACAACAAGTACCATCAAAGCTCTTTAGTATGATGCGGCCGGGGGTCGAATCACCGATCTCTGGGCAGACGTTCTGAGCCATTGGTTGAGGTTAAAGTTTTCGTTCGTACCGCCAAAGGGGCGGTCGGATAGCCTAGTGGTTAAAGCGTTCACTCGTCACGCCGAAGATCCAGGTTCGATTCCCGACATAGGTACAATGTGTGAAGCCCATTTCTTGTGTCCCCCGCCGTGATATTGCTGGAATATTGCTAAAAGCGGCGTAAAACCATACTCACTAACTCGTACCGGGAAGGACCCGGGTTTAATTTCTCATATAAGTACCCCGTGAAGCTCATTCCCAGTGTTCACCGCCTTGATACTGCTGGAATATAGTTCACAAGCGCCGCAAAACCCTACCTCACTACCTCACTCACTACCTTGCTGACACGACGTCACCACTGATTGATATTAGCTCACCTTGCGTCGTTCCAGGTGCGCCCTGTGTTGAAATATTTGTAGCACTTTCCTTCGCTACTTATCCAACCGTGATTAGTATCGCACTTTATGGGCAAACCTGTGATCATAGGTAACGATATATTCAATTCCTGCTTGGTCGAGACTTTTTTGTTTTATCTTTCTTGTAAAAGTTGATTCATGCTTCTTATTGGTATCCAGAAAGGAACTACTTTACGTCTTGTATTTACAAATAGTTTAGAGGGTCTAACACGTATTTAGATACTCTAATCCGAAAAGCATTGCCTCTTGCACGAGATCATACATCTTACAGGTAGTGCTTATGTAACAGAAAATACCTTCTTTGATGCTAATATCAGGAAAATAGTTTCTCTTGCACGAAAACATAAATCTCACAGGTAGTGCTTATGTAACATATAATATCTTCCTTACTGCAAATATCAGGAAAATAGTTTCTCTTGCACGAAAACATAAATCTTACAGGTAGTTCTTATGTAACATATAATATCTTCTTTGATGATAATATCAGGAAAAAAGTGCCTCTTGCACGAAAACATAAATCTTTCAGGCAGTCCTTATGTAACATATAATATCTTCTTTGATGCTAATATCAGGAAAATAGAGTCTCTTGCACGGGAACATACAACTTACAGGTAGTGCTTATGGCATCTTCCCGAGGCAAGGGAGTTAGCTGACTATAAAAGTCCAGTTTCCACCCCTGCCGAACAAGGCTGGAACCATGGAGTTATCGTTTGGCATCGTCGAATCAAAATCGCGTAACGAAATCGACACATGGTTCGCAAACAACATGGCGATTTCGGCCGATTGCAGGATTTGCATAGCTTGTGTTCCCTCACCTGAGCATCGACAGGTATTTTCAATATCAAGGTGCTCAAGTGGTTTTATTGCAATAAAGATCAGATCGTCGTGACTGGATGCCACCATTTTGTTTGAAGCAAATGCAAGTGATATGAGAGGTTGAATCGGATTGGTCAATGGAAGAGAAATTTGAAGGGACAAAACTTGTAATCGCCACTGGTAACGCTACGATCGAGCCCAGAAATTCCAGCCTAGTTCGACAAGGGTGGAAACTGGACCTTTATAGTCATTTAACTCTCTTGCCCTGGGAAAATGTGCTTATGATAACATAATAATGTCTCCTTTGATGCTTATATGAGGAAAGTACCTCTTGGGCGTTGGCATATGGACTGGTATGACGCACTGGTACAGGAGTCGACTTCCATCTGGTACAGATGCATATTGACACATGCCTTTGTCTTGTCGTGAACGTACGACTTATTCGCCCACGGCCTGCAAGGACAAAAACATGGACATTCGTGACCAACTCGTGTTATTCCGGGACAAGCCGAACAGCGATCTTCTTGTAGGTTAAGGAAAGGGGCGAGTGGGGACGAGTGAAACATGAAGTTTAACTTCAACAGTCTCCTCGGTCGCCAGGGAGTGTTCGATTCTTGATATCCCGGTCGTAAAGATGGGGGGAATTACTGTTTTCTTTCTGAACATGACTGAGTAGTCTGTTAGCGAGAGATGTTTGTGTGCAACGCATACATTACTTGGTGTTCCTAGAACATATTAGTGTAACTTTGGAAAAGTGGCTTAAAACAATCCTAATGTTGTACTGATATGGTAAACTGAAGTAAACGTAACACAACACAATGACCCATTTGGCGATATATTTTAGCATAATTTCATGATTACTGAACGTCAATTGCTCAATCACAAAATGTGTCCTCGCCTTTTCCAAAACAACGTATCCTCGCTAGATACCACCCTATGGTGATTGGCTCGGGGACTTAGTTGATTGTTTCTTTGTACCCTGAGTGCATGGGACGTTGCTCATGTCATCAACCACTAGTTTGTCTGGCCCAGACTCGATTATGTACAGACCATCGTCACCTAGCTGGAATAGTGCAGCCGTCCCCAGGATTCACGCATAGATAAAACCGTGTCCCATGTCGTAAAATAGCAACAGGGGTGCGCGGAGTACAGCGAGTGTCTTTCCTTCATTGGGGTGAGGTGAAATGGTGTGTGTGCGCGTGTGCGTATATGTGTGTGTGCGTGCGTGCGTGCGTGAGTGTGTGTGTGCTTGTACTAGTCCAGACTAATGCCGATTTTATAGTGCCAGCCGACTGAGATACCATGCTACAGTTTAACATGACACATTATACTGACTCGAGGAGACCAGTCCTTGTATTAGCTCCGTAATGCCGAGCCCCAGGCAGGGTAACAACAAGTACCATCTTTTAATGTCGTTTGGTATGCCGTGGCCGGGAATCGAACTCCCGCCCTTTCGCTTTCCGGCAGACGCTCTACAACTAGACCAAGGAGGCGGTTTTCTCGTCACTGGTGAGGATACGTACAAGATACCCATTTGGGCGTTGCTGCCGTCCGCCCATGTCCACGTGGAACCATCGCCCTTTCTGTTCAGGCCGATCCACCAGTGTGTGTAATGGCCGTGACTCCTTGCACTCAGTTTGTGCATGGTGGCATTGAAGAAGTGCTGTTTGGAAAAAAAATATATTTTGAATAACATGGCATTATATATATATCTCAAGTATCGGGCCACGCCATCATGTTGCTTAAGATACTGTGTTTGTGCCAAAGTTGGGCGTCCACTGACAATATGTTGGACAGTCTCATTAAATTCATTGCATAATCTACATTTCATATTTACATTTGGATGCAAAATCACACCTTGACGGTTTCGAGTGGGGAGTGACTGATCCTGAGCTGCAAACAGAAAGTCTTCTGTTTTACTTTTCAAGCCAGCCGACTTCATCCAAGCGAAGGACTCTGCAGGGTTGCTTATCCTTTCAACACACTGCACATAAACTCGATGCAGTGGTCGTTCAGATAGCCTCTCCTGTCTGGGCCGATTTCAATTCAATTCAGTTTATTCATATATTACTGTAAGACCACAGGCCCATAGTACAGAATACATGACAATGTGGAAGCAGTTAAAAAGTTACATGGATTCATTTCTTAATAACCACGGCATGATATATAAATAGAGATGGATTTCGTATTGTCGTTTTGCTCACATGTGATATTAAAGAGATAAACTTGTACTTATTTGGATGTACATAGTATTTTTTTCAATATATGTCTTCCTTAAATTATCATATTTCCAACATACAAACAAAAAGTGAAATTCATCTTCGACGACATTAAAGTAACATTGTCACATTTTTGGGTCAATCTACTCTCGGACATTTTAAAACAATATCTTATGATACATATATTGGTTAAAAACGCAGCCATTGTCGATTTGCAATGTATTAAACGGCATTGTTTTCACACTTGTTCAAAAATGTCAAGGAGGAAAACAGTAAAGCAAAATGCACGTGCAAGTTATGACATTCGTTACTCGTGGTAGTGGCTATGAAAAGGCAAGCATAAGACAATAATTTGTCATGCAATGGTCAACATTTATCAAGTTCGAAAATGCCGAGACTCAGCGCTGCCGATCGGAACATCGCCATAGGACGTATCCAAAGAGGGGAATCGCAGTCTTCTGTTGCACGCCACTTCAACGTCCACCACAGCACCATTTGCCGCCTTTGGGACAGATACACACAGTTCAATTCCACTGCAGACCGTACGAGAACCGGCCGACCAAGAGTTACCACCCCTGCACAGGATCGCTACATTCGACTGTTCCACCTACGTCATCGCAATGCCACAACTACGGAGACTGCAGGACGCATCCCTGGTTTGAGGAGGATATCGGATCAGACTCAGGAACCATCTTCGCGAGGCTGGACCAATTATCGTCACTGTTTTGCAACAGATCCATCGACAGCGACGCTTGCGTTGGTGCCACACCTTAGGGTGGTTTAGCGATGAATCACGATTTCCTCTTCACCGGCGAGATGGAAGACAACGTCGAAATGAGCCCCCACATTGTGTACGTGAATTCGACCATTTCGGTGGCGGTGGTGTCATTGTGTGGATTTCACGCATTTCACAGCATTAATGATACTACTAGTAGGTTCAGACGGTAGGCCGATTTGATATGACACGTCGCTTGGTTGACATTCATTTCTGTACCTTCCAGCTGTACAAAACCATCAACAAAATCAACACTGACAGTAACATTATGTCCCACATCCACATCTTCCCAAGGCAAGAGAGTTAACTGACTTTAAAAGTCCAGTTTCCACCCTTGCCGAACTAGGCTGGAATTCCTGGGCTCGATCGTAGCGCCACCAGTGGCTATTACGAGTTATGTCCTTTCTATGCCTCTCCTATTCACCAATCAGATTCAACCTCTCGTATCACTTGCATTTGCTTCAAACAAAACGGTGGCGCCCAGTCAAGACGATCTGATCGATAATCAAGATCTATATTGTGATAAAACGAGTTTTCCATCGCGGAGAGCATCAAATCACGCGAGCGCCTTGATTAAAAACATGAAAAGATTTAGAAAATATCTGTTGACAACGAGTTAGCGGTGCACATGCTTTGCAAATCCTGCAGCAGTCGACCGAAATCTGCATGACACTTTACGAACCGGATTTCGATTTCGGTGCGCGATTTTGATTGGACTATGCATAGACTCGTTAGTCCAGCCCAAATGTAACTCCATAATACCAGCCTAGTTCGGCAAGGGTGGAAACTGGACTTTAATAGTCAGTTAACTCACCTGCCTCGGGAAGATGCACATCCATGGCTCGTTTAAGAAAACCGGGAATCATCAGACAAATAAATGTGTGCATAAGTGCACAATACAATTGTATCATGAAGAGCCTCCACATCAAACCACGCCCTCCCATTATGATTGGTAAAACATAAGCGATTGAGGGAGGGTGTGGAATCTATTGTCTGACATGATTCTACGTGTGAGGGTGTCAATACCTGAATTTCTTGTTTCGTCCAATCAATCCAACAACAAAAGAATATGAAAGGACGGGTTCAGCATAAGTATTTGTGGCTTTGACTTTATTGCGGGCGTGGGCAGAATGATAACCTTCCTCTTTGCTTGAAGGATTTCCGGGGTAGAATAGGTCTTCAGCAACCCCTACTTGCCGTAAAAGGCGACTATGCTTGTCGTAAAAGGCGACTAACGGGATCGGGTGGTCAGGCGCGCTGACTTGGTTGATACATGTCATCAATCCCAATTGCGTGGATCGATGCTCATGTTGTCAATCACTGGATTGTCTGGTCCAGGCTCGATTATTTTACAGACCGCTGTCATATAGCTGGAATACTGCTGAGTGCGGCGTTAAACAATAAACAAACAAACTTGAAGGATTTAGTGAAAAGAAAAATCCTCCGTTATGATTATCATTGATTCTATCAGCACCACACTGGTAGGTTTCGCCAAAGTGTTTAACAGATTGCTTGACTCATTCGGGGCCTTTCTCCCACGTTAAAATGACAGCCGTGATCTGACTATAACTACAAGCGTCAAGACAAACTCCTACCAATTGGGCTGTGCTTGTGATTTGGGCAAGGTCCCCTCCGAAGGCTTGGCATTTGAGTCTGGCGTTCTCCCATAGGGTGGTAGCAGAGTTCTGGGTGAAGTAGAAGCACCATTGGGACTGCGGGTACCAGCCATACGGGCAGTTCTGGCACAGCGCTACAAAACAAACAAAAAGGTAAGGCCAACCATTTAATATTCAGAGGGTGAGGGGGTGGGGGTGGAGATGAGAGTGCTGCTTTTTGTTTGAGCCAGATTATGTTTTCAGTCAGCGCTTCATGACATATACTGAGGGGCAAAAGAAAATATACCGAATTTGTTTTTCATGTAAGTGAAAATTGAAAGAACTGTTCTTAAATCTGATTATTGTCTTTTTAACCATCACTGATTCCTGCAACAGTTTGTACACTGTAATCTGTGGCTGGGTAATTTTGTGTAAAAATAAATTGGTTTAATGAAGAGTGGAGTAAGAAATAAATTTGAACCATATGACTACAACCATATTTGAAATGTTGTAAATTTGCAGTTGCATATTATGTGAACATTTTTCAAATTTTTAAATCAAATAAAATTTAAAAAAAACAACAGATGGAAGTATTCTTTGATTGCTGACTAAGTGCCAGTACAGTTAATATTCTGGATATATAGTTTCAATTGACAGTCAAACATATGACTCTCAGTCTTTTTCTCTCTGGAGGAGGAGCCAAGTAATGCCTAATTAGTATGCCTGAATACTTTTTTTCAAAACATCAAGCAAGACTATGGAAAGATTTTTTTCTATGGTTACAACTGAAGACCAAACAGGTTATTTAAAAAACCCATCACATTATACAGTTGTCGACGTCCGTTGTTCGTCGTAAAGTTTCATATTTGAGCGCTAAGGTCTCATTTTCATAACCCGCGTCAGAATGCTGAACTTATTTGGATATTCAAATAACTTCAAGAAAGATAAAGTAAAAAAACACAAAATAGCGCATTCGTTTCTGAATACAGTATTTTAATCTCCAAAACCTTGATTCGTGATCGTCATTTACCCATTGGCCTGTCATTGTGTGTTTGAGAATTTGGCCATTTCTCGGAGACTTTCTTAAGTGTCATTGTGAATGAATACTGGTGATATTAACTTCTTTATACTTTCTGTACAGATGCTAGTACCTTTATCAAGATCGAGCAGTTATGTTTCAACATTATCTCTAGGGCAAAAGAAATTGTACATTTTAAAATTCGATTTGACCAAACAATCGTAAACGTCATTCAAACGTTATTCGGCTGCCAACAGTCGCCGAAATATTGCAACTTAAGGTACAAAACACAACTATGATACCCGTATCAAATACACCCCCATCGAATAGCCATTTCGTTTTTGTTAGCCACCATCTAACATAGGTGTATACTTTCTTTTTCCCGGGGATTTATTATCATACAAAGTATATTTGTTTGTTGTGTGGACAATCATGCAGTCAATAATATTGTTGACCCTTCCCGAAACTTACCGTTATGATTTTTATATAGACTTATTCTATGTACACTGAAACTGTTCAAGAAAAAAAGAAGAAATTCGTAATTCTATAAATTTATCTTATCAGTATGAACACTGATTATTACATTTTGATTATGCAATCGAGCTCGCACGAGCCACGTCATCCGTATCGGGGCATCACATAGGTCCAGTTTCTCACCGATAATTAACTCTAGCAGCGATAGCGCCGAATGTCTGTTATTTTGTTACACAGAATTTGACTTTGCCATAGTCGTGTATATATATAGATATATTATAAATTTGAAAAACTAAACTAAGGTCAAAAGAAGTTATACCTCGAAGTAGATTTGATCATATTTTTTGATATTTTTATACGTTATCCCTAAATATGAACTGTATTGGCACTTTGCCAGCACTCAAGGAATACTTATGCGTGGTTTTATTTGATTTTAAACACTGAAAAATGGAAAGAAATCTTTGACATCCTATTTGTGAAAATCATTAAGTTCGCTTTTTTCGTCACACATTTACAACCTTTCAAATATGGAAGGGGTTGTGCGGTTGCCAATTCATATTTGACCTTCGTCTTAATTCAACTACTTAATTTTTACACAACCTAACCCAGCCACAGATTACGTTTTACAAACTATGGCAGAAATGCGTGATGGTTAAATAGACATAAAAAGTTCTTTCAATTTTCAATTACATAAAACACAAACTCGGTATATCTTTTGCCCCTCAGCTTATAATCCTGTATTATCCTTAAGGAAGAGAATTTATGGATGTCGACTTCTTTATTATGAGGAACACAACGTTTCGGAATATATGCTTACACCTTCATCAGGTGCCCTTTCATAATTGCCCATTGTCCATTGCCATCTACCTAACAGTGATAATATATTCCTGGCTTCCAATTGTCCATACTATCAGCGGTAATTACTGTAAAGTTTTGGCTTCCATTGTCTATTGCTAATCTCCTATCAGCGCCAATTATTTGTTGGCTTCCCTTGTTAAGTTTCCACCTTTTGTTATCTTATCACTTTTCTTGTTCTTACGTGAAGGCTCGTGTAATGAATTCACCAGATGAAGGAGTAAGCATATACTCCGAAACGTTGTGTTCCTCATACTGAAGAAGTTGACTTTCACGAATTCTCTTCCTTATGTGTATCACATTTAAATGCCTTTCAAAGACCTGTATTATCCTGTCAATCGCCATCAGAAGCCGAGATAATCTATGCCTAGAACAATTCAATGTGTATTAACAAACGTGAAGAATATTAATCCACTTGCACACAAGCGATGAGCGACTGTGCTTGTCGTAAGAGGCGACTAACGGGATCGGGTGGTCAGGCTCGCTGACTTGGTTGATGCATGTCATCGATCCCAATTGCGTGGATTGATGCTCATGATATCAATCACTGGATTGTCTGGTCCAGACTCGATTATTTACAGACCGTCGTCATATAGCTGGAATATTGATGAGCGCGGCGTTAAACAACAAACAAACAAACAAGCGATGAAATCATATTACTCTTTTGAGGGGCTAGCTACTCAATTAGAAACTTGTCCAATATCTAGGGGTGCGGGGATGTTGGGCGTAGGGGAAGGGTGTCTCCCCTATTTAAGCATAGTGATCGTGAATACAGAAAACAAGTTTGCATTGATTGTACTGGAACAACGCATTGACAGTACTGGAACAATGCATTGATAGCATCACTTGGATGAACAATTTGAATATTAAAGCAGCACGTACATAACGTTATTGAACGGTTGGTTAGTCCAGTATATAACACTCATCATGGCGAAAGGCCGGGTTCGATTCCCCTCATGGGTACAATATGAGAAGCCAATTCTCGCTGTTTCCTGCATTGGTAGTACTGGAAGAATGCCTAGATAGTACTGGAACAATGCATTGACAGTACTGGAACAATGCATTGATAGTACTGGAGCTGTGCCTTGATAGTACTGGAACAATGCATTGATAGTACTGGAACTGTGCCTTGATAGTACTGGAACAATGCATTGATAGTACTGGAACTGTGCCTTGATAGTACTCGAACAATGCCTTGATGGTACTGGAACAATGCCTTGATGGTACTGGAACAATGCATTGATAGTACTGGAACAATGCATTGATAGTACTGGAACAATGCATTGATAGTACTGGAACAATTCTTTGACAGTACTGGAACAATGCATTGATAGTACTGGAACTGTGCCTTGATAGTACTGGAACAATGCCTTGATAGTAGTTACAATGCATTGACAGTACTGCTACAATGCATTGACAGTACTGGAACAATTCTTTGACAGTACTGGAACAATGAAATGATAGTACTGGAACAATGCATTGATAGTACTGGAACAATTCTTTGACAGTACTGGAACAATGAAATGATAGTACTAGAACAATGCATTGATAGTACTGGAACAATACCTTGAAAGTACTGGAACAATGCCTTGACAGTACTGCTACAATGCATTGATAGTACTGGAACAATGCATTGACAGTTCTGGAACAATGCATTGATGGTACTGGAACAATTCTTTGACAGTACTGGAACAATGCATTGATAGTACTGGAACTGTGCCTTGATAGTACTGGAACAATGCATTGACAGTACTGAGGAAAGGCCTCATAAGCACTGCAACAATGCCTTGATAGTACTGCTACAATGCATTGACAGTACTGGAACAATTCTTTGACAGTACTGGAACAATGCCTTGATGGTACTGGAACAATGCATTGATAGTACTGGAACAATCCATTGATAGTACTGGAACAATGCATTGATAGTACTGGAACAATTCTTTGACAGTACTGGAACAATGCATTGATAGTACTGGAACTGTGCCTTGATAGTACTGGAACAATGCCTTGATGGTACTGGAACAATGCATTGACAGTACTGAGGAAAGGCCTCATAAGCACTGCAACAATGCCTTGATAGTACTGCTACAATGCATTGACAGTACTGGAACAATTCTTTGACAGTACTGGAACAATGAAATGATAGTACTGGAACAATGCATTGATAGAACTGTAACAATGCATTGATGGTACTGGGACAATGCCTTGAAAGTACTGGAACAATGCCTAGATAGTACTGGAACAATGCATTGATGGTACTGGGACAATGCCTTGAAAGTACTGGAACAATGCCTAGATAGTACTGGAACAATGCATTGATAGTACTGGAACAATGCCTTGAAAGTACTGGAACAATGCCTAGATAGTACTGGAACAATGCATTGATAGTACTGGAACAATGCATTGACAGTTCTGGAACAATGCATTGGTAGTACTGGAACTGTGCCTTGATAGTACTGGAACAATGCATTGATAATATTGGAATATTGTCTTGATAGTACTGGAACAGTGCATTGATGGTACTGGAACAATGTATTGATAGTACTGGAACAATGCCTTGATAGTACTGGAACAATGCCTTGACAGTACTGCTACAATGCATTGATAGTACTGGAACAATGCATTGACCGTTCTGGAACAATGCATTGACAGTACTGGAACAATGCATTGATAGTACTGGAACTGTGCCTTGATAGTACTGGAACAATGCCTTGATGATACTGGAACAATGGATTGACAGTACTGGAACAATGCATTGATAGTACTGGAACAATGCCTTGATGATACTGGAACAATGGATTGACAGTACTGGAAGATTGCATTGACAGAACTGGAACAATGCATCGACAGTACTGGAACAATGGATTGACAGTACTGGAACAATGCATTGATAGTACTGGGACAATGCATTGATAGTACTGGAACAATGCCTTGATAGTACTGGAACAATGCATTGAAAGTACTGGAACAATGCATTGATAGTACTGGAACAATGCATCGGTAGTACCGGACCAATGCTAAAGGCTGCGCGCAACCCCAATCATTCGCACTGAATGAATGAATGAATGAATGAATGAATGAATGAATGAATGAATGAAATTGTTTAAACATCACGCCGAAGAGCCGGGTTTGGTTCCCCGTTTGAACATGTGTGAAACCCATCGTTTGTGTCGCACGTGATATGACTGGATTATTGCTGCATGCGGCGTTAAAGCCATGCCCCCTCACTCACTCACTCTCGTATGTGTCTTACCTTGTGCCAATGTCATTAATACAACAGCAACACCGAGCGTCACACGCCTCGAAGCCATATCGCATCCAACTTCAAAGTGTCGGCGTGTGTGTATATATCCAACTGTATATGGTATGCTAAACAGACGCTCTTTAATATCGTTGGACCTTGAACGATTTGATAACAAAGCTAGGAGAGGTATCCTTGCAGACTCCTTACGACCTCATATGCATCATGTATTGCGCACCCGTTGAAATGCGATGTGCGGAGTTATACGTACGTATATATATCGGAATCCTAGGGAACCACCTCAAATGTTATCATTTAAAGATAGAAAAAGCACTTCAGATATGATACAAGTATCTCTTCTAATGCTTCATTGTTGACATCCATCTCGTGTATGTTATTAGATGGTGTTGGAATTTTGGGGTGTTTTTTTGGTTTTTAACTTTTCTTGTTCCCGGAGTTGTAGATTAATACAGTATTCCGTCAAAAACATATTTTGGATTGCATAGAATGAGTGAGTGAGTGAGTTTGGTTTTACGCAGCTTTTAGCAATATTCCAGCAATATCACGGCGGGGGACACCAGAAATGGGCTTCACACATTGTACCCATGTCGGTGCATAGAATGACACAATACACTCTTAAAGGGTTTGAAATAAACATTGTCATATTTCATATTTTATATGATCCTGAACGCTGTTCTAATTGGTCTATGCATGTTTTAATAATAGGGTTGTGTTTGGGTTGTGGTTGCAGGTGATAAACAGACACACATAGAGACACAGACAGATAGATAGACACAGAGACACAGACAAACAGTTAGACAGACAGACAGAGACATACAGACAGACACATACAGAAACATACAGAACATGCGACCCCAATCTCCACCACTAACACACAGACAGACAGACACACAGACACACACACACAGACACACACACACAGATGCAGATAGACAGACAGACAGAGACACATGGACAGACACGGAGACACACACGGACAGACACACACAGACACGCACAGAGACAGAGAGGGAGAGACAAACACAGACAGACAGACAGACAGACAGACACTGAAACAATGTATAAAGTTGGACCCCTTCACGGATTCCCTGGATCCGTCCTTGTACCTACTATACATTCACAACGGGTTCGTTGCAAACCCACCCCGTACCTTCACAACCGAGTACAGTATGGGACTGGTGGCCAAGGTCAACGAGTGTTATCTACGCTGAAGCGACATGTGGGCTGCACAGTGTGGCACAGGACATCTCAGGTGTGCCAGGTCCTAGGCACAAAAATGAGTTCACCTCTCTTGGTGATAACATCAGTTTCATTTCTAAATGAAGATGTGACAATGCATTCGTGAACAAACATTGTTTTGGAGTCTATCAGCTGAGATACATACACCTTTAGATTATTACGTCCGTGCTTGCGACATGAACGAATTCGAGAACCTGAATTATGTAATCTGTTTCTGCACTTTTACAAGTGCATGTCATGATAACTAGGTATATGTAAACATAGGTCAATATTTATCATAGGGCGGCATAGATCCAAACGATGAAATGGAAATCTTTATCACATCCACCGCGATCATCATCATCATCATCACCTCCTCCCCATCATCATCATCATCATCATCATCATCATCATCATCATCATCAACTCCTCCCCATATTCATCATCATCATCACCTCCTCCCCATCATCATCATCATCATCATCATCATCACCTCCTCCCCATCATCATCATGCATCATCATCATCACCTCCATCATCATCTTTACCGCCATGCATCATCATCAGCAGCAGCAACATCACCACCATGCATCATAACCACATTATCATCATCACCCATCATCACCCATCATCATCACCATTCAACATCGCCACCATCACCATTCATCATTATCAATATGGACAGCAAATTATAACAGTTAGAAAGAAGCACGAGTGGGATGTGGAGAATATTGCTCTAGTGCCGTTTTATATATGAACACAATTTGATGTAGGTAGCAAAACTTCGAGGCTTAATTTGAATTTCACTCATTATACCCTAATATTACTGGAATAGTAGTCTGGTCCAGACAATTATTTACATATAGCGGAAATATTACTGAGTGCGGCCTTCCACGGCAAACACACAAACAGATAATAAAATCCAACAATTAACAAAGGTAGCTTCGACGAACAGACACTCGATTTATTGTGACCTTGGAATTTGTGTGGCTCATTTATATCAGCTGCACATTCCTTGGTGTACTTTATCGTGAAGGGACAATATGCTTAGCATCACGTTACTTAACAATAGGACTACTGTTTTTTTAAGAGTGTATATATTTTTTATCACGTTGACGTGTCACTGTCACTGTTGTCAACTTTGCTATTTAATTTTTTCGGCAACTGACAAAATAGTTTTGATTTTGTGTTTTTATCTATAAGAACAAGAAGACATAATATCTCAAACTCTCTACACAATTTAATCGTTGTATATAGGTGGAATATTGCTGAGTGCTACATTGAAACAATATCAAACTTGCAAATAGACAAACAAGACACAAATTATGCTCCACTGTCGGATGCCCATGTTCATTGCAGGTCTGGGTCCACTTGCACAAAGCGATCTTAGCGCTAAGATGATCTTAACTCCCATACTTTAACATAGGCTTACAATAGTCTTAGCGCTGAGATCGTTTTGTGCAAGTGGGCCCTGGTCTGGCCACGTGTGAAAGTGTAAATAGAGTGATAGATTAAAATTCGTTTTGAATTCAGTGTCGGTAGACAAACAAAGTGCTGTTTAAATATCGTGTTTCAAACGTGCGAGGGCTGTCAACTTTCCAGAGCCTTTCCTGTTTTAAATATATCCATTCACATAGCAATGAATGTTAACAGTCACAGGTTAATAAGTGTATAAAGCATTCATGAACACATTTAAATGGAGACATATTTGTAGTTTCGTTTCGAGGCAAGAGTTTGCTTTTTTCCCTCAAAACTGATTGGGCATTATTATAATAATGTGCATTTATAATGCGTCAAAATCCATTCACCACATAGATGCTCATAGCGCTACACTATTATTACCCCGGTGAATGGATCAGTGTGCACCCGATTTTCATTCTCAGCTCCCTGGGGAGTATACAACCCAAGATACCAAGCCTAGAGGTTAAATCGTTCACTCATCAAACCGAAGTCATGGGTTCGATGCCCCACATGGGTACAATGGATGAAATCCATTTCTGGTGTCCCCCGCCGTGATGTTGATAGAATATTGCGAAGAGCGGCGTAAAATCATACTCACTCGCTCACTAAAACTGGCGAGTCACGATATATTTATTCAGTTGAATTATTGTTGTTTTCTTTCGCAATCTGATAAATAGACCTTTGAGGCGTTTGTTCTCATCAGTCATATCTGGTTTATCGTCACTTCGTATACTGACCCAGTATCAGTGAATATCTTGATAACTCCGAGAGAGGTAGAACGCTGGGTGATACGGACAGGATTTGCTATCATGCACTCACCACTTTTGGAGCGCGTGATGTCGAGGTTAGGACACAATAGATATTGGACAAAGATACAGACCTCATTGTCGGAGAGGTTATCAGGCTGTGATAAAGGACAAAAAACAAAAACATTTTATCAATGGGGTGAGTGAGCATGGTTTTACGCCGCGTTTAGCAATATCCCCGCAATATTATGAGGGGCGACACCAGAAATGGGCTCCACACTTTGTACCCATGTTGGGGATCGATCCCGGGCGAACGCTTTAACCCCGCCGCCACTTACAATGGAAGAAAAAACAACATTGAGCGTTCACTTCTGAAGACTACACTTGTACAAGTTTATACATAATACATGCATGTGTACTGCAAATCTTTCTTTAATAGTCCAGAATGTTTTAGATCAGCCTAGCACAATCTCTCATTGTCGATTTTCTTTAATTTCCATTTTTGGATGAATCTAAATATTTTTTAAACATAGGCTGAAAAACACGCAAATTTCGTTCTTGTTTTCTGTAGGCCTTTGAATTAAAAAAAACCTTGCACTGTTTTGCCAATGTTTCTAAATATTAATTGCGGTATTTGTGCATATATATTTCATACTATCCGATTTACACCAATAACGATAATAGTTGAGACCCGGGCGAACAAATGTGGAAAGTTGTTGTTACCAAACTGATGACAAGTATTCGAACACGAAGCTGTTAAGGTGCACCCTAAAAAGTACATTCAATTTCTCTTCGTTCCAATGTGCCGGTAAATATTAGAGTAGTCTCCCTTACTCCCCGGAAGTAAACAAGTGCGTGACCAGTGACGATAACAAATACACCGTTAGGCCTGTCAGGGCATGTGTTGACGAAGGAAGTGAACCAGCCACTTAGAAACATCACAACATTTGACCCGAGGCCAGTTGAAACAACATCTAGTTCAACAATGATGTTCTCAGATGATCAGTACAACCAAGCTTGCAAAGAACTTCTATCGCCCCAGTTGGACGGTTGGGAATATTTCGTCGAGTCAAACGATGTCACGATCTACAGGCTTTATAACGAGGTAAGTTTAATCGAATAACGGGTCACTTATATTGGCTTGGGTAGTGTAAGTTTATAATTCAGATGGAATTGTTTAGTTTGACAGGTCAGAAAAGTAGGAAAATAATTTTTTGTGACAAAAAAGAAAATATGTAACCATAGCAGTGTCAGGTAACTATCCGTTGCAAGGATAGAGTTGTGGAAAATAATATTTCCACACCAGCAATAGTTTTTCAGATGCAAGTTCTCATTCTCAGCCTTGTCCAATTTATCTGTGAAATCGAATTTGAAAAATGAATTACATAACATACATTAACTAAAGAAACATTACCTAAATTCGGGGATCGTGGTAATTATCGTGATATCTCGTAAATTAAGTCTCGTATGACGTCACACAGCGGTACTTTGGATGTACACATACTGCCACGCCTTGCTGACAAAATGTTCCGAATCGCTGCATTACACATAAGTACAGAAAAAACAAATGTCCAACACTGAGATAAATAGCCCTAGATCACTAATACCAAATTTCATATTTACAAAATATCCAATAAAATATATACTGTAAGCACCATCCTTCTCACATCTCATCGTCTGCTTGTCTAGATGTCAATAAACATAAGTCACGTGCATTGAGGTGCTGCCTGTTAAAATTAAAAAACTATGGCAACATTTTCAGGCCATCTCGTATAGCTTTTTTTCGTTTTCATAGAGTTTGGGTGAACTTTCCTTATATCCACGAATCAAGGTTACGTGAGGGTACTCCATTCTGTGTAAATTAATTAGCTTCAAAATTGTAACTATGTATTCTCTGGTCCGCTTTTAGTTTTACTGTCTGACATGCTGACATTCACTGCTCGCTAAAACATATAGCTATGATTCACAGCTTCATTCACAATGTTCTGCTAAAGTCTGATGGTAATTTTGCACAGGCCTTAACAAGCTCCTACTGACTGCAAATTACATTATATGTGTGTTGGTAGGGCTGGGACAAGTCCAGATTAACTACCCAGGTACCCAAACCCCTATTACCCCCACCCTACCCGGGTACCCGACCCCCTATTACCCCACCCTCCCCGGGTACCCCACCCCCTATTACCCGACCCTACCCGGGTACCCGACCCCCTATTACCCCACCCTCCCCGGGTACCCGACACCCTATTACCCCAACCTACCCGGGTACCCAACCCCCTATTACCCCACCCTCCCCGGGTACCCCATCCCCTATTATCCCCCCCTACCCGGGTACCCAACCCCCTATTACCCCACCCTCCCCGGGTACCCCACCCCCTATTATCCCCCCCTACCCGGGTACCCAACCCCCTATTACCCCACCCTACCCGGGTACCCCACCCCCTATTACCCCACCCTCCCCGGGTACCCCACCCCCTATTATCCCACCCTACCCGGGTACCCGACCCCCTATTACCCCACCCTCCCCGGGTACCCCACCCCCTATTATCCCCCCTACCCGGGTACCCAACCCCCTATTACCCCACCCTCCCCGGGTACCCCACCCCCTATTATCCCCCCCTACCCGGGTACCCAACCCCCTATTACCCCACCCTCCCCGGGTACCCCACCCCCTATTATCCCCCCTACCCGGGTACCCAACCCCCTATTACCCCACCCTCCCCGGGTACCCCACCCCCTATTATCCCCCCCTACCCGGGTACCCGACCCCCTATTACCCCACCCTACCCGGGTACCCCACCCCCTATAACCCCCCCCTACCCGGGTACCAAACCCCCTATTATCCCCCCCTACCCGGGTACCCAACCCCCTATTACCCCACCCTACCCGGGTACCCAACCCCCTATTACCCCCACCCTACCTGGGTACTCAACCCCCTATTACCCTCACCCTACCCGGGTACCCGACCCCCTATTACCCCCACCCTACCCGGGTACTCGACCCCCTATTACCCTCACCCTAGCCGGGTACCCGACCCCCTATTACCCCCACCCTACCCGGGTACCCGACCCCCTATTACCCCACATTACCCGGGTACCATACCCCATATTACCCCACCCTACCCGGGTACCCGACCCCCTATTACCCCACCCTACCCGGGTACCCGACCCCCTATTACCCCCACCCTACCCGGGTACCCGACCCCCTATTACCCCACCCTACCCGGGTACCATACCCCCTATTACCCCACCCTACCCGGGGACCCGCTGTAGGTCTCAAGAGTTGGTAAAAAAATATCTGATAGTGAATTGTTTTACCGCAGGCCTGGCAAAAACTATTTACATACATGTATCAAACAATCAGATCATGGTACACTGAAGTTGACTAAAGCTTTATCATTACTCAAACGTATACAAGTAAAAAAGAATGTGTGCATCATCAGAAAGAAATGCGAACATTAGCGATTTGAAGTGTAACCACTGAGCTATAGTGAGTTTTTGGCAATAAACAATATATCACGTGACTAACCACGGGTCCGGGTAGTACTGTGGGTACCCGGGTCCTACTCCGGACCCACCTGACTCAAGTACCCAAGTTATTACATGGTGGATATTTTATGCCCACTCGTAACCAATTCACCAGTACCTTTGAATACAGACAAACCTTTTATTTTGAAATGTAAAGGAGTCTAAAAACATGAAAAGTTCAAGTTTATTGTCTCAACTGCTTTCTAAATTTAGTGACATTAATAACCTGTATTAAAGATAGTATGGTTTCTTTATATTATGAGTATATGTATACACATACAGCAGTCTATGATTTTATCCACAAGTTTGAAGCCTCTGTCTTGTAAAATGTCTTGTGATCTAGTATAGTATACTAGTCCATATATGACTAAAATCTACTGAAAATAATGTCAAAATACAAGATCGGGCTAGTAGACCCAAAAGCATTTGGCACAGACTGCTTATATGATTATAATATCAATTTTCATGGTGTAATGGTTATTGCGCCGTTGTGTGATCAGACAGCCATATATTAGACCACTGCATTCATGTTTTTGGTGTACGCAGACCTCAGGGTTGTACGAGTACAAGATCTATGGCTACATGAAGGATGTGCAACCGGATATCTCTGCCAAAGTCTACATGGATACAGAATACAGGAAACAGTGGGACAGTTATGTAAAAGGTATTTGTTTCTTTGTAGCTTATACAGCATTGTGTTAAGACGAAGCACTCAATTATCTGGTACGGAATCATATGGCATGGCAAAAAATGCCACATTCATTTAAATAATATAGGTCCTTAGGTGTGCACCTGTATTATAATGTAAAATAATCGGTGAATCACTGAAAATTAATTCCTAATTGAATGATATTACTTTAAAGAGAACATACATAAGAACCTTAATAAGAATTGCCCTGCCCTGCCCTGCCCTGCTCATGGTAAACATCTTCGACCTGTATCACTCTGGGCTTTTCTTCCACACCTGGGGCGGTGTAGAATGGGTCTTCAGCAACCCATGCTTGCTGTAAAAGGCGACTGTGCTTGTCGTAAGAGGCGACTAACAGGATTGGGCGGTCAGGCTCGCTGACATGGTTGATGCATGTCATCGTATCCCAATTGCGTGGATCGATGTTGATGATGTCAATCACTTGATTGTCTGGTCCAGACTTGATTATTACAAACCGCCGTCATATGGCTGGAATATTGTTGAGTGCAGCATTAAAGAACAAAGAAACAAACAAATAAACAAACAATGTTGTATTTGACAGAGTTAAGGATTGAGAAGACCCTTGACCAGGATGTGATCTACTGGAACATCAACTACCCGTTCTTCATGTCAAACCGAGATGTATCCTTTAGCAGCTTCATTGGCATCAGACTCAGAAACAAGGGAAGGGCACCAGATAATTCTTGGAGTATTTACTCACAAGTTATCATTCACTCAGTCTCATCAAAATCAGACCTCAGTGGTCGCTACCGCTAAACAAAGATCTGGGGACATCCCATTACAGGTCGAGTCAGACCGACCTTGCGCGAACTTTGACCGACCAATGGAATGACCAATCAGAAGGCAGCTTTCGCGTGCTTTATGGCACCCCATTTCAAATTGGCGATTATGCTTCGAAACATATTTTGACAAATTCTCGATTACAAATTTGAAACCTGAACAAAAAAACATTCTGAATTGGCTAACAGATGGTCTAGATTGTATGGATTCAGTCGTTTAAGCCGTAACTAACGTTCGGAATACCCCATGTTAAAGTTTTCGAGGTTGCATGATTAGAAATCACATTCCGACTGTCACTTTCAAAATCTGGTAAGCGACGCTCTGATTGATCGGATGAAAGGTCGTTCTGACGTGACCCTAATGGGATGTCTTCAGATCTTTGTTTAGCGGTAGCGAGACCTAAGATCTGATTTTAATGAGATTGTCATTCACTAACATTCATGGGGTAGTCATATTTACAAAACCTTGGGTACAGCCTTTTTCGTATTTTTAGACTGATGGTAGCCATTTTCTTTAAATCATTCTTCTTAAATGTTGTTTCAGGCGACTTCTAATTTGTGTCCTCTTGTGTGCTGCGCCAAGTGTGTAGCAGGTCGCATAAACTCACAATAGCAATGTGTGTGTGTGTGTGTGTGTGTGTGTGTGTGTGTGTGTGTGTACGTACGAGGGGCATTCAATAAATTTTGCAACTTCAATATAAGACTAAGTCGCACAAAATCTTTTGCACTTTTATTTTTCACTATAATCTCTTTTTACCTCAATACACTTATTCCATTTGTCCTTCAAGCTTTTAAAACCACTTTTATAGAAATCCGCAGATTGACCCTCTAACCACGTCTCTGTGGCAGCCTTTATGTCCTCGTCACCCTGGAAGCGTCTTCCACGTAGGGCAGGTTTCATTTGCTGGAATAGGAAATCGTCACTGGGGACTAAGTCTGGCTGTAGGGTGGGTGATTTTACTGCGACTTGGTCTTATATTGTAGTTTCAAAACTTATTGAATGCCCTTTTTGTGTGTGTGTGTGCTCGGGGGGGAGGTTATGTGGTGTTCTGTAGCCTGTGTGTGTAGACTTGGGGTACATAGGCTCACACACAGGGTACATCATACCATATGCCGCGAGGGATTGGTTGACAACAAATGTATCTCTCTGACTTTCATTCACGCAGACCTGGAATATATGTCCAAAGTTTAACCGAGTAGAACGGGCTAGATGGAAATAATTGCCTGTTTTTTATCCAATCACAAGCTAGTATTTTAATGCAATGTGAGATAAGGAGAGATGCACTGCCTTGTTTACGCATTATTCATAACGGTAGACTAGAGTTCAGGTATGTGTTGTGCCTGCATTTGGTCAGTAAATGAAGGTCTGTAATAAATAATGTTGCAAAGGATACTTACTTGTAAAGGGAAATTATGTTGTTTTGCTATTGGATTTCAAAAGATTTTCATGAATATTTGTATGCTGTCAACTCAAACTTAATTGGTTAAATGCAGTGATAGAAACTAACATTTTGTATATTTCACTAGACCTTACAATGATAACATATAGCAAAACCCTTTTTAAATGGCAATATTTTACTGGTCCTTATGGTGCCTTGGTGTGTGTAATTGTGTTCCTTATTGCTTTCTGGATATGGTTTTCTTCCTCTTCAAATCTAAGATTCATCATGATGATGGTGCTTGATCTTTCAGGGCCATACCTGTGCTCGTGGATTTCACTAACAGAGCTCCAGATAAGCTGCGTATCTGCGTAAAATACGCATCAGAAATGCAGAAATATGCAGTAAAATAAAATCCAAGCGTATCAAATACACAACGAACATTACAGATACGCTACAAAAATAAAACTTGTGCGTATCATCAAAATATTGAGAAGGAACCCTGCGTATTTGATTAGCAAATCAGCAACTCATTTTGAAATTATAAACGGGCATTCCGTCAACCTTGCCAAACTCCATGATGACAGTTACATCATGATCATTTGCCATCACACTTTCTTGTGGAAGGATCGTGGTATTTTTGAGTCCTATAAAGCTCTCGAACCCACACAACACCTGTTTGCAGGGACTAGATGAATAGTGTTTTTAAATATTCAACTTAAATACCCACATGTATAAAAACTAGTGGGTAACAGAAATTTGAATACCCAGATAGAATTACTGATACCCAATGATTTTAAAATGCATGGGTAAAACACCCACAACACAAAGAGCTTATCTGGAGCCCTGACTAAATTTGAAAATGTGTTAGGTCCGCATCAGTAGACCTACTGTTCAATGAGACATTAAGCATCTTAGACAATGTTAAACATAACTAACTTACTGATTTTGAAGTTGTAAATACTGACCTGTGAAGATCCGGGATAGAATATGAAAAACAGTAATCACACCAGTGCCATTGGAGTTTATTCATTGTTATTTTCTCCTTAACCGCCATGTAGTATGTGTTTTCACGAGAACTTCGTGAGATTGATTATGAAAACAACAAAATGTGGGTGGTCCTGGCAAAGAGCGTAACTTCGGCATCGTTTCCCGAGCAGTCCGGTGTCATCCGCGTCTCCGACTACTTCCAGAGTGCCGCCCTCATGACTGATGGACAGGTCGGAACTAAAGGTGAGGAACGAAAACATTTGTGATGTGGATATTGTCATGGAAGGAAATCTCACGGATGGATGTATATGAGAGAGCACCCTTTTCTATCCTCTCTATTGTCCTGCCCTGGACCACTCTATCCTACGCTGGACCACCACCATGCTAGCCTTACCCTATCCAGGACAACCCACAACCAGGCCCATCCACAACCTAGCCCTTACCCCATCCCGCCCCTACCCTGGACCATCCCATTCTAGCCCGCCCCTACCCTGGACCATCCCATTCTAGCCTGCCCCTACCCCATCCCACCCCTACCCTGGACCATCCCATTCTAGCCCGCCCCTACCCTGGACCATCCCATTCTAGCCTGCTCCTACCCCATCCCACCCCTACCCTGGACCATCCCATTCTAGCCTGCCCCTACCCTGGACCATCCCATTCTAGCCTGCCCCTACCCCATCCCACCCCTACCCTGGACCATCCCATTCTAGCCTGCCCCTACCCTGGACCATCCCATTCTAGCCCGCCCCTACCCAAGCCCACCCCTACCCTGGACCATCCCATTTTAGCCCGCCCCTACCCCAGCCCACCCCTACCCTGGACCATCCCATTTTAGCCCACCCCTACCCTGGACCATCCCATTTTAGCCCGCCCCTACCCCAGCCCACCCCTACCCTGGACCATCCCATTTTAGCCCGCCCCTACCCCAGCCCACCCCTACCCTGGACCGTCCCATTTTAGCCCGCCCCTACCCCAGCCCACACCTACCCTGGAGGATCCCATTTTAGCCCGCCCCTACTCCAGCCCACACCTACCCTGGACGATCCCATTCTAGCCCGCCCCTACCCCAGCTCACCCCTACCCTGGACCATCCCATTTTAGCCCGCCCCTACCCCAGCCCACCCCTACCCTGGACCATCCCATTTTAGCCTGCCCCTACCCCAGCCCACCCCTACCCTGGACCATCCCATTTTAGCCCGCCCCTACCCAAGCCCATCCCTACCCTGGACCATCCCATTTTAGCCCGCCCCTACCCCAGCCCACCCCTAATCTGGACCATCCCATTTTAGCCCGCCCTTACCCCAGCCCACCCCTAAATTATTGAAGAAGCAGAAGGTGATGTGTGCCATTTTTACCGATTGTGTTGCATCTTTATCTTGACTACTTTCAGCCTTCATGCACTACTATGACAACCCTGGTGGCATGATCCCCACCTTCCTCATCAACTGGGCAGCCAAGGTAAATATGCGCCATCTTCCTTCATCTTATGATACACATTGGTTACATTGTGATGCGATGTTCAGTAAATTATTAGTGAGATACACTGTTCAAAACAGCCAGTCACGCCATGGCCTGGGTTCGTTCTCCACATGGGTACAATGTGTGAAGCCCATTTCTGTCATCCCTTGCCGTGGTATTGCTGGAATAAAAATAATAAGTGCATTTATAATGCACCAGATTCCATTGACCAACTGCGTGGAACGATGCTCATGATGTCAATCACTGGATTGTCTGGTCCAGACTCAATTATTTAGAGACCATCATCATATAGCTGGAATATTGCTGAGTGCAGCATTAAACAACCAACCAATCACTGCTGCGTGAACAGAGCCACATTTCGAAACAAAGTCACTTGCCAAAGGAGACACCGCATGCGAGAAGCAGGGTAAAACCACACTCACTCACTCACCCACTCCAACTCACATGCTTCATTAATCCTTCCCCACAAACACACCTAATACACAACCTCAGCCAAATCTGAGCAATGTTTTCTAAGGGGAGGGTTCAAATACAGAGTTTACATCCTCTCAGGGCCCCACTGAGTTTGACAAAAGCCACACGTTTCATTTAAATGGTTCAAGAAGCCAAACATACCGATATTTTGATGGCAGATATTTTTCAAAATAACCCTACATTCTTTTCAACATGAATATGAACTGAATGCAAAACGTCCGTGTTTAAACTTGTTACTGAATGTGAATCAACCTTTCTTTGTAGACTGGGGTGCCCCAATTTCTGACGACCATGCAGAAAGCTTGTCGTGGGTATGAGGCATTTCAACAGAAGACTTCCAGTTGACAGCCTCACCCTTCATCCACATTAGTAATTATCTAGTTCCACCAACTGATCAGTACTTTTTAATATATATAAGGCCTTTCCAGTTTATTTTCTATTTTTGCAGAATATTGGGAATTAAGGGGCTAAATAAAAAAATGTAAATGTTTTCATTGCTAAAATGTTGTTAATTTCATAAAAAAATACTTTCGAAATGACAGTTTAAGCAAAGATCCAATCAATAAGGTGTTTATGTTACTGGTATTTTTTCCCAATCACACTTGACATTTAATCTATGTATTTTTACATTCTAAAGTTAGTAAAGACTCATCCATATTTTCATTCACACACAATATTTATATTATTAATGTTATTAGTTTGGCAATGTTCAGTGTTGACTTACTGGTAAAATAAGAAAACAAATTGGTCTGTTGTAACAATTATATAAAAGATAAGATAAAGGTATGTCATTTAAGAAAATGTAGAATATTTATATGTGATACTTTTGTTAAACCTTTGATCAGGTCACAGATATAGCACTGAAACAAATATACATTAAGACTGTTGAATTGAAAATAACTGTTTCCCAGCCATTGAGTTTTCAATGGTAATGTGAGCAAAATTGTTGCTTTTGTTTTATGCAAAACTTTGTAATCCACATGTTAAATTTTCAAGGTCACAGATAAAATTGTTTGTTTTTAACCATAAACCACCTTTAACATGTCAGACAATGTTAGATTGTTTTTAAAAAATATATTTAATCATTATCAGTATTTTTCAGCACTGAAATCAATAAACATTATCAACCGACCATATCTGTATTTCGAATACCTAAACATTCTTCCCAGGTGCTTGAATTAATATTTTATTAATACGCAAAATTAATATTTTCATTTAAGTTGTACATTATATCAGAACATAGTCATTTGACATCATGTCATTGGTATACATTGCTATCAGTTTGATACACAAGTATTTTGTAGAGGTTTAGCATTGAAGTAGGAAAAGCATTATGGAGCCTTCAGAAGAATATCTTAATGACATGTTACATTTATCATCCAAAACTGGCTCCCACAGGAGATATGGCTGGGGTCAGATCAAGCCATATCTACACTGTAGACTAGGGCTGGGACGTATAAATCGGGTTCCCGGGTCGCATGGGTACTGAGTAGGACCCGGGTACCCACAGGACTACCCGGACCCGTGGGTATATATTGTTTAATGACAAATATTATCTAGAAATCTATGGTTACACTACAAGTCACTTTCTTTCTGACTATGCACCCATTCCTTCTGATTTTTCATATGGTTGAATAAAGATATAACGTAATTCAACTTCAGTGTATGAAAGGCCAGATTGTTTAATACTTGTATCTAAATACGTTTTGCCAGGGCTATGCTAAAAATGTTCCCAATCGGACATTTTGAGACATCTCCTGAGACCTACAGCGGGTACCCGGGTAGGGTCGGGTAATAGGGGGTAGGGTACCAGGGTAGTAAATTTGGACTCGTCCCAGCCCTACTGTAGACCATTGTGACATCATTGGTTACCATGACATCACAATCAAATGACATCACTAATGGCTCTGTGACTGAAGCTGTTAGCAGTACTTTTTACACTTAAGACACTGCTTATTACTATCTTTAAACTAAAAAAGTTGGAAGAATGATGTTGGATGATAAATAAAATCTCACCCTTGTGTCTTTTGATATCAAATATATCAACACTCGGTGATAAAAGTGGAAAAAATCCTCGGCAAGCCTCGGACTTTTCCCACTTTTATCAACTCATGTTGATATATTTGATATCTAAATACACTCGGGTGAGATTCTCTATGTCTCACACATAGTGATGTTTTACTAACTCAAGGAAGTGACTGTCATGAGTGTTATTGTGATCATATTCTTTGTTCTTGTGATATATATATATAATGTTGAATGTTTTTTGTGTGGTTGATAAACCTTATAAAGGTTGGTGAATTCCGTATCAGGAATGTTAGGATTTCATTAGAATTTGAGAATATTTATATTTTGAATAGAATATTTTGTTATATTTAGTTTTCATATTGAAAAACAGTAGACGAGAATGTGATAAAGTATATTTCCTACTGTGTGTATGTTATATCACTGCCAACTCTAGGAATAGGTTTCCATTTTCTATAAAGGTCTATATTAAAGTATGGGAGTTATGATAGTTTTAGTGCAACGATCACATTGTGGAATGAATTCCGCGGTCTTGCGAAATATTGAATAAATTCATAAGCTGATGAAAGAAATTTGAATTTGCCTTACATTTCCACATTAGCACTAATTGTACTTTGAAAATGAAAATGTTTGGATCATGTCATTGAAGAGATGTTTGATAAGCGTCCAAATACAGTATGTGGTTTGCAACAAGAATTTGCCATCACTGACTGACATTTTGTAGTCCAAGAGTAAAATCTATATAGATTCCGGAGCAATGTTTAATTTAAGAGAACTGAGGCAATTTAGACTTGACAGTTCATTCTAAACTTTAGTTGGACTCAATTCTATATTCTCTTGCGTCAGGGAGACCATTGCCATCCCACTAGTTGATTTGTGTGTATATTGTTAACATGAGTGAACTTGAAGTGGTTTGGCATTTACCATGTTTACAGTGAGTTGAGTTGATTGCTGATGAATATTCATGTTAATGATACTCTGATGATATGAATATGCAAGGCATCTTTTACAGTGTTTCTGAGTTTTAGATGTGCATACTGGTAACACACCGGTAGCGATGCTTGTTTCCCTTGCTTTTTCATAAAAAACACAACCTTAATGGCAGCTGGAGGACCTACTGTAACATGAGACCAACATCCTTCACAATGAACATCCTTTTCGCTCATGACACTGTTATAAGGGGGCGGTCGGGTAGCCTAGTGGTTAAAGCGTTCGCTTGTCAAGCCGAAGAACCGGGTTCGATTCCCGACATGGGTACAATGTGTGAAGCCCATTTCTGGTGTCCCCTGTCGTGATATTGCTGGAATATTGCTAAAAGCGGCGTAAAACCATATTCACTCACTCACCCACTGTGTTAAAAGTACCCAGGGATTCATCTAGACTTGCTCAGAGGCTGATATATTCGGCCCACAGTCTGCAGCAAATGTCAGTATATATTCCCAATTTTGAACTAAAACTTTCCAATTCATGTTATGGTGTATCAACATATAAAAGTAATAACTAGTTGTATAGACGTAACCTGTATTCACTTATAACAAGACCAATAAAAAGGAACAGGTTTTAATGCTTTGTTTGTCAATGACCACCTCATTCTATCATATAACGACACTTAATATGTGGAAGGAAATTGGCAATTTGATGGTTATTGAACGATATCAGATCATCGATATACCTGAATCTTAAGTCAAACTTCTTGGCCCAATAACCTTTTTTGGATTTGCCAATACGAGAAAAATGGCAAGATGTCTTCAGTAGGATACATAGACCTACCAGGATGTCTACAGTAGGATACATAGACCTACCAGGATGTCTACAGTAGGATATATAGACCTAAGAGGATGCCTGCAGTAGGATATATAGACCTACCAGGATGTTTGCAGTGGGATATATAAACCTACCAGGATGTCTACAGTAGGATATATAGACCTAAGAGGATGCCTGCAGTAGGATATTTAGACCTACCAGGATGTCTGCAGTAGGATATATAGACCTACCAGGATGTCTGCAGTGGGATATATAGACCTACCAGGATGTCTACAGTAGGATATATAGACCTAACAGGATGTCTACAGTAGGTTTGTCAGCACCATATCCGTATCCATGGGTTTCACCAAAGTGGTAAACGTCTGAGACCTGCATCACTCCAGGCATTCCCTCCACATCAAGCAGACACGCCGTGACATAACTGGAATACTGTTCAAAGCGGTGTTAAACCCAACTCACTCATTCAAGTTGCTGGTGATGTATATATCTGAACTGATATACTGATCAAAGGGGGGCGGTCGGGTAGCCTAGTGGTTAAAGCGTTAGCTCGTCATGCCGAAGACCCGGGTTCGATTCCCGACATGGGTACAATGTGTGAAGCCCATTTCTGGTGTCCCCCGCTGTGATATTGCTGGAATATTTCTAAAAGCGGCGTAAAACCATACTCACTCACTCACTCCGACCAATCAAAGCGTCGCTTACCACTGATCAAAGCTGTGTTAAACCCTAGTCACTCACTCACTCTCAAACCTATATTTGATTGGTAATTAATCTCTTACGAATCCTGGACCTCACTTCTGAAGTTTATGTAATCTCATTATAAGGTTTTATTTACAATGATGATACTCATGAATGTTTATTGTCTGACTGTTGTTCTTTCTGTCTGTTAACCCTGTTTGTAGAATAAATGGAATATGTACGATGTTTATATTTATATATATTGTTCTGAAGAGTTGGTTTTCCAGCTAATATTAAAATATTGGATGTTAAGGTGGCATGGGTGGCCCAGTTATCTCAGGCGCTGCGATTCACTGTGCAGAGTTGTGTCCCTTGGGCATGCCAGAAACCTATGATTGTGGGTTCTAATCCTGGTTCGCCCCGATTATGTTTCTAGGTTTGTCAGCACCATACCCATGCTTGTGGGTTTCACAGAAGTGGTAAATGTCTGAGACCTGCATCACTTCGGGCTTTCCTTCCTCATTAAGCTGACACGCCGTGATATAACTGGAATATTGTTAAAAGCGGTGTTAAACCGGGCCCACTCACTAACTCACAGTAGATATTAAACTAGAAGGTTGGCAATTTGTTCATCAGCTTATGGAGGGCATTAGTTTCTGTTGGATTATAGTATAGGAATATTGTTAATAGACTACTCAATACATGATAAAGAACACCCCATTGGAAGGTTATGACTTGCAATACCCTCCAGCAGGGACAGAATAATTATAGTCATAGGAAAAACTTGCATGTCCTTTAACATCTTTTGAGTAGTACGTGACCGATATGTGTGGAAGGTTTATGTGAAGGCTACACACTGACCTCGTCTGATTATATAACAGGGCAACGCAGACTACTACGAAACACACTTATGAAAACTCATGACATGGCTTTTCAAACCTGCAGACCTACATAACATGTGCAGTCAGTAACACCAGCAAGTGTGGAGGGTTTGCTTGTGGCCAGACAATAGCACATTGACGAACTCACACAAACTCCATGTGCATCACACTCTGTCCAAGTAGTGTGCGAAATAGCTCCCTGCCCGTGGGTCCGTGGCTAGCAAAATTTCAGTGGGGGAAATGATTCTGAAGGGCCCTAGCCTGACTGGATACTGAGATTTTAATGGTGATTTTTTTATGCACTCCTCTTAGTTTATAACAAGGACCATAAAAAATCATATTAATCTCTGACGAATCGAGTTAGCGAGATCAGAGTTACGCCAACTGATGATGAGCAATTTGGGTGATACCTTTGCAGAATTTGTTTCTGGAAAAAAATAACCTGTCGCATATTCAAGCTAGTGAACTTTGAACCCAGCTAGCCCACCTGGCCAGCAATATTTTGGGACTATTTCCCACTCTCCACCAAGGTCAACTGTTCAGGGGAAATGGATTCTGATGTTCACAAAGATGATGCAAATATCAAGTCTCTATGCTTTATGCTGGTATGTTGTATTGATGAATGTTATAATGCTGTAATACATACGCCCATGTGTTATAACGATATATTGCTTAGAATAGCTGCAACATTGTTCATGTATCATAAAGCAGTATTTTCAAATGATTTTTCTACTTCAAAATAATGACAGAAAAAATACATCAAACACCATTGAAAAACTTTAGATGCTTGTGATTACTGACAAGTAGGTTTGGTCACGCACGTGACAGTGAGCTAAAGTCACACATGTGACAGTCAGCTTTTTAGTCACACGGGTTTTAGTCCTACATAAGTCAGTGAGCATTTAGTCACACGTGACAGTGAGTTTTAAGTCACACGTGACAGTGAGCTTTTAGTAACACACGTGACAGTGAGCTTTAAGTCAAGTGACAGTGAGTTTTAAGTCACACATGACAGTGAGCTTTTAGTCACGTGTGTCAGTGAGCATTTACTCACACATAGTCATAGATCATTTTCCCAGTGGTAAATACTTTTATTGGATGACCTTTGTGTTTGTTGTTAATGAGCATGGAATAATATTGCCCTATGATATTGATATTTTACCATTATTATTGATAACAATTGCAGTAGTTTGTCAGTTTGCGTGCATGATGAATAAACATTCCCATGATGACAACAGTGTTTGTGATTCTTGTGTACAACAGTCGGTGTGGACCAGTGTATCCAGGACATCTCTGTACACTCGCACACAAGTTCAGTCAAAGACAACCGTGGTATACAACTTTCTAAAAATTGCTGGAATATTGGGGAATATGTAGCTCCACTGATATTCTGTGGAACATATTGCTCCACGTGGCCTGCACAACATCAGGTGCCATACATGGTCTACACAACACCAGAGCCATACATGGTCTACACAACATCAGGTGCCATACATGGTCTACACAACATCAGGCGCCATACATGGTCTACACAACACCAGGTGCCATACATGGTCTACACAACACCAGGTGTCATACATGGTCTACACAACACCAGGTGCCATACATGGTCTACACAACATCAGGCACCATACATAGTCTACACAACATCAGGTGCCATACATGGTCTACACATCAGGTGCCATACATGGTCTACACAACATCAGGTGTCATACATGGTCTACACAACATCAGGCACCATACATGGTCAACACAACATCAGGTGCCATACATGGTCTACACATCAGGTGCCATACATGGTCTACACAACACCAGGTGCCATACATGGTCTACACAACATCAGGCGCCATACATAGTCTACACAACATCAGGTGCCAAACATGGTCTACACAAGATCAGGTGCCATACATGGTCTACACAACATCAGGCACAATACATGGTCTACACAACATCAGGTGCCATACATGGTCTACACAACATCAGGCACCATACATGGTCTACACAACACCAGGTGCCATACATAGTCTACACAACATCAGGTGCCATACATGGTCTACACAAGATCAGGTGCCATACATGGTCTACACAACATCAGGCGCCATACATAGTCTACACAACATCAGGCGCCATACATAGTCTACACAACATCAGGTGCCATACATGGTCTACACAAGATCAGGTGCCATACATGGTCTACACAACATCAGGCACAATACATGGTCTACACAACATCAGCGCCAAACATGGTCTACACAACATCAGGTGCCATACATGGTCTACACAACATCAGGCACAATACATGGTCTACACAACACCAGGTGCCATACATAGTCTACACAACATCAGGCACCATACATGGTCTACACAACATCAGGCGCCATACATGGTCTACACAACATCAGGCACCATACATGGTCTACACAACATCAGGTGCCATACATGGTCTACACAACATCAGCGCCATACATAGTCTACACAACATCAGCGCCATACATTGTCTACACAACATCAGGTGCCATACATGGTCTACACAACATCAGGTGCCATACATGGTCTACACAACATCAGGCACAATACATGGTCTACACAACACCAGGTGCCATACATAGTCTACACAACATCAGGCACCATACATGGTCTACACAACATCAGCGCCATACATGGTCTACACAACATCAGGTGCCATACATGGTCTACACAACATCAGGCGCCATACATGGTCTACACAACATCAGGCACCATACATGGTCTACACAACATCAGGTGCCATACATGGTCTACACAACACCAGGTGTCATACATGGTCTACACAACATCAGGCACCATACATAGTCTACACAACATCAGGTGCCATACATAGTCTACACAACATCAGGTGCCATACATGGTCTACACAACATCAGGTGCCATACATAGTCTACACAACATCAGGTGCCATACATGGTCTACACAACACCAGGTGTCATACATGGTATGCACAACATCAGGTGCCATACATGGTCTACACAACATCAGGTGCCATACATGGTCTACACAACATCAGGTGCCATACATAGTCTACACAAGATCAGGTGCCATACATGGTCTACACAAGATCAGGTGCCATACATGGTCTACACAACATCAGGTGCCATACATGGTCTACACAACATCAGGTGTCATACATGGTCTACACAACATCAGGTGCCATACATAGTCTACACAACATCAGGTGCCATACATGGTCTACACAACATCAGGTGCCATACATGGTCTACACAACATCAGGTGCCATACATGGTCTATACAAGATCAGGTGCCATACATGGTCTACACAACATCAGGCACCATACATTGTCTACACAACATCAGGTGCCATACATGGTCTACACAACATCAGGTGCCATACATGGTCTACACAACATCAGGCACCATACATGGTCTACACAACATCAGGTGCCATACATGGTCTACACAACATCAGGTGCCATACATGGTCTACACAACACCAGGTGCCATACATGGTCTACACAACATCATATATAAATGACAGATGGTCTGCACAACATTTTGTATGACATCATGACAGATTTCTTACTATCATACTACATACAGTAATAGGCAATATATCAGGGAAGTATATACACAGGAACAAGTATGTTCACTGAAGCCTCCCCTTGATATACCTGTTTTACGCAGTGTAAGTAAACACAATATAGGAACTTTGCAGATCTTACTACTTCAAGGCATACTTAATCACAAATGCTTGACCAAAATTATATTTGAAAAACGGAAATTAGCATAAAATATATGAGCCTGATTAAGGTGATTGTTCGACAGTAATTGTTTAATGCAGTCAGAATAATCAAATTGAAATTATATTTATGCAGTAAATATACCGATCCTATTATTATTTTGTTAGTAGGTTTCATTTCCATTCATCAGAGACCATATATATACCATGTGTTTGCTAGTGCCAGTATGTGAAACTCTCGCTTATCATTTACGTCAGTGGTTTCTTAATGAGATGTACAACATATAAATTATTATGTAAGTAACAGCTAATGTCCTCAATAAAAAATCAAAAAATATGCTGAAACATAAATATGAGCCGGGCCTTTTCACAAGTGTAAACAACTTTCTGATTATGTTGGTATCATTTATTAAATAATAAGAAAAATACATTCTGAAATATTATCTTATTAACTGAATAAAAATAATTCTGAAAAGCTGATATTTGTGTTTTCAGGAAAATGCATCATATGGAAAAACAGAGTTTCAGAGCATATACTTAGACTGGCTTCAGTAAACTGTGATCGGACCACTCAAGTGAAAGGGGAAAAGGAGTCCTTGGCGTTCGCGCATGCTCATGTAAAAACTAGTTACGCGAGGCCGTAACATTTTTGAAAAACAATTACCTGTTTATAACTTTTTATGGTAGATATTTTCATATCTAATATGACTACATTACATGCATATAGTTATACAAATTTTGAATAGCTATATATCATAGTACCAATTAATGTATTCGACTCGCGCGCCGTGGAGAATTCGCGAGAAGTGTCATGGCGTCGTGTTCTTTGTGCGTCTAGACGGTATGTATCCTGGCTGTTTTCCCAGTTTTCTTTGCTCCCTAAATGGTTTTGGTCTTACTCTGTTCGCCACTGTGTCACTAATCAATTGCTAAACTATGTGTCGTGTTTTGCAAGTGATAGCATTGATGGATTTGGAGTAGTGTGCTCGTAAACAAATCACATTTGAAATGCAACAAAGACCGACGAAAAGGTAAAACGTGAAATGACCCGGGATTTTTGTAAGTGTCTAAAATGTAACAGACACAGACACATCCGCCCAACAGATAAAACAGCCCCCAGAAGTGTCGCTTTTAATTTAGTATCCCGAGTTTAATAGTCTCGGTGTTTCTGTCATGTCCTTTCGCACACGCCATTTTTTTAACATAAAATTACGCCGTCTCAGAGTGGATTATGCCTTTATGGTCAGATATTAATTACAAAGCCTCAGCAAGGTCAAAATACATAAAACAGGACAAAACGACTCAGGTAGTTTGTGCCAATTTGAATCCCCAAAAATATATGCGGGCCTTTACTTCGATATTGTAATGGTTTATAGTATACTGCTCTTCTTTTATGTCACATCCACTGGTCTGACTGAGGTCCGATGTTGGTTTTGCATTGGCCTTCACATGAGTGAAAGTTGTTTTGTATCTGTAGATCGTTAATAACTCTGTAATTTGAAGTTTTGAACTGTTTCTTGTATTTATATATTTCTCTTCACTTTTCAGATATGAGACGCATGTAGCCGGCAGATAATAATATGGCATTGCCGAACTATCGCCAGGTTGCACAGTCCTCTCCAGCAGTTCGTAAGTATCTTGTTTAAATTTCCTTTTTTTTGTGTTCCATCTTTGGTACCAGAATAAAATGTGAATAATAGTTAATACAAACTGTGGAATGATACAATAGAATGATCAGTGTTTAGAACTCATGCAAGTAAGAGCAAAACTTATGATAGTCAAAACAGATCTATTATCATCAATAATTTAAGTAAGTCTTTGTTCATGCTGTTAACATACAAAATTTAAACAACTTTCTTGAACATAATGAAGAACGAATAAAGAAGACCTTTGGATGTTTGATGATGTGTTGTAAACACATGGAACACAACAATCTCCTTGCTGATTGAAAACTAAATAAGAGAGAGAGAGAGAGAGTGTTATTATTTGGTTAATTTGACATACCGTATTCAACGTAAAGGCGTTCAGGGCGCTCTCAAAATTAGAAAAAGGGGGCTCTTTTTAGAATATAGTTTTGGTAAGAAGAAAAACAGAGATGAAAGATTGTTAATATTGTGGTTTAGGCTGACAGCCTAACATGATTCAAAAGAAAAGTCTGTGCGTATTATATACGACAGATATATTTTCCAAAATTTACATGCCCATAATTAATGGTGTATATAACATACGAGTGCATATTATGCACGAATAAATGAGTCTCCTATACACTGATCAATCGGAAGGGGGGCTAATGGGGATTGTTCGCTAGCCAATATATTAGTAAATATCGCCGTGGGCGCTTGTTACGTCGAATACGGTATTTGGCAGAAAAGTTTGTAACGATGTTTGGACTATCTAAACTATAACTCCTAAGTTAACTTTCTCCAGAGAGAGGACGGTCAGCACCTGGCACACCATCAGCTTCAGAGAAGGTAGGTCTATTACAGTGTTTTTGATAATATTCCATCAAATTCTTATGAGCCTATCCTAATACATGTTACGGATAAAGATTAATCCCCTGGGGGTAATCCTTGTTATAAGGACCTCATGTATTACAGGTCACAACCACATACAGCTACTAGCTGACTGGGGGACTGTGTGTCCTCCAATCAGTGTTCGAAATTAAGCATGAAAGTCAAGGGATTCTTTTCATTGTTCTTATGTTAATAGTTACAGATTTGGGGGTTCTGTAGATTGATATAATATAGCAGCACACCTCAAGGACCCCAGGACTCCACTTAATTTTGAACACTGCCAAAAGTCACTTCTTTTAAAGAAATACATGACAATAGCTTTACAGACAGATTTATAGCATCTTGTATATAATGATTAGCACAAAAATACCTGAAGACAACAATATGAAATCAGTGACATCTTTGAAGGCATCATTTTCAATTTATTTATTCACCCTTATAACCAAGATTTCAAAGTTGGGTCAGTCTGTATGTTGTATTTCAAATAATTTTTCAATTTCATTTGTGTTTCACCTCCAGGGCTCTGGTGGTAGCCCGTTTATCCAGACCAGTCATGGACATCCCGGCTTTAATCCTACGAAGGTTGGGAAATCGGCCCCTGTGAGTATTACTATTAGAACTATTATCACAATCAAGATACTGACAGGGCTTTTAGACATGTATACCAGATATATATACAGATACTGGCAAGTTTCCATATGCTAATTAACGTAAAGTGTTTGACATGTGTTTGGTGCTTATTGAAGGTAGTAATTGATAATTTTTAAACTTACCCCATCTCACACTATGCATTTCTTCTTTCTTCTTTTGATCCTTATGTGGAAATATGCTAGAACAATGTTTCCAGCTTCTAAAAACATTTTGTCCGATCACATCCCAGCATCACCATGTCACCACCGAAACAAATGTGTATTGTTCTGTAATCCCACCTTAATGCTGGGATAGTGTGAGATAGGATAAGTATATAAATATACAATTTCATGTAAATTTTACAATGTTTGTGAGTAGATGGCAGTAAATGCAGTACAACATATGAAATATGTAAAATATACAAATTGAAAACAATTATTAGAAGTAGCTTCTTGTTGAAACTATTATGAAACAATCTCGTTAAAATCAGATCTTAGTTCTTGTCACCGCTAAATGAAGATCTGAGGACATCCCATTACGGGTCACTTCAGATATCCTTTTATCCGACCAATCAGTGTTGCTTACCAGATCGAAGAAGTGACCATAGTGACTGTCGGAATGTGTTTTCTAATCATGCAACCTCACAAAGGTTTACAAGGGTATTCCAAGCCTGTTACGGACTGTAACCATACCATCAGAATAATCATCTATATTGTGCTTCATGGGATAAACATTTGAAAGTACTGCCAAACAATCTCAATCATCTGTTAGACATTCAGGATTTTTCTTTTGTTCAGCTTTCAAATTTTGAATCGAGAACTTTGTCAAAATATTTTTCAAAACATAGTCTGGAATGGAATTTGCCATTTTGATGTATCGCTGGAAAGCTGCTTTCTGATTGACTAATATTGCCTTCTTGTTAGTCATTTCATTTGTCAGTCAAAGTTTGCAAAAAGTCGCTCTGATGTGACCTGTAATTGTGTCCTGAGATCTTTGTTAAGCGTTAGCAAGCACTTAAGATTACAAAGACAATTACAATTCTATTGTATGACATTCTTCAGTCTTGACAGTACATGGTACCATTCTGTATATTTCAGAGTGACCCTAGGGTGCCGAAACCTCCCAAACCCCCAGACAAGCCTCTCATGCCTTACATGAGATATAGCCGTAAGGTGAGTAGGAAGGTGAGACAAAAACGCGAAAGCGACATTTTTATTTTCGGTTATGTTCATCGCTTCACCGTAGTCCTAGCGGCCGTGCTCAGAAGTTGATTAACAGCTAATACCTGGAGAGGACGGCCTCGGCCTAGAGTACTTGCCGCTGCATGTGTTCCGTTCAACTGTGTTTTGCATGACTGTTTGTACATGCGTTCCTCCATCTCGCATGAGGCCAGGCAATAGGATAAACTATGCAAATCTTGCAATCTCTTCTACAGATGACTTAAGAAGTGTTTTTGTGTCCAATCTCAACTTTCTCATTCAGATGACTTGTTTTGAACATGTTAAACATAATCTAATTATAGAAATACCCCTTCAAAATGACTGCTATGTTGTAAAGATGGTACAGATGTTGATTCTGTTTGAGTGGGATGATATTGCCTGGTCTAGAGTTGGAGGAACCGCATCTTGTTACTTGTGTCACAGTTAGTATTAAACCTTGTTGTAGTTAGTTGATGCTAATACTGGTTGTATAGGCTCTGTTACTTTATGCAATGCATGTAATTTAAGGGTGCAAACCATACATAAAAAGACACTGCTAGATTGAACTCTGAATGCCAGTGTTTATGATCTGCTAGCAGTTACATTCTACCGGCCTAGTTGTCAAGTAGCTGACCCAAGCCAATCACAGATATAAAGCATTGCAAATTGTGAGCTGTCAAATTAAAAAGTGTGTTTGAAATAGAACATTTTGAACAAAGGCCAGTATATCTTGGCATAGGTGCAATTTTTATTGTGTTCCAGTTTTGCTCCCTTAATATTGATGTCCGTGTTAGAGATGTTAGATGCTGGATCATGTTACTGTGTTTGGTATTAATCATACTCACATTGAAATGACCTGTCAGGATGTTTATTATGAAAAGATATTTTGTCAACATTGTGTCTTCTTAAGCAATTTCATTGATCGTTAATGTGTTCATTAATGTTTAGATCCTTCCAAAGGAGCATCCTGGCAAGATTATGGTGACATAATTATACAGCCTGAAACTTTAAAACAATCAAATATTTATGTTGAACTCCTTTAAAGTGGTTTTATTTGAACAAATCTTCATATTGTCTGAGATAAAAAGGATTATCAAGCTGTATGATTCATGTTCACCATCAAACTGTAGTTGAATCATATTGTTGAATTAGGAAAGTTTTTGTGTCATTGATATGTGATCTGTTCATTTGATTTTTTGTTCACCTTGACGTTGTCAGAGTGGGTTTATTTGAACATGTTATTTGTGTTTTATCAGCTGGATAACATGCTTCGCGCAGATTGACAGTAATCAGGTCTAAAAAGTTCAGGACAGATTGTTATCAACACATAAAATATATTACAATTATAAGTGAAGAAAATACTCCACGGTTATGTACCCTATGTTATGAAGCAGCAGGCACGACTAATTCTGAATCATGAGAGTTCTAGAAACAGAACCCATTGAAATTTGCAAATTCATGCTCTTTTGTAGCTACAGTGTTTGTGACAAACTATGGTATATTATGCAGGACATGGTTCTTGAACATGTACAGCACAGAAACTTTGTATGACAATTTGTAAGGCCATCTGTTCTCAAATAATTACCCCCCCATGGGGCCTAGTCGATAGAGTGTCTGTCTGGAGAGCGAGAGGTCGGTGGCTTGATCTTGGATGCACACACACATGCACACACATGCATTCATGCCACTATTAGTCAGCTCAGATAATGACTGATATGTTAATGAGTTCATCATGAAAACCTTCTAATTTCACTGCTGATGCTTATGTTCAGACAGTTGCCTTCTGCTAGCATAATACATATATTATTTCTAAAATATGATATACACGATTCGGAAACACACAAGGGTACTTGTTATTTGAAACATAGTTGATGTTTAACTTAAGGACAGATTTTTGTTTAAAGAAATAACTTTAGAACCCGCACATGAATACAATGTTTTCTCATAGAAATTACAGGGTTTGTCGTGTAGCCTAGTAGCCTTTGTAATTTTAACTGGCCATGGGCCAATAGGCCAGCAATTAAATCGACCCTTGCTCCCCCATTTACCATACACAAATAGTGCCAAATGATTTGCAGCAATGGTTGGCTACAGAAATACCCACTTCCTTAAATTATTGGGAACATTAGTCAATAATTCATTGATTCAGGTGTATGCAGCTTGAAACTAGCTTATGCTCGAGGACTTCATTCACATACCAAATCGCATCAATAACACTATCCGCTATAGGGGTGGCAGGGTAGCCTTGTGGCTAAAGCGTTCGCTTGTCATGGGTTCGTTTGCCGACATGGGTACTTTGTGTGAAGCCCATTCCTGGTGTCCCCCACGGTCATTTAGTTGGAATATTGCTAAAAGCGGCGTAAAACATTCCTCACTTATTCTCTGTAATATGATAAAGATTCATTTTAGACATTAACTATGATATCATAAAGAATAGAATTCAGATTATAAAAATAATATTGAGAAACATGCAGATTAATGAACGTACCCAGTGGGACATTCTGTGGAATAACCTGCTGAAATTGTCAGCTGACACTTTATTGAAATATGTCAAATGATCAGTGACGCTGACCGTAAACATTTCTTTAGGGCTAGTATATGTAGTGAAGAACTGACCATATATATTAAATTAAGATCTACAGGACATTTGGTTGACAGGTACTTGCTTGTTGACCCTGATAACTCATAACAACCTTAATGGTTCTCCATCATTATCTGGGGCATGGGTGGCTCAGTTGTCTAAGGCGCCGCGATTCGCTGTGCAGAGTTGCGTCCCTTGGGCGCGCCAGAAACCTATGATTGTTGGTTCGAATCCCGGTTCGCCCCGATTATGTTTCTAGGTTTGTCAGCACCATACCCGTGCTCGTGGGTTTCACTGAAGTGGTAAACGTCCTAGACCTGCATCATTTCGGGCTTTCCTCCCACATTAAGCTGACATGCTTTAACTTGAATACTGTTAAAAGCGGTGTTAAATCCAACTCACTCACCCACTCCATCATTATCTCTATAACGATAACATATAGCAAAACCTTTAAAAATGGCAAATTTCTACTAGTCCTTATGATACCTTTACTATTGGGCAGTTTGACAAGGACTATAGGACTTGTGCCAACGCTGAGTGATGTAATGGTTTTGATGAACATTTGAGCTACAGGCCTTTTTAGGAACAACATTATGATCACAAAGTAAAATTTCAACTTGATCTAAATGATTTTGTATTGAGATATAACAATGCTATCTTATTTCAGTTTATGAAAAATCAATTCATTACCTTTTGCTCATGAAAGTACATATGTGACCGGCCATGAGATAAGGACCTTGTGGGTGAAAAACCACATTTTGACTTTTCATTATATTTTATGACTACAGCATCTTCGGAACTTGAAGGTTTCAAACTTTGAGTGATGTGTCTAGATATCACACAGGTTGCAAGCACAAATATTGAAGTGTTTATCCTGTGTGAAATGGCCCTCCCACCCCTTAAACATGTAAGACCATCTTCCACCTGCATCATCGTCGTCACGATATGGCTGAAATACTGCCGATGTGATGTTAAATGTTACTCACTCCACCTGCATTATTCCTCTGAAGTCTGGAGTTATCTGCCCCTGGAATGTAATGTCCCGAAAACAGGCATGTTGTTTGGAGTGGATAGTTCAGCAGAACGGAATTGAAATATGATGTTTTCTGCTTAGTCATGTATAACCATGATAACGCATACAATTGTAAGTGTGGCACTTGGACACATGAGTAGACAAAATATGAATATGTGTCCAAAAATATTACTTTAAGAACAGGTTTACATAATCAGGATTGAAAAGAAAAATCCCTGGATGAACAAGATTGTATTGATTAGTATTGTAAGTTACCAATGCTGTGATGAATGGCTATGGTTGATCCCTAGTTCTACAGGCAGGATCTGTTGGGACAGTGTGGGTATATCCCTCTGTATGGGTTCAATTCAAAATGTAGACACCTCACTAGAAACCACTTCATTTCTGGAAATATACAAGTCAAAGTAAGTTAAGGACCACCCAAATATTTCTTATTATGTTACATGAAAGAATCGTGTGGTCCTTAATTTTTTTTGATAAGTATAATTTGTAGGGTATAGACTAAGATTCTGACAAATTTGTATACTATTTAGAAACAAAATACAAGTGAAATAAGATAGCAATGTCATGATAAAGTTTCATCCATTGATGTAAATTTCCTATTTAGTATGATTGTATTTAACTGTGAATTTGTACATTACATATGTAGTATTATCAAAAGTAGGTAATGAATTAGGTAATCATATACTAGTTATGATTACCTAAATATAACCATGCTTACATGTGCTTGCTGTCATATTCAGAATGTATATCATAACATTATGCTCATCCAATCATGTATTTTACATTGTCAGCATAAACCATTTCACAAGACAAGTGTGCAGCAAAAAGCATCACCTTCCACACAGCCAATTAATCTTACTGATAATTTCCATTAATGTGTATTTGTCCTAAAACAGGAATTGGTAACGCCTGTTCTGTAGTATTTCATCACGGAGCATGTTTGTAAATGAGTGTTTTGGACATGCACTGCTTAAGAAATTATTACTTTTAGTAGCTCCATTTATTCTTTATTTGCGAATGAATTTTCATATGTTTTGAGCTTGCTCAATATTTTCAACATGTCGTATGATAATGGAAGCTTAAAGTTTTCCGTGATGCAAGTTGTTGGTGTACGTGGGCTGAGGTGTGGCGTATGTGTCGACATGCGGGCCAGGGTTTCCAGATGGAGTAAGTCATGCCGTAGTTGACCTATTGCAGGTATGGGAGCAAGTAAAGGCCTCCAACCCAGACCTCAAACTATGGGAAATCGGCAAGATTATTGGACAGATGTGGAGAGACTTGAGTGATGTCCAGAAACAAGAATACATGGACGAATATGAAACTGAAAAGGTAGTCAATAGGTTTCTACAAGAAATGTAGAAATAAAATTTGAAAAATAGGGTTTTCCCTGATATTAGTCATCCTTAACTGCCAAAACCATCATTTTAGGTTGTCATTTGTACTGGAAAAGATGTAAGGTGTCATTAAATATTAGGTCAAGGAGCTACTTTATGTCATATTAGACTAAAAGTGCCGATAATTTTGTAAGCAAGGCTGTACATCATCTCATATTTTGAGGTCACGTGTCTGAACAGAGGAGGCATGTGAAGCTTGGATTGACAATTTTTGATTTCAGGCCAAAGAATGTCATTGCTATGATTTATAGCAGTTGAGGTGTTCTGGAAATGGGTTTATACTTCTAGTGAGAAAAGAGCATTGTTTTTTATACATCTTATTACAAAGTGTGGCAGTTAGATATGTTAGGGAGGGGTGGACTACTGCTGTGGGTGAAGTGGGGTGGGTTTGGGTCAATTCTACTGGAACAGCACAGTTTTATCAGATCCTGTTGACATTGCAATTTTGAGATTTCTTTTTCAAAATGTAAGCTTTTTTAAGCAAGTGTAAATACAGGGTCTATCTGCCATTTACTATGAACATGTTCTCACATGATCCTCAATATTTATTACAATTTTTAGCAAGAAACGAGAGCAGTTTGGGAAAGATTTTTTTATATTTTAGTTGGATTTTGCATGTGGTTATGATGGTTTGAGAGGAGATACAAGGGAACTAAAGTTTACTTTGTTGCAAAAATGGGTTTATGTATTTGTCTCTTCCCATGCATTATGTATGAACCACCACTTAATTCCTGCAAATTCTGGCCTACGTGGTGATGGCTTATTTTGATACAGTAAACTTGTTTGTCACTCCAGGCTTCAGCTGCAACAAATATGTCTCTATGTTTTCCTTTGTGTAGCCTTCAACTATGATATGCCTTGCCTACACAAATTGTTTGGCAGTCCTGTGCAGTACAGTTTTCAATGTCTGGGGAAAACCCTATGTATGTTTTAGCTTTTGTTTAATGATAGTGGCTATTTTGTTTTGTTTGGAGTAATGCTTTGGTTAAAAAGTAATCAAATCAGTGTTCACACTGTTACAGAGAGATAATTGTATTTTGATGAATAGATCTCAAGCGTTTGTTAGCACTGGTAATCAAGTTTAATTTCTAGTTAAGGGGAAGGATTTATAAGTCTCCAGGAATGAGCTGATTAAGTAATTTGGGTGGCTGGTGTTCATGGTTTTCAGATGGTGGATGTGATGAGGATGATTTTATCCATTGCAGGTTACGTACAATGAGGCAATGAAGTCCTACCATAACTCCCCTGCCTACCAGGCATGGGTAGCAGCAAAGGGAAAAGGTGAATCTTCCTTCTTTCCATGCATGCTGAATCACTGGACAATAAGGAAACTGAGCAATAATAATGATCATAATAATAATAATAAATGTGCATGCTCAAAGCTTTTCATTATTATCCCGGTTAATAGATCAGTGTGAACTATATATTCATTCTCAACTCCCAGGGGAGTAACAAACTGGGCTGCCTGTGAGGCACTTGAAGGTTCATTCATATCCTTCCTGGTACCCATTCACTGTTGGGTGAACAGAGGCATGTTTTGATCAAAGTCACTTGCCATAGCAGAACTCACATGTGCTTCAGTGTTGGGCAGGACCGAAGGCCTAGACACTCTCAGAAGTCAAGCTGCCGAATATTATGTTACATCTATTTATAATATTCACCAATACTACAGCTGTGTCATTGATCCTGTACCTCATGCTGGTTGAAATAGCTGGTTGGCAATTGGGTTGTCAGACTCCACTAATCACATGGATCGTGCTGTGTTGTTTTCAGTGACTGGTTTGGTTGATCCAGACTCAGTTACTAAGCGCTGACTGCAGCATTGAACATTTACTTCCTCCCTTTGTCAGGGGGCACGGGTGGCCCAGTTGTCTAAGGCGCCGCGATTGCTGTGCAGAGTTGCTTCCCTTGGGCACGCAAGAAACCTACGATTGTGGGTTCGAATCCCGGTTCGCCCCGATTATGTTTCTAGGTTTGTCAGCACCATACCCGTGCTCGTGGGTTTCACCGAAGTGGTAAACGTCTGAGACCTGCATCACTTCGGGCTTTCCTCCCACATTAAGTTGACACGCCGCGATATAACTGTAATACTGTTAAAAGCGGCGTTAAACCCAACTCACTCACTCACTCACTCCTCCCTTTGTCTTTGAGGTCTGTGAAGTAGTTGAGTCTGGACCAGACAAGACGTGGATGATAGGGATACTCTGGACCACACCTGTGGGGATTCCTGGTTACAATTTGGTCCCCAGCAACTTACGTTGTATGTGAGAAACAGCAATGGATGGGGTGGTCAGGCTGTGACCTGGTTGATCTGTGTCATCTTACCCTTAAGAAGTGTATCATTTCTCTTAAGATCAATCACTGGATTGGCTGCTCCATATGTTATTATTTACAGTCCATCATAATTTTGCTAGAAATATTACTGAGTGAATTGTAAAATGCCATTTTCAAAACCTATTTATGGCCATTATGGCTGTGTTTGTTCAATATGTTATAATATTTGGTATTTATATAGTTTTAGCAGATGTTCCATTTCTTGTCAATAATTTAATTTGTATTTCTCTCTTTTTGAAATTCTTCTCCCATGAAATTGCCAGCATGAGGTAGCTGAACTTCCTGGCATATTTTAGGGTCAGTTTTTAGTCCCCAGTATTTATGCAGTCCGTTGTGTGTCCATCTGTGCAAGATGTTGTTTCTGGACCAGATCTTAAAAAACCGTACAATATTTATTCACAAAACTTGGTACATAGATAAGTCCAGTGGGGAACTGGTGCCTTTTGATAGTTTGGGATTTTTGAAGTTTTGACAACAATTTTGACTTCGGCAGAAAATGGCAGTAATGCTCATTTCTGGAGCATATCTTGAAAACCATACAATGTTTCTTCACCAAACTTTGTACACTGATAGACCTAATGGTGAACTGGTGCCTTTTGATGGTTGGGGGTTTAAACAAAATAAAAAAATCATGTTTCCATAGCAACGACTTTGACTTAGACTGAAAATGGCAGTAGGGCTCGTTAGGGCTGTACAATATTTCTTCACCAATCTCAAAAATAGGTCTACTTGTTAACTGGTGCCTTTTGGTTTGCGGTTTTTATAATAAATGTGTTTTCAGTTTCCATGGCAACAAGTTTCATGTATTTGTACACAGACTTTGTCCTCTTGTCAATCATTGGAGTAGTATCCAGTCCTGTGTAGATGCATTAACGTTCAAGTGTTAGGAAGCTGTCATGTATGTTTCAGCCACTGAAGCCGCTGCTCTGGAAGAGGAGGAATCGCGGGCCGAAAGAGCCACTGCTAGCTCTCGGCAGTCGGTAAGAGTAATGGTCTCTGCTTTATTTTTTGATTCTAACAATTCCAACATAAATTTAATAGAGGCAAATTCATTTAAGTGGATTGAAGTTTTCTTTCTGTTAAATGCCAAGTTTTATTCATTTTTATGAAGTAATTGATTCTGGTAACTTGCTGCATGTGATTATTATTTTTTCTATTAACATAACTTGCTCATTGACATGCAGTCAAGAAGAAGTCACATGACTAGAGGATCATCTTAGAGAGTTGGAGTTCAATATGTGTTATTCTTTCAGAATTCTAAGAACGTGGACATGCCGAGAATCAGCATTCAGCCTGCAGAAGATGAAGATGGTGTGTATAAAGACTCAAAACACTGACTGACTCTCCTTCTGACATACATCGTCAATTCTGACATTGTGCTTTGTTGAAGGGACAACCTACATGCAGCAGCAAAAATGAATTCTTGGTCACTTGTACTCATAATGCTTTTGATAAATATTTTTCAAGATGTTATTTTGTATACCATAATTATTTTGATCTGTCTGTAGGGAAAGTGATGTTTTTTTAGTTTGAAATTATTTAATTGGTTCTACTATGTTATTCTGTTATTAGATACTGCATTGTTTTGATTATATACCTTATAACATAGATTACAATGACTTGGTGTGGTGTCTGTATGGTTGCATGTGGTATCTGAGTTACAGTTTAACCTTATTTTGAGTTAGATTGTGTAAACTTCCTTTCCAGACTTGGATGATGGTTTCTCGGTGAAGCATATAGCTCATGCTCGTTATCAGCGCAATCATCGGCTCATCAATGAGATCTTCAGTGATAGTGTGGTGCCTGATGTTCGGACAGTGGTCACTACAGGCAGAATGAGTGTGCTCAAGAGGCAGGTCCAGTCTCTCACAATGCATCAGGTAGACTCTTAGAACTATTTGGGGAACGGAAAGGTCCCCAGTATGTCATGGTTGTTGAAACAGGCAACTTGCTGCTGTCCTGTGATATTGCTGTAATACTGATGACTGTAAGATGAACCAAGAGTCATTCCCTCCCTCCCTCCCTCCCAATGTAGCCACTCACTCACTCCCTCCCTCCCAATGTAGCCACTCACTCACTCCCTCCCTCCCAATGTAGCCACTCACTCCCTCCCTCCCTCCCTCCCAATGTAGCCACTCACTCACTCCCTCCCTCCCAATGTAGCCACTCACTCACTCCCTCCCTCCCAATGTAGCCACTCACTCACTCCCTCCCTCCCAATGTAGCCACTCACTCACTCCCTCCCTCCCAATGTAGCCACTCACTCCCTCCCTCCCTCCCAATGTAGCCACTCACTCACTCCCTCCCTCCCAATGTAGCCACTCACTCACTCCCTCCCTCCCAATGTAGCCACTCCCTCCCTCCCTCCCTCCCTCCCAATGTAGCCACTCACTCACTCACTCCCTCCCTCCCAATGTAGCCACTCACTCACTCCCTCCTCGCTCAAGTCACTCCCTCACTCACTCAATCACTCTCACTCACTCACTCACTCACTCACTCACTCACTCACTCACTCAAGTCACTCCCTCACTCACTCCCTCTCACTCCCTCACTCACTCCCTCACTCACTCCCTCCCTCACTAAGTCACTCCCTCACTCACTCCCTCACTCACTCAAGTCACTCCCTCACTCACTCACTCCCTCACTCACTCACTCACTCCCTCACTCACTCAAGTCACTCCCTTACTCCCTCACTCACTCCCTAAGTCACTCCCTCACTCACTCCCTAAGTCACTCCCTCACTCACTAAGTCACACCCTCACTCACTCCCTCACTCACTCCCTCACTCACTCAAGTCACTCAAGTCACTCCCTCACTCACTCACTCACTCACTCCCTCACTCACTCAAGTCACTCCCTCACTCACTCCCTAAGTCACTCCCTCACTCACTCCCTCACTCAAGTCACTCCCTCACTCACTCCCTCACTCACTCACTCACTCACTCACCCACTCACTCAGAATAGTCATGAGTCTTGACATGTGTCATGAATCATTTGTTACTGAAACTGCAGTTGAGGCAATCAACTGAGTTGTCTGCAAAATTGCAGCAGATAAGTAGTAAGGATTTGACAAGGCTTTATAGTGAGTTAGTGAGTGAGTATGGATTTACACTGCTTTTAGCAATATTACAGTAATGTCTTGGCGAGGGACACCAGAAATAGGCCTCTCATACTGTACTCATATGGAGGAATCGAACCCAGACCTGCAGCCTGACGAGTGAACGCTTTAACCACTAGGCTTCCCCACTGGATTTTTAAATATTAGTAACTAAAATGATCTTTGGTTCTTTGTGTGACTTGTGTGATTGTGTTTTCATACTCTGGTGGCTTGGATTGCTGCTCATGCTATCAACCACTGGATTATTTAATTGCTACTGGAATATTGCTGACTGAAATGGAATTTTTTGTGTTGCAGAAAAAACTTGAATCAGAGTTACAACAGATAGAAGAGAAACATGAAGCCAAGAAAAGGAGATTCTGTGAGTCCAGTGAAGGTTTCCATGAAGAGCTCAAAAAGGTTGGTACTGGTCAATATTTTTCAACAAGTCTTGCCTGACATCATATACAGATCTTGAGATGATGCCTTTTGTGGATTTTTTTGGCGTTTTTATTTTTCTCGATTTCCATGGAAACATTTTGGATGTAGTCTCAAAACGTGGTGGTGGATTTCGTTTCCGGAGCACAATTTGAAAACCATGAAAGACTTTTCATTCAAAGTTGGTACATGAATTAACCAAGGGCTGAAGTGATACCATTTTTTAATTGAGGAATTTTTCAAAATTTGATTTTCCCCTGGTTCTATGGAAACACTTTAGACTTAGTGAAACAGAGTTAGTTGGTTGTCAATGGAGCACAACTGAAATAAAATATTCAACATTTTTTATCCAAACTTGGTACATGTATTAATCAGGGGTTGAAGTGGTGCCTTTTGCTATTTAAATATGAAATACTTTGTCCTGTTTCCATGGCAACAAGTTTGACTTTGACTGTGTTCATAGTGATGTGTTTGTCCAACCATATCTCCAAAATTAATAGGTATTCTTTCATGACACTTTACACAAAGACCAGGTTGTCAAATGGTGCCTTTTGCTACTTTGGGCTGTTTAGATATTTTAATTTTTCTGTTTCCATGGCAACAAGACTGACTTTGTCTCTGTACATTTTGATATGTAACTGACATAGAAATACAAAGTTCCAAATCCCAATTTCCATGGTATAGTTTTGATAGCTGAATAACTACTCTTGTATACGGACAGACAGATCAGATAGAAATTCTCTCATCAAGTTTTCTTTCGAATTTATATCGGGGCTAGGTCATTTGTCATCTTCCGGTGACTTTTGGCACAGACCTATGGTTATACAAATCTGTGCTTTTGGTTAATTCCTTCCGATACGTTTCAATTACTTTCGAATATGATTTGAACTGTTTATGTGTGGCTTTGACATGTTGATAAGATTAAGATGAAAATGTCCAGGGTAGGGTCATGTAGTATTTCAGTCTGCCATGATAAGCCAATGATCATGACGATGGTCTTTATGTTTTGGCTAGCATCTATTGAAATGATATCGAAAGCTGTGTTGTAGTAGAAAGGTTCTGATGCTGACTGTAAGGTGATGCTTATGTTTTGTAGTTATGTGAGAACAAGCCCCAGGTGACTGAAGACATGTTCAATGGAATGATATCAAAGGCACGAGAGGACATGCGTCAACGGCATCAACAACTCATTCAGCAACAGGAAGAAGAGAAGAAGAAGCAGCAGCTGCGTGATGAAGAGAAAAAGAAGAAGGAGGAAGAAGACAGAAAGAAAGAAGAAGAAGAGAGGGAGAAATCTCAAGAGGAACAGATGGACGTTGATCAGGCTGTGAAAGAGGCTGCACCACAGGTCATCCATCCATCCATCCATCCATCCATCCATCCATCCATCCATCCATCCATTCATTCATTCATTCATTCATTCATTCATTCATTCATTCTATTCCATTTATTTATTTATCTATTTGTAAATTAATATAACTGAAATATAGTTGAATTTATTTATTTACTTATCATGTTCATTCATTTATTTATTTATATATTGTTTGTAAAATTTATATAACTGAAATTTAATGGTTGTGAGTGAAATATATTTTTTAGTTTCATTATCTTGGACCATGTGATTATTTTACAGCCGACAGTTAATGGCACGGACATGAAACCAAAAGAAAATGGAATGGACACAACCCTTGTATGTATAACAACAAGCCTTTCACACAAGCTGCAGGATTAGATTCATACTAGCATGTCCTGCATAAGTTATCTCATGACATATCGTGGTCATCATAGTTAAATTACCTAATATATTGAGAATTTCACCCAAGCGACTTTTAATATCAAATATACAACTAAAACAAAGAGGCATGACAAATTAATTATCATAATATGAAAGAATCGGTTGGTTCTTCGCTTTTTTTAAGTAATTATGTATCAATACAAGTCAATAAAAGTTAAGAGCCTTTAAACGTTTAATGACAAGTTTTTGATATACCGTATTCGGTGTAATAAGCCCCCAGGGAACTCTCAAAATTAGAAATAGGGGGCTCTTATTAGAATATTATTTCGGTGAAAATAAAACAGAGTTGAAAGATAAATTTCGTGGTTTATGCTGACAGATATATTTTTCCAGAATTTAATTGCCCATAATTAAGGGTGCATATAACACACAAGTGCGTATTATACACGAATAAATAGGTCTTGTGTACATTGATCAATTGGAAGGAGTTCTAATTGGTATTGTTCACTAGCCAATATGTTAGCAAATATCGCCGTTGGCGCTTATTAGAGCGGGGCGCTTATTATGTTGAATACGGTACTTCATATTATGAGACACTCGGGTGAGATTCTTTTTATCATCCAGTATAATTTTTAGCACGTTTTTAGTTTGTAAACATCATCAACCAGTGTCTTGGGTGTAAAAAGTACAGAAAACCAGCTTCAGTGGCAGAGAGATTAGTGATCTCACTTGATTGTGAAACCATGGTAACTGACATCTTCCTGAGGCAAGGGAGTTAACTGACTATTAAAGTCCAGTTTCCACCCTTGCCGAACTAGGCTGGTATTATGGAGTTACATTTGGGCTGGACTAAAGAGTCTATGCATAGTCCAATCAAAATCGGGCACTGAAGTTGAAATCCGGTTCGTAAGCTGTCATGCAGATTTCGGTTGATTGCAGGATTTGCAAAGCATGTGCACCACCAACTCATTGTCAACAGATAATTTCAGTCTTTTCATGTTTCTAATCAAGGTGCTCGCGTGATTTGATGCACTTCGCGATGTAAGACCCGTTTTATCACAATATAGATCTTGATTATCGATCAGATCGTTTTGACTGGGCGCCACTGTTTTGTTTGAAACAAATGCAAGTGATATGAGAGGTGGAATCTGACTGGTCCATAGGAGAGGCTTAGAAGGGACATAACTTGTAATAACCACTGGTGGCGCTATAATCGAGCCCAGGAATTCCAACCTATTTCAGCAAGGGTGGAAACTGGACTTTTAAAGTCAGTTAACTCCTTGCCTTGGGAAGATGGGTAACCGATGACATCACAATGTTCTGCAATGCATTGTAATGTAGTTTCATTGCTGGATATCTCCTGGGAGCTATTGCTTGATCTTACCCAAGCTCCGTGCTCGGTTTCTCCAAAGTGGTAACTGTCTGAGACCTGCATCACTTGCGGCTTTCTTTCCACATTAAGCTGACACTTAACTGAAAATACTGTTAAAAGCGGTGACTCCAGATGGTGACAGTGACTCTGTTTCATTCTCCAGATGGTGACAGTGACTATGTTTCTGATTCCAGATGGTGACAGTGACTGTTTCAGATTCCAGATGGTGACAGTGACTGTTTCAGATTCAAGATGGTGACAGTGACTTTATGTTTCAGACTCCAGATGGTGACAGTAACTCAATGGATGTAGAGGAAGCTAAACCTGCAGATGCCACCAACACCGAGACGAACAAGGTAGGTTCTTGTGTGTACAATGTGTGTACACTGTCAAAGTTCCATTATCATAATCGTGGTAAAAATTGGTGCTAGGGAAGTGATTCTATATCTTCACATTAACTGTTATTCCAGGTACCAGTTGAGCCAGACAGCACAGTTCCTAGTCAATCAGCTGCTCCAGTATCACCAGCTGCAGCAGCAGCAGCAGAAGCTGTGGAGTCGGAAACACCAGCAACAACAGGGCCCACTGAGGTGCAAGACACACCCCTAGCCACTGACTCTACAGGTAAGATAGCACTCTAGGGGAGGAGGTTTGGGGCGATCTCTAAGATGAATCAGTAAATACAGTAGAACACGGATATAACAAACACGGATAGAGCGAACAAACGGATACAACGAACTGTTAAAAAATCCCCCGATTCATCTCCTACGTGATATCATATAAACTTTACGTATATAACGAACTCTCTACAGCGAACTAACGGATACAGCGAACTGATATCTGATCACCAACAAGCCCATCTATCACTAATTAGTGATGTGTATAGCGAACTGAGAAATCTTACTCAGTGTCAAGTGTCACTGACAATTGGCTGTACGCAATCAGCGGTGAATCAACACAATCGCGGCGAATCAACACAATCAGCGGTGATTGATCAACCTTGTTATACTTAAATGAATGTTATGAAATGTTATGAATTGAATGCTATGAATTGATCACTGCTAATACAAGTCAATGCTGCAGTTACGTGTTTTGTGTTTTGTTTTATCCAAGATGGCGGACATTTCCGTGGGAAAACGTCTATAACGAACTGATTTCTCCGGTCCCTTTTAGTTCGTTATATCCATGTTTTACTGTATAGAGAGAATGGGTGAAACCCTGTAAGTTTAAACTTTGTTAGTATGTTAAAATCTAACAGTGTCTTCACAGTGTAATAAATATGTAATATGTTGTGAGTATAATGACACATACCATGTTACGGCAATGATGATGTGAATTCTATCCATAATGGTGAGTCTGCATGGAGAGTGGAAGGTCGGTGCTTCAATTCTGGGCCACGTCATACCAAAAGATGGTACTTGCTGTACCTCCATTGAACTGGGCATTACACTAGGCATTAAAAAGAGGGGCGGTCGGGTAGCCTACTGGTTAAAGCGTTCGCTCGTCACGCTGAAGATCCGGGGTCGATTCCTGACATGGGTACAATGTGTGAAGCTCTTTTCTGGTGTCCCATGCCGTGATATTGCTGGAATATTGCTAAAAGCGGCGTAAAACCATACTCACTCACTCATTAAAAAGGATAAGACAAGAACAGGTTATCTTATTCAGTATAATGTCTGAGTGGGATATCAATGTTAAGATGAGGCATGGTATCTCACTAGGCTAGCACTATAAAACCAGCATTAGTCCAGGCTAGTATAAGTAATAACTTTTATGACACAGTGCATGTTATGATAATCCAGATGTATGTCAATAATTGTGAAAGCTTGTGAAATAAATGTAACTGTTCTACACATATATTTTTATTGATTCGTTCTTGACGCATTTGGAAAATAAATTGTGTCATGTTCCTCATTCAAGTGATTCTTCATTTTCAGATAAGCCTGAAGAACCATCCGATTCTTCTCAGCCGCCCATAAGCTCAGAACAAGATCAAAAGGAGGCATCTGAGCCACCAGTTAAGGAGACGGAAATGGCGAAAGAAGCTGGCCCAGAAGAAGAAAAAACTTCCATGCAGCTATGACCTGCAACTTAGAATCTAATTTCAATGAAGTAATCTGTTACCATTAATTAATTTTGTTGTTGTGCTAAAACAGTATTCTTTGGTACATATTTCTTGGAAGAAAACGTTTTGGGATTGGGTATAAAAATAAAACTAAGGTAGAATTATGAATGTTTGAAGTAAAAATCATGTTTATATGCATACTGTTTTAATTTCGAAATGAGTATTGAGCGATTGAAAAGACTGTTCCAGTCTTATTTATTAAGAAATTTTTGGGTCTGAATGTAATTGACTATGTTATAATTTACCTGTTTGTCCTAGTTTTATCCATGTTATCTGAGGGTGTATTTTCATACCGTTGTGATGATGGTCGTTTTATTGTCTGCATTTTCATACCATTTATATCACATGTCATATATCATGCTAGAATAAAGTGTACGCAAACTAGGTCATGCTTGTTATTTGTATTATATTTACATGTCAGTGAATATGTTTGATGTTAAAACAGTGATTGTGAAGGAGAAAATACAGGGAATTAACGTGTCCACAAAATCATGAAGAGTTAAGGTTTGTAGGAACATGTGTATGTGAAGGAGATGGATTCTGGAAATACTCTGTAAAAGTGGTCAGCAAAGTTTCTCAGCATATTTAAATCATCTAAACTGCTGTACAAAAGGAAGTATGCATATTCCTGTAGAGCAAGTTAAGCATACATACATACGCTCATGTCACCTCTCTTTATGAGGAAAGGGGCGGTCGGGTAGCCTAGTGGTTAAAGCGTTCGCTCGTCACGCCGAAGACCCGGGTTCGATTCCCGACATGGGTACAATGTGTGAAGCCCATTTCTGGTGTCCCCCACCCCGATATTGCTGGAATATTGCCAAAAGCGGCGTTAAACCATACTCACTCCTCACTTTATGAGGAACTATTTCATTCCGCGATACAGCTGTTTTTTGTATGGCTGTCAGTGTAAACATGAAGTCCCATCTACTAAATAAAATTGTGTGTAGATCTTCATCCTTCCAGGTAAATAATAGTGATGTAAAAAGATTATAACAATTTACATTCACTTTGTGTGGGTTCATTGGAGTATGAATGTTCATAGAGTGAGGGCCAAACTTTGTATGAATGTCGGAGCATACAGTTTGGCCTTCACTCCATTAAGGTTCATACTCCAATGAACTCACACAAAGTGAAAGTTGTTTCTTAACTGAGTTATATGTTTCACTTCATGTAAAAATGCTAAGCAACAACCAGTAGGATTGAATCCCTTTGGACATTGCAGGTTAGAATACATCCTCAGCAGCATGGATCAGGTGATCAGGCTTGATGTCTTGGTTGGTTGATTGATTGATTGATTGCGTCATCGAACCCTGATGGTAGGGATGCTGGATCATCATATCAATCACTGGATTGTCTGGTCCAGGCTCTGTTATTTTTGGGCCGCCGTCATACAGATGGAATATTGCTGAGTGCAGCATTTATGACAAACAAACATAAGATAAATCATACTTATTAAAGTACAGACATTTATTTACACCAAAGTACATATATATTTACATCAAGATGTTTTGTTTTACAGTATTTTACACAAATTAGCATATGATATAATCACCTCATTTACTGTCGCTAACAATATGAATAAATTATTTAAAATTCTTTACGAAAAATTTATCTCAGAAATCCTGCCCTTTCTTGTTTTCCTACCTACTTATCAGTTCGAGTTAAAAAGATAAATAAATCGGAATTTGTCTATTTTGATTTTTGTCAGCCTACTGACCTGAAGTTTTAGTAAAGAAATCTGTAACCACCCCCAAAGTTTATGTTTATAGGGGAGACTACAGTAATGCAACTTCAATTTATCCATTTTTGGCTAAGAGTTTTGTAACAAGGCCATATGTTTGTTCATATTCATTGTACATCTGAACTGAGAGGTTGATGAGGTCACTAGTGTTATCACATAGGCTAATATTTACATTATATCACAATGTATCACAGAATTTGCTTATAGTTTGTGAGGACAACACCCAGAATTTGCATAGAAATACAGGTTATCACATCCGGTTAATCATGTAGAATGGGAAACATTAATGTCCCATGTTCTCAGAATGTTCCAGAAAAGTATATGAATAATGCTTTTTTCACCTTCTTGCATCTACAAGACTAAGAAAGAGTTATGACAGCAGACTTAATGTAGACTGTACCTGACAATGGGATAAATATTGTCAAATGTTTATGACCATGTGCATAAACCTTTGATTTTGTGTTTGAGAATACATATATGGTGAACTTTGTTAAAAAAGACAATAACTTAAAGAAGAATCTCCTAAAAATATAAAAAGAAATGATGTTTATGTCAAAGACATTTTGCAAAATAAAATTTTAATTCAATTAATAATCTGACTGGCCATGTTATTCACCTGTAACATTTATAATATCCCACCGATATATACATTTGTAGAATGTAGATGTGAGGCAGATTATCAGACCCTATCTTCCTGTCTTTGGAGATCTATTATGACCTGGCCACAAACAATGAATCTGTGACCAATAAGACAACAGATCTACTCAATAGATAACAATGTCAAACAAAGTGTTCTACTTTCCAGGTTGCACCCAACACAACACATACATGATGAAACATAACCCATTCAGGTCTCACAGGTATATGATTGTAATATATGAACACTTTTATATAATTCCCAGAAAATAATAAAACTTTTTTCAGAGTCAGGTCCGGTATAATATCATCTGGATTATTAAAAGACATGTCCCTGGTTAGATTGTCTCCACTAAGTATACTGATAAAAAAAGAGTAAGGAATCTATTGGGGATACTTTTTTGTATTGAAGACTGACCACACAATTTCATAAAAATATCCCCCCCAAATTCAAACTTCTTTTGTTCAGTATATTATCACTTGTAGTCTGGATGATGCTTGGTAACTATTGTGGGAAAGTATTCTGCATCCACTGTCACTGAAGGGGCATGACTACAGGAAATCTGTGTATCCTGAAAAGCAGTTCATGAGGCCGATCAATCTCATTTAAATCAGATCTTAGTTCTCGCTATCGCTAAACAAAGATCTGAGGATATCCCATTACGGGTCACGTCAGAAGGACCTTTCATCCGACCAACAAAGGTCATGTCACGCCGAAGACCCGGGTTCGATTCCCGACATGGGTACAATGTGTGAAGCCCATTTCTGGTGTCCCCCGCCGTGATATTGCTGGAATATTGCTAAAAGCAGCGTAAAACCATACTCACTCACTCACTCACTCCGACCAATCAAAGCGTCACTTACCAGATCATGAAAGTGACATTCGGAATGTGTTTTCTAATCATGCAACCTAGAAAACGTTAACAGGGGGTATTCCGAACGACAGTTACAACAGATTCCGTCAAAATCATCGTCTATCTCGCGCTTCCATGGGATAAACATTTGAACGGGGGAGGCGTTGCACAGTACGTGGGAAGCACTGCCATACAATCTCAGCCATATATTAGACATTCCGGAATGTGTATTTGTTCAGTTTTCAAAATTTTAATCGAGAACTGTGTCAACATATTTTTCAAGTGTAGTCTGAAATGGAAGTCGCCAACTTGAAACGAGTGCCGAAAAAGTTCGAGAAAGCTGCTTTCTAATTGGCTGATGTCGACTTCTTGTTTGTCATTTCAGTGGTCTGTCAAAGTTCGCGAAAAGTCGTTCTGACGTGACCCGTAATGGGATGTCCTCAGGTCTTCGTTTAAACGGCAGCGAGAACTTAGATATGATTTTAAAGAGATTGTTGGGTTGATGACAATGTCAGTTTTAAATAAATATGTTCATCCAAACTCGAAATATGAACATAATCAGATTGCTGCCTTCTGGATCTTCTGAAGCTCTCCCAGCAGTTCATCATCCAATGATTAGTTTATTTTTTGGTTGATAGCTTCTCTCCTCGGGGATCGCTAGCAGCAGCCTCTCTTAGTCTCTTGATGTACTCAGCGCCCCACTCGCGCAACAGGTTCTACAAGAAAGAATTAATAATGAATATCCTTGTTGGGAATCCATGTTAGAATAGGTCCCAAGGAACCTATATCGTCATCAAAAGAGGCGACTAAATGGATTAGGTAGTCATACTCAGTTGATGGTGTATCTTCACACCCTGACAAAACAAAAGGTAGCTCATAGTAACAATCACTGTTTTTTTGGTGCAGACTTATTGTTAAGAGGCTGCATTATATAGCTGGAATATTGCTGAGTGGTTTAAATAAATAGCAAATATCTTAAATGAAATGTCTAATTAGGAGATAAACCTACTGTGTTTTGAAATTTGATGTAGTCCCACTGTAAATAAATACTTCTTTATTTTAATTTTGAACCGAGCGCTTTCCGTTGCAAAAAGGGACCTCTTAAAGGGCAAGTTCACACGGAAATGAACCTATTTTTCTTGTACTTTTTCCACATTAAAAGAGTTAACCTAGAAGTGTCATAGACAAAAATAAAAAAATATCACAATTAATCAACATATTTTTCGCATTAAAACGATTTATATTTTTCACATTTACCAAGTGTTCTATTTCCACAACAAAAACACCATGGCTTATGCCCCTTGCAATATGACGTCATTGGTGCCAATTGATAAACATTATGACGTCATCATGCTTTGTTAGAGCCGCTTCACGTGGTGTAGGTACAGGTGTGTGATTCTAGCGTCTCAGATGCCAGCCAGCATAGTGTTATGCAGAGTCACCACTGCGCCGGAGTGTGTCGTAGGCCATGTTGTTTTACCGCAAACTGGTACTTGATATCTTTTGCGTTGAGAATAGGCAGGGACCCAGTTGAATTGGCACCAATTACGTCATAATCTAAGGGGGATAACTCAGGCCTGTTTAGCTTGAAAAACGAAGGCCTTATAACGGCATATCATTTTCACACTATTGTGAGCTTCCTACTTTCACTGTGAAAAAAATGAGTGTATATTTTCAAACACAGATACTAATTAATTCTAAAATTGCGTTTTGTTTAGAAAAAGAAAGAAAGTGATTTTTGCGTGTACACTACCCCTTTAACCAATCAGAATCAAGCATTCATCAATGTCATGGTAGAATCGTGAATTATGAGAGTATAGATATGGTAGGAATGGAAGTCCCCACTGCTGACTTCCTCGTGCCACAAACCAGACCTTGATGAAGAATTCAGCTCAAAACTGGATACCTTGAAGCAGTGTTCGAAATACCTGCCTGCCTGACCGTCCGAGACGGGTTGATTTCAACTCGGGCTACCAGATTTTCAAATCCCCCTGCCCGACGGTCGGGTTATATTTCATATGTGAAAATATTCAAAATATTTCCCGATGATAAGCATTAATTCACATGTAAAGATGAATAATAAAATGTAACCAAAAAGAAACTCTGTTAGCTTATCCTGAGAAACATATGATTATAGTGGGCAGGCAGGTTTTGGTCAGGGCTGGCAAGTATTTCAGCTAGCCAGTCCTGTGGTCTGGCTGAAATTTTTTCGAGTTTCATACCCTGCTTGAAGATGAACCAAGCTGTGATACAGCTGGAATATGGCTGACTGTACTGTCAAACAACATTCACTCACAGAGAAGACTTATGGGAACATTACCCATTATGTTGATTGTGATTTACAACATCAGTATTATTAGTCAAGCCTATTTCTGGTGTCCCCCATCATGATATTGCTGTATAATTGTTAATAGCAAAGTAACCTAAACTTACTCACTGACTCTATCTCTGTTGATTGTGACTTACCTCACAGTATTCATATGTTTTCCTAAGAGAAAGATGGATACCTCTCATCTCATCATCCTTGAACACATACTTGACCACCTCCCCTGGGATTGGCTGAAAGGAGAAATCTCGTGTCACAAAGTGGTCCTCACAGTAGGCAGTCCTTACTCAAATGGGAAAGATTTCCTGTTCACATTTTGCCTGGGTTAGGGCAACCTTACCCTAAAGCTACATATATTTTTTTATCTGCTTCTAAACAGGGATTATGATTTTTAATAGTTTAGAGGCAGGGGTTATGGGTAGAAGTTTTACCCTCAAATGTTTACCGGAAGTTCTATTTATTTTTGTACCGCCATATTTATTTTCTCCAGTGGAAAGAGTGATTTGTAAATTGCTTGAAGTATAACAATAACATACTGACAGCTGAAATGTACCCCTTTTCGTCAATATCAACAAACAAGGCCAATCCAAAACCATCGTTTGGGAGTAATGTATGATTTTATTTGGTCTTAATGGAATTTTAAAAGTATATTTTTATATTTCTGATGTGAAACAAAAAGTTATTGACTCACAAATCCTAAATCATGTGTGATTTTAGTATGAATTTGGAAATTAATCGATTCTTATTGGGCAACCAGGGGTCATCAAATCCCAATAAAACCCCTCTGATTGAAACAGCCGATTTGACATTCGCATCACTGCAGACCCTAATACATGTATACAGAATAGAACTTCTTTTTCACTCATTGTTGGTAGACATTTTATAATAATTATATGTACAATTATAGATTACAAAATGTGAAGTTGTGTTTGACAACATTCAAAGGATGTGTGGCATTACATTTTGTGCAGGAAGAGAATCCATTTATAGCTTTGGGGACAACAGAGTGTATGAATGTTATTTCGCACTTCTATATATGAATGTGACATCATATCTGTTGCATCACAGTGAAAGATATGGCATCATAATAGTGATGTGCAGAGTAGAATGAAACCTTGCAGTCTTGCTTAGTTTTCCCTAAGGGTGCCCACTTCATATTAGCTCACAAAATTGCTGTAAGTACATGCTTTCAGTGCCTGTCATATGTTCCAGTGAAGGATAACAGTGTAAAAAGATGGCTTGAGCACATACAGTACAGAAAGCAATGCGGTCCAAATCCAAGATTTGCCCTGATTATATTTCTAGGTTTTTCATCACCATATCCATGCTTTTGGATTCACCAAAGTGCTCAACGTCTAAACCCTGTATCACTTTAGGCTTTCCTACAACAAGCTGACATGCATTAATATGACTGAAATACTGATCAAAGTGACGTCAAACTGGACTCATTCAAGTCTCAATAAAGCATGCATTGCTCACCATTGTTGGTTGTCCTTTGGGTCCTGAGGACTTGCGTACTACGTACAGTAACACTGTGGACAGGATCTTGAGGTTCCGCTGATGGGTGTCACTCAGGGGTTCCGTGGAAAGTCCATAGTCAAGAGGCTTCAGCAGCAGCTGTAAGGAGAGATGGTTCTAGTGATTCTACAACACTTGTTCTAAGCAAACAGCTACACTGACAGCTTGATTCAGCAGCTGCATGGAAAGATGGTTCTAGTGATTCCACTTGCTCTAACATGAGGAGGAGGACAGATGGTGGAGGAAGATCAAAGAAGTCATGGTGTGTAGAGTTGTGTCCCTTGGCTGCCAACATCATCTGCTTGGTGAATTTAATCTGATTTGCCCAGATTATGATCCAAGTGTGTTTAGAGTGAGTGAGTATGGTTTTACGCTGCTTTTAGCAATATTCCAGCAACATCACAGTGGGGATACCAGAAAGGGGCTTGACACATTGTACCCATGTTGGGAATTGAACTCAGGTCTTCGGCTCGACGAGCAAACGCTTTAACCACTAGGCTACCCGAACCCCAAGTGTGTTTAGAAATACAGTAAACTATGTTTATAATGAACACGCTTATAACGAACTGATGGATATAGCGAAATGTGTTTTGATCCCGTCCATTTGCTGTATATATCCTGTTTAGATGCTTATAACGAACTACGGTTATAACAAACTAAAATTAGAGGTCCCTTTGAGTTTGTTATAACCGTAGTTTACTGTAATAGTTTTCACAAAAGCAAACGCCTACAACCTGCATTAATTCGGTCATTCCTGCCACATTAATACTGACCTCCGTCATATGACTGAAACGGTTAACAGGCTGACTGACTGACGACTAACGGCGAAAAGGCGACTAATGGGATCAGGTGGTCAGGCTCGCTGACTTGGTTGATGCATGTCATCAATCCCAATTACATGGATCGATGCCCATGATATTAATCACTGGATTGTCTGGTCCAGACTTGATTATTTACAGACCGCCATCATATAGCTAGAATATTGCCGAGTGCGACGTCAAACATCAAACCAACAAACCAACAAACAACTGACACTGAGGAAAAGGGTAATTGTGTAGGACAATTCAGTATGGATGAGGACAAATGAGTGAATATGGTTTGACTTGTATAACACAGCACTCAGCAATCTTCCAGCTATATGACAGCAGTGTGTAAATAATTAATTTTGGTCAGATATTGTGAGCTATTGTCCACGCTGTCTGGGTGCGATGGCTCGCAATCAACCAAGTCACCGAGTCTGACCATCTGATCCATTAAGTTGCTTCATTTAACAAGAATAGGTTGCTGGTGCCCTATTCTGACTCGGGATCACGACAGGTTGCAGCTTAATAAGATAAGACTTTCACTTGGAATTTTCGAAATCAACTTTGTGACTGGAAAGTTTTCCTCTTCTACTGACATAATCCTTAAGTTGCTCCGTATACTTACAGTTGTGATTAGACTCCTGGAGACGAAGATCCCAACCAACAACAGAAATGCCTCCTGTTGTCCAATATTTGTTGTCTTGCCCGCGCCATTGAACTGGATGCGGTCCTGAAGACAAGAGGAATAACATCATAGCAACAGACAAAACAATATATTATGCACATAAAAAACATGAATGTTTCACAGAACCTTTGATGCAAGTCCTAAAATTTTAACAGCACTGTGATAGAAATGTCTGTATCAAGTAGATTTCTTTGCGTAAAGTGACACCTAAACTCACCAATTCCACTTGCCAGAAGTATCCATCAGGAAAGCGTTGGCCATTCTTGATGAGTTCAAATACAGCTGCTTTTCGATGGGTTCCCAATACTCCTGACCTTGGCTGAAACATTTACTTGTCATCAGAACAAGCATATAAACCCCTGTCATGTGATAGCTCCAGTTTCTCTGCAACACAGTAAAACCTACCTCCAACGACCATGACCTACCACAGGCTATGTGACCTCTACCTACCTCCACTAAGATGACCTCTGTGACCTCCACCGACTGTGACATCTGTCTACCACAGGCTATGTGACCTCTACCTACCCCCACTAAGATGACCTCTGTGACCTCCACTGACTATGACCTCTGTGATATCTGCCTACCACAGGCTATGTGACCTCTACCTACCCCCACTAAGATGACCTCTGTGACCTCCACCGACTATGACCTCTGTGATGTCTGCCTACCACAGGCTATGTGACCTCTACCTACCTCCATTAAGATGACCTCTGTGACCTCCACTGACTATGACCTCTGTGATGTCCACCGACCATGACCTCAGTGATGTCTGCCTACCACAGGCTATGTGACCTCTACCTACCTCCATTAAGATGACCTCTGTGACCTCCACTGACTATGACCTCTGTGATGTCCACCGACCATGACCTCTGTGATGTCTGCCTACCACAGGCTATGTGACCTCTACCTACCTCCACTAAGATGACCTCTGTGACCTCCACTGACTATGACCTCTGTGATGTCCACCGACCATGACCTCTGTGATGTCTGCCTACCACAGGCTATGTGACCTCTACCTACCTCCACTAAGATGACCTCTGTGACCTCCACTGACTATGACCTCTGTGATGTCCACCGACCATGACCTCTGTGATGTCTGCCTACCACAGGCTATGTGACATCTACCTACCTCCACTAAGATGACTATGACCTCTGTGATGTCAATCTACCTCCATGATCTCTACCTACCCCCACTAAGATGACCTCTGTGACCTCTACCTACTTCACTAAGATGACCTCTGCATACCTGTTAACTCTCACGCATCTCGCGTGAGTCTCCCGCATTTATCACCTACGTCACGCTCACACGCAAGGTTGGGAAATTCTCACGCATTCATATAAAATGTAGATAAATATATTTTGATATGCTTTTAAATATATTTATCAGAATACATGCTCTCTATAGCCATTAAATTGGTCTTAAAATCCCCCCTCTCCCCCCTCCACGGGGACCAGCTTGCAGCCCCTGCACCCTGGCCTCTCAATCATTTAGACATCCAGGGGTTGACAGCTATGCCTCTGTGATCTCTACCTACCATGATCTCTGTGATGTGGTAGATGAGGTTTTCCACAACATAGGCAAGTACTTGGAGCAGCTGGGCCTGGTCTCGTGTGATATTCCGCCCACCCACAAGTGATGACAGGTCTTTCGCATTCGGCCCTATGATATCCCCCATCACAGGATAAATATTGCCAGTTGGCTGAAAGACATCAGTAAAATGTATCAAAATGTTTCAGAATCAAACAAATGCAACTGTAGGATTTGTTGGTTGTTTAACACAGCACTCAGCAAATTACTGTCCCATGAGGGGAGGTGGTGGATTAAGGAACAGATAAACGTCAGTATACTTACATTGAGATACAGCCGATGCAGGGCTGCCACTATTTCTTTCAATATAATCCCGAACAAGAACACACTACTAGGTCTACTGCCTTGGTTCTGAAAACAGACCATATCTCAGGAATAACAGCAGTTATTCAACATCTTCAAATGATGCAATAATTACAGATATCATACACTGGATAATCGAGGGTAAGATTTCATTAGATATCTTGCACCTTTTATAGAACGTATACTACCAGTTATAGGATTTTGTTGCAAGTCACAGGTAAAGAAACCATCAAATTTATTCACATTTGTAAATTATTTGTTCTGTAATGAGAATGATGATAAGAAGGATGGCAGAGGTTGATTCTGAACTGATACATGTACACAATTAAATGGTACCAAATTCCAATCTATGACCTTGAAATGAATAGGTCTACTTTCAGAATCCCTGTATGAACGAGCCCTCATTATATTTAATCAAGGTCTTTAAATTATACTGAATGCTACACTTTAAGGTGAATGAGATATTTGTACAGAAGCCCTTTAGGGCCATTTGCTTTTTTCTTGAAATTTCAATATACCTACTTCAAATTATCTTGAAATTTGAAGATATAAAGTTGAAATTTTAAGTCATAATCTTAAAATTTCAACTTATTATCTTGAAATTTCAATTTAGTATCTTGAAATTTCAAGAAAAAACTAAAAAACAAATGGCCATAAAAGGCTTCCATATATGTGTGACATAACACTTGTTTCATTCATGAAAGAACAGAATAATTTCATTTAATGATCAAACCAGACACAAAACAAAGTTATGGTGGTCCTAGGTTGTTTTGTTGTTTAATGCCGCACTCAGCAATATGATGGTGGTCTGTAAATAATCAAATCTGGACGAAATAATCCAGTGATTGATATTGTGAGCAACAATCCATGTCATTGGGGTATGGTCACACACTATCGACCAAGTTATCGAGTCTGAACACCCGATCCATTGTCACCACTTACAACCAGCATAGGTTGCTGGGGACCTATTCTAACCAGGGATCTCCATGGTGTCTTTAACTCTATAGTACAATAGTCACAGCACTAAGGTCACATTGTAGAGTGGGACCCAGTACAATACACATATCTAGGAACAAGGGGCAACAATTGTGTGCATTTTACTATTGTATTTACTAAATACACTATTGTGATACTGTTGAAAAGTAAGCATCCTATATTAGTGTCTGATATTAAAATTATCAATGCTTTCTGAATAGCATCTTCCCAAGGCAATGGAGTTAACTGACTGTAAAAGTCCAGTTTCCACCCTTAACAAACTATGCTGGAATTATGGAGTTATATTTTGGCTGGACTATCGAGTTTGTGCATAGTCCAATCAAAATCACGTAATTAAATTGACATCCGGTTCATAAACAACATGGATTTCAACGTGCAGATTTTGGTTGACTGCAGGATTTGCAAAGGATAAGTAACGTCAATTGGGCATTAACAAATATTTTCCTTATCTTTTCATATTTTTAATCAAGGTGCTCACATGATTTGATGCACTTCACTTTATCACAATATAGATCCTGATCAAGGATCAGATCGTCTTGACTGGCGCCGCCATCTTAGTTGAAGCAAATGCAAGTGATACGAGAGGTGGAATCTAACTGGTCTATAAGGGGGACATAGAAGGGACATAACTCAAAGTAGCCACTGGTACCGCTACAATTGAGCCCAGAAATTCTAGCCTAGTTCGGCAAGGGTGGAAACTGGACTTTTAGAGTCAGTTAACTCCCTTGCCTCAGGAAGATGTCTGAATGTCTGAAGTAGTTTCTCTATTTATTATCATCAATGCATTATTAACTATAGACTGTTTCAATGGTGGAGAGGAAGGCAAGATGGTGCTCCCATGCATCTGTGAGTGTGTCAGTGTTGCTATTGAAAGAAAATAACAGGGGACTGACACCAATGAAAATGTTTAGAACAGAAAGAAATAAGGAATCAGAAATCTGAAAAATGTCAGCAAAGATGAAGTTTTAATTTGTTCAATAATTGATTTATTTTGCACTATCAGAAAATAAATATGAGTGAACAAATGTAAGAGAGAACAAAAGATGTTCAGTGTGTGAAAAGTGGTTAAAATCAAACAGTGGAATATTAATAACCTAGAAAACAACAATATTAAGAAGTGAGGTTGGAATGGTGAAAGAGGAGTTTCTTTGATGCAAAAGGGTTAAAAATAATATTACTATGATGACAAAATATTGTCTGTGTTAATTTATACTAATTCTAAGGAAATAACTAGAGTTAAATTTTAAACTCATGCAACAGAAAAAAAGCAATGTTATTCTGAAAACATGTGACCATCAGATTAGAAGGTGCTGACGACTATAAGGAAGAAACCACGTACTTACAACCTCGTTTCATACAAAGCTTACTTCATTGCAAAATAAATAACATCATACATTTAAGGAACAATGCAAAAATTATAAGTGTCTCACGTAAGCAGTCAAATATTTGATGATTTACATTTTGGAACACATGCTTCCTGGAAGCGTGCCGTTTAACACTTTTACGACAACATAAAAGCTATGTCATATAGCATTTAAGATATGAAAAGCATAAATATAATTCTTACTTCCATATGGAACATGTCAACAGGATTATTTACGTTCAGTGGTTTAAACAGTCGAAATGCAAAGTTACTGATTTCATGGTTTGTTGAATTGAGGTGATGATAATTATTTTATATTCAATCTCATTAAAATCATTACAGTATGATACCTCTCTGTTTGAAGATCTGAGGACACAGCTATAGGAGGTGGCATTAGGTGAACTCATTAATCAGCCAATCAGCTTTAGGGATTCTAAATTATTGGATTGAGTGGCTGAATCGTTCAGATAAGCATATCTGATTTTTGTATCTCGAAAATGAATGAAATTTGGCAGTTCCAAATGCAAAACATAAAGCCACACTACTGTATAATGTGGATATTTTATACATCTTATCGTTTCTACATTAAACATGGTGTATCATGGGTATATTTGTCTTCTGTGGTGGTTTTCCTTTGCTGATCAAAATTTGAAAAAAATAATAATTCAGATTGAGGAGTCCAACGTTTGCTGAGAGTTCACCTGACTTGACCTTCTAGGGAGGAGTCATCAGATGTACAGAGATATTATATCACAGTGAAATACCTGATCGTAATGAGATTGTTTTATAATGTACATGTTTCTTCCTGTGTTAGTAGGTTACCTTCTTGACAGAAGCTTTGAGAGAGGCTATAAACCAAGCACAATACGCAATATGACGGAGGCGCCTGATCCCCTCTGAAACACAAATAAACAAAACATTAGCCTATTACCAGGATAAATCATCATTCTTTCAAACCAAATCTATCAACATAAGTTTAGAAATGTTATTGTGTGTTTTAATTTAGCACTTTTCATTTGCCACAAAACATTTAATCCATGTGAGTGACAGTTCACTGGGTAAAAATGACACAGAGGCCACAACAAATTGATTATTCGTCCTACGGAATTGGAACAGACTAAATTTATTGGTTCTGAAGTATTCATTTTGCACATATTGTCTCAGAAATATTTTCTTGTTACACCACAGTCAGCAATATTCCAGCAATATGAGAGTGGCCTGTAAATAACTAAATCTGGACCAGACGGCCAGTGATTGATATTATGAGCAACACTGGAGTGTCACTACAACAAGCACTACTAAGGACAATTCTAATCTTGAATCCCTCAAGGGTTTGGAGCTTTCACATTTAAAACAACTTGCTTGGCACTCTTTTTTATCTTTGAAGGTCAATTTTGTAGCTAAATAAGTTCTAATCAGCCTTTGTATTAAAACATATGAAATCAAATGTGACTATACCGAGGAAGAAATAATCAATTAATAAAATCTTCATAATTTCATTGTCAACTCTTCACAAGCTTGTATACACCATGTGTGATACATCGTGGATACAAGGCTGTGAATTATTGACGATGGCTGAATTTCCCTCCTACTGTTGCCTAGCTGTACATCTTTTAACAATGCACAAAAACAAATACTTACTTGATCCAGGAAAGGGGTAGTTATTTACCTCTAAGTGGCGGATGGCTGAAATGTACATCAGTCTTATGTGGAACGATGTCACATACGTTTCAACTTTAACAATAGAAATGTCTCAAGAAGAACCCACATTAAACACATATGATGGTATACATATTTCAAATGAACCTCAACAATGGGAACTGAAATCCGATATCCATATACGCATCCACGATTTCCATTCAACCACGCCGTGTGAAGAGTTAAGCACTGCTAAGATAAGAGTTGATATTTGAAAATTTATACAAAATTGGCTTATTTATATTTTCAACATTTATTATAAACATGCATATTTTTTAATTTAATTGCTGATAATGATTCCTGTTTTCTGTGTGTAAACCGATTGTATAATTGTATTATACAGACTGGGCTGACGTACAAACAACTATATCTAATATCATTTCATTACATGAAAGTGACACATACAAAACCTATAACTACAATGTTATACATACGGATGGCAGCATCAGGCGTTTTCTTCGAATTGGGCGGAAACTCTCCATCATATTTTCTTCTGAACCTTGACTTTCCTCTGAGCCCTGGTGTAGAAGCAGTTCAAGACATACAACTATACAAATACATACCTGACAGGTGAGTAACATACAAACATACAACATACCTGACAGGTGAGTGCCATACAAACATACAACTCCATACCTGACTGGTAAGTGCCATACAAACATACAGGAACTACATACCTGACAGGTGAGTGTCATACAAACATACAGCAATGACATACCTGACAGGTGAGTGACATACAAACATACAACATACCTGACAGGTGAGTGACACAAACTTACAGGAACTACATACCTGACAGGTGAGTGTCATACAAACAGCCCACATACCTGGCAGGTGAGTGTCATACAAACATACTACATACCTGACAGGTGTGGTCATACAAACTTACAGGAACTACATACCTGACAGGTGAGTGTCATACAAACAACAACATACCTGACCGGTGAGTGACACAAACTTACAGGAACTACATACTTGACAGGTGAGTGACATACAAACAACAACATACCTGACAGGTGAGTGTCATACAAACAACAACATACCTGACAGGTGAGTGACACAAACTTACAGGAACTACATACTTGACAGGTGAGTGACATACAAACAACAACATACCTGACAGGTGAGTGTCATACAAACATACTACATACCTGACAGGTGTGGTCATACAAACTTACAGGAACTACATACCTGACAGGTGAGTGTCATACAAACAACAACATACCTGACAGGTGAGTGACACAAACTTACAGGAACTACATACTTGACAGGTGAGTGACATACAAACATCCGACATACCTGGCAGGTGAGTGTCATACAAACATACAACATACCTGACAGGTGTGGTCATACAAACATACAGGAACTACATACCTGACAGGTTAGTGACACCCAAACACATGACACACCTGACAGGTAAGTGTCATACAAACATCTGACATACCTGACAGGTGAGTGACATACAAACATACAACTACATACCTGACAGGTGAGTGACATACAAACATACTACAGACCTGACAGGTGAGTGTCATACAAACATCCGACATACCTGACAGGTGAGTGACATACAAACATACAACTACATACCTGACAGGTGAGTGACATACAAACATACAACAGACCTGACAGGTGAGTGTCATACAAACATCTGACATACCTGACAGTTGAGTGACATACAAACATACAACAGACCTGACAGGTGAGTGACATACAACTACATACCTAACAGGTGAGTGACATACAAATATACACCTACAAACATGAAAATCCGCAGATTTTCTGCAAAAGGTTAAATTCTAATCTTTGTTATAACCAAAATGATCATTTCTTTTAAGTGTATTGTTACTGAGTTCATCAGCTCGATTGATGCATAAGAGAGTTTGAGCACATCTCAAAACCAATCCTGCTCCAAAATGAAACCCTCCATTCCTCCCAGTAAGTATATTACAGTCTACATAGGCCTTACATAATCTGGTAAGGGTCCTAGTACTATATATATATTCTACCAATATTGTAAAGTATGACATCTATTACATCCTACTATTGTAAATATTGTGGAACTAGTTAATAATAATATTACAAGTAGTCAATAAAAAACAGTCAACTCATTTATGCAAGACTGCAGCCGGCATTTGAAATGTGAATGTGTTGAATGGTTATTTTGAAAGTTCGATTTGTTAGTTTTATTGTTTGATACCAGAAACCTCGAAACATGATTGAGGTGAGCCATGATAAGGTACCCATGATCATAGAATTCTGGCGTGCCCAAAGGACTCAACTCTGCACAGAGAAGTGCGTTGCCTTAGATTCCTGGATAAGAATAACATTTAACTGGAATACCAATTCTCATGCAATGTGCAAAATAGTCGCCTGCATGCTTGCAAAATTTCAGATGGAAAAAAGATTCTCTCATTTCTGTAGATCAATACGACCATCAAAAATCATAAAATCAAATTAATATCCATAACATTTTGAGGTTGTGTGGTCGCGAGATCAGAGTTAGCACCCTTCATACTATTTGACTAATGATTTGCAATTTGGGTTTTCTTTATTGATACCTTCACAAAATCAATATTCTGGAAATATAAACACTTGAAATTTGAAAATGGGTTGTAACTTTTAACACTAGCTAGCCCACCTGGACAGCAATATTTTGAGACTATTTCACACATTGTTCCCAAGGAGTGTTGCTGCACAGAACCTGGATCAAGAACCATGTTCATTCATAATGCTTTCTAACAGGCCATGATAGTAATGTGTTGTGTGGTTCCTCCTTGATGTGTTTGCTTGTCCTGAACGGCTTCTCAAAGGGAAGACTGTTTACTGGTTAGAATCTGGGTAAATAAGTCTGACCAAGATGCCATAGAATTCCTGTATTCCTACCCCTGATCACACTGGGTGGCCTAGTTCAAGGTCTGGTCCTGCTGTGATGTTGCATATAGATCTGGCTGATGGATACAGTTCAAGGTCAGGTCCTGAATATGATGTTGCATATAGATCAGGCTTATGGATACAGTTGAAGGTCTGGTCCTGCTGTGATGTTGCATACAGATCTGGATGATGAGGTCTGGTCCTGCCTATGCTTGTTGCATATAGATCTGGCTGATGAGTTCTGGTCCTGCCTATGATGTTGCATATTGATCTGGCTGTTGGATATAGTTCAAGGTCTGGCTGTTGGATATGGTTCAAGGTCTGGTCCTGCTTGTGATGTTGCATATAGATCTGGATGATGAGTTCTGGTCCTGCTTGTGATGTTGCATATTGATCTGACTTATCGATACAGTTCAAGGTCTGGTCCTGCCTATGATGTTCCATATAGATCTGGCTGATGAGTTCTGGTCCTGCCTATGATGTTGCATATTGATCTGGCTGTTGGATATAGTTCAAGGTCTGGCTGTTGGATATGGTTCAAGGTCTGGTCCTGCTTGTGATGTTGCATATAGATCTGGATGATGAGTTCTGGTCCTGCTTGTGATGTTGCATATAGATCTGGTTGATGGATACAGTTCTAGGTCTGGTCCTGCTTGTGATGTTGCATATTGATCTGACTTATCGATACAGTTCAAGGTCTGGTCCTGCCTATGCTTGTTGCATATAGATCTGGCTGATGAGGTCTGGTCCTGCTGTGATGTTGCATACAGATCTGGCTGATGAGGTCTGGTCCTGCCTATGATGTTGCATATAGATCTGGCTGATGAGGTCTGGTCCTGCCTATGATGTTGCATATTGATCTGGCTGTTGGATATAGTTCAAGGTCTGGCTGTTGGATATGGTTCAAGGTCTGGTCCTGCTTGTGATGTTGCATATTGATCTGACTTATCGATACAGTTCAAGGTCTGGTCCTGCCTATGATGTTCCATATAGATCTGGCTGATGATGTCTGGTCCTGCCTATGATGTTGCATATAGATCTGGCTGATGAGGTCCGGTCCTGCCTATGATCTTGCATATAGATATGGCTGATTGATACAGTTCTAGGTCTGGTCCTGAATATGATATTGCATATAGATCTGGCTGATGATGTCTGGTCGTGCCTGTGATGTTGCATATAGATTTGGCTGATGAGGTCTGGTCCTGCCTATGATGTTGCATATAGATCTGGCTGATGAGGTCTGGTCCTGCCTATGATCTTGCAAATAGATCTGGCTGATGAGGTCTGGTCCTGCCTATGATCGTGCAAATAGATCTGGCTGATGAGGTCTGGTCCTGCCTATGATCGTGCATAAAGATCTGGCTGTTTGATATAGTTCAAGGTCCTGTCCTGAATATGATCTTGCATATAGATATGGCTGATGAGGTTTGTGTGTGCGTGTGTTACCCAGGAATGTAGGTTCTTGAGAACCCTGGGACTGAAGGTTCCACCAAGTCCTGACTTGCTTTGTGATATTGAGAGCATGCGTGGAGATCCACCCATATATTTAGGTTCCAGAGATCTCTGGATCTGAAGGTTCCAATAAGTCCTGATTGACTTAAACTTGACATTGAGGTACATCAAGTATATTTAGCTGACACTCAGTATCATGTAACCTTGAATATTTAGTGTTCACATTTGACACCAAGAAAGACAGGTCTCAGAGCTGTTGTTTAGGCAACAAACTCAATATCAAATACATTGTGGTCCTAAAAGTAATAGGACAGGACCTGATACAGCTGTGTTCTATGAAGTGCCATTTTCTTGCATTATAGAGGTACTAGGCTCAATGGACTGTCACCCATTTCTAGTCTAGATTTAGACATTGTAATTAGTGTCATGTGTGAGACTTTGTATTTGTGTTATTAGTTTAATCTGTACCCAGTAGTATGATATAAATCACAAAATGTGAGTTAGCAGAGAGAAAAGTGTTGAAAAGTCCCCCTTTAGTTAATGCTCAACCAGCATAATAACCAAATGTGAAGTGCTTCAGCAAGTCTTCAAAATATAACTGCTCTGTACATTCCGGATGAACATACATATCATCATTTGTTGGTGTACCTTCATAAACAAAATGACCCGAGATGAACCGGGGTAGAATAGGTCTTGCCGTAAAAGGCGACTATGCTTGTCGTAAGAGGCGACTAACGAGGTCGGGTGGTCAGGCTCGCTGACATGGTAGATGCATGTCATCGTATCCCAATTGCGTGGATCAATGATCATGATGTCAATCACTGGATTGTATAGTCCAGACTCAATTAATTACAGACCGCTGTCATATAGCTGGAATATTGCTCAGTGAGGCGTTAAACAACAAACAAACCAACCAACAATATACAAACATAAAAACAAAAGATAGAACTAGCTATACGACAACAACCACAAATGACGATTCTAAGCTAAATGTGCAACAGAAAGAAGCCAAGTGGCTGCATAACCTTGTTATATAGAACACAGGACAGATAGTGTTAGTTCATCTTCAGTATTGTTGAATCATAACATCCAACACGTCTCAAATGATCATATTTCTTTCCACAAGCGTCTTACTGCTAAGATGATTGTAAGTCTATGCTAAAGTATGGGAGTTATGATCACCCTAGATCTATGATAGCATTGCGGAATGGGGCCTTGGCCAATTTGTTTTTAAGTGTCAAAATGCTTAAATTTGAAAGTATGCTAATTTAAACCGATTAGTTTGTATTTTTTATATTTCAAGTTCTTCTGTGACAAAAAACAAGCACATTAATAATTAACTGGTATTTTTAAATTAAGATCCCTAAAGTTTAAGGCATCAATTTTCCTTCTTTATTTTTTACCTTCTTGCAGTCCAGGGCCAACTTGCACAAAATGATCTTAGCACAAATACGATTGAAGCTCCCATGTTTTTACATAGACTTACAGTAGTCTTAGCACTAAGATTGCTTTGTGCAAGTGGACCCTGGACTGCAAGAAGGTGACAAATAAAGAAGGAAAAATGATCCCGTAAACTTAAGGGATTTAATTGTTTTTGTTTCCAAATTGACCGAAAAACAGAAAGGACCATAAAGTGCATTACATCACTTTATATTGAAAGATATGCAGTGAGGCATCACTTATCCGGATATCAGATATATGGATATTCTGTACGATAATTAATTACAACAAATATTATACTTTACTTATCCGGAAATCATTTTCCTGGTCTGGACGGTCATACTTTGATACCAAAAGGTAAAATATGCATACAAATTTCATGGCTAAGGTATGAGGATTTCATTCAAATGAGATCTTTTACTCTGATACGATCACAGGGAGAGGCATCATTCTACAGTAAAAAATATGATTGTCATGATATTGAGGTGTGAGGTACTGACAGGAAAAAAATTAACACCTTGGTAAGATTAACCACCATGGTTTAGTTCTTTAGATGATGGACTACATCTAGGAAGGTGGAAATAGTAGACTAACGATTAGTCTCTGAAAGTATATAACTTTGATAGAAACAAAGAACTCCATTTAAATTGAAAAGAAGCCCCAGATGATTGGACCTGAACCTGTGGAAAAGCTAGACTCGCTCAGGTAGTAATATAGCATTACAGTAAGGGCTGGGTGGAAGCGAAAATAATATGGTGTTATAAGCACTGTATGATCTTGGTATTAATTTGAAATATGGAAGCTCACTACTTTGTATTCCTTTTTTCAATTATCAATTTATAAATTCAATATTATAACTCATATACAAACAAAATGTAACTAATTTTATTTCATACATTTTCACATAACAAAAATATTTCTATTTTACAAAAAATGCAAATTCCACACATGATATGACAACAGATCCACTGTTTTTTAGCAATTGTTTATTGTAATGGACAATTTTGTTTCCGTGGTAACCAGTGAGAGCCTTCCACCTTTCTCCTAACACAGCTCTACAGAAGTGACAGAGTTCATGCTATACTCACGCAGGGTGCCGTGCTCAGAGAAAGTGTGCAAATAAATACGATAATTGTTAGTTTGTAGGTTAGTAATGCAATTCTAGGTGAAAACATGTTAATATTAACCCCAAAACAACAGAAAAACAATTAGATGAAAAATAGATAATAAATTAAAAAATACCAAAAGAAAGAATGTTCTGATAGATGTTAGTTTTTCTTTAAATCATAATAAAACAACAAATTTGTATCTACATTGAATTTTATTTCTCACATATGTACAAAGGACATTTTACTTTCATGTTGTCCGAGAGGAATAACCTTATTGAAAAAAGTTCTTACACAAATGAAATTGTAGTTTCGATAGATTTGGTAAAATATCTGTATAACTCTCACAAAGATAAAACATATTTCGGTGTTTTGATAAAGGTACAGTTTTGTCTCTAATTTTCCCATCTGTAGAATAATGAATAAATATACCTACATTCTTATTTACAGCTAACATTGGTGTAGCACCATCTATGTACATCTATTTGGTTCTAGTTATGTACAAGTTACAACTAGCTGATTAGTTAAGTAATAATCACATGTTACATGGTGTGGAAGTAAAATATTTCAATTTCATTATCAAAGAAAATTAAAAACAATCGTGCGACTGTTATCTGGACTTTTTTACAAATGATGTTTTGAAAATATTATTTTGAGGCATGACTGAACAGTTATCATATTTCAATTTCCACACAGTGCAAAGTTTAGCACCGAAATGATTAAACACATGTCAATATCAGCTGTTTCCATTTAATCACAATAGTAACTTTTGATAACCGTAAAAAAGAATCCGAAAGAGGTACTATTGTATAATGGAGATTAAAACCAAGCCTATCATTGCTACAAGATAGGCTTATCAATGAAATATATGTCTACACATAATCTATATACTTTTTCAATTCAAGCATTCCAACTCACAAATCGCAGTGTTTAGTCATAAAATTGGCACAGCTGTGTTATATATCACAGTCATTCAAGAACTGAAAATATCATACTGACCAATCATATTTGAATATCCTTATATTCAAACTGACCAATCAGCTTCAAGATAACTTGAGATTCAAAGTATGAGTGGTGCAACTTGTTTAAGTGAAAGAATATGATTGGTTCAGAACATAAGGTGGGAAGACTCTCCTTGGCTCATCACTATGGCAACATCCCAGGCCAAGGGTTAAAGTTCAAGGTCAACAGGTTCTTGGAAGGTGTCAGTGGTATACATAATAGTTGGATCCGTCGTCATACATCATGTGGGGATTACTGTAAGATTTCACTGCAATGGCAAAGAAAAAACCCACATGAGATATACTTATATATATATATATACATCATACTTTCAAAATTGCAGGATATGGATTCTCAAAATTGGCCAAAAATAATGTAAATTATAATCTATTAAATTTCTTGAAATATCTTCTATTTTGTTTCCAAATTTGTCAAAATTATGTACTTTATTCATAATTTTGATTGTATATGAGTTATTAGTGTTACTTTGTAATTTGTTTTCAATCAGCTTTTAGCTAGTGCAATGGTCATTGTTAGTATACAGGGACAACCATTTAATAGGCTGGCAGGGACTGGGATGTTTTTGTTAGGGACTGGATATTTCTTCAGTCACTGCATCTGCAAGGGAGTTAACTGTCTATAAAGGTCCAGTTTCCACCCTTGCCGAACTAGGCTGGGATTATAGAGTTATATTTGGGCTGGACTAACGAGTCTATGCATAGTCCAATCCAAATCGCGGAATGAAGTTGACATCCAGTTTGTAAACTGCCGTTCAAATTTTGTTCGATTGCAGGATTTGTAAAGGATGTACCGCCAACTTGGCATCAACAGATATTTCCCAAATCTTTTTATGTTTTTAATCAAGGTGCTCACATGATTTGATGCACTTCGCAAAGTAAGACCCGTTTTATCACAGAACAGATTTTGACTATTGATCAGATCGTCTGGACTCGGGGCGCCATTTTGTTTGAAGCAAATGCAAGTAATATGAGAGGTAGAATCTGATTGGTCAATAGGAGGGATATAGAAGGGACATAACTCGTAATAGCCACTGGTGGCGCTACAATTGAGCCCAGAAATTTTAGCCTAGTTCGGCAAGTGTGAAAAGTGGACTTTTATAGTCAGTTAACTCCCTTGCCTCAGAAAGATGCAGTCACTGCTTCCAACATTATTTCTTTCTCAAACAAGAACAAGCGGAACAATTTTTACTTTGTAATACGTTTTTGAGGTCAACAAGCATGTCTGACGAAAACTTTTCAATCTACATGTAAAACAAAACAATTAATTTTTCGAATCCCAGGGTGCCCAGAGTATGAAATGGTTGCTCCCTAATCTCTGGAACAGAAGGTTGTAGTTAGCACATGTATGACATAGGGGGGGATAACTCACCTCCTCCTCCACCTCGTGACCCTCTACTGAAAAGGATAAAAACCACCCCTGTAAACAATACATAGAAATACAATATATGGTAATACATGCACACATATAATTCATCACACACATAAAAAAAGCAACAAAACCCTTTCCAGAATAAGAAATCATTGTCCATGAAACCATCAGGATTAACATTCAACTTTTGTTGTCATTAGTTATATTTGTTCAGAGCTGCTCCTGTTCCTATGGGTCTGGTTATTACAGCCCTGTGATATGATCGTCTATATGTTGGCGACCGCCTCCGTGGTCTAGTGGTAGAGCGTCCGCCCGGAGAGCGGAAGGTCCGGGGTTCGATCCCCGACCGCATCATACCAAAAGACGTTAAAAGATGGTACTTGTTGTTACCCTGTCTGGCGCTTGGCATTAAGGGGCTAAAACAAGGACTGGTCGGCTCGGAGTCAGTATACTGTGTCTGAGTGGGGTATTCATGTTAAACTGCGGCATGAGTTCTCAGTGAGCTAGCATTATAAATCGGCATCAGTCCGGACTAGTACAAGCAGCCACACACACACACACACACGTGCATGCACGTCGCTATATAAGTGCAATAATCTTGGACGCAACGTTAAACCCCATTTCACCTCACCTCTATGTTGGCTCTATCGCACATGCAAAATGCCTCATATCATAGATAGGTATACAATAAATGGTTCTATTATCTTTAGACTTGAGCAGTGGTTTAGCTGTTTAACTGAACAGCATTATGGCAAGACTCACAACATAACCAAAAGAAATAGCATAAGCTGAGGCAATGCTAAGACTAAGTGACAAAATTGTTAAGGCCCATTTAAGGACAGGTGTTAATAAAAAATGTTATATCCAAATTAACATACTCCTTAATTATTAATTTATCAGTTGTTCAATCATTATCTTAGCTAGAGAGAAGTTAAGAAGAACACTTTTTTTAATTTGAGTCTAGGAAACATAGTTAATATGTTAAACATCTGTTAATGTATAGAAAATGCTATATCATCAGTGGTTGTGTTAAAGCACAAAGAATAAGCATGAATGAATTTAACAGAAATTATTACATATATATCTATTCTATTTGAGCTCGGGGCGATTGGGTAGCCTAGTGGTTAAAGCATTGTGTGTCACGCCAAAGACCCGAGTTCGATTCCTGACATGGGTACAATGTGTGTAGTCCATTTCTGGTGTGCCCCGCCGTGATATTGCTGGAATATTGCTAAAAGTGGACAGCATACTCACTCACTCATTTGAGCTCATGCCTGGTCTAAGATTGTTAAAAGAGAAAAAGCATCACCAAAGTGGTAAACATCTTATACCTGCATCACTTAGGCCTTTCCTCCCACATCAAACCAATATGACTGAAATACTGTTAAAAGCAGCTCTAAATCCAACTCTTTCATTCACTCACTCTTATGAATATGTACAGGAAACAATTCTTCGTGAACATGAAGAATAGTGCTGTTACAATTCACTTGCATATTCATTGAATCAAACCGTATCCCTTCATGAACTGAAGTCATTATTCGTCACTAGAATCGGATGTTTAAAAGAAATTTAAAAGAGTGTTTTTGACTTGAAGTTGTCTGTTATTTATTAAAGCAGGATATCCAAAATGGAATATATACAAGCCATGCAGTAGTCTGTTGTGTGGGTCATCTACAACTCCACCTCAGTTAAATGGCTGATTGTCAATAACGCTGATCAATTATTTGGACCCCAAAGACAGCATTGAAGCGAGCAATCACTGTATTTTTCATTGAATATAATAAAATAATACATCAACTGCTGACTTGTTGTATTCATGATAACCTATAATCATGATACGTATTGCATTCGCCTCAGTGTATTCGTTGCAGCCCTAATGAAGATTGGTATCAAACAATGTGTGATCTTTGGTTAATCCTTCTGACATCAGTCCCATATTTCATGACTGATGATTAATGAAGCTATGTAACAAAGAATGCATTTCAACATCCTTCTTGAGGACCTTATAGCGATGCTCTTGTCAACAAATCAGTTCAGATCAGAAAATACCCAACTTTCAGTCAAAGGGTCAGTTGTCAATATCATGTCATCCTGGTTTGTCATGCTTTCTGTTATTTAGTAAGTTTCTGATTGCTGTTAGTGTATTTAATATTAGACATACTATTATCTACGCTAGGAACCATTGTTACAAGGCAACTTACGACATGTCGTAATTTGGCATTGACTGGTGGTGGTACATCATTGGCGCCGCTGGTGCCGCCATGCCGCCATAGTGATGGTGGTACACTGGTCTTGGGTACTGCAAATAGGATATTATTGTTGTTATTTGCCTTATTTATTATCCAATAATGTTTTTATATTCTTGATGTTCAAGAGTGTTAATGCGGAAAATACTGTGTTAAGTGAGACTGTAAGCTGCAATTAATAATGAGCTGTTGCAAATTTCAGTTGTAATTTGCACTGAAGTGTTTTGATTGAAGTGTACATGCACATACAACCTCATTTCCATGTCACATCACCCATCCCTGGGTAAATTACTTTCCAGAAAGCTTCAATCAGGTGTATCTTCCTGAGGCAAGGGAGTTAACTGACCAATCAGGTTCCACCTCTTATATTACTTGCATTTGCTTAAAAAAAAACGACGGCGCCCAGTCAAGACAATCTGATCGATAATCAAAATCTATGTTGTGATAAAACCAGCCAGATTCCGCGAACTGCATCAAATCACGTGACAACCTTGATTAAAAACATGAAAAGATTTGGAAAATATCTGTCACACCCAGTTGATGGAACACAAGCTGTGCAAATCCTGCAATCGACCGAAATCTGCACGTCTGTTAATGAACCGGATGTAGATTTCATTACTCGATTTTGATTGGACTATGCATAGACTCATAATTCCAGTCTAAAAATAACTCCATAATCCAAGCCTTGTTTGGCAAGGGTGGAAACTGAAATTTTATATTCAGTTAACTCCCTTGCCTTGAGAAGATACATCCTATTTCAGGAAGCTCTTTCGTAAGTGTTATATTATATATACCGGTATTATATATAATATTGTATTGAAGTGCCAAGTTGGGGATCGGGGGATCTGCTTGACCTGTTCCTCTGTAAAATAGTGTTTATTGTCTCCTACATAGGTCAGAACAATATTATCCAAAATAATTACAGAAGAGGGTACTCTTGATGAGGTCAATATGCAAAAACAAGGACCCTCAGATCCGACCCCTGATCGAGGGTCCTTCATTTTGCATATTAAGTAACGATTCGTTTAATTGTACTGAAATATACTTTAAAGTTTCTAAAGCCTTTAATCTGTACTGTTTCATTGCAAACCATGAGATGTTACTACTAGAGGCAATCTTGTGTTCTAGCAATATTCATCATGTAACAAGTCAATTCTTTTAATGTGACAAGACAATATTCTAGGTCAGTCATGTGATTTGAGGATCTACATTGAAAGACAGTGTTTCGTCATGTGGTATGGTTTAATCAACGGAACTGCAAGATTCTTGATGTAGGTATAGCAAATGTTTTTGTGTTACGAATAGATTACTCCAAATATTACAAATGGGGAATTAAAAAAAACAATTTTGACTGAGAATATATAGCTTACAGTGTATGGCTCTGCAGCCGCCACTGGATACACCGGCTGCGGTGGTTGCTGGGGGGTCATGTTCTTGACCATCATCTGTTGCATCGCCATATGATGCATCTGGGCATTTTGCATCATCATCATGTCCATGAATTCTAAAACATGGAAAGGACGAAGATTAAAATGGGACTTACGGCTGGGGCTGGAGCGGCAGCAATTGGCGCGGGTAACGGTGCAGTTGCTGGCCCCTGGAGATTCCTCACCATCATCTGCTGCATCGCCATGTGATGCATTTGTGCATTTTGCATCATCATCATGTCCATGAATTCTACAAGAACATAATCACAAATGTCCATTTATGGTAAAAGAAAATGGCTGGTACCATTTGCTTGCAGTCAGCAGCTTGCTAGTAAGAGTTATCTCCCCTATACTGTTTTCATCATCATGTCCATGAATTCTACAAGAACATAATCACAAATGTCCATATATGGTAAAAGAAAATGGCTGGTACCATGTGCTTGCAGTCAGCAGCTTCCTAGTGAGAGTTATCTCCCCTATACTGTTTTGCCAAGCTCCTCACAGCGATATCCCGTTCGCGGAGCTCTCTATACTATTAGAATTGTTGTAAGGGTGACAAAATAAAAAAACCCCATAAAACAGACAAAAAATACAGTTTGTAGTGTTTCTTGGGATGTGAAAGAGTTACTTCCCCTCCCAGTTTTATATGTTTATGATTTTTTTATATCAGTTTACAAAGTAAAGATTTGTTTCCAAAACCAAATTTGTGATTTTTTTACACAGAATCCTTAAAAACCCCACTAACATCAATACTTTGACATACCATATCACCTGGCAATAAAAGACAAACCTGGAATAATAAGTGGATTCTTACCTCCCTTGTTAAAGAAAGTAGACTTTTCCTCTTTCCGTGGAGCCACCATGTCTAACGTCTGGAAATGTGGGACACTGGTGATTAGCGGGGAAGGGGAGGCCATGGCTGCGTAGGCTGGCTGTATAGCCGGCTGTATAGCCGGCTGGATGATTGCTGGGGGCGTGGCTATGGGAGGTAACTGGTATGTTTGAAAGGCTGGGAGTTCGGGCTGACGGTACTTGTGTTCAATCACATGCTTCACTTGAGACATATCTGCTGGTGCTACTGATACGGCTGCTACGCCTCCTGAACCTGGAAATATAATCATAAAAATAACACGAGACACATAAGTTCATATATACTGAACCAAACGGTAAGGATCATAAATATTTTTAGGGATATCATTTTGTGAAAACTGAGCACACAATTTCATAAAATTACCCCCCCCCCCCCCCTCCCCCCCCAGCCACAAGTTTCATAATCCTAAGTTTATTTTCAGTATACATACTCTGTATGTAGTACATACTTATCAAACTGGCTCCGATGTATGTACTTTAGACAGACAAAACAATTTGAAATAGATATGGTGTTTAAAACTTAATTACAAACTGAACTCTGGAAGGTACAGCTGGCACCAGAAATTGGTTGTTTAATATGAGTATGATTTTAAGCCATTGAGGCAGTGTGATATATTTCAACCAAGATTTGGCTTCACACATTATACCCATGGGGGAATAGAACTCGGGTCTTCGTTGTGACAAGCCAACGCATTAACCACAAGACTACCTGTACTTGACAGAAGATGTATACATCGAAGAGGATATATGAGGAAATAGGAATATGTTGTTAAGAACACTGTTAAATTACATGTGGGAGCATTGAACTGACGAGATAATACCAGAAAACAACATTAAGCGGTTCAAAGGAAATGACTCGTAGAAAGTTGGTGCACCAGACTGTGTTGAAGATCCAAAATGTTGTAGGCTAGCCTATAGTGTAGTGTAATCTATTTGTGGTGCTGCTGACAGCTAAAATAATGATAATAACACTAATAAAAACACTAATAATAATGATGATGATGATGATGATGACACCTCTGGACAATTACTGCTAGGAACACAGATATGTTGTGTAAGGCCAAGAGACATTACTGTGTATTCATGACATGTTAATCTGGATTATTTCAGTAGAAACCGTCCAGATTAACAGGTTTCACTCAGAATATATCTCTACTTGTCTTCATGTCTTTGAACTCACGATACAGTCCTTACCGGGCCTAAACAAATTCTAACACAATGAATAATGAGTTTATACATTAAACTTTAAAGAAGGTACTTTATACCCCAAAACATTCTTCAGGTAACCAAGAACACGGTGAAATGTACTTCAGTCAAAAGTTTAAAGAATAGCTATGGTTTTCAGAGGATATGATTCACAGACGTATGTCTTCAGCAGTGATGGGCATCTGAAAAGAAACTTCTATGATCCGTGATGTATAAGCAACAATGGTTTAGAGACCATGATCTTTGAGTGGCAGCAACCTGTGAAATTACAGCTTGAGAGAGTGGAAGCCACTATGTGAGTTACAGGAACCTAAGAGTGAGAGCCACCGGAGGTTTCAGACACCATGCCCTGTAATGTTGCTCAGTGCAGACCTCGCATGCAGGGTTGAGACACCGTGCTCTGTGAAGTAGTGACCAGTGCAGACCTGGCATGCAGGGTTGAGACACCGTGCTCTGTGAAGTAGTGACCAGTGCAGACCTGGCATGCAGGTTTGAGACACCGTGCCCTGTGAAGTAGTGCCCAGTGCAGACCTGGCATGCAGGGTTGAGACACCTTGCTCTGTGAAGTAGTGCCCAGTGCAGACCTGGCATGCAGGGTTGAGACACCGTGCCCTGTGAAGTAGTGACCAGTGCAGACCTGACATGCAGGGTTGAGACACCGTGCCCTGTGAAGTAGTGACCAGTGCAGACCTGCCATGCAGGTTTAAGAGTTCTTCCTACCGGCAGCATTATTCCCCTCGGCAGGGGCTGGACGGTGGGGACTGGGAGCACTCCGGGGGGCCTGGTGCATGCACCCTGGTCCTGGGATTATAACACAGTGAGAAACATCAAACAAGCCTGCACCATTTTCTTACCCTAACATCACTGCATGCTAAACAGATGACTCAGAGTGTTACAAACTAGAACAAACATAATCCTAAGGGACCGGTCAGTTATTACTGGGGTGGGGCGGGAGGGTAGGCTCAGAGGTTTTTGATGCACTTAAGTACTGAAAATATTTACCCTCCCCTAATGCTCGTCATATTTTTAAATGATACTCTCCCTGTCCTTGTTTACGTTTACAATGACCTCCCGAAAAAACAAAATGCAAAAAGCACTTCATATCTTAGTATAAAATGTCAATTTGTTCATGATACTCACAAATATGTGTATTATGTTTTATGACCCTAGAGGCTGTCATATTTTTTGGAACCCTCCCCTTATTCCTTCTGACCCACCCACCCCATATAATAAATGACCGATCCTTAATATGAACTAAGTTGGCTGTCATAACGTCACGAAAACTAATCGGAAATAAGACATTAGTGATGTTGGTAGGCCAGAACTATTATTATACTATTGAACTGATGTTCTTGGTAAAAAAGAGCGAGGCAAAAAACAAAACAAAACAGAAATAACTTTTTGTTCATGGTTGATATATGGTCAATTCAATTAAGAACAGAATGACGCAAATTTTGTTTCTAAACATCTTGCTTCCTTTCAATCATTTTTCATTTGCAAAATTGTAAGTAGGTTAGTTCATCAAACAATTGCAAGAAGACAAATTGTCTGGCCTAACTTGAAAAGATAAAGATAATTTTAGTTATTATTAGGGTTATCTGATTCTACGTTAGATAAAAAACAAATTAATAAATGTTGGTGTGCTAATGTTCATCTCCCCGTGAAGATCCGGGTTAGAAAAAGTCTTGCCATAAAAGGCGATAATGCATGTCGTAAGAGGCGACTAACGGGATTTGGCTGTCAGACTCGCTGACTTGGTTGATGTATGTCATCATTTCCCAACTGCGTAGATTAAAGATGTCATTGACTGAATTGTCTGGTCCAGGCTCAATTATTTACAGACTACTGTCACATGGCTCGAATATTGCTGAGTGCGGCATTAAACAACAAACAAACAAATAAACATACAAACTTGCATCTCATCACAGAGATACAATGTTTTGTTCGTTGATGATGGTTAATAAGACGTTAGGGCAGTCACCTCGGTTGTGGGTGACGTGACGGTAGTGGCAGTGCCGATGTAGATCTGGTAATGAAAGTCGTGACGGTGGGGGTGGAAGGGGGTCAGGTGTGAAGCGACGTCGCTCGGAGTGCGATCTTGGACGATTGAAATCGGAAATTTGTTCTTGCTGAAAAGACAAATTCACATATTTCCTGTTTGAAAAGATGTTTATGGCAATAATCACTACATAAAAGCCCTCATTTCCATTCATATAGGCCCTTACTCACCCCAGGGAAGAATGCTTACCAATACCCTTGGCACTTTGAAGGCACATTAAAAACAGATGGAAATGGGGTAGGTACACGCACGGAGTGACATGAGTGAGTGGGTTAAAATTTAAAGTCACAGCAATGTTTCAGCGATCTAGTGGCGAGAACAAGTAATACATCAATAATAAAAACCAGTAGACGATGGACAGTAAAATAACTAGAGTATCACAGATGTGTAATTAAAACAAGTAGGTAAGATAAGGCTGTACACAACAATATATTATAAAATATGGGCTATAGATCATCAGCAACCAAAGACCATCGCTCTAGGGACCATTGGGACTCCTCTGCTACCTGCATGGTTACCCGCAGTATTAAAACCATCTATCTGAACACTGGCGATTGCTGGACAGTTAGTCTAAATGATGTGGTCTGCTTGAATGTAGCTTGGATTGTCGATTAAAAAACCCTGATACATGTATCTCACATGATTGAAAAAAACATACCAGGACAACTCTGAGCAGGGTTCGAAATTAAGTCTGCTACTCAATGATTATAAATGAGGAAGGTCTAGTGACATTTCCTTGTGGACTACCTTTTTACCATCAAGTAGATGGCCACTCTGTAGCAGATAATTCGGGCAGATTAGTAAATATGAAACTTAATTTCTAACCCTGATGACACTATGGCTTTCAGAATAAGATTTTGAAGAACACAAAATAAATAATGAATAGAACATTTGTGTTTTCCTGTCAAATAACATTATCTCTTGACCTGACAATGTTCAAATTGAAAATGTCAAATTTGTCAGGTCACAAAAACATACATATCCTCAGTACGTTAGTCTTGTCTACGTACTCGTATTCTGTCTATAAGCTCCTGCCTCCTTAGCATAGCCTGCTGAATCTTCAGCTGGTCTACATTCTCATCACTACCTGCAACACACAACACATTGACATGTAATGCAGCCTCCACAAACCCTGAACAATGCTTGCACCGCTGTCTACATTAACACGAGAAGTAAGATTGTGTCATATAATTAAAATATAATCAATTGAAAAGAAAATACATATTTTAAAATATAATATTCAAAATGTACATGAAACCAAATAAAAATACTACTTAAAAATAACAAACATTTAAATAATTGAAAAACAAGTACATATTTAAAAACATATATAATGAAAATTCCTCTGAAACTATAATAAGAGTAAATAGCACAACTTTGTAAAATCTATTTAACTTGCACTGTAATACGATGATATTTTAAATATATAACACCTTATTCACTCATCAGTCAAGAACAATCAAATTCAAACCATTAAGAAGTATTTCTTTCCAAGATACACCTTAAATCTTACCCCGACCTCTAGTTGGTTTTGTTTGTTTCATTGTTCCAGCTTATGTGTTACCTAGCTACTTCTGTTATCATTCATACACCTCAATCGATCAGGTAAAAAATGTAATCAATTATTGGGATACAAGTTGAAGTAACCAAACTCGATTTGAAAAACACTTAATCACTAAGAATCTATAAAACTAGTTACCTGATGCTGTGAGTATATGTTTCGTTGTTCAGATCAAGGGACATCAAAGAAATGTATGTGTGTAGTGAGGCAGTTTACCTCCTAGGAACTGACTTATCAACTCTATTAACTGTCATTTGTGCCCTGATATAGATACAGGATTAAAGGAGGGAAAGGTCAAAGTCCTAGAAAGGTGTTCTTTTACACTATTTGATATAGACTAACTATAAAACAACATAATTGATTCTATTCTGAGACTACATATTGCCGTTGGTTGACAGCCTGTTCATTTTAATGTCAAAGAGTGCCACTAGGGGTATTATAATTATAAAACATTCCAAGACAGCTATGTTATTTCATGCGGCGTGTTTGCTAATTAACTTTTCATATTCTTCCTGATGGTGAAATTTCACTTCAGCATAGTAGCTGGACAATAAAGATAAAAATAAATCTGATAATCTTAAAGACTAGTGCAATGTTTCATAGGTCTCCGTTTTTATTTGAATTCTGAAACACAAAAATGTTAATGCTCACTTGAAACACTGGAAGGTCTGTGTTGTAATTTGTCTCTTTCATTTGCAAGTTTCTGAAACAAGAGATATTTCTATTACAAAAGTTGCCCATATAATAAAATTACATTTCTGAAACAAAAAGGTATTCTGAAAAAAGAGAACGAAATAACAATAAAACAGAATTGTCTGAGAGTTAAAAAGCAACTGAAAAATAAATCACATCATCAGCATGTTTCTCATGCACAAACGACCTTCAGAACAGATAGAAGTGTTGAGTAAACAAAACTCATTAGCAGCCAATGGAAGTTAACACCATTTTCCAAAATGGCTGCCACTTTTCTTCCAGAACACGTAAGGCCGAAAAAAACCTTTTTAAGTTACAAAAAGACATAAAACTGATCGTAAAAGAACAGCTATCAAAGAAATACAAGTGATGTACCTTGTGTTGAGTTCCGTGTATGATAAATATAAGGAGAAACAGTTTCACACCTAGCAGGAGTATCAGGTCGCGGATTACATTAAAGTGGCAACTGATTGTCACGTCTTAACAGCGTTGTCGAGGATATACACACATGATCATCTCTTATATCAAGATAAAGCAACAATGGCGATCGATGTGTAACTATCAGATTAAAAGTTTAAGAGCTTACCTTGACATTTTAGCAATCATAGTTAGGAGGCTAGACTATTGGAATTGCAGGCCCGCCATGTTTAATATAACCGTTCGTCTTAGAGACTCACAAGTTCTATAACAAATAAGGAAAACACAGTGTCGTTATGACGACCCCTTTCACCACGTACGGTGTGGCCCATCAATAGAACCTGTATACAAATAGCTCTATCCAGAACGTTTAGGTCTGACTGTGGCAAGGGGTCAATTCTTCAGTAGTTAATTGTGTGGTATTGAAAGGAATTCGCCTACCACCACTACTAAACAAACATTATGCATTTCTCTGATCTGTCAACGTTGTCAGTTGGTGTTATTGACAATACTGATTCGCTGCCGATCTCTGCGGTGGATTGTTGACGATAATGGAAGACATTCGGAATAAAGGCAACACTTTGAGAAGACTCACCTATGTTTGACTAAGAGGAGAGTTGACTTGCGTTGACTTATTACAATGTCAGAAAGCCTATTAACTTGTTCAGTGCTGCTACCAGAGCTTGTCAACCATAGCTATTTCAGTTAAATTCTGTTTGACAAATCACTGAAGTTTGCTAGACTTGAACTTTCTTTAGTTAACACTGCCTATAGAATATGCGAATTAGATCATGGCTTTTTCACTTAGAGCATGGATTCAGTGTATCCTGTTTTCACTGGTTACTTCTATTCAGGTTTTTTGAGACAGGTGGCGCTGTCAGTAAGAATTTATATCCAGTTTAGGATGGTAATGGATTGACAACACTTAGTTGATCAGTTTGTACAAAGAGTGGATGAGTGTGGTTTTACGCCGCTTTTAGCAATATTTCCGAAATGGGCTTCCCACATTGTACCCATGTGGGGAATCGCACCCGGGTCTTCGGCGTGACAAGCGAACGCTTCAACCTCTTAGCACAAAGAATAGATGGCGTGTATTAGATGGAAGTGGTGGGTAATGCAGATTATGTATTATTCAGGGAGTGGGATTCATGCTTCAAGAAATACCATTGTTTTGTTTTATAGAAGGAGCTGAACATTTGTTTGGAATCCACAACATTATTTTTCAGAAAATCCTGCATGTTCAGTGAATGATTTTTGGTTGTGTGTAAATACTTTAGGACAAATGATTTTCCCCCAGCATTTTCGGGAACAGATGATTAAAAAATAAAAATCCAGCCCCCCATGCTTGATAATTAAATTTTTCGCCTTTACCGGTGTGAAAGAACATTATCATAAAGGGGTATCTCAAATGAGTGCGTGAGTGATATTTCAGCAATATCAGAACACCATAAATTGGCTTCGCTCATTGTTCTCATATGGGGTATTGAAGCAATGCCTTCGGCGTCACGAGCGAACGCTCTAACCACTAGACTACCCGATCACCCCTTTATCACATATGACAGCTTACGTTTAGGCCAAAGTTTTGTGTTAATTTGAGTAATAAGTTTATTTCTGGTTAAAAATAGTGACATTTCTGAAAAATGCTTTGAAAAGTATTTCAGTTATATCAGCTTGTCAGCTGGATGTGGGAGAAAAGCTCACCGTAACAGAGGTCTTAAACGTGTCTTTGAAATAGAAGAGGTTTTCAGATGAAATATAGCGGCAATAATATTGAGTTAATTGAACAATGGTTCTAGATACATACTCAAAATATTATATATTACTTTGTTCAGAATGATTGATTGATTGAGTGAGTGAGTGAGTTTGTTTTAACACTGTATTGAACAGTATTTCATTTACAGCAAATTCACGTGGGAGTGAGTGAGTGTGTTTAATATAAGCCACTTCAAGCAATTTTCCAGCAATATCACAACAGGGGACAACCACAATTTGCTTCATACATTGAATCAGATTAGGGAATCGAACCCAGAAATTCAGTTTTTCAACAGTTAAAACATCTATTTTTAAAAATATCCCCAACAGATTCTGTTTAACTTATGATAATTCTTTAAAGTCTTACAGTTTCGAAGTACAAAATATAAATCAAACATTTCTCCACAGGATCTGACATGTCACATTGTTGAGTACCGAACAAACCATTCCCTTGAAACAAATCAGGATAAGTCCTCAAGACACATACATGAATCCAAAATATAATGGTAAATCCTCAAACCTAATGAATTATGGTGACACCAGATAAGAATCCATTTCTAGAAGCCGACTTGTAGTTTGTCCTCAACTCATAGTGAACAGTCCAGATCTGAACAGGCTCTGTTCCCTAGTCACACAAACCTGAATCTGGTCGCCTTCCAAACAGTCAGGAACTTTTTCTCCCACCCTATAATACGCTTATTCCTATCCATTAAAGCGAAACGTACACTCACAATTCAACACTGGTCTCTATTCATACAATACTGTGGCATGCAAATTTATTGGGCTTACCTTTATTGATATTCATAAAACAGGACTTGCAATCGTAAACAAAATGTGCCTTTGTACAGGACAAAAGGCTCCATGCCAACACGGCTTAGGGCCCCACAATTCTCCCAATCCAGCACCTATACAAATAAGCTGGTCACATTATGTTTCTGGGTTTGAATACAGGTTTGGAAGTCAGACTGGGCATGCTTCAAGGAGATATACTTGATGCAGGTCTGTGTATGCAATACACTGGGAGGGGCACATACGATTTGTTAATGGAAGACTTTAGTTCACTTGCGAAAACTTTCTAGTTCAAGAACGAAATATTTGTTGACCCCTTTACACTATGTTATAACTTAGAGTTGTCAACAAAATCTTCTGTCTGTATCCAAATCCTTCTATGAATCATTGACTATATTCTTTTGGTCTTGATAAACACTGAACCACCATTTAAAATCAGTTAAGGTTAGATAAAACAAATACGTTGAAGATACTTCGCTGAAGTTTTCAAAGTTAATTCTGTTTCTAATAGTGATTTAATTAGAGAAATGGTAACTACTGACTTAGCTGGTCATATGCACATCCTTCCTCCACCAAATACCTCACTCACAAATACACACATCCTCCCTCCGCCAAATACCTCACTCACATATACATACATACACACATCCTCCCTCCGCCAAATACCTCACTCACATAAACATACATCCTTCCTCCACCAAATACCTCACTCACATAAACATATATCCTCCCTCCGCCAGATACCTCACTCACAAATACACAAATCCCTCCTCCAAATACCTCAAGTACATATACACACATCCTCCCTCCGCCAAATACCTCACTCACATATACATACATCCTCCCTCCGCCAAATACCTCACTCACATATACATACATCCTCCCTCCGCCAGATACCTCACTCACATATACATACATACATCCTCTGCCAAATACCTCATTAACATATACACACATACATCCTCTGCCAAATACCTCATTCACATATACACACATCCTTCCTCCGCCAAATACCTCACTCACATATACACACATCCTCCCTCCGCCAAATACCTCACTCACATATACATACATCCTTCCTCCACCAAATACAACACGTACATATACACAAATCACTCCTCCAAATACCTCACTCACATATACACACACCCTGCCTCCACCAAATACCTCACTCACATATACATACATACATACAAACATCCTTCCTCTGCCAAATACCTCACTCACATATACACAAATCCCTCCTCCAAATACCTCAAGTACATATACACACATCCTTCCTCCACCAAATACCCCACTCACATATACATACATCCTCCCTCCGCCAAATACCTCACTCACATATACATACATACATCCTTCCTCTGCCAAATACCTCACTCACATATACACACATCCTTCCTCCACCAAATACCTCACTCACATATACACACATCCTTCCCCCACCAAATACCTCACTCACATATACACACATCCTTCCTCTGTCAAATGCCTCACTCACATAAACATACATCCTTCCTCCACCAAATACCTCACTCACATATACATACATCCGTCCTCCACCAAATACCTCACTCACATATACATACATCCTTCCTCTGTCAAATACCTCACTCACATAAACACACATCCTTCCTCCACAAAATACCTCACTCACATATACATACATACATACATACATACATACATACATACATACATACATACATACATACATACAAACATCCTTCCTCCACCAAATACCTCACTCACATATACACTCACCCCTGCTAAATACACCACTCACATATACACACATCCTTCCTCCACCAAATACCTCACTCACATATCCATACATCCGTCCTCCACCAAATACCTCACTCACATAAACACACATACTTCCTCCACAAAATACCTCACTCACATATACATACATACATACATACATACATACATACATACATACATACATACATACATACATACATACATACATACATACATACATACATACATACATCCTTCCTCCACCAAATACCTCACTCACATATACACTCACCCCTGCCAAATACACCACTCACATATACACACATCCTTCCTCCACCAAATACCTCACTCACATATACACACGTCCTTCCTCTGTCAAATGCCTCACTAACATATACACACATCCTTCCTCCACCAAATACCTCACTCACATAAACATACATTCATCCTCTGTCAAATACGTCACTCACATATACACACACCCTTCCTCCACCAAATACCTCACTCACATATGCATACATCCTTCCTCCACCAAATACCTCACTCACATCCTTCCTCCACAAAATACCTCACTCACATATACATACATACATACAAACATCCTTCCTCCACCAAATACCTCACTCACATATACACTGCCCCCTGCCAAATACATCACTCACATATACACACATCCTTCCTCCACCAAATACTTCACTCACATATACAAACATCCTTCCTCCACCAAATACTTCACTCACATATACAAACATCCTTCCTCCACCAAATACCTCACTCACATATACATACATCCTTCCTCCACCAAATACTTCACTCACATAAACACTCATCCTTCCTCCACAAAATACCTCACTCACATATACAAACATCCTTCCTCCACCAAATACTTCACTCACATATACACACATCCTTCCTCCACCAAATACATCACTCACATATACACACATCCTTCCTCCACCAAATACTTCACTCACATATACAAACATCCTTCCTCCACCAAATACTTCACTCACATATACACACATCCTTCCTCCACCAAATACTTCACTCACATATACACACATCCTTCCTCCACCAAATACTTCACTCACATATACACACATCCTTCCTCCACCAAATACTTCACTCACATATACACACATCCTTCCTCCACCAAATACTTCACTCACATATACACACATCCTTCCTCCACCAAATACTTCACTCACATATACACACATCCTTCCTCCACCAAATACTTCACTCACATATACACACCCCCCTCCCCCCCCCCCCCCCCCCCCGGTTATTTACTTCACTCATATATACTCATACACACACACCCCTGCCAGATACCTCAATCGGTTATACATAAATCCTACATTGACGGCAGATCACTATACCGTTGGTCATGTTGGGAATTGGTCTCACTATCAACCAATAACACCTACCTTGTAAATACAATATAAAACGCCAATGCCAATGTCAATTACCAGTCTCAATTATCAAACAGATTCCATTGGGCGTAAAAGGCACAATAGCAGTGAACAAAATGAAAATGGATCACTGAAAATCAGTGATGACACGAAGTGTCTTCCACCCAACGCTCACATAATTTGCATAGAAAAGTTTTTGGTGTTGGCTGATGCCGCACGTCAGTACTGCCATATGGCGGCGGCCTGTAAACAATAAAGTCTTGACCAGACAATCCAGTGACAATAGACCAGACAATCCAGTGAAAGAATTCATTCACACACATTTGAACAAATTGAAATACCAAAGTAATCTTAACTGTACTTTGTTTTGTATTACAATTTGTATGATGAGTTTAAAAGATCAAAATGCCATTGCCATTCATGGAATATGTACTGTAGTTTCATCTATGGCTATCAGTGATAAGTCTTAGACATAAGTACAAAGTCTTGCTGTTTTATTTTTTTGCATATCGATCCTCAGCCAAACAGCTGGATCCAGATTCAATGGTTGCAATCTTTTACTTCAGGGCAGATCCATGAAGATCCGGGGTAGAACAGGTCTTCAGCAACCCAAGCTCGGCATTGAAGGCACCTATGCTTGTCGAAAGAGGTGACTAACGTGGGCGGGTAGTCAGGCTCGCTGACTTGGGTGATGCATGTCATTGTATCCCAATTGCGTGGATCGATGTTCATGATGTCAATCACTTGATTGTCTGGTCCAGACTTGATTATTTATAGATCGCCGTCATAAAGCTGTAATATTGCTGAGTGTGGCGTTAAACAACAAAAACACAAACGAAACTTCAGGGCATACTTTCAACATAGACGAGTACACATATTATAAGCGTCCAACAAATATGTCTGACAACTATCTGGTATAAGTGAGTGAGTGAGTACGGTTTTACGCCGCCTTAGCAATATTCCAGCAATATCACGGCGGGGGACACCAGAAATGGGCTTCACACACTGTACCCATGTCGGGAATCGAACCCGGAACTTCGCGAACGCTTTAAACACTAGGCTATCAGACCGCCCCATCTGGTATAAGCAATTGTAACCCAGGCATACATAAAAAACCAAAAGAATCCCCCAAATCATCAAAAAACTTACAATAGCATCTTGACACAAATTCTATTCTTACATGAAACACCTTTCAATTGTGTCCTCACATCAATCCCATCCTTACATCAACACCTCACCATTAAACAGAAATACTATCCCTACTCAAAACTCATTTCCTAAAGCAAACTACATAGAGTAGCGCCCAACCCTTAAAACGAGGCTTATTTAAGGATTAACCCCTCCCCACAGTAGAACAAAGCACACCACATGTTTGTCATTTATGCATTAAAACATGCTGGTTGCGGGGATTTCGTTTGGTGGCAGACAAGCCCTACCTCTGCCAAGCTATCTGATTTAGATTCACAATGAAGTCCACAAACGAACTGACCTCACCTTCCTGTAATACCTTCAGCACAACCACCACTGATCCTCGCCGAAGTCCTCCCAACACTGGAATGACTTTCTAATCAAGCACCTTTTCTTATAAAGTCACCTTCATTTCCTACAATCCTAACTGGCCTTTTCTTCTGTCCCGGCGGTTAATTTACAGCCAGAAAGAATCAACACAATACGGGTGTATAGTGTTAAGAGTCCATAGGCTCGCTGACACTGTGAAATC